TTTGTATTTATTTTGTAGATATTAAAGAGTGGATGCAACTTGGTCACGTGCAGATCCAACCACGTGCTGATATGTAACTTGAGATATTAAATGACAAAAACAATGCAAATCTCTAAAGACAAAGGTAGCCATAAAAATGATCTGTCACGTTCACATGTACCGTGGCGTGATTGTGAAGTGAGACTCATCTTTTATTTTATTTTAGCTAAAAAGTGAAACTCACCTTATTGTCATTATTCGATTACGTTATCAAAGAACATAATTACATTTTCAAATTATATTTTTATTGAAATGTTTTTTAAAAAATGGTATTTTTAGTTAAATGTTTTTTTTTTTTTGATAACCGTGAGTGATCCAAAAGTTTTCTAGGCCCAAGACTAGTCCCACGAGGCCCACGGCAGTCCATGTTTTCTTACCATTTAAGGTAGCCCAAACTCATGATGGCAGGCATCTCAGCTGAGGCTCCATTACCACCAGACCACGAAGATCCGGTCTTTAGTTAAATGTTGTAGGATAATAATAAATAATTTAACAGAAAAGATAAATGTTGCCCAAGAAAGAAAATGATCTTAACCAAACTAGAGATATGAGATAAACCCAAGGTCAAACACAATCCAAAATATTCCAAGTAGGAGTTCTGGTCTAATTTTGGTTATATTTTTGGTCTTCGAGTTAATTTTTTTTGATAATGTAAAAACAAAACTAACTTGACAGTTAATGCTGACAGTTAATGCTCAATTATTTTTTGAAACATTTTCTGTTGTATTCATTTATATAAGAACAAAAAATCATCAAAAAAAAACACCAGAAAATAAGCATATTCAGAAATACAAAATACAAAATCATCAATCATCATAGTTGTTACACCTTCGACTTAACATCTTATTATATAAAGCTGGATGCGCGCGATGTGGTTGCGACACGTAGGATTTTTATAAAATTTAGGATTGCGACATGTGTCACTTTTAATGTTATGTCCGTTAAGATCGTGACATGTGTCTTAGAAAAAAGGAAAAAAAATATAATTAAAAAAAATAGATAAAGGAAAAAAAACGAAATTTTAATCTTTTATAGTTAAAAGAAAAAAAAAATATATTTGTCATATCCTAATAGAAAAAGGTTTCTCATTCATCAAATTTATATTATCCAAACACATATAAGATTCAAATTAATGAAATAAATAAAATCCTATTAGTACATGAAATAGGTTAGGTAAACTAAATTTCCTATAACTGCATGGAATAAGTTACATGAACCCCTATAAAAAGAGAGTTAAAGTAGTTTTTTTTCTCATTCACAAACTCATCAAAGCAAACAACATGATAGCAATACGTATGATTTTTATAACTCACAAAATTGCGATATGTGTTTATATTCCCATTATGAACAGGAAAAAAACAATATATAATAAGCTATTGCGATTCAATTATGTGCTTCTATCTTTTGTATAATCTTTTCTCTCATAAAAATCATGTATTTAAAATTCATGGTATCAATGAATAATATTTAACTCTATATTAGTTGGATAGAAATCAAAATTATTGTCGATACATGTATCTAACTCTATATCAGTTGGATAGAAATCAAAATTATTGTCGTTACATGTATTTGATCCGGTGAAGACATGTTAATTGGAAAAATGTTAAACAGATATAAAAACTAGAAAAATAATTAAAAAAAAACTAACTAATAATGAAAATGAAAATTTATAATGGTCTGAGTCAAAAACAAAATTGAGAAAGAAACAATATAAATAGAAAACTAACAAATTAATTATCAAGCAACTAACTAATATTAAGAAAATATAATGAACCGATATTCTAATTTTAAATAGTTTAATTTTCAATATTGTTAGGTAAAAAATTATTAAATAAAGATTTCATCAATTGAAATCTCTTGAATGGAATAATAAAGTTTTGTTGAATTAATTAATCAGTTGATCATATTTAGACATATATAAGTCTTTCTATATTGGATAAAAATAAAAATAAAACAAATTAATTCATTTTTCATATCATGAATTCAAAAAAAATATCAATTACAATAAAAACGTAAAAAGGTTACCGATCTTATTTTATTTAAATATTTTTATCGGGTTTTTAATATTATTCTGTTTACTTTAAAATGATCAAATTTGGTTTAATACTTTTCCATGATTTTATTACAAAATCTTAAAATAAACCCGCGTATACGCGGGTCTTTAGTGGATTATATAACTGAAATGTTGTTGATATCATAACCACTATATAATCATTGACAAGTTGTAATATTTGTTTGCCTGTTATGTTGTACCACCCACCACTACTATATAGTCTATAGACATCAAACAAGATCTCGCCAAACTAGTTAGCAGTTACTCAACTCAATTCACTCATTACATGGCAATCTGTTATATTATATGTATATATGAAACCAATGGGATTAGTCACTGACCATATATCTTCCCAACCAAAACTTTTAAAAAAGAACAAACAAATAAAAGAAAATCAAAATTATTCAAAACTGAAACGAATCAAAGAATGAAAAAAAAAAGAGTGAGACGAAGTTCTAAATATCATTTGTAAGCCAAAAAGAAAACAAGAAGAAATTAGTTTCAGTTCTTCAACCTCTGATCTGCAATTTACCCATCTGGCCTTCTACATGATCCCCATGACCTTCTATAACATCCCCATTGCTCTGTGCGCTGAGATTCAGCCATGGATGTTGCAGACACTGTTGAGCAGTCGGTCGTTTCTCAGGCGCAAAATCAAGAATCGGGCAGAGAAAATCCGCAAACTCCCTTGCTTCTGCTTCAGGAAGCTTGTACTTATCTGTCAGTAAACGGTCCAGTGGCCAATATTTCAATCTCCTGATCCTCTTCAAATCGCCGTGTCTGTCAAAGTAATCCTTTGATCTCGCACCTCCAATGGCAATCTAATCAAACCAGAAGCATCAAAGAGACTATAACCGAGCAATAAAGAAATGAAAAACAAAATCTTTTCCATTTACCTTCCGAGGCATTTTCCCTAAGAGTTCCATCATAAGAGCAAGATGGTCCTGAAGCCAAACCAGAGAAGAAGAATGTGTAAAGTAAAACAGCTGATAAAGAAAAAGAAAAAACGCACTCTTTGGGGGTTTGTGAAAACATCTTTACCTCGTCTTCTCCATAACCATTTCCGTCTTTTGGAGCGAATAGCATATCCCCTGTGGCAAGCTCGAAAGCAGTACAAGCGAAAGACCACATATCAACAGAGAAAGAGTAGCCTGACTGAAGTATCACTTCAGGAGCTCTGTACTGTCTTGTTTGTATCTCTTCTGCAAACTTGTTATCAGCCCAACAAGCGTTCCCAAAGTCCACAACTTTGCATCTCATATCAATCCCATCCAAATTCCTCACGTTCTTTTTCGGTGTTTCACTCAACCCTACAATGGAAACTCTCCTTCCTGATATCTTAGCAACCGCTCTTCTTGCTCTCCTCTTCAACTTCTTCTCAATCAGATTCAAGGTTGCTGTACCGTTTTGGTTTCCCTCAGGCTTCTCTAGTATTGGTGTTAGTCCGGATCTGACTGGATCCTTGGCAGGGTCAATGGAGGAACAAAGAAGAATGTTCTCTGGTTTTAAGTCGGAGTGAATCATACGGAGCTCACGATGCAAATAATCTAGACCGGTCAGTATGCATTTGCATATCTCCCGCACTTTACTCAAATCCATGCCTTTATAATGGTTGTATCTGATCAAACGGAGCAAGCTGTCGCCAAGAAACTCGAGCACCATGCAGAAATGCTGCCCGTTGGGACCTGCGTGCTTGAAATCATCGATGAGACGAACAACGCATTTGGTATTCGCAGGATCCCCATCAGCAGCAGCTTGAAGAAGCTCTATCTCGTGAAGTGCAGCTTGAGCAAACTGCTGAGCGCTCTTCTGAATCTTCAGGGCAACATAACTCTGCAGAAGAGAACATCAACACACATAGTTATTGTACACATCAAACGTGAGTAGAGAATGTAAAAAGGATAAACATGGACATGGAAATTCATACATTCTAAGACCAGAGCATCAGTAATATTATTCTCACAATTACAAAAGTCTAAGAGCGTAGAAGTATGTCCCTGATTTCAGAGAAAGTAGAGAACTTCAAAGATAGAGCTCAGAGGAGAAGAAAACATTATACTAAGCCTATAGTCAATGAAGAACCAATAACGTCACGGTCGCATTTAAGGAACAGCGCCAATTGATACACATTCATATCCAATTCTCAGCTCTTTAAACAAACTGCTATGATTGGTTTAGCTACAGAGTGCAGTGTCAAATCTAGAACAATGATCCACAAAATTCAAAATTTTGCTTTTCTGAAAGATTAATTCACAGATCAGAGCCTAGATGAAAGGAATTCGAGAGGACTAATGTGTACATGCTCCAATAAAGGAATCATAGGCAGATTAACGAAATCAAAATTCTGCATTTTAAGATCTTGTTGGCATGGTAAAACGAGATGAGTGGAATGAAATGAAGAGATAAGAGGAGAGATGCGTACAGAAGTGCGAGTATCATAGGCAAGCCAAACGGTGGAGAATTGTCCCCAGCCAAGCTTTCTCTGAGCGATGTAACGGCCACCGGAAAACTGGTCTCCGATTCTAACGGCGTGATATCCACCTTTACGGTAAGCATCGAAACCCTCATCGTCTTCATCTGATCCAGATGACGATGAACACGACATTTCTCCTCTTTTCCTCCTGTCTGAATTCCGAGTTCTGTGGATTTTGGTTGTCAAAGTTTGGATCTTTGAAATAAAAGACCTTCCTTTTCTTCAATTTCTCCAACAAAGAGAGAAAGAGAGAGAGAATAAAAGAGAGAGAGAGAGAGGAATAGCACTCAGATTGCGTTGTGGCCTCGAAAGGAAAGACTCTCTCCACTTTTTGCTCCTCTCTTGTCCCTTTTCTTTTTCTATTGATGGCTGCTTCAAACATTTCCCATTTTAACGTTGTCCAAATCCCCATTTTGCCCCTTTCTCATGGTGCTTTTAACTTTCAATTATGTCCTGCAACAAGGTCTTTGAGTGGATCTCTGTTTTCTGGCTGAGACAATACATCAATGAACTCCACATTGAAGAATCAGGGACAATACTCTTCTCCACCATTCTTGAGAAAAGCAACCAAGCATTCTGAAAATCTTCCATTTCACACAATTCTCCTAGCAACGGATTGTAGCTATCTCCATCAGGTACACATCCTCTCTCAGCCATGTCTTCCACAAACTTAATCCCATTCACGACTCTATCTTTCTTACAGAACCCGAGAATCACAGCATTGAATGTTAACGACTGAGGCAAATAGCCTCTGGTCACCAAGTCGTTGACAAGCTCAAGAGCTTCTTCCATGTACCCTTCTTGGCTGTATCTATGAATCAAGCAATGAGATACCACAACATTAGGAACTCCTCCTTCTCCAATCATCCGATCATACGCCGTCTTAACATCATCCACACTTCCTTTCTCGCATAAACTTATCAACTCAAAGCTCCTCTCAACAGCTCTTGGAAACAGTTTCTCCATCTCCACCAGAAACTCCAGAGCTTCCTCCCAACGGTTCTCCTTGTAAAACCCATAGATCACACTATTATACGTACCAACTCTCTCCCCACGAACACTTTCACTCTCCTGCATCAGCTCTAACACCTTTATCGCATCCTCCGTCCTCCCTCCTAACGACATCCCTCTGATCAACGTGTCAAACGTAGCAAAGTTCCATCTAACAGCATCAGTTTTCATATCCTCAAAAGTGTCAAGAGCTGAGTCCAACATTCCAACATTACAAAACCCAGCAATCAACAGATTGTATGTTTCCACGTTAGGCAAGTAACCTTTCCTCTCCATCTCCTCAAAGAACCGTTGAGCAACTCTCACTTTCCCTACCTTACAATACCCTCTCACCAATGTGTTACAAGCAACGACATCGACTTTACCTCCTCTGTTTTCAACTCTCTCCACCACCTCGAGCGCCTCGGTGACACGTCCTTCCTCGCAGAGAACTTCCATCACCTTCGTTACCGTGACAACATCAGGAACAAATCCCAAACCGAAGCATTTCTCCAGCAGCGCCAACGACTGAATCAGCTTCTTCTCGTTGCAGTAAGCAGATATCAAGATGTTGAAAGTCACATCATTCGGTTGCTTCATTTCACTCATCAAGCTCCTCGCTCTCCCGACTTTCCCGTTCTTGCAAAGAGCGTGAAGCAAAGTGTTGTATATCACTGTGTTTGGAGCCACGCCTCGCGTCTTCATGATCTGAAGAAGCTTGAAACCGTCACCGATCCTGTTCGTCAAGCAAAGACCTTTCATCAGAATCCCGTAAGTGTACTCATCACCTTGGACTCCACTCGCCATCATCTTCCTTCTGAAAAACTCTCTGGCTATGTCGATATCTTCCTTCACTAGAACATCGAGAATCGAATTGAAAACTTTCAGAGACGGTGGTTTGATCCCGAATCTCGAAACAAGATCAACGACATTGATCACACGTTTGGTTAATCTAGCGCGCCCTAACCCTCGGACGATAGTTACGAAGATGGAATCATCCGGAGGCAAACCAATCGATTCAGGCATTTCGTCGAGCATCTGGTAGACAGTTTCGAAACGCCGGAAAATGCAGAGCTTGTGAAACAGAGCACGGTATGTGGAACGAGAATGGGTAAAGCCAGGGAAAGTTGAAGCCCATTGGAAAGTTTCTAGAGCTCCTGAAGGTGATTTCTGGTCTAAAATGAGACGGACGATATGATCATCGCTAGGCACTGAAAGCGAAGAAGACGACGACGATGATGGAGAAGGTGAACAGAAACAACGTAATTGAAGCCATAATCTTGTCACTGGCTCATATCTAGAAGATGTCGAAAGATTCGAGATTCTCAGCATCAGGAACACACATAAAAATGTCACAACTTGATCGGTTCTGTGAAGAGACGAGTTTGAAATATACGAAAGAAGACAGTTTGATTCTTCTTTGGCCAAATTTCACAACTTTAGATTACTTGCATTACAAGAAATGTAGATAGTTACGTTTGCGTACTAATAAGCAGCATATATTAAAAGAAGTGACTAAGATCAATTAAATTTATCGAAATACACATCTTATTTCGTAGCAGAGCACATCAGTTGAAAGGTATATATACATAGATTAGTAGTTAGTTAATGCATTAGAACAATAACAAACATAGATTATTACAATACATAACCAAGCATAAGCGATTTGTTTTTTCTAGATGATGTTGCTTTTGAAGTACTTTCGGAACACTTCTTCTTCCTTGCAGTGCAGAGAGATGACTCTATAGACTTCAATTAACAATTTCGGGAACCGAACAGCAAAGTACTCGTCAAATCCTTCTGGAACCGTTCCGACAAGTTCCTAAGATATCAAAAAGTTTTCAATATAACCAGTTTAACTTTAACCTTGCGTGTGTCAAGATGATGTTTGAGAATTTTGTTTACAAGACTAACCTGGATTTCTGGAGGAAGTTCTCGGTAGTGATTCAGTTTGTTCCTGATAACACGTAGCAAATCTCGAATGCTGTCGTATTTGTAACGCCTGTATCGTCCAATGTTGGTGATGAAATCAGATTCTAACTTCTCATCCCATTTCCCTCCTATAGCCACTGGAGCTGTACTCTCCATTGCTTTCAAGATCTCAGAATCAGCCTCTCTGTTTTCAAGCTCGACTCGGTCGCTAGCATCACGCAGGAAAGAAAGTCTCGTCTCCGAGTTCCAAAACATTGGATGGAGAAGCACTTCACTTGCACTAGGACTGCAAGCAAGCGGCGTATTAGAGAGATTTGTTTGATTGAAATTCTGAAACTATATAAGACATTTACCGTAAATCAGGATTTGGATTCAACAAGCGGGAGATGAGGTCTGAGACTTCAGGTAGATGCTCTACTAGAGAGAGGTCGACATTGTTGTTCACAATGTTGACATCACGTTCAAGATCATCTCCGAATGGATGGTCACAACCAGTTATGGTGTAGAAAAGGACACAACCTAAACTAAACATGTCCACTCCACGAGTTTGACGACCTTGAAGAAGCTGCTCTGGTGCTTGCCATCCCGAACTACCACAACCTGTAATATATTTTTGAAAAGAGACATTTTAAAGAAATTGTTTTGAAAGATCTGTTATACAACGAAGGAAGACAACAAAAAGTAACTCACCTGTGGCAAGGTGACCGAAAGATGACATATCCCCCGACAGACGCTTGCTAATGCCCATATCAGAAAGCTTTGCACTCAAAGTAAACACATTTTGTATCAACACGTTTTGCGGTTTCAAGTCCCGATGGACGATTCCAAGTTGATGCAAATGGGCAAGACCGGATACTATATCCCTGCGTCACATAACACAAACAGTTCGTTAGAACATAAGTTATGGAAACAAAAGAAAGAGTTTATGTATAAATCTGTGATCTACATTAACCTCATTAGTTTTAGCATGATAGGTGACGGATAGCCTCCAACTTTACACAAGTCGTTTGCGTTGATAACTCCTTTCAAAGAATCCATCTGTGTCTCCAACACTAAATACGTCTTAAGCAAACCATCTAAAGTGCATACGCAACGCTCCAAAGAAAGGTAAACAAAATCACGGTCGTATTCCACGCCGTACCACCGAATGATGTTCGCGTGCTGGTCAGACGCAATGAGGTTTTGAATCTCCTTGAAAGCAACCTCATGATGAGAACGAACAAGTCGTTTCACAGCTACTGGCCTGCCTTCATAAAACCCCTCGAAAACAACAGTACCGTTACTTCCTTTTGCGATTTCGGTATTCGACACAAACAACTTGCCGATCTTTCTCCCATCAGTTGCACCATTCGGAACGTTATTGAAGCCTAGTAACAACATTTGCTCATTTGTAACACCGTCTTTCCCCGACTTACGGTTCCTTTTCTTCTTGGAAGGTTCGGTTTTCGCTCTCGGTGAAGACCTTTTAACGAAAACAGCAACGATGGCACCAAGAAGAAACAAGGGCACAAATAGTTTTACTGGAGACCATCTAGAATAGTTTCTCCCAACTTGTTCCTGTAGCTTCCTGGATTCTCTGGTTCTTGAAGAGGGCAGAGAGAGGCGGTTATCGCCTTCTGGTAGCATCTTCGCTTCATCACCACTGTCGAGATCACGAGGCACCTTAATAAACAGCTCTGACTTAACGCGGGAGTGGACTTCAGTTTGTGACCCGCATTGCAACGGCATGTAGATCCCAGTGGCGATCTCGGGACCGAGCTCGTTGCCTGAATTGAAAGCTAGGTCACAGAGTAAATCAGCTCTGAAGCTAGAAACCGTCACGTTCCAAGCAAGCTTCCGAGTCGTCTTGTCGAAATGCTCCAGCTTGGAGTCTGTTCGTGTGATGAGAAGCGGCAGCTTCACGAAGTTGTCAGTGCTGGTTGGCTTCACCATAGCGTTAGTGTTCTTGCTGTTATCTCCTGAAGAGTGTGTGGAGGATTTGTAAACGTGGATCAGCCTCCCGGATAAACCATCAACTAAATACGCAGTCGCTGTTTTTGATCCAAGAACCAAGCCATCGTCCGTTACAAGTGGCATCTTCTTAAGCAAGTCCTCCATGTTCTGTGCTCAACAAGCGAATGTGTCAGATAAAAAGACTGAGCCATCAATCAAGTGTTTTGTTAGTTTAATATACATACCCATCTTGTATAGCGATTATCAGTTGTTTTGGCTTCTGACTTGTCCATGTATTCAACTATGAAAGCAGAACTTGTCTCGGTAGAGTTTTCTGTGTTGTTCACAGCACTTGGAGGAGCTTGGTATGAGGAATGGATTGGTGATCCTGTTGAGAAAGACCAGATTGGTTTCTCTGTTGACTGCATTATTAAGGAGACTTTCCCAGATCGATCAACGACAAGCTCCGTGTTTGGCTCTGTTAGTTCACTGATTAGAAGAATCAAAAAGAGAAATAAAAAAACGTTACAAAACCAATTCTTCTTCACTGTTTACACAATATGGAGAATTACGCAAATTGAGTCAATTTCTGCCTAAATCCAAACTGAATTTGAGCCTAGAATGAGCATATAAAGCTTCTAAAAGTGACAACTTTCACGAGCAGAGAAACAGAGTAAATCACAAACTAAGACTTTCCAAAGACGAAGAAGAGAAGCTCACCGAGAGTATAAGAGGGATCTGCCGGCGGGTCGATCCATGGGAAGGTGCTTCTGCTCGTTACGAAATCCAAACAGCGAGATCGGATTCTTCGACTCTGCGGCGGCGCCGCCGTAAAGAGACATCAATGGTGACAGTAGTAATAGTAAGAAGAATAGATGGCGGAGGAAGCTACATCTCGGCACCATCATTTGGACCATGAACAGAGCCTGAACGGAGATATCGACGATGATGATGATCTGTGACAGAGGAGGAAGATTCGATGATCTCGAAGAAGAGATTGATTTATTTAAGAATCGAGAGATTGAGATTAAACAAGGGTTTTCGAATTGACCTGTGGATGAAGTCAACAATTGAGATATGCGAAGCTTCGTCTGAGCCTACGGTTTTAGGATCTCCCGTGCCGGCGAGTTTCTCCTCCCTAGTTGTTGCCCCCGACCTTACTCCAAACCATAGAGCCGAGTTCCAGCCGAGCCGACGCGTTACGCTTTTGAATCTTCTAACAAATTATTACAAGACATGTTCACTTCGATTCAATCAGACCGAACCGCATGCAAAAGAAAACCAAACCGGTTATAATCTTCTATCAAATTATTACAAGACACATGTTCACTTCGATTCAATCAGACCGAACTGCATGCAAAAGAAAACCAAACCGGTAATAAAACTGTCGTCGTTTGAATCTTCTATCAAATTATTACAAGACATGTTCACTTCGATTCAATCAGACCGAACCGCATGGAAAAGAAAAACCAAACCGGTTATAATCTTCTATCAAATTTATTACAAGACATGTTCACTTCGATTCAATCAGACCGAACCGCCTGGAAAAGAAAAAACCAAACCGGTTATAGAACCGTCGTCGTTTCTCTGTTTACAAGGTACAAAATTTAGGAATCACTTTTGGCTTAGGTTTAAGGAATTTTAAAAGCTCCAGTCCTCCGTTCTGACGACGGCAATCTATCACCGGCGATAAATTTATCAGCAGTAAGGTTGAAGAAGATGTTGCAGAGCAAGGTCTTCAATAAGAAAACCAGAGGAGGAAGAATCCAAAAGGTCTGTCAATTATATGCTCTGCTTTCTCTTCTCTCTCTTCTCTGTCTCTATGCTTCTTCTTTCCAAGTTTTAATTTTTGCTCTTTATTTGTGGCGGCAGCAAGTGAGAGAGGTGTATCTACGAGATGACATATACTGTGGAGCTTTTTCCTGCAAGTCTTGCGACACTTCAGCTGCTCGTTTGTCTTCCCCTAAGATTATTGTTGTGGACACCAACGTCGTTCTTCACCAAGTAAGCCCCTTTGATTATCTAAAGCTAAAACTTATGAGCTTGATATGAGGATATTAAGTATGTCTCTTTTGTTTTGTAGATCGATTTGTTAGAGAATCAAGCCATAGACAATGTTGTTGTTCTGTCTGTGGTGCTTGACGAGGTTAAGAACAGGAATAGGTCTGTTTACAACAGAATCAGAGCTCTCTGCAGCAATCCAACGAAGCACTTTTATGTTTTCTCCAATCATGTCCACAAGTAAGACTCTTTCTGAACTTTAGGCTTTTAGATTAAGAAAAAAAAGTGTGAAACTTAATGATTAGGAATATGCTGTTAGGTAATATTAGATTGGTATGCTCTCGTTATGACCACTGACATTTACTTAGCTGTAGTTCGGTTTCTCTTTGTGGTGTTCATATCTTTGAATTCTCACCTTTACTAAACTTTCAACAGAGATACTTATGTTCAGGCCATGGAGAGAGAGACTGCCAATGACCACAACGATAGAGGTTTTATTTACTATATAGCATTCAGTTTCATCTCCTGATATGATTCTGTTATTAAAGTTTTAATTTTTTCTGGAATTTCAGCTATCCGTGTTGCTACACTGTGGTACCAGAAGCATCTAGGGGATACGTCTCAGGTGTTGCTTGTAACTAATGACAGGGAGAATAAACGGAAGGCTACTGAAGAGGGAATATCTGCAGAGACAAGTATGTAAATATCATCTTTTGCTGTCCAGCATTCCACATATCGAAGCTTTGTTTTGCTACATGACGTTAAATTTTATCAATGAATGTTTATGTATCAGTTGAGGCTTATGTTAAATCAATTGGACAACCTGAGTTATTGGATCTGCTTGCTCAACCAACCGGTGAAGACGCAACCATGGAAGATGCAGATGATTCCAGACCTTCTAAGAGGAAACTTGTATACTTGGAGGTAATGGAGATAAGCATACTAGATTTTGCTGACTAGATACTGCCATCAAGCAACTTTTGTCTCCTGTAGTAATACCCTTTTTCCCTGTGCCTGCAGCATAAGCCTATGTCTGAGATTACTGCTGGCTTACACCGTGGAATATATCATCAAGGAAAACTCCGTGTCAATCGTTTCAATCCGTTTGAAGCTTATGTTGGAAGTGAGAGCATTGGCGAAGAGATCATTATCTATGGGCGCAGCAACATGAACAGAGCTTTCGATGGTGATGTTGTTGCGGTGGAACTCTTGCCGCGCGACCAATGGCAAGAGGAGAAGGCATTGTCTATAGCTGAAGAAGAAGGTTTGTTTTATTATCTACATATATTTTAAACTAGTTATTTGCTTGCATGAAGTTGTGTCAAACTTATTTTATTTTTCACATATCAAATTTTAATGCAGATGAGGAAGAGGATGATACTGTTCATTTGGCTCCCAACAGTGCTGATGATGCTCCTAGAACCTCGAATCTATCCCAAGTAGCTTCTGGGGATAAAAATGCTACCCCTGCTCGTCCATCAGGCCGTGTAGTTGGTGTTATCCGTAGAAACTGGCACTCGTGAGTTCACTTCTTGATTTCAGTGTCTTTTGTCCGTGCACTTTTGCTTTGCTTTTCCTTGATTTTGTCTTATTTTGAGAGTCTGTTTGAAGCCGTGGTTTCTGGAGGTTCCTAATTTGCGTGATGTCATGCAGGTATTGTGGATCTCTTGAACCAATGTCACTACCTGCTGGTAGTGGTGGAACGGTGCATGCTTTATTTGTCTCTAAAGATCGGAGGATTCCCAAGATTCGCATTAATACTCGACAGCTTCAGAACCTTCTGGATATGAGGATAGTAGTGGCAGTTGATTCTTGGGACCGTCAATCTCGATACCCTTCTGGCCATTATGTACGACCGATCGGCAAAATAGGTGACAGGGAGACTGAAACAGAGGTAGGGGCATTATATTAACTTAGTAGTTTCTGTTCTGTTAGGAGGTTGGAGGGCAAGAGTACGACAAGTATATTGGACATAACATCAATTCTCTTTCCTGTGGATGCTGTAGGTTGTCTTGATAGAGAATGATGTTGACTACTCGCCGTTCTCTTCTCAAGTTCTGGCATGCTTGCCACCTTTACCCTGGTCTGTATCTCCTGAAGATGTATCGAATCCTGTTAGGCAAGACTTACGACATTTGCTCGTCTTTAGTGTGGACCCTCCGGGTATGTACTTGAAGTTTTACTCATTTGATAGTGATATTAGCTAATTTAAATATCTTTCAGAGTCTTTCACTTAGATGTGTACAAGCAGATTAACATGTTTGTGGATGGTCACAGGTTGCAAGGATATTGATGATGCATTGCACTGTACATCGCTTCCAAATGGGAATTTTGAACTTGGAGTCCGTATCCTAAAAAACTTTATATATGATCATTTTAGGCATGTCAAGAGTCATGAGATACAAATCAATTGGTGGTATATATCTAAGCTAAGCATTGAAATGGTTCATGTTACTGTTTTGCGTTCTAGTTTGATTTGTCATAGTTATCTAGTGCTAAAAGTGTTTTTCAGGTGATCTGTGCTATGCCTTTTAGTCGTTTGTCTCTTCCAGAATTTTTAGCTAGTGTCATTGTATTCTCTTCACACCTCAGGAGTGAATTTCTGTTGTTTATGATGCTTATCCTTGACCATGTTTAACTAGACATTGCTGATGTAACAAATTTTGTTCACCCTGGTACACCTTTGGATGATGAGGCATCCAAAAGAGGCACATCTGTCTACCTTGTTGAGCGCCGTATTGACATGCTTCCCAAGCCTTTGACTGAAGGTGATATCTTTTTACAGGATTCATTTCCTTTATGTTGGAATTCCAGTGCACTCAATAAACATGGTTTTACTTGCAGATATCTGCTCGCTTAGAGCTGATGTGGAAAGGCTTGCATTCTCGGTTATTTGGGTATGTTTTTTTTTCATTATCTGTTGTCACTGTGAGGTCTAAAAGTTTATGTTACAGATATTAGCAAATAAAAGGTTATCCTAAGCATAATTCATATATTTAGGAAATGAACCCTGAAGCTGAGATTATCTCAACGAGATTTACAAAGAGTATAATCAAGTCTTCCGCAGCGTTGTCCTATGTTGAAGCTCAGGCGCGAATGGATGACAGGTACATTCTATTTTACCTTAGAGTTTGAGGATCAGTGGTTTGTTTGCGTACCTTTATTGCTACAGTCGAATTATTTCATTTCATGCTCTCTAGTGATTTGACAGTGGAAAAAATGGTCGCAATGATTAGTTAAAATTTTTATTGCATTCTTTGTTCAGAAAATTAACCTTTCTAATACCATATTCATGAATTTTATTTTAGAATTTTATTTTCAGATTCCTTCTTCGACATTATGCCTAAGATTGATAAGAGTGATTTATGTTTTGCAGCCGATTGACGGACCCCGTGACTACAGATCTGAGGAACATGAATACTTTGGCAAAGGTTTTAAGTTACCTCCTCTCACTTCTTGTCGTATGTTCCAGAAATCATAGAAAGAGCACAATAATTTGACCTGTTTTTTTGTCTATGAAACATGTAGATAATGAGGAAAAGGCGTATCGATAGGGGAGCCTTAACTCTTGCTTCTGCTGAGGTCAAATTTCAGATTGATACCGAGACTCATGATCCTCTTGACATTGGTATGTTTGTTGAGCAAACTTTGCTTCTTCTAGATTAACGATATTTTCTTAGTCTTTTATGTCACCAAATACCATGATATGAAGCACAACCATCTCTATCCTTTTGAAATATGTATTCATCTGTTTTTCATGTCTTTGTGACACTGTGTTTTGCACAGGCATGTATCAGATTCGGGAAGCAAACCAAATGGTTGAGGAATTCATGCTTGCTGCAAATGTTTCAGTCGCTGAACAAATCCTTAAACAATTCCCTTCTTGCTCACTATTAAGGTAAATTTTGCGACAATCCTGAAATGTTTAATGGCTTGCTCTTACATCGGTGGTCTGCTTCTCAAATATGGCAATCATCCTGTATACGTTGAACTGTTCCTCTGCGTAAAATTGATTTCAGTTATTTTTCCAAGATGTGACCAAATTAGCTTTCAGTTGTTGCCAAAGATGCCTATACTGCTATACTGGTTACATAAATTTCTTTGTGTCCCCGTAAAATGTGGTCATAGATGAATACATTTGAATATTTGATAATGTTGTACATATTTAGCAAAATGCATATTATGGGATCCCAAGTAGCTGTTGAGAACGTGTTTATTCTCTTATGGGGATCATATCTCTGGTTTGGTTTGCATGCAGGCGTCATCCTACTCCAACAAGAGAAATGCTTGAACCGCTGTTGCGTACTGCTGCAGCTATTGGGCTTACCTTAGATGTCTCTTCATCTAAAGCTCTGGCTGATTCACTGGACCGCGCTGTGGTGAGTTTTCTTTGTCTGCACTGTCTTAATGCGCAGCCACTTTCTCCTCGCTCAATCTTAACAAAATCGATATTCTTCAGGGTGAGGATCCATATTTCAACAAGCTTATCAGGATATTGGCAACTAGGTGCATGACACAGGTAATGCTTCCGTGATGACTTAATAGTTAAATTGCTGGTGATTTTCACAGGATATCGCCGTCTTATCTAACATTTTTCATATATTACTACTCAGGCTGTGTACTTCTGTAGTGGGGATCTCAGTCCTCCAGATTACCTTCATTATGGGCTTGCAGCACCCCTATATACTCATTTTACCTCCCCTATCCGAAGATATGCCGGTAAGTGAAGATTGATCTGTCTTCCCTTTGTTTTCACCTGTTTAGATGCTATAACCTTTGCTTCTTTCCCTTGTTCTAGATGTCTTTGTGCACAGGTTACTTGCAGCGTCATTAGGAATATACAAGCTTCCAACGGTGTTCCAAGACAGACCTCAACTTACTAGTGTTGCTGATAGTAAGAGTTCACTTAACCCTCTATGCATTATTCTGTGGTTTAGTATTTTCCATCATTTTTTGTATGGAGACAAAATTTGTCGACCTAAGGTCTTGTTTTATTTCCTCTTACTAATGCACCGGAGTTTTAGTATTCTAATTCTTTGACTTTATTTCAGATTTGAACTATCGGCATAGGAATGCTCAGATGGCAAGCCGAGCTTCAGTAGAACTGCACACTCTCATCTACTTCAGAAACCGGTATAGATCGTTGATTTTTCCTGAATCTTACTTGATTATAAAGTCATGGAATGGTAAATAGACTAAGAGAACACTCTCTGTGTTTTATGTTGTGCAGACCCACTGATGCAGAGGCGAGAGTTGTGAAGATAAGATCCAATGGTTTTATAGTATTCGTCCCAAAGTACGTTTTCTGTCCTTTGCTTATTACTACTACCATTACAAAAATTCATTTGTATTTGTAGCCTATTCTTCTTATATTTTCCTCTTACTTCCCTAGCCACCCTGTTTCACCTTTAAAGATTCAAACTCTATGCATGAAAACCGTTTTGTACCTACCAAAGGATTAAAATTAGCACATTCTGTCATAAACTCACGAAATCGTTATGTATTTATGCAGGTACGGAATAGAAGGCCCTGTTTATGTAACAGCAAAAGGTGAGAAAGGAGCTGGTGACTGGTACGTGGACGAGGAGAAGCAGAAGATTGTTAAGATGGATGGAAGTTTGTCTTACAGCGTCTTGCAAACAGTGAAGATTCACATGGAAGTAGTTGAGCCTCAGCCTAACCGACCGAAACTCCAACTCACTCTCTTGTAAAACTCTTCAGCCTAACCGACCGAAATTCTCACGTTCACTTGTGCGGTATGAACCAATTAGCAAGAAGATTTTCAAGTGGTTTACTTTTACCTATGTTTTATGTACTTTCCTCTATGTTCATTGTTAAAGTCGAAAGATATTGTATCAGTCATTTCGTTATCTATCAATGGATGCAAGTTTTGGGATGCTCATTCACTTGTGATCCTTACCATATGCTTTGTCATTGAATTTATACAATATCTGCGTTTAATGGGGATAAGGGGAAAATGAAGCAGAAAAGTACAAATCCAACCAGAAAAAATCTATCAGTTATCATCGCTCTGTTTATTTGATTGACAAAAAGAATGTTAAGATCCCTTGACTAGAGGGTCTTGCTGCATCAAATTTTCATCATTGTCTCTGTAGTTGTAGAGAGATAGAATCTTGCTGCTGAAGGCTTTCTAGACTAACAAGTGAAGGAAGATTGTGGACCAAACAGTCAAGGCCAGAATCGCAATCAAGTATGTCCAAAGCATGAGCACTGAGCATTCGTCTTGCCCGACATTGTACAGCTGCGTCATGGTACCTGCAGAGTTTTCAATTTGTCACTCCTTGTTAATACATTTTGTTTTTGATTTTTTCTAGATTTTGTATGAACTCAGCTGATGTTTATATGACTGACCAATATTCATGGCAGGTGGGAGAGTGAACTGAAGCATCAAAACATACTGAAACAAAGGATCCGGTGGAAGAAGTCCGAAACTCGCAGCTGTTTTCACAATGCCAATGCCGATAATTGGGAGAATGATGTACCGAACACAGACTATTCCAAGTACAACCACTGGTTTGACTGCTGAAGAACGTAAACCTGGTCGAGTTCAACAACCACAGTAACTTTGTTAGTTTTCTTTTTGACTGAAAGTGAAATGTGACCCATTGGTTGAGGAGAGACTTACCTTGAATGAGGTTTCCTCCTAGTATAATCGTCATACAAGGAATGGTCCCATCTCTGAAGAATTGGTCAAGTTAGTAACGTAAGCAACAAATGGTCAAGAAGTTCTTGAAATGAAAAGATTGTGGTGAGTGGTGGTAACTACCCAAGAAGTTTTGCAGTGGCTTGGACTATTCGTAAAGGAGCATCATCACCTATGATAAGATTTCTAAGCCATCCAACTGCACCGAAGATGAAACCGATAATCTGAAAGCAACATCAAACATGTCACATCAACTATATGTTGACTTCATTGATTTTGTATATCACTCAGTGCTATAGTTGTAAAACTGAAACTTACTGCACCAACTGTTGGTGGAGCAAGAAGCTCCTCAAGTATCTCATGCACCAACTCTAGACCTTTTCTCCAAAACCCTGTCTTTTCCTTTACTGCCAGTACATTCTTCTTGTCTTCAGTTGCACCGAGGAGTTTTGTCGTTTGATCAGCCTCTAAGTCACTATTGGATGATCTAATTGCTGCTTTCTCAGATTCCTCTATTTCTCTGATTTTCATTGCTGACCCTTTAATAAGCCGAAATGTGTAAGTCCATATGTAGAAACCACCAAGCTGCACAATATAAATGCATACAAGATTCATTTTAGGCCTTCATCGATCTCATACCTAAACAGTAGAAATGTTAACATCACATATTTACATACCGCCATTGAGAAAGATGCGTAAGAGAGGCCTACGGTTCTGCATACACTACGGTTACCAAATGGACTCTTGTCCTCGTCGCAGATTGCTGGAACAAGTATGATTGGTAGGTTCCCCATATTTCCTTATAACCAAGATTGAGTTTTATTTGTCATGAGAACAAATATACAAACATATAAGCCTATGATGATGATGATGATGATGATGATGATGATGATGATGATGATGATGATGATGATGATGATGATGATGATGAGTGATGACGTTAGTCATGTGACTGAGGGTACAAAGAATTTGTCACATACCTGAAGAACAAGTTGCAACAGTAAGACCTTCAAGATAAGGAGGTGGTTTCAGAATTTTAACAACCATCCACCCAAGAATTCCTCCGATTAAGAATGTAAGTCCCATATTCACCGGCATAAACCACCTTTTCATTCCAATCAAGCAAGAACAACAAACAAAATAAAATTTCAATTAGAGTTTATGAAAGGGAAGTAAAAAAAAAAAAAGGGGGGGAATTTGTTTGTATGTACCATGAGATGATGTCCTGGAGTGTGACGGTCTGAGCCAAATTTGCAAACATGAGAGCTGGTCCAAATAATACATACACCACCTAAAAAAAAAAAATGGATTTCATTAAATGAATAAAAATGAAACACACAAATCTGATTTTTGATATGTTTTTTTCAGAGATCCAACGAGTTAAAAATTAATTGGTTTACCTTGTTCATGGAGTTGCGGGATTCGACAGGGAAGAGTTTGCATCGATCAGTGGCTAAGAAAGCTCCAATAAGGCTTATGATGAGAACTTGAATCACTGGCATAGAAGCCACCTCCAACAACGACCAAAATCCCATCTTTTTATTGGACAAGATGAGTAAATTTCTTCTTATTCCTCCGCTGGAGTTATCTCCAAATGAAATTTAAGCCTGCGAAGAGAGAAAAGATACGAGGTAAGCACAGATTTCTATTGAGCAATATATTTTACGTATAATTTAACTCCTCGCAAGATTATGGCAAAAAACAAAAGCAGCCAGCGATGACAAAAATGAAATTCATAGAATTGAGACATACCAGAGTTTTGAGTCTCCTGTGTCATCCGAGAGATAGGAGAAGCTTCTCTTTACGTTGAAACTAATAAGAAAAAAAATCCAATAGTTTTTTAATAGTTTGAGGAAAGAAACGAATAATATTTTTATTTCCTTTTTTATGTCATTTCTTTTTTGACCAGTTTTACACAAACAAATTAAATATCATATTCTTTTCTATTATTATTTTTTAAACTTTTCTGTAGTTTTTTATAAAGAAGCATTATTATTTAAGAAAATAAAATTTAAGAAAATAAAATTATAGTAGAACTATATCAATTTAAGAAAATTATTTTTGAACAACGTGATAAAGTAATATTTTGGACAAATTAAAGGAAAACAAGAGAACGATTCTATTTTCTTGTTGAAAATTTTTATTTGATTTAAGTTGGAGTGGTTGACCAAAATTGCTAGAAAAGGATTGTTCAAAATTAGAACTAGATTACCCATTCAAACCCCTCTCAAAGCTATTACGTGAAAATGCTAAGTATGCATATGTTAAGCATGGTTGGAAAGTTGTTGACATTTGTTAGAAACAAAGAAAAATACAGTTGGAATCTAATTTCGGGTAATTAACAAATAAAGCAGACCTGTGTTGGACCGTGGACCCCAAAAACACGAAGTAATTATTTTAGTCAACGTATATTGAAAGAAAATTAACATTAGTATGTGAATATATATGTTAATTGTATATGTATAGTACACATGACACGCAGATATTGAAATACAAATTTGGGTTTATCTTTCTGAACAGAGGATCTAACTAACATGTATTATTGGGATATCATATCATATCCTTACCACAACTCATTATGCATAGAAGATCATCCCTATCACATCATCATCGTCTTTACATATAAACAAATCTAAATCATGTGCTTCGATATTGTCAAAGTTCAGTAAGGATTTTTGCAGTAAATGATTTAAATTAGTTCTGTGAAATCTATAATCAAAGACTTTGACAGCCAATTCAAACCGTGTAGCATATTAATATTTTTATCTTGTAGTTTGTTGATCAATTCTCCTAAGCAGTTCTCTTAACGAGACCTGGAATTGATCCATAAGACCCATGTACCCGTTTTTTCCCCTTCTTTTTTTACGAGCGTATACATATGGATCGATGGATTGTGACGAATCCAAGAAAAGAACACAAATCCAATAAAACCTAAAAAGATTAGAAAGATGGAGAACACATGTATCTCGAATCATATATAGATGGATGTGATTAAGAAAAAAGGTACCTGAACCATGCTAGAATTCAGAAGGATATATATCTCTCTAAGAAGACAAATTACGCAGAAAAGGAGGAGGAGAGATCAATGATGTCGAACTTTTTGTTTTTTTTTTGGTCAACAAAATGAAACGATGTAGAAACTAGAAAATCATATAAACCCAAAACAGCCAAACATTTTTTTCCTGTATTTTAAGTGTTTTTACATTCACCAAATAAAGTCAAAAAGAGATATAATAAGCCATCTTTCTGGTGACAAGTTGCTGACAACACATTTACTCTGGGTCAAAGAAAAAGTGGAATCTGGTGGGAAATAATAGCTTCAATTCACACATTTACTTGTCCTTCCTTCTAATAATAGCTTCAATTCACACGTTTTAGTTACTACTCTTCTTACCCTTACCAAAAAAAAAGGTTACTACTCTTCTTACTATAGTTTGTTTGAAAGGCTATCTTTATGATTATATGATTTAACTATCATTATTCTATTAAAAAAACCCAGCCAAAACACACATGACATAAGTCTTGGTTAAATCTTTGAAGCTATATACAGGTTTACTTCATATCTATGAAGTGATTCTATATCTTTTTTTCAAAACATTTTTCCAATCTCTCCGGTTCTTACTGCTTTTTGGCTACCGAATAGTTTTCTTTTTGTTAAAGGATTTGGCTACCGAATAGTTCAGTAGGTTCTTCTAAATGTAGTAGATAAGCATAGGCCACAATATCCAAATTTATCATATTTTGTTGGAAGACTATTATTACTTCTTTCTTTTTCTCTTATCAATTAAATCGAGAGATTTTGTAGTACTGTTTTTATATATGGAGGTTGGTAATTTTGTAGATTTTGGTATTTGGAGAAGCTTTTTGTATTTTTTCCCCATATACATAATACATGACACACACATATATATTAAACAAAAGTTGGATTGATATTCTTTTTTTTTTATCAAAATATTTATAGTTGAACTTGTACAGGGTAGATATAGGTACACATTAATATACATGACACATGCATATATTTAATGGATCTAAGTTGGTCAGATTTTCTTCCTACAACTCATATTATGAACGCATAAAAGATACTATACCCCCGTCTTTTCACTATCCTCATAAGTCATATCTAATCTATATGTAATGTAGATTCTTTAAATTAAGTATTAGTGTGTTTTTTTTTTATAAAACTTAATTATTAGTATTGAAATAACGGAAGAGAGAAAGCCCGAAAACTTTGCATTATTGTTGCTGCCAAAAAAAAGAGGTCAAAATCAATTTTTGTTGTTCAAGTGTTGTCAGTTGTCCTATTAGCTTGGAATTAATCCTAAGACCCCATTTACCAGCTTTTTACCTTTTGCGAACGTACACATGCAAGAACTCAGAAGGATCTATCTCTTTCCGATGCACTAGAAGACAAAGTTACGCAGAAATAGAGAGAAAAGAGGAGAAAAATAAATAAAATGATGTGTAAAAACATGGTACCTTTTTGTTGTGTTCATCTGAAGTCTGAACCATCAAATAAATCTGAAAAGGTTAAACAGTCATTCTACATTTCTGCTTTTCCCGTGTTTCTACCATTTTTGTATTTACCAGACAAAAAAAGTGTAAAAGGACGAAAGGAGAAAGAAATATAAATCGGCCTTTATGACAAGTCACTGACAAGTGACAAGCTCTTTAAATACTTTTCTGGTTGCTGTAGACTGTAGTCGGCTAAAAAGACTTCTTTTGAGATTTCATGATTAGTTTCATCATATCTACAATCATTTATCTTACTTTCCAAAAGTTATTCCCTTCCTTAAACATTCAAATATTTTTTTTGTTTTTCTAATGAAAACAGTTCTCCTCATAGTATTCTTTCCAAAAAAAATAGATATATAAATAAATTCATTTTTTTTATAAAGGATATAAAAAATAGATATATAAATAAATGCTCTATTCCAATATTACAATGAAAAATTATGTAATAAATTCTCTACTTTTTTGTCATCAAATTTGTACAGACACAGTAATACAATTATACATATATATAAGCACAGATGCGTATGAATGTCTCTGTGTAAAGCTGGAGGATAAAGTGGACTACGTTACGTAAGTTGGACAACATGCAAATTATAGGTATGCCAATCATTTGTATAAGACCATATCGTTTAGAATCAGCTAACATCAAAACTAGAAGTCTAGAAAATATAAATATATATAATTATTATAGTCTTTTTGTTGTTAAAGAAGAAGAAAACAATATTCATTTTAAAAAAAAATATTTACCAAAAGAAAAAGCTCACACAAAATATCTCTGACAAAGCTTACGTTTGTGTCTGAATTGTATAAACAATCCAAGAAAGAACAAGAAACAGAATTCTGATCAAACTCATATGTCTAAATTATCTAATACCAATTTCAGTTTTCTTCTGTATCGTATGTACATCGTTGGAATTACTAAACTATGATACTATATATGTGAAGAATTAATCATGGTATAAGTATAACAATATGCTTTTGAGATATATGTTCTAAAATCGTCTTGGACAGTGGACTAGTATTTATATAATAGGCCCAATAAGATTGGGAAATATTGCATAATAGTGTCCTAGTCGAATGTATTGTGCTCGGCTGCTAATCTCTTTGGATATTGTCAATATGCCTTTGCCTTTTTGGTATTTCAGGTTTCAAGGCATTGTACTTCGGAACTGCAGGACCGGTTATCGTAAGATATATCTCTGTCCATTCGTTAACATGTTCTCAAATGGAAGCTTCTTGATTTCTCAATTCTTGATGACCTTGTTTTTCAGATAATTTTAGCTGTGGGGACAAAGCTTCAAGCGATCATGACAAGGATGGCTCTTGGAATCACTGATAAACACGCACTCGTTCAAGGAATGCCGCTTGTACAAGGCAACGATGAGTACTTCTGGTTTAGTCGTCCTCAGTTGATTCTCCATCTCATTCATTTCGCTTTGTTTCAGGTACTTAAGAATCATAGTAATCACACCATAAGAACAACAACTAAAAGTTCTCTCTTTTTCTGATTTGATTCTTTTGTTGGTATGTTTTCTCTATTTCTTGCAGAACGCGTTTCAGATCACACATTTCTTCTGGATATGGGTAATGAACACAGCTTAGCTATCTTTTTTGTGTGCCATACATACAGAGAATGACTAATTCTCTGTTTTTTTTGTTTTGTTTTCCATCAGTATACCTTTGGAAAAGATTCTTGCTACCATCCTAACTTCAAGATTGCTCTTGTGAAAGTAGCTATCGCGTAAGAAATCTCGAATCTCAGAGATGTTACAAGATCACTGAATTTGTCTGCACAAAGAAATGATCTTGTTTCCTTTTCTTGTCTCTCTTGCAGAGTAGGAGTCTTGTGTCTTTGCAGCTACGTCACACTTCCGCTTTACGCACTCGTCACTCAGGTAACTTTCCTTTGTTCATAATCTAAAAGAAAATGGTGTATTCCGGTTTGAGCTCGAAACTGAGAGATCTGCTTAAACCAGATGGGTTCACGGATGAAAAAGTCGGTGTTCGACGAACAAACTTCAAGAGCGCTAAAGAAATGGAGGATGGCGGTGAAGAGGAAGAAAGGAGGGAAGTCTAGCACCACCAAGAGACTAGGTGGAGATGGAAGCGTGAGCCCTACGGTATCATCAACGGTTAGGTCTTCTTCTTTGTAACATCGGATCTTAACACGGACAGAAGCTTTGATTATATGTTCTCCATGATTATATGAGAGAAATTTGTAACAAAAAAGCTTGTAGCCAATATGTAATACAAGAAAAGAATTTGTACTTTGTCACTTGGTCGTTCTTTACATGTGGTTCCCAGAAAATCAACACAACTGTAATTTGTAATTTGTAACCAACACAACACATGTCGTTCTTTACACTATAGTCGTTCTTTGTAATTTATAATTTGTACTTTGGCTTGTCATTGCGTGTGCAGCGTTTGCTATCCCCAATAATGTCCGTCTACCAAACAAAAAAGAAAGTAAATGAAACTTAAACACAAGCTATGAAACTTAAACACAAGAGAAGATTGCCGTGTTGACAACGGTGAATGGTTTTGCACTTTCAAGGTCCGCCCGACAGATTCCGTTTTTAGGTGTTTCGAACTTTTGGAGGACTTCTACCGAAGGCTTTATGAAAAATTGCATGGTTTCAATCACCTTGAGATTTGAAACAAAAACTGCCCCAAATTCAATGATCTCTTCTTGCCTCTCGGACCATTCAAGGTCGAAAAAGATGAGCTTAGTTTCTTCTTTATCTTCATCTTTTTCTTCTTCAACCTCAACCCGTTTTTTATCTTCATCTTCCAGCGACCACGTTGTGTCTAATAAACATGGTATCTCATGTATCTTATGCACAAGTCTACACATTTCCTCCAAAACCCTGTCTTTTCCTTTACTGTTAATACATTCTTCTTGTCTTCAGTTGCACCGAGGAGTTTTGTCGTTTGATTCAAATCTTTTATATACTAGTGTTAATTCTTTTCTTAATTTCAATATAATTTTCTAATATGTCTTCTGGAGAATTTTTTTATTTATCCAATACCAGTTTCAGTTTTCTTCTCGTTGGAATTACTAAACTATGATAGAATCGATTCTTGCTAATGGTCCAATTCACGGGAGTCTACTAGTACTTTATATCTATGATCTAAATTATTTATGTCAGCAGCTGATATATCCATTTTATATATATATAAACTTATAAAATCATGATAGTCAAATCACGATCAGATCACATTTAATGCATTCAAATTAATATCGCAGTTTCACAAATAAATGTGAACATATCAACATTCGAACTGTGATCCACTCTGCTCGGTCACTTTTTTTGTGTGAATTTGCTATGTACTATGTAGTAACGAAATAGGAAAATAATTTGTAAAAATACGTACTTTTCAATACACTAATTTGATGAATACGCAGTTTTCAGATGCCATCCATCGATTTTGCAAATAGAGTTACAAATCATCGTCATTTAATAGTCTAACTGACTCACTCAGATATATATCTATCTCACTGACCTGCTTAGTCGAATTATTCTATTATTGAACGAGGACGTAATTATTAACATGCAAATATTATCTGGGTGTTAGGTGAAGAAAGACAAAAGCAACATTGCCGTTCTTGATTTTATTGTATTTTTTATTTGATATCATAAGATTACTTTAGTGTCTCTCTATCGGCTTGTATGACAGACATCCACTAGTAACCACTATATAAATAAATCATTTTTGTGTGTGTGAAAAGTAACTATAACTGCTTTTGTGATATTTCGTTCAAACCGAGTAGGAGATCGCTACTGTTAGAAAGAGGCTTTAGATTTTGTTAAATTAAATAAGAAAAAGAATCCCAATACATGATGAAGATTTACGTTGTAGATAGAATGTGAAATCAAATTAGAAAGCCAAAACTAAAATAAAGCATCGAAAACGAAAATTTATTTAAAAAGAAATACCACTGGTCTTTTCTCAGTCTACCTTTTATGCTCCAAGGAGGCAAGGAGAGCCAAATACTAATATTCTGAGTAGCAAGAATATACAATTTTAAAACCAAAAAAAAAAAAAAGAATATACAATTTGGCACCTAAAATGAAACAAAATACAGTAACTAGTAGTAGTAAGAAACTGTGATAAAATCTACAGAATTAAATTAATTACCAACCGTTTTTTTCTTCTTCCAAAGCTTAACCTTGAAGATTAGAGTGAAGATATCAATTGAATAAGAAACTTAATTAAACAAAATACAGTAATACTATTTATAGTTTTTTTTTCTCTTTCAATAAGTAGACTTAAATGATATAACTAGTAATAGTAAGAAAGTGTGATAAAATCTAAGGAATTAAATTAATTACCAACCCCTTTTTCCTTCTTCTAAAGTTTTAACTTTAAAGATTAGAGTGAAGATATCAATCAAATAAGAAACTTAATTAAACTTAATTAATCGAATAATTAAACTTAATTTCCTTTGATATTCAGTTATAATTTTGCGAATCCAAAGTTACCGAATTTAGCTAGATATTGTCATATTGAAATACAAAATTAGTAGTTTATGGAAAATGTCGTCTCCTTTCAAATTCAAGAATTGATCTTTACTTAGGGTCAAAGAATGTAAAAGACAGGAGGAGGCAAGGCAATCACAGATTCACAGTTTCTCAATCAAAGCCACATTTCACTGCTTTTTCAACTTAAGAAAATCACAACTTCACGCGCTTTAACTTAATCTCTCTCTCTCTCTCTCCTCTTTCTTCCTCTGCCTAAAACCAATAAATATGATTAATTAAGCAGTTAAAACTTAAGACCAATCTCACTCTTTAACAAAATCTACAATTTCCGTAGAAAGATTCAAGCTTTTTTTTTCATCCTCCATTGATTTGGGTTTCTCCAAATAGGTAGAAAGTCTGAGACTTTAGCAACCGCGTGAAGCACCAAATCCTACTTTGATAGTTTTCCGCAATTGTGAGAGGATTTGAAGACAGCTCATCACTCTTGTCAACTTCTACTACAAATTAAGTAGCGAGCACATACACAAACCCAGCAACTTGGTCTGAAAAAAAACGCGGAGTTATGCGGATCGACTGTTCTTTGCTCCGGCGGCTGATTTGTCTCGGTGTCTGGTGTTTGCTCGGTGGAGGAGAGACGGTGGTTGTGGCGGAGGATGAGAGGAAAGTGATACATAGAGAGCTTAATCAGACTCCCACTTGGGCTGTTGCTGCTGTCTGTACTTTCTTCATCGTCGTCTCTGTTCTTCTCGAAAAATTGCTTCACAAAGTTGGAACGGTGTGATTTTTTTCCTTCTTCTCTGCAAATTCTCTTTGTTCTTTTGGTTTTGTGTTCAAATTTTGAGGCTTTAATGGAAATGGGTTCTCTTTGATTCGAGAAAGTAACTGTCTTTGTCTTTCAGATTTTGGGTTTATGTTCATATTTTTGGAAATTGGCTACTTGTCTTGAAGTGAATTTGTTTAATGATTTAGATTCTATGGGATCGGCACAAGAGAGCTCTTCTCGATGCTTTGGAGAAGATCAAATCAGGTGAAAATGAAATTGCTTTTATTTACTTTCTCCATTTCTGTTCTTGTTTAAAATTTGGAAATTTCATATGAATAGTTTCCTCTGTGTTGTGTTGCAGAGCTGATGGTTCTTGGATTCATCTCTCTGCTTCTAACATTTGGACAAAGCTACATTTTGATGATTTGTGTCCCTCCGAGTGTTGCTCGTACGATGCTCCCATGTCCTGTTCATGAAGCCTTAAAAAAGGAAGACGATGAGAAAGAGGACAGTCACAGGAAACTCTTGTGGTTTGAGCACAGATTCTTAGAAGGAGGGGAAGCATCTCCCACAAAGTGCAAAGACGTGAGAGTTTATGTTTTCTCATTGAATCACACATATTGTTCTTCTAGTTCCAAGCATTGAATGTGTGTAGCTGAGAGACTATGTTATGTTTTTGATTGTGTGTAGGGTCGTGTAGGGCTTATCTCTGCGGAGGCGCTACATCAGTTGCACATACTCATATTCTTCTTAGCCATTTTCCACGTTCTTTACAGCTTCTTGACCATGATGCTTGGGAGGTTAAAGGTACTTACAAAACCGTTTCCAGTTTCTCAGCTTAGTTTTAAGAAATCTTGATTGTATAAAGAAGGGGAGTCTTTTCAGATCCGTGGATGGAAGCATTGGGAGAGCGAGACATCATCCCATCATTACGAGTTTTCAACAGGTACTTATGCAATCTGAAATGTACATATTTTGTAGTCTCTTATCTTTTTTGTGGTGTCTTGAGCTCTGTGTGTTGCTTACAGATACTTCAAGATTTAGGCTAACTCATGAAACCTCTTTCGTAAGAGCGCACACTAGTTTCTGGACTCGGATTCCAGTCTTTTTCTATATTGTAAGAATCATCACCCATCCCCCTCTTGCTTCTTCTTCTCTCTTCTTAGTCAACCACACATATCAAAAAAACAGTTGGGAACAGTTCGTGATCTTGTTCTCACTTTAATGCGTTTCAGGGATGTTTCTTTAGACAGTTTTTCAGATCCGTTGGAAAAACTGACTACTTGACATTGCGAAACGGATTCATCGCTGTGAGACTTTCAAACTTACTGTCCATTTACCGATCGATCAAGAATTATACTGTTCATTTAGCTGAGTCTCTTTTTGTGGTTGGTTTATGAAGGTGCATCTAGCTCCAGGAAGTCAATTCAACTTCCAAAAATACATAAAAAGATCCTTAGAGGATGATTTCAAGGTGGTAGTTGGAGTCAGGTACCTAACAACACTTCCTACAAGTAATTTGTTTGGTTCTTTTATGTCTAATGCATCATTTTGACACAACATGTTTGCTAATGTACGCAGCCCGGTCTTGTGGGCATCTTTTGTTCTCTTCCTCCTCCTATGTGTTGATGGTAATAAGAATCTGAATGTATAGAAGAAGATTCTTTAAGTGGTGACTCTGTTCTAATATGCCTTTGCTTTTGGCATTTCAGGTTTCAAGGCATTGTACTTTGCAACTGCAGGACCGGTTATTGTAAGATATCTTTCTCTTTATTCATTAACATGTTCTCAACATAGAAGCTTCTTAATGAACTTGATCTTCAGATAATTTTAGCTGTGGGGACAAAGCTTCAAGCGATCATGACGAGGATGGCTCTAGGAATCACTGATAAACACGCAGTCGTTCAAGGAATGCCTCTTGTACAAGGCAACGATGAGTATTTCTGGTTTCGTCGTCCTCAGTTGATTCTCCATCTCATTCATTTCGCTTTGTTTCAGGTACTTAAGAATCATAGTAATCACACTACACAACAACAAACCACAAGTTCTTTCTTTTTCTGATTTGATTCTTTTGTTGGAATGTTTTCTCTTTTGCTTGCAGAACGCGTTTCAGATCACATATTTCTTCTGGATATGGGTAATGAACACAGCTTAGCTATCTTTTTTTGTGTGCCATACATACAGAGAATGACTAATCCTCTGTTTTTTTTGTGTGTGTTTTCCATCAGTATACCTTTGGAAAAGATTCTTGCTACCATCCTAACTTCAAGCTTGCTATTGTGAAAGTAGCTATTGCGTAAGAAGCTCCAATCTCAGAGATGTTACAAGATTACATGAATTTGTCTGCACAAAGAAATGATCTTGTTTCCTTTTCTTGTCTCTCTTGCAGAGTTGGAGTCTTGTGTCTTTGCAGCTACATCACACTTCCACTTTACGCACTCGTAACTCAGGTAGCTTTCCTTTGTTCACAATCTAAAAGAAAATGGTGTATTCCGGTTTGAGTTTAAAACTGAGAGATCTGCATGCTTAAACCAGATGGGTTCACGGATGAAAAAGTCGGTATTCGACGAGCAAACTTCCAAAGCGCTGAAGAAATGGAGGATGGCGGTGAAGAAGAAGAAAGCAGGGAAGTCAAGCACCACCAGGAGACTAGGTGGAGATGGAAGCGTGAGCCCTACGGCATCATCAACGATTAGGTCTTCTCCTTTATCCGTAAGGTCATTGCAGCGTTCTAAAACCACGGGACCTTCCATGAGATACGAAGGACTTGATCCTGAAACATCAGATCTTGACACGGACAACGAAGCTTTGACTCCTCCCAAATCTCCAATCGCTGAGAATCCTGAGATTGTTGTGAAAGTTGAGCCAAATAAGCTAGAGACCAAGACCGGTGGTGAGACTAGCCGGCGTGACAGTGAAACTGATTCCAAAGAGTTCTCTTTTGTCAAGCCTGCACCGAGCAAAGAACCATCACAAGACCGTTGAGACTAGCCTTGTAGCCTGCACCGAGTTAAGAATAGTCAGTGGAGAGTTTATTTTAAATTTTTTTATCCAATGCTTTTGTAAATCAGTGCCGTGGTGAAGAAGGAAAGTATTAAGGATCATATTAATTAAGTTTAAGGTTTTGTTGTTGCTTCAATTGTCAAATTCTTTTCAAGTTGTTTAGTGGTTATGAGCAAGTCTCTCGATGACTTTTTTGTAGTTACGCAAAAGCTAAAAGCCTAAAACAATACATTGGACACAAGTAAGCAAGTAGACGACATGGCTCGGACTAGCCAAATATTTTTTTTCATTTTTGATATGTTTCGTTAACAAGTAACCTTATTGCGATATTTTTTTGCTGATTTTATCTTTTGATTCTTTTGTTGTTGTTGACTTTTATTGCCCCTAATACTCCTGAATGCTAAAGAAAAGGTTTAATTCCACCAAAATTCATTGAAAAAGGGAAAAAAAAAAACGTAGGAGATAAAAGTGACGAAAAACCTCAAGTTAGGGTGGGTAGGATTGACCGTAGAAGAATGGTGAGCGAGCGGTAGATGTAACAAATTGTAACGCTTTTAAAAATGTCACATTCACATTCACGAGAGTCTCACAAACCATGAAACTGCTCTTTTGATGTTTCCCTAAAACTATCTATACGTGGATACAAGATACGCACGTATTTAATCACCGCTTTGTTATTGGTCCATTTGTAGGTCCACAAAGGCACAAAGTCCTTTCTCTTTATTATGCGCCAAAAGGAACAAATAAGCAAAATTCAATAACTTGAAATTATAAGGTATATATATATATATATATATATATATATATGCATTAATGGGAAGAAAGTAAATGCAACGTACGTACCAAGTTAATCATATGACCAAAAATCTCTTCCTATTTATTAAGACAACAACAAGAGTAATCTCTTGGTGGTTGGTTATTAAGGAGAAATGGGGTCATTTCCATTGCAAAGCAGAGAGAGGCTTCTCTCGGGGAGAAGACGTTCAGATTTCGGCTTCAATGATGATGACTCAAGCTGGTGTTTCCGCTGGCTCACAAAACTGTACGAGATGAGACATTCTGATCGTCGGAAGCTCTTCTTCGCCGTCAAGATGGGAATGGCTCTCTCCCTAAGCTCATTCGTCATCTTCCTCAAAGAACCGTTGCACGATGCTAGTAAATTCTCTGTGTGGGCCATCCTTACTGTCGTCGTGGTTTTTGAGTACTCTGTAGGTATTTTATCCGTTCTCGGTTTTTTTTAAGGTTGATTCCATTTGGAGGAAATTGTTTGTTGTTTGATTGGATTTTACTCGAGGGCTTGAGCTCATGAACTGATTTGATCGTTACTCTGTGCTAATTTTAACATGCTTAATATTTCTGATAAATTCATAAATATAAACTCAGCATATAGACGAACCAACAAAAACACACACTTGGATAACCATAAATTATAATTTCAGAAATTATAAATTTAATCCTATGTAATTAGAAAGAAAATGTTTTTGTATTTTGTATGTTTTAATGTAATTTAAGTTTGGGCAATTCTCCAAAATGGACTAAAAAGAGTTGGTATTTCTAAATTGTTACTCGTAAGTATTTTTTTTGGGACTAAAATGAACATTCAAAACTTTTTTGAACACTGTTTAAGTGTTTTATAGTCATCTCCTTAACTCATGTGTAATTCGCAGGAGCAACTCTGGTCAAAGGATTCAACAGAGCTATAGGCACATTCTCTGCTGGGGGACTTGCAGTAGGCATTGCGAGGTTCTCTGTTTTATCAGGAGACTTCAAGCAACTCATCATCATCATATGCATTTTCCTTGCAGGTTGCCGCATTTCCTTGACTCCCTAGGTTTTTTAATATAGATAGTAACATGTTCTCTTTGCCTTTTATCTATCAGGTTTCAGTGCTAGCTATTTGAAACTCCACCCGGCCATGAAGCCATATGAATATGCATTCAGAGTGTTCTTGTTGACATATTGCATCGTTTTGGTTTCGGGGAACAAAACCGGAGATTTCTTCAGCACTGCGTATTACAGGTTTTTGTTTATTGCGCTTGGTGCAACAATATGTTTGATTATGAATATATTCGTATTTCCAACATGGTCCGGGGAAGATCTCCATAAACTGGTGGCTACAAATTTCAAGAGTGTTGCAAATTCTCTAGAAGGTAAAATTTAAACAAACATATATGTATATAACATGACATTTTATTGTGGTGTCCCTTGACTGGTTTCAAGTTTTGCTTTATCCTTAAACATTTTAGGATGTGTTAATGGTTACTTGCAATGTGTGGAATATGAGAGAGTTCCCTCCAAGATTCTCACGTACCAAGCTTCAGATGATCCATTATACAACGGGTATAGATCCGTTGTTCAATCTACAAGTGAAGAAGATTCTCTGGTATGTTGGTATAGTTGAGATCAACAAGCTAAAAAATGAATTTGGATGATATTATGTTTATTAGCATTAAGACCTCCTTTTTTTCTTGCAGCTTGATTTTGCCATATGGGAGCCTCCACATGGACCTTACAAAACATTTAACCATCCATGGAAAAACTATGTCAAACTTAGTGGTGCCCTAAGGCATTGTGCTTTCACGGTCATGGCAATGCATGGTTGCATACTTTCAGAGATACAAGTACGTTCCTTATTTAATGAAACTGTTTTTGTTTGGTATGGTTCGGCTTTTTTGTTTGTATTATGGTTTGGTGTAAATTAGATTGAATGTTATGAGGTAATGAGCTTTGTGGTTTTGGCAGGCAGCTCCAGAGAAACGACAAGCTTTCCGTCACGAGATTCAAAGAGTTGGCAATGAAGGAGCAAAAGTTCTTCGTTTGATAGGAGAAAAGGTGGAGAAAATGGAGAAGCTAAGCCTTGGAGAGATTCTAAAGGACGTTCGACGTGCAGCAGAGGAACTTCAGACGAAAATAGACACTAAATCATATCTTCTTGTAAATTCAGAAAGCTGGGCGGCTATTAAAGATCAGCAAGCTGAAGCTGAAGAAGCTCAAGAAAACGATCACGACGAGGCCAAAGTGATCAAATCCTTAAGTCAGATTTGGGATACAAACAGTAGCAACAATCAGAATCCAGCCAGTGGTATATGGATATCAACAGAGAGTATGATGTTAAGGAATCGTGAGACGTGGCCAAGTGTGTCATTCATTGGTGGTTCTGTGGTGAATGAGATAGAATGTAAAGTATACGAAAGCGCAAGTTCTTTGTCTCTAGCTACGTTTGCTTCTCTTCTGATTGAGTTTGTTGCAAGGCTGCAAAATCTTGTGAATGCCTTTGAGGAGCTTAGCACAAAAGCAGAATTTAAAGATCCGGTTTCTCTTAACGTAGTTGATCAAAGTGGGGTTATGGACAAGACTCAAGAGATGCTTTAGCGTTTAGCACAAATGTGTAAATGTTATCTGATTTTAGGTTTACAAAAACCTTAACTAAGTTGAATGTTCATATGCGTTTCATCTTCTATTTGATCACCTAACTCGTTATTAATTAACTTCCATCATCAAAAATATTTTAAACTTCAAATTTCAGTATTATGAGAGGGAAAGCTACGAAATTTTCGGTTTGCTTTATCCTTTATGTATTTGGGAATTGGTTAATGACCATTATCTACAATTATAATTGGTGTTAAATAATTGAGATAGGTGATGGATAAGTTATGCCCAGCGGGAAGCACATGGGACATAAAATATCATATCATTTGATATCTTAAAGATGATAAAAGGTTTCCTTACAAAATCCTTGTGATTGGTACTTCACAGATAACTTAAAACTAAAAGGCGTAATTCGCTTTAAACAGAGCCAAAAAGAAATCAGAAAATTATAAAAGTCGAAGAGACAGACAAGCACATGTGCACCATTTTGTCATAACTCAGTAGGTTTTGTTATTACTTTTGGAATACTATATAAGTCATCAGATAATTACTGCAGTTGTTAATTATAAGATCGAATTTGTGAACTGAGAGCGCTTTAATCTTTTATTTCTTAAGAATACTAAAATCAAAATCAAGATTAGTTTCACTGAACAAGAAATTACAACTGCAAATGTTCTCTAAGCAACTGAATTAACTCCGATAGCCCTTTAAAGCATAAGTGCATAACTACCATGTTTGGTTCTATACTTCTATGTCCAGATACATAAAGAGAACTCATACATAAACATACTCTACTACCCAAAGCCAAAGCCAAAAACAAAAACTTTGCTCCAAACGATTTGTTTATATATCCATTATTGGCTTACCTTTACATTTAAAAAAAAAAAAATTAAAGTCGAATTCACATGTCTGGCGACTGGCATTCAGGCAAAGAAACGTTTTTAAAAAAGCATTCAGGTAAAGAGATTCCATTTCTAGTGTCTTTATTCTTCAAGTTCTACTATTTTTATCATAAAAAAAAAAATGACTTAAACCAAGTTAAAGTTGTACTTCTTTTCCTAATTGGGTGTAATAAGAGAGGCAGAGAGGGAAACATTATCTGTTATAAACAAGTGACATCATATTTTTTTCTAACAGTACTACAATAGACAGAAATTTAATTTTCATTTTGTATGTTAAAAATTGATACAATTTCGAAGAGCACTAACATAATTTATCATATGTTTTAGAAAGAGATCAAACCAGTATTATACTATTATGATCCATTTTTGTTATGAAGCCGAAACAGAGAGGGTTAAAGCCCAACTGATGACAAACTTTCTAGTTTAAGAAAATGTTTTCTACGTAATTAGTTGATAGATAGTAGACTTCAGTGAGGTTAAGGTGTAAACCTCATACGTAAATTGACGAACATCAAAAAAGTATATACTATATAGACGTCTACCTAACGATTATTCAATTCCTAAGAACATCACCAAATACATTACGTGTCAAATTGTATTCTATAATTTCGATATAAATATACGTATGTCTACCAAATGTTTTGACACGTACGTGAATCGACTTTTAAAGATTCTGATTTTGTTAATAGATAGTCCAGATCCCACCTAGGCTATACAAAAACTGCAAGATCCAAAATATATTAGTAGGAGACAATTTACAGAAACAACAATTGCATTAGAACCAAAATGTGAGTTTCGAGGTTCTAGCATCCAAATTATCTCGTTTACCAGTAAAATGGTCGGTTAAACTGATAAATGTTCTTGTCAGAAGACATACCGCAATGAGGCAAGAACCAAAAGTGGCCGGTGTTATTAACAACCATTTCCACAAAATTGATCTCGACTCTCATTTGTCTTTTTCCTTCCATCTCATTTTAGAGAATTTATATTAATTCTAAGAGAATAATACAATGTAAAAGAACAAGTCTACTTTATCGAAAAGAAAAGGAACAAGTTTAATCGAAAGTAGGTTTAGCCGTTTAGGTAAGAGAGGAGCTTACTTATACCTTTTGGTAATGTCTTCTGTTCGTCAAAAACTGAAACTATAAACACCCACCTACCCATCTTTTCTTTTCATATAATTTTACTCCAAGTTTTATTCGAATTTGAAATAACTATAAATATTAAAATATCTCTCACTGTCTGAAAATTGATAATGAAGTGTGTTTACTGTTTTCTATACACATTTTTTAACTAACACCAATTTCTTATACGGATAATGAATTGAAAAAAGTCGTTGTAATCTCAACATAAATTGACTAGTCATAAAGAGATTTTATTTTTGAAAAATACCATTTTGATAAATAAAAAATTATAGTTGGGTTATCATCAAAGAGGTTGGAGATAGTTAGATGCATCTTCTTTAAGAGCAAAATGTTTGTTTTAAAAGCAATTAACAGAATATGTGTCCACACGAAACAACAATACTCTAATTAGGAAGATGCAATTTGCATGTAAACACTATTTCAGCCATTAATTTTGGAAATTAAATTAGCATCTAATTTTGTTTCTCCTTTTTCTTGCCAGCGTCTAATTTTGTTTCTCTTCATCCAAACTTTCTGTCTGTATATATGGATTTGTTTTATTTTTTAAATATGTTATAAACTCTTTTTTTAAATATGTTATAAACTCTTTATATTATGCAATTATGCAAATACTATTATAAAAGCATATATAGATGTATCTATGTAAGTATCTTTGTGTGTCTCTATTATAACGTGGATCAAGAATCAAGATTCTTTCTTATCTTCATCACTCTCACATTCTTTTGTCTTCAAACTCACACAAACGAAAGAATAAAAAAAACACCAAAGCTCAAAAATGACTCGACCGTCAAGATTACTCGAGACGGCAGCGCCACCACAACCGTCCGAGCAGATGCTCGCGGCGGAATCCGACATGGTTGTGATCTTGTCGGCTCTTCTCTGCGCTCTCATATGTGTAGCTGGCCTTGCCGCCGTCCTACGCTGTGCTTGGCTCCGACGGTTTACAACCGGAGGAGATACGCCGTCGCCGAACAAAGGCTTGAAGAAGAAAGCTCTACAGTCTCTACCAAGATCCACTTTCACCGCCGCTGAGTCAACATCCGGCGCCGCCGCTGATGAAGCCGGAGGAGAGTCAACTGAATGCGCGATTTGTCTCACTGACTTCGCCGACGGCGAAGAAATCAGAGTCCTTCCTCTCTGTGGTCATTCGTTCCACGTGGCGTGTATTGACAAATGGCTTGCTTCTAGGTCTTCGTGTCCTTCTTGTCGCCGGATTCTTACGCCGGTGAGATGTGACCGGTGCGGTCACGCTTCCACGGCGGGGAGTCAAATGAAAGATCATCAACATCACCAACAACACTCTTCTTCGCAGCTCACTTCCTCTATTCCTACGTTTCTTCCTTAACACTTAATTTTTCTTACTACTCGGAAATAATTAATTCAAAAAGTATGTAAAGTGAGTCTAATTAGGAAATTAGATCTTTAATGTTTTTTTTTTTACTCCCTCTTCTTTTTTCTTGTAATCCACACTGTGTTTAAATCAATCAGATGGAGTTCAAAGTTCGAGATGATTATAATTTAGGATCTCTAGAAAAAAATAGATTTTACGAATAAATAGATATATTGATTAGACAGCAAATAGAGTCGGCCATGTGAGCTTATCTGAGCAAAAACCCATGTCTCCTCGGTCCCTCCGAATTTACTAAATTTATTCTTTTGTTTTTTCTTACTTATGGTTATGGATAAATCGTTTACTGACTTCTGCAATAACAAAATTGTGTGTATTATCAAATGTTTTTGTTTTGTTTTTGTAAACGTGAGTAAAATTTTGAAAAGGTGTATAATCAACTGTTGACGTATATCTGGTTGTAAGTTGTAATAATTATGGAGGTAACAAATGGATACATTAAGTCCATTAAACTAATGAAACATTTTTCTCATCGGTTTCTCTTGAAAGACTTGAAGAAGATCAGAAGAAAAAGTGGAAAAGTGATAGAAGAAGCAAGAGACAATAGAGAATGGAGATAGATCTTATCGATTTCAGTCGAGAAATTACATCAAACATTTTGAAAATGAAAACGTTAATTATTTTCGAAAAACAAAAATACCAAACCGAATTAAATCGAAGTCAAATAATCCCCCAAACGAACCGAATCAAACCCGGTTTTCGTTCTTTGGTTATTGAAACTCGAAGGAGTTCATCACTGGTTTCGCTCGCCCTCATAAAAAGCCCAATAACTGGCCCAATAGGTCCCAAATAAATCCTCTCGACCTAACCCTTATTGTGCTTATCGAACAACCTTATCTCTTTGCCTTTCTGCTTTTTTTCCACCAAAGATCGGATCTGCAAAAAGATCAGATCCAATTAGCCTCTCGAATTCTCAAAGCCCAATTTTCCTCTCTTTCGATCCGCCCGATTCCCTCCGATCCGTTCGAATTTTCTTCGATCCGTTCGATTCCTCCGTCTCCACCGCGCCGGAGATTCCCCTCCGCCACCGTTCCCTTTCAAAATTAAAAAAAAAACAGCCGAAGAGAAGATGGAAACAGCAATTGAGGTCTACAACGACGTCGAGATGCGATCGCCAGAGACGCAGCCGATCAAGCGACGGAAGAAGAAGTCGATGGTGTGGGAACACTTCACAATTGCCACCGTAGAGCCTGATCTCAGAAGAGCTTTCTGCAAAGGCTGTAACCAGAGCTTCGCTTACAGCAACGGCACCAAAGTCGCCGGCACTAGCCACCTCAAGCGTCACATAGCTAAAGGTACTTGTCCTGCTCTCGTCCATGCTCATGCTCAAGAGAACGAAAACAACACGACGACTCCGACTCCGTACACTCCCAAGGGTGATTACACACCGAGAAGACGCTACCGAACGCAGAGCAATAGTGCTTACGTTTCGATTGATCAGGAGAAGTGTCGTCATCAGATCGCGAAGATGATCATCCTCCATGACTATCCTCTTCACATGGTCGAGCATCCTGGTTTCGCCTCTTTCGTGGAGAGTCTCCAGCCTCGATTCGACTCTGTGAGCTTCAACAATGTTCAAGGAGACTGTGTGGCGACTTACCTCGCGGAGAAGCAGAACGTTATCAAGTCGTTACAATTGATTCCGGGACGGATCTGTCTCACGCTCGACTTCTGGACGTCGAAGCTGACTCTCGGGTATGTGTTTGTGACTGGTCATTTCATTGATAGCGATTGGAAGATACAGAGGAAGCTTCTCAATGTTTTGATGGAATCGTACCCTGAATCTGATGAAGCTTTGAGCAATGCTGTTGCGAATTGTGTATCTGAATGGGGTCTTGAAGGGAAGCTGTTCTCTGTTGCCTTCAACCATTCGGCGAGTAAAGCCGCGGTTGAGAAAATCAGACCTCAAATCTGCATCAAGAACCCTGGGATTCTTGATGGTCAGTTGGTGATTGGGAACTGCGTTGCTCGAACGTTCAGTGGCCTCGCTAAGGAAGTTCTTGAGAAAGGTAAAGATGTGATCAACAAGATCAGGGACAGTGTGAAGCATGTGAAGACTTCAGAGAATCATGAGGATAGGTTTGTTGAGCTCAAGGAGCAGCTTCAAGTTCCGAGCGATAAGGTGCTTTCTCTTGATGATCAGACGCAATGGAACACAACGTATAAGATGCTCGTGGCTGCTTCGGAATTGAAGGAAGTGTTTTATTGCTTGGAGACTTCTGACCCTGACTACAAGCATCCTCCTTTAGCTGATAACTGGAGGCAGGTGGAGGCACTTTGCACATTCCTGAAGCCTCTTTACGAAGCTGCCTCTACTCTCCAGTCTACTGAAAACCCATCCGCGGTTACCTTCTTCCATGAAGTGTGGAAGACACAGTCGGATCTGTCTCGGGCGATAGGTGGAGAGGATCCTTACGTTGCGGGTATTGCTAAAACCATGAAAGAGAAGGTTGACAAGTACTGGAGAGACTGTAGCTTGGTTTTGGCGATGGCGGTGGTGATGGATCCTCGGTTCAAGATGAAGCTCGTTGAGTTCAGTTTCTCCAAGATATTCGGAGAAGACGCAGGGAAGAACATCAAGACTGTGGACGATGGGATCCACGAGCTCTTCAGCGAGTACATGGCGGTCCTGTTGCCGCTGAATCCGGCATCCGACGGAGGGAAAGCAGACGGGCTGTCGGATTTCGACACGTACATCATGGAGACGACGGGGCAGAATCTGAAATCGGAGCTTGACCAGTACCTCGATGAAACGCTGCTTCCTCGAGTTCAGGAGTTTGACGTGCTCGACTGGTGGAAACAGAACAAGCTCAAGTTCCCGACCTTGTCGAAGATGGCTAGAGACATCCTCTCGGTCCCGGTCTCGGCTGCAGCTTTTGTTGACCATGTATTTGACATGGAACCGAGGGAGATGGATGAGTACAAGACGTCGCTGAGGCCTGAGACTGTGGAGGCTCTGATTTGCGCCAGGGAATGGCTTCTTGAGAGCGGTGGTGCTTCTTCTTCTTCTTCTTCTGCGGCTGCTGTCAAAGCTGAAGCGTAAGTGGGGGACTCGGCTGGTTCCTTGTCTCTTACCTTTGTTGTTTTCTAGTAGTTATATCTCTCGTGTGACTTGTGTGGTGTGGTTTGGTTAGTTCTTAAACTCTCATTGTGTGATTTGCAATTAGGAATTTGGCGCTTTAAATACCTATCTACTGCGTATTTTCAAAAAAATCTGAACTCGAATCTGAACTAAAGCCCGAACTAACAAATACGGAAGTAGAATTGAATTACATTAAAGTGACATACCAATTGTGTCAATCATTTTCTTCTTCCTGGGCCTTTCCAACAAACGCGACCCAACCAAACCGAATTAAATCGAAGTCAATAATCCACAAACTGGACCAAACCCGGTTTTCTTCTTTGGTTATTGGAAACTTTAAAGGCTGTTTTTGCTTCTTCCCCATTTCACTCCACACTGTCTCTACTCAAAATCGAAACCGAAGACGACAAATCGTCAAATCTCTCGCACAGGACTTCTTTTCTAGGTCTGCTCGTTTTCCTTTCTACAGTCAATTCCTTTTCTTCCTCTCCGTCCGATTTTGTTTGTAGGTTTTCTGCTGCTCGATTTTGTTCTTTAGTGTCGTTTTCCTCTGCAGAGTCCTTTTAAACCGATAATATCGCTAAATGTTTGAAGATTCCTGGCTTTTTCCGCTAAATCCATGAGAGTGAATTTAGTTCTGGCTTCAAAATCTGTCTTTGTTATCATCAAGCTAACTTTATGTTGTTATCATTTAGCTAACTTTTTTTTAATACTCCCATTTCCATGTATATTTTTGAAGAACAAAAGCCATCCCTGAAATTTCTATGTTTCAGAGGATCAAGAACATCATGAGACTCTTCCTCGGCTCCAATCTCTTAAAGGTAACACACTCGCCTGTTTCTTTTATTCATCTTCATAAAACCATCGACTTTGACTGAGATTTAGAGAAATTGTTTTTTTGACAGAAGGGAGTAACCTGGGGATTTTTCAAGGGATCAATAATATTTGCTCTTGGATTCCACACAAGTATGTGACTCTAAAGGATCTTCGGGGTCACTGATTATAGTTTATGATTTGTAGCTGTTATTTGGCATTTTAGGGGAAAAAGCTTGATCAATGTGTGTATTTGTCTTTCCTATCAGATCGTGCTTTAAACCCCAATTTAGGAACAGTGATTAAAGAAGCCGAACAGGTAAGCAAGAAATGGTGTTTTTGAAAGGATACAGCAGTTAACAGCTGAATTTCCTAATTGTCTATCTCTGTTTTTCTTTCGTTCTTTCTCATGTTTCAGTCGTTGGATGAAGCCATGTCCTTATCAGATGTAAGCAAGAAGTGGTGTTATACATGTAGAGTCATTTGATTTGGAAAAGACAATAGTTAGATATTGGTTGGCCTCTTCTCTTGTTTCAGGAGTGCGATGCTCGCATAGCCAAGCTTAAAGAAACTCGAAAGTTAATGGTCCATCTAATGCAGGTAAAAGCAAGAAAAAATGGTTTTCTTGATGCATCTAAATGTTTGATCATGTGATAAGGACATTAACATAGTTAAGCTTGATGTGCAATGTCTTCCTTCTCGTGTGTGTTTCAGTTGTATGATGCTCGAATGGCTGAGTTGGAAGAAGTTAAAAAAGCAAATGGACGATAGACTATGGAAACGTGGTGTTGTGGATCGCAATCAAGAAATGGATCAGAAGAAACCATTAAGGCAGAAACTGATATCTTTTAGAAACTAAAGGATTCTGATGATGATGATGATCTGATCTTATTTAGCTCTTTAACTTTTGAGTTGTGTTAGTAAATTAGTAGTGCTCAGATTTAAATCCTTGACTATGTATCAACTTTTGGGTGACATTATCTGAAATGGGCTCTCATATTTAAATTAGTATGCATTGTCAATTACATACTCCAACTAAAATTATCGGTTAATAATGGCCACCAAAAGCGACAATGGCTCGGTTAGCATTATTATTATGAACCAAAAGACAACTCCAGACCGAAGTTAATTCCACAGAATACAAAAAAAAAAATCAAGTTTATTCAGGAAACCCGGTTTGGTTATTGGAAAAGCTTTCTCTCTGTACAGTAATTGTTTGCCTCTTTCCTGTTTGTTTGCAGCGTTTCACGTTAACGGGACTGCAGAGTGAAGTCCTTTGCTTGCGTTTACTCACAGTCTTCCACTCACTCTTATCAAAATCGAAGACTTAGCCTGGAACGAATCTTCAAATCTCGCTCAGCATTTCGTGGTTTGACTCTGTTTCTTTTCTTCAGTCAATGCCGTTTCTCTTTTCTTATTTCTTCTCTTTCCGGCCGATTTTGTTGTTAGGGTTTCTGTTGTTCGATTTTGTGTTAAGTCGTTTTCTCTAGACCCATAAGATCGCTAAGTGCTTTAAAGACTCGTGCTTTTTATCCTATGAGATAAAGTTATCTGTTTTTTTTCTTTCTGTGTGTAAATTTTAGCAAACTGGTTGTATGATATCGAATTATCGATGATGAATCTGTTTGAAGAATAAAATAATCCCTTAAATTTTGTATTTTCAGAGGGGTCAAGAGAAGATGATGGGCTCTTTTCTCTTAAAGGTAAACACTTTCCTGCTTCTTTTGTTCTTGTATTCCATTTTTATAAACCATCAACTGAGATAGATTAAGGTTTCTCTTGTCAGGAAAAGAATGGAGTATTCAGGAAAGTTTTGATGGGATCAGCAATATTTGGTCTTGGATTCTACACTCGTATGTGTGCTCTAAATAATCTGTTCATGCTTGGAGCTACTGTTTTGATTTTCTTTTGTGGGAAACAAGGATTGATCAATGTGTGTTATTGTCTTTCCTTCAGATGATGCTTTAACACCTTATCCAAAATCATTAAGGGAAAAAGCCAAACAGGTACGCAAGAAATGGTGTTTCCTTGGAAGGATTCAGTTATGCAGCTGATTTATATAATATCTCTCTCCATCTGATTATTTTTCTTTCTCATGTTTCAGTGCTTGGCTAAAGCCAAGTCTTTAGCGGAGGTAAGCAAGAAATGGTGTTCTGCATCTGCATTTTGTTAGATTTTTGAAAGGACAATAGTATCTATTTGGTTGACCTGTAATTTTTTCTTCTCTTGCTTCAGGAACGTAGGGCAGAACTGAATGAAATGAAGAGAATTGAAAAGAAGGCGGACCGAGTTGTGCAGGTAAAAGCAAGAAATGGTGTTTGATGCTTCTTAAGTTTGTTGATTTTTTATAAGACCTAACACAGTCATGCCTGACATGTCATGTCTTGTCATGTTTCAGAGCGTTAAGACTGAAATAGCTAAGCTGGAAATAGCTAAGATGCGGGAGGAATTTAAAAGAGAGAAGATGATGGAGGAACTTAAGAAGGCTAAGATGATGGAGGAACTTAGAAAAGCCCAAGGACGATCTACTGTTGGAACGTGTTGTGAATCGCAGGAAGAATCTGTGTGGAGTTTCATTTGAGGAAATGATTCAGAAGAAACTAATCTGATTTGGTGCAGAGAATGACTTAGTAGCTCAAGGTTTTGATGATCGGGTGGTCTTATTTAACTCTTTAACTTTTGAGTGCTGTGAGTAATCAGTAGTATGTAGATCTTAAATGTATCAACGTTTGAGTAACACTATTTAGTCTGTTTTGTTCTTATGAAATATGTTTTAGCAATATAACAAAAAAATATCTCAGCACATGGCGAGCAAAACAAGAGACATGACTAATACATATCTTTGTCCTTGTATGAAATTTTGCTGTTCTCAAATTTAAACATGTGCTGTTCACTGATGCAAAACTTTTGGTACACCAAAAGAAACAAGAATTGGATTACATTTCAGCCACCAAAGAGCAGAAAGTTACATCAAGAGAAACAAGAATACAATCAACCACTTTGAGATTAACAAACTGAATTACATTTTCTTCTCGATACAGTCCTAATTGAGGTATGAACAAAAACAAGTATACGTGGTTTCAAATGAAACTGGCTTCTTTGTGTGGACTTTCATGTTGTTTTGGAGTTGTAAGAAAGAAATCTACCTGATGATAGAAAAAAGGTCAGATTTTGTCAAGAGTGGTTTAAAGGATTCGTCATCATGTTCCTCTGTGTTGTGTTTAGTTGGTGGACTTGCAGAAGAAGCAGATACTGTTGACCCAGCTCTTCTTCGGTTTACCTCTTTGAGATTTGGTGCTTCTTGCCTCCACGAGATCATTCATGTATTGAACCACGGCCTAAGAAGATGGCAAAAAAAAAAAAGCATGAATCAATCATCCATAATCTAGACATAAGCTGCAGAAGGACAAATAAGAAAAACTGAGATAAGAAAGTACCTGAGCGCCTTTTTCGGTTACTTCCCTTGGAAGCTCTTCAAGTGGGTTTTGCTGTGTGCGAAGCACACGAAGCTGTGAAAGCTCTTTGAACGAGTAAGGAAGGAGACGGATCTGGTTATTGCTCATATCAAGCTCTTCCAGCATCTCAAGGTTGCCTATTAACCCCGGGAGCGATCTCAGGTTTGCAAAATTGTTCCCAACGTTAAGCTTAACAAGCGTTTTCGCATGGCATAAGCTCTCCGGCACTGACTCAAGCTCGTTGAAACTCACATCTAGCTCCTTGAGGTTAGCCATGGAGGACATTGTTGTCGGTAGCTGCCGAATGTTATTGTAACGGACGTTCAGTATCTCCAAGGTAGTTATCTTCCCAACAGCTTCAGGGAGAGCCTTAAGCCTGTTGTAATCTGCACGGAGCTCTTTCAGAGAAGCACAGCCAGAGATACTATGCGGAATCTCTTCGATATTGTTCGTTTCAACGTCGAGCTTCTTGAGGCTCACGAGAGAACCGATGGATTCAGGGAGTATAGAGAGGCTGTTAGAGCTTAAATCAACTTCCTCAAGATTGATCAATCTACTAAATCCTGATGGCAGAGACAATAACTGGTTTCCACTAAGATTCAAGTTGACCAAGTTGACCAAATCTCCTATAGACTCAGGAAGCTGGCCGATTCTGTTCGAATGCAAATCGAGCCTCGTCAATGACAAAAGCCCTCCGATGGTTGGTGGTAGTACCATGATGCAATTCTCAGATAAATCTAGCCTAACCAGACTCGTTAACTTGCCTATAGAATCTGGAAGCCATTCGAGCTGATCCATCAGCTTGTGCTGTAGATTTAGCTCCTGAGTAGCTTTCTTGGCATATACTTCAATCAAACTTGCAAGTTTTATGAGACTCAGTTTCTCCCCATCAATGCCTATACACATAAAATCGTTATAGACTACAATTAGAAACAAAACAGATTCCATTGGAAAACAATCTAATCACACTATTACGAATCTTAAGCTCAGTTTCTATCCAAAAGTTTTCACATTTTCCATGGCCTAAACATATGAAAACACTATTTGAATCTTAAAGCTCAGTTTTTTAATCCAAAAGTTAAAAGCTTTTTCATGGCCTACACATATATGATGGTTCCCACTTCAATCACAATTCTATCTCAAAAGACATTTGAAGGGTTTGGTGGAATCGAACTCACCGGTGACTTTTTTAGCCTGAAGTGTTGAATCTGAAACCTGAGACTTGCGAGGAGCTAATAACCCGTCGCTGTAGAGCGAAGATTTGGGTTTCGTCGTCACAAATGTATCGTCGCGAGTGAACATTTCCTTGGATTTTACAGGAGCCTGATCGGAACAATACAAACTCTTCGCCGGAGAATCAGAAGATGAAACAACCGGAGCGGTAGAGTCAACAATGGAGGAAGGCGGCGAGGGAGCAATGCAATTGGAAGCTCTCTGAATCAAATCGTCGAACACAACGTGTACAGATTCCAGATCGACGATTTTCGTGGCTTCTCTCTTCTGTTCTCTGCTTTGGAAATGAACAAGACCTCGCTTCATCTCTTGCAACACGTCGAAAAGCTCCCGAGGAACATCGGAGCTTTTCTTCTGTTTATCAATGGCTTCCAAGCGGCTCTGATCGTCTTTTTCAACGTTCTGTATCAGAGAAGTCGCGGCTTCGACGTCGTCGATATCTGGTCTCGACGGTAACGATCTATGGATTCTCATGATTTCTTCCACCACCTGGTTCCTCGAATCCAAACGCTTTTCCATATTTACAAAATCCAAATCCTCAAATTGTTCCAAATTGAAGATATCGATTGAGAGATGAAAGAAGAAGAAACAAAAAGAAATGCTCTTGTTTATAGCCTCAATAATACAGCTGTTGCCATCATTCTCTCTCAAAATCTAATTATCTCTCTGTCAAATTTTGCTTCTGATCTTGTTTTCTCTTTCGTCTTCTCATTCTTCGTCGCTTCTCCTCTCTCTCTCTCTCTCTCTCTCTCGACCTGCAAAATAATCAATTTAAATATTTTAAAACTGTATTAGTATAATCACATTCACACCTGTCACTCTTTTTTTATCCGTTATTTTGTGTTTAGCTGAAATGATAATTTTGTTTATGACAAGGAGCGAAATAAACAGTGATTAAGTATTAACATGATCTTATAGTGTGGACATTGTGGAGAAGAAAAACACAAAACAATGATCATTTTTATAATATATGAGGAATTAAATAAAGAGAATCAGTCCCTATCAGTTTACTGTTTATCTATAAACTCGGCGTATGTCAGTGTGTCACGTTCTTTCCACTTTCTCGTATTTTTTTTTGTTTTTCAGTTTCATTAGCAAATGCCATGCACTATGTATTTTTGTTTTTTGCTGTTGAGAATTGAGATAGTATTGACACAACTACAACTGCGTTCTTTTTTTCATTAGTAAGACATTTTTTTCAATGTAAGGCACAATTTGTCCATTATTAAACTAAAATCACTAGCAGTGCCACACAATTTGAAGAAATACTTTGACTTGTACTTGTAAAACCATTTTTTTTTTAAATTAAGATTCACAACTTTTTTTTAAAGGAAAATTACCATAAAAAACCTTCAACTTATTCTCGGTCGCACCCTAAAACCTTCAAATTAATTATTTTCTCTGAAAAATCTTTAATTTATTCTCGGTCGTACCCTAAAACATTCAAGTTAATTATTTTCTCTGTATAAACTTCAAGTTTTGTGCTTTGTTGACCAACAGTCATTTTGACTAATGTGATATGGTTTATCTAAATTTTTGGATGTAACTAATATATTCTTTGACCAGCTATAAATTAAAAAGTAATATATGTAATGAAAAATAAAAATCTTCGTACCTCTCAATCACTATATAACACTAACACATCCACGGGCACAAAAACAAAAACACAACACATAAAACAAAACTTGCTCTTATTTCCAGCGATTATTTTGGGAAAGCAACTTTTAAGAAAAGAAAGAAAGGTTTAATTAAGAAAGTCATGAACGAGCAGTACTCAACTCTATGTGCCATCATCTACAGCCCCGACGACTCCAATCCCGACGTGTGGCCATCAAATGCCGGTGTGCAAAGCGTTGTTTCGCAATTCCAGGCGTTGCCGGTGATGGACCAACAGGAGAGAATGATGGACCAAGAGACTTTCCTCAGACGACGGATAGCCAAAACGTCCGAGCAGTTGAAGAAAGAGAGTAAGGAGAGCAGGGAACGGGAGATGACGGAAGTCATGTTCCACTGTTTGCAAGGAGACATGGGTATGTTTGTTCTAAATCTCTTGGATCTGAATGATTTAGGTTATCTGATTGACCAAAATCTGAAAGATGTTAACCGGAGGATCGAGGTTTTGGGGGATTCTGGTATGGAGATCGGTGAATCCTCCAATGCGGCTGCGACTCTTTCTGAAGGGATTGGATATTTTCTGTTCCTTTTGTTGATGTTATGAACTTGCATTGCATTTTCTTTTCTCTATATTCTCTGTTTTTGTTATGATTATGGTTATCATTGTTAGTACGTATAAATGTATGGTTATTGTTTCTAAAGTTATTGATTTACGCGTGTTAGTAATTTTATTTTAATACCACATATATGCATTATCTTTTCAATGATATTATTATGATTTTCTATTGTATATCGGAAATTTTTTGAATATGGTTATGTTTTTCTGTTAGCTAACCACAAAATATGAGAGAAAAAACAATAAAAAAACATAGATTGTAGTTTTAGGAAGAATATGTTTCTTTGGGTATAGTAGGATAAATCGATCTCTGGCCCCAACCAAAATCAAATATTTTCAAAGTTTGAAACCCTAATTCCTTGCTTTTTGAACAAGAAACGTAGAATTACCACAAAGAAAACGACAATGGAAACACAGAAAAAAAAAACAATAGAAGAAGAAGATGCAAACTTTAATTTCAGATGACACACACTGTTAATATGCCTCATAAAGGCAGTTTCATCATGAATTTGGAGACGAAGAGCTTTGTCAATAGGAAAACTATTAATAACTTGAGCCTTGATCACGCAAACAGGGAAGCGGGAGAGAGTCAATCACAATCTGATTGGTCTCGGCCTCATCAATCATGCGAAACAAGAAATCGAGACGTGCCCTATCAGATTTCTCAATCTCCTCCAATGTCGAGAGATGGTGTTGCTTCTCGTGAACAAGATTGCGACCGTCTATAAGACGCAGGCGTGCAGAATAAGAAAGAGCAGACTGATTGGTGAAGAGCAAGAGGATCATGACGCAGATGAAGCTGATTCTACAAGTATTCGCCATTGTCAAAGAGAAGCTCGATAGGGGTTTTAGGGTTCTTTTGAGGTTCGAAAAAGCTTGTTGTAGATTTAGTTTGTGATTTTGTAAATCTGTGTAAGTATTTATATAGACCTCAACTGGTTTTCCTACTTTACTTAGGAAAAAAGGTTTTTTTTTTTTTTTTTTTTTTAACGAATTTACAAGGTTCTATTTATTTTTTTAAACACCCAAATCAAATTTGTGTTATTTAACTTTATTTGAATGCAAATCCAGCCTCGTCATGGACAAAATCCCTCATATATGGTTGTCGGTACTCGGTAGTACCATGATAAAATGAGCCAAAGGTTTCTTGGCCGATGCTTCAATCAACTAACAAAATCAAAATAGAAGCATCGGTTTTTGGTCTGTTTTTATTTATCCATTCTTCTTGAACTTAAGAATTCTAAGGTTTTCTATCTACAGTAGAACCTCTATAAAACAATACTCGATAAAACAATAAACACTATAAGATAATAAATTTCTCCGGTCCCAACTCGGGCCAATGTAAAAAATAGCATAATGCGATAAGATGATAAGACAATAATATTTTTGAAACTCCTATGTAAAAATATAGTCCCAACAATAGGCTAAGATAATAATTATAAAACTAAGGCATATATATCTAAGGCAATTTAGTAAAATATGACTCCAATGTAGTTTGTCTTTTATGAAAGTTGGATTCTCGTTGGAGCTCATCTCGAATTTTTCTTATTGCATCAACAATTTATGGGGCCAAAAGTTGTGAAGAGTTTTCGAAGCCACAATTGATTCCTTACGTGTACCTACTTACATATATTTCTATAAAGTTTCTTGTTTTTTATAGAATATTTTTATAAAATAATAATTATTATTTTATCGATAAAACAATAACTCGATAAGATAATAAATTTTCAAAGTCCCAACATTATTGTTTTATAGAGGTTTTACTGTAGATGTATATCAACTTTTAAACATATTTTCATTTTCTGAATTCTTTGGTGGACTCATAAAATGTTGAAATGATGCTCATTTGATACATGTTTAGCCTCTTGAAATTTATGCGGTTGTTCTAAGTTTCAAATGCATTCTTACAAAGAAGAAATAAATTTTTATGATATACAAAAATAGAATAATATTTTATTGTAAAGCATTGCATATCAAATGCTTGTCTAAAAAGGAATTATATATTGAACAGGTTAATTTACACATTATCAATTATCCAAATGTAATAATTTTCTTAGCAACCTGTCATACGTGCATATTGACCAAGAAATCACCATATATATTTTCTCAATTTGCTTCGCCATAACTAGAAGGGAAAAAACTCATTCTTATCTAAAAAAAACTTATTTTAGAAAATGAAAGGTAGACTATCTTTTAACAATCTACCATACATGCATTCGATATCTACAAAATCAAATGTGGAACCTCTCTAATCGTTTCATAGCCTTAAAAAAATGCTTTTATACTAACTACAGTAAGATAATACGTACTACTAACCCGATAACGTAAATATAGTCTCATTGTTATTGCACGCTGACAACAAACTATCACATCTCTATGTTTTCACATGCTATGATGAATTCTTATTTTCAAGATCATATGTAAACTAATTAAATATCTATGGACTAGTTAATAAAAAGTATAATAGTGAGAAATTTAAAGCATAAACTATCTGATAAAATTCAGGACATTCATAATTATTTTCAATACGTAAATCATATTAGAATGTCACTTACTCCGTATAATTAAAATTGTTTAATATATTTGTTGACGTTTCAAAGGTACTAAGTCTAAGAGTTCAATTGTTCCAAACATAAATAAGTTAAAAATCAATAACATGCACATATAAATGAAAAACAAAATTAGTAATTTCTTTATATCGGTTCAAAAAGATAGTTATATATGATTTTACATCCAACTCAAATAGAAATGAAAAACCAATCCTTCAAAGTGATGTGTTTTTTTACTGTTACTTTGTAATTTTGTATATGCATAGTTTAATAAAACTAAAAGTTCAGTGTATATGCGGGACCGAATCTAGTATTATTATAAAACGGAAAGAATATGAAATTATAGTAATGTGGCCTAGATTATATACCATATGTTTTAACTAAATAAAATTTAACAGATAATAATAATTACCTAGAGATTTTCTCTAATTTAAAATTCAGTTCAATTGGTCCATGAAAAATAACAACGCATTGTATCCTACATAACTAATCTTATATATACTGAAGCTCTCTATAACTCTTACTTGATATGATTACATTGATAAATCATGTAACATTGATCACAAAAACAGAGAGAAACAAATAAACACTCTACTATTAGTACGCCTAAGGGAAACCTAAAGTTTACTGATGTTCTGTCTTCAACGAGCAAAAAGACTTTTGAGAATCGGAAGAAAGAGTTAGTAAAGAAAGTGAACCTCTATTAAACTTTCTTTACTAAACCTTTCTTTCTTTTCTTACAAGTTAATGAACTCGCGTCTCTCCGCAAGACAGACAAGAATATGTTCAACTAGAAAAGTTTTTTTTTTTTTTTATGAAAGATGTTATGTTTAACGCTAAGAGTATGGCCTAAAGTCTAATATATTTTGAACAATTTAAAATCTTTATTTGACTAATATCGCAGGAATATAAATCGGAGAGTCGAGATCTTGACGAATTCAAGCTTTACAAGTAATGGTTGACTAGTGATCAGTAATGTATATGTTCTTTTTTTACACCATTTTTGGCATGTTCAATCGTTCAATTTTTTTTTTTTTTTTTTTTTAAATCATGACCACTTGTTTAGGTCTTCAAGAATGACATGCCTTCTTATTTATCAACGTATTCGTATAACTCGTCTCGTATATTGGTTCCCTCGCTCGAATATACCAACGTATTCGTATAAGAGCATCTGCCTGTTGATATATAATATGTACGTTTAACTTCATAGTTCCATCTAAATATTTTAGATTTTCTCTGTTCATGTATTAGACGTAATGTTATTAATTCACTTTGTTTGTTTATTCGTTCTAAATGTGCTACAATGTATGAGAAATAAATTTATAAAAATAAAAACCAAAAAAAGATTATGTCTTTTATTTTTATTTTTATTTATAAACAAATAATTAATACTAAATTTCAATGGGCTTAGTCGATTACTGGAAAAAAGAGTAAAAACATTGGCAATACGATTAACAAAAGGAACTATAAGTTTGTGAGACTTGCTCAATATCGTGATGGAAACTATAAAGATTCGTCATTCTAATAAATCATTACTAATGTTTTAGCTGGCTCAATATCGTGAGGGAAACTACAAAGATTCTGATCATATTCTAACTTGATCATGAAAAGGTTGTACAAAGAAGATTTCAATTATCAGATTTTGAACCATGGTTGATACACCGAAGTATCATAAACAAATTCTAACTGGTATCGCCGTATAGGACTGGTATTTATATGATGTTATTATCAATTGATATAAATTTGATGTCATCGATAAGAATATCAAGCCCCTTCCTAGACCGAGCCCAATGCAAATTAGTATTTGTGCTAAATCAAAATATCGTAGCTAATATGGAATTTAAAACGTATCTGACAGTGTTTATTGCTGAAAACCCGGAATAATTATTTTGGGATAGGACTAATTTTCTTTAAAAATATATTTTGCATCATCACTTCGTAGATACCTTGAAGCATCTCTACCAATAATTAATTTTTTTTCGCAACAACTATAGTGTACGCATGCATCAAAGGGACGACATTTATGACTAATACTTTGGAGATAACTATAAATCTACAATGTTTTAATTCATGGTTACTTTTACACGTCAATATACCACATATAACATGATGATAATCACAGAAATATATAGAAATGAAATCTTTCACCTACTCATAAGAAACTTTATAGGCTGTAATTAATATTTTTTTATTCTTTACTCCTTCACTATATATAACACAACACATTCACCAACTCATACACACAACACAAACAAATAAGCAAAAGCAGCAAAAAAAAATCATAATCCATCATGACGAGGAGTAAGGTGAAACTTGAGTTCATTTCCAACGATGCCTCGAGGAGAAAATCCTTTGGAAAAAGAAACAAAGGTCTGCAGAAGAAAGTGAACGAGTTGTCGACTCTATGCGGTATCCCTGCATGCGCCATCATCTACAGTCCATACAACACCAACCCCGACGTGTGGCCATCAAACGCCGGTGCGCACAGCGTTATTTCGGAGTTCCGGGCGTTGCCGGTGCTGGACCGACAGAAGAAAATGTTGGACCAAGAGACATTCATCAGACAACGCATAGCCAAAGTGTCCGAGCAGCTTAGCAAAGAGAAGAGGGAGAGCAGGGTGGGGGAGATGACTGAAGTCATGTTCCAATGTTTAGACGGTAACATGGGTATGTTTGACCTAAATATTGTAGATCTCAATGATTTAAGTTATATTATTGACCAAAAGCTGAAAGATCTTCATCGGAAGATCGATGTTTTGGGGTATTCTCCTGCTATGGAGGTCGGTGAATCCTCCAATGCTGCTGCGGCTGCCGCTCCTTCCCAAGGGTCTGGAGCCACTCTAGCCGGTACGGTTCATGAGGTTGGTTCTTACTCCTCAACGGCAGGTGCCGCTGCTTTGTTTAACTCTATTCAGCAGCAGATTCCTCCTCCGGGGGCTCCAAATGTTGGACTCTATGAGCAACCATGGAGTCAGAGTCAGAATCAGTATCAACAGCAAAGCTTTGTGGAGATGATGAACCATCAGCATATGAGTCATGCCGGTGAGCAAATGGGGTTTCAGTTCATGGGTCATAACCACCACCACCCCCACCACCAACCGCAGCAGCAGCAGATCCCCGGTTATTCCTCCATCACTCCGGTAGCCGCCAGCTCAAGCAGTACGAACCCCGTTACCAGGCCAAACCCCACCACCAACCACATTTGGATCCCATAGGACTTTCGAGAGTTGATGTTCCTAAAGTGTTTCTTTTTGTTGTTTTTATGAGTTTGCATTGCAATTTCTTTTCTTGATTTATACATTGTTCTATTTCATTGTCAGATTATTTGTTCTTTTTAATGCTATGGATTTGTGATACTCTCACCTCTTTATTGTATGTCTTATGTTTTCGACTTGTTAGTTTATTTATTCTGGCCTTTTCCGTTTTATATTTAAGTGATCTTTATACACACGGGCTTGGAGAATCTTTTGTATTAAATTATACTATATTTCAATTATAAACTGCTAACAATAAAATTTAATTGAATATAAATATAATTATCTTAAATTTTATAAGACAAACTATATAAGTATTTGTATAAACATAAACTGAACTATCTAAAATTTGTGTTCAGTGTTTGTATATAAAATTGTACAATTTATTTTTATCGACAATCTTAATCATCCTGAGAATTCCGTACGCCAGTGTTGTGTTGCTGACGGAGCATGACGCTGACATCGTTGTTATTTATACACAGAGAGATAACAGCAACCTGACGACGGTGTTTAAACTAAACTAGAAACAAAATCTATGGAAAGAGAAAAGAGATATTGGAGGCTTGACAGTAAGTATTTGCAATTGTTATCCTAGCTCTTTCATAAGATCCGGTCTCTCGGTGGAGGAGAGGAACATAATATATCCATCGCTTACTGATATTTATGGGAAGTTTAGGTATGGCATGTCTAGCTCTGTCGCTTGGGTGGAGCCAACCTCAAAACATGCTTAATTTGCTGTGACTTCGTGGTCATCCCATCCCAAATAAAGTATTTTTTTTTTTACTTTTATTTTGGATTAGGACCAAAATAATTTGTGTTAAAAACCTGGAATGATAATTATTAGGATATGACCAACAAATAATTTGTGCTGAAAGCTTGGATTAATTATTTTGGATTTTTGAGATAAAAGCAACGTAATTTGTACTGAAAGTCTAGAATAATTATTTAAAGCCTGGAATAATTATTATAGAATATGACACATAAACATTTTACAGCCTCGTAGATATTTCGAAGTTTGAACCATATCTACCAATAACTAATAACATCACTTAATTTGATGTGACTTCATCATCATCCCAAATGAAGTAATTTTTTTTTTACTTTTATTTCTATATACTATTGGCTAATGACAGTGCTTATTGATGAAAGTCTGGAATAATTATTTTGGAATAGGACCAAAATAATTTGTGCTAAAAGTCTAAAATGATATTTTTTTGGATAGGACTAACAACTAATATGTGCTAAAAGTCTGGAACAATTATATTTGAGATATGACCAAAATAATTTGTGCTGAAAATCTGGAATAAGTATTTTGAAATTTTTGGGATAAAACCAACGTAATTTGTGCTGAAAGTCTGGAAAAATTATATAAAGCCTCGAATAATTATTTTAGAATAGGATCAATATACATTTTACAACCTGGTAGATATTTCCAAGTTTGAACCATATCTACCAGTAATTAATAACATCGCTGAAAGTCTGAAATGATTATATTTGAGATATCACCAAAATAATTTGTGCTGAAAATCTGGAATATGTATTTTGAATTTTTGAGATAAGACCAACGTAATTTGTGCTGAAAGTCTGGAATAGTTATTTAAAGCCTGGAATAATTATTTTAGAATAGGACCAATATACATTTTACAACCTGGTAGATATTTCCAATTTTGAACCATATCTACCAGTAATTAATAACATCGTTGAAAGCTTGAAATGATTATAATTGAGATATGACCAAAATAATTTGTACTGAAAATCTGGAATAAGTATTTTGAATTTTTGGGATAAGACCAACGTAATTTGTGCTGAAAGTCTAGAAAAGTTATTTAAAGTCTGGAATAATTATTTTAGAATAAGACCAATATGCATTTTACAACTTGATAGATATTTCCAAGTTTGAACCATATCTACCAGTAATTAATAACATCGCTGAAAGCCTGGAATGATTATATTTGAGATATGACCAAAATAATTTGTGCTGAAAATCTAGAATAAGTATTTTGGATTTTTGGGATAAGACCAACGTAATTTGTGCTGAAAGTCTGGAATAGTTATTTAAAGCCTGGAATAATTATTTTAGAATAGGACCAATATACATTTTATAACCTGGTAGATATTCCCAATTTTGAACCATATCTACCAGTAATTAATAACATCGCTGTAAGCCTGGAATGATTATATTTGAGATATGACCAAAATAATTTGTACTGAAAATCTGGAATAAGTATTTTGGATTTTTGGGATAAGATCAACGTAATTTGTGCTGAAATAATGGAATAATTATTTTAGAATAAGACCAATATACATTTTACAACATGGTAGATATTTTCAAATTTGAACCATATCTACCAGTAATAAATAACATCGCTTAATTTTCTGTGACTTCATCATCATCCCAAATAAAGTAGTTTTTTTTTTTTACTTTTATTTCTATGTATCTAATAGCTAATGACAATGTTTATTGCTGAAAGCTTGGAATAATTATTTTGGGATATATCCAAAATAATCTGTTCTAAAAGCCTGGAATGATAATTTTTGGATAGGACCAACAAATAATTTGTGCCGAATAAACACTGTTGATACACCCGAAGTATCATAAACAATTTCTAACTGGTTTAGGACTCATATTGACAATGTTGATTTATATGAGGTTATCAATCAAATAAATATAAATTTGATGTAATCAAAAAGAATATCAAGCCTCTTCCTAGACTGAGGCTAATGCAAATTAGTCTTAGCCCATCCTTAAATTACAAAGTCATTATGTGTGGTGAGGAAATTTATGCTAAATCAAAATATCTAGCTAACTTATTGCTAAAAGTCTGGAATAATTATTTTAGGATAGGACTAATTTTCTTTAAAAGATATTTTGCATCATCACCTAGTAAGCATATCTACCAATAATTAATATTTTCACAACAACTATTTTGTAAGCATGCATCAAAGGGACGATATTTATGACTAATGCTTTTAAAGATAACTATAATCTACAATGCTTTAATGCATGGTTACTTTACACGTCAATATCCAAGTATAACATGATGATAATCACAGAAATGTATAGAAATGAAATCTTTCACCTACTATAAGAAACTTTCTAGGCTGTAATTCATATTTTGTAATTATTTTGACTAGCATTAAATGACAAAATAGTGTCTCTAATTAAAGAGAGACAAATCTTCGTACCCCCACTCCTTCACTATATATAACACAACACATTCACCAACTCAATACACACAACACAAACAAATAAGCAAAAAGAAAACAAAAGCAGCAAAAAAAAAATCCATCATGACGAGGAGTAAGGTGAAGCTTGCTTTGATTTCCAACGATGCTCGAGGAAAAACACCTTTAGAAAAAGAAACAAAGGTCTGCTGAAGAAAGTGAACGAGTTATCGACTCTATGCGGTGTCCCTGCATGCGCCATCATCTACAGTCCATACACCACCAATCCCGACGTGTGGCCGTCAAATGCCGGCGCGCACAGCGTTATTTCGGAGTTCCGGGCGTTGCCGGTGCTGGACCAACAGAAGAAAATGTTGGACCAAGAGGCGTTCATCAGACAACGCATAGCAAAGCTTTCCGAGCAGCTTAGAAAGAGAGTAAGGAGAGCAGGGAGCGGGAGATGACTGAAGTCATGTTCCAATGGTTAGCGGTAACATGGGTATGTTTGACCTAAATATTGTAGATCTCAATGATTTAGGTTATTTATTGACCAAAAACTGAAAGATCTTAATCGGAGGATCGATGTTTTGGGGTATTCTGCTGCTATGGAGGTCGGTGAACCCTCCAATGCTGCTGCGGCTGCCGCTCTAGCCGGTACGGTTCATGAGGTTGGTTCTTCCTCCTCATCGGCAGGTGCCGCTGCTTTGTTTAACTCTATTCAGCAGCAGCAGCAGATTCCTCCTCCGGGGGCTCCAAATGTTGGACTCTATGAGCAACCTTGGAATCAGACTCAGAATCAGTATCAACAGCAAAGCTTTGTGGAGATGATGAATGAGCAAATGGGGTTTCAGTTCATGGGTCATACCACCACCACCACCAACCGCAGCAGCAGCAGATCCCCGGTGATTCCTCCATCGCTCCGGCCAGCCGCCAGCTCAAGCAGTACGAACCCCGTTACCGGGCCAAACCCCACCACCAACACATTTGGTTCCCATAGGACTTTCGAGAGTTGATGTTCCAAAGTGTTTCTTTCTGTTGTTTTTATGAACTTGCATGCATTGCAATTTCTTTTCTTTTTTATACAGTTCTATTTCATTGTCAGATTATTGTTTTTTTTTAATGCTATGGATTTGTGATACTCTCACTTTTATTGTAGTATGTCTTATGTTTTCGACTTGTTAGTTTATTTTGGCCTTTTCCGTTTTATATTTAAGTGATCTCTATACACGGGCTTGGAGATTCTTGTGTATTAAACTATACAATATTTTAATTAAAAGCTAACAACAATAAAAGATAATAGAAATTAAATATAACAGAAACCTGACGACGGTGTATCTAAAGATTTTAAACTAAACTTGAAACAAAATGTATGGAAAGAGAGAGATATTGGAGGCTAAACAGTACGTATTTGCAAGTTTCCCTAGCCTTTCCTAAGATCCGGTCGGCAGAGGAGAGGAATAGAATATATCCATCGCTTACTGATGTTTTATGTCTAGCTGCGTGTCGCTTGGATGGAGCCACCTCACAACATCGCTTAATTTGTTGTGACTTCATCATCATCCTAAGTGAAGTAGTTATTTTTTTTACTTTTATTTCTATGTACCTCATCCTCATGTCATATTAATACAAACTTTACACCGTGACATTGTTTCTTCAGTGAGATCTACATGCAAAATGTGGAACGATACATCTAACGATGGCTTCTTTACAAAGAAGCTCTTTCGCATAGCAAAGGAAAGGGAGCTTCTGGTGGTCATGAAGATGGATTTTAAGGTTTATCTAACACGTAATTATTAAAGAACATACAGAAAAACGATATCGCTCACTTGTGTGCTCTTTATGTTCCAGATTCAGTGTTAGTTAAGCAAGCTACAAGAGTGATGCAGCAGCATCATAGCGTCTTGGTTGGAAATGACCACTGGATTATCGGATTTGGATGTTGTTTGATTTTATACATCTTTTTGAGTTAATGATGTTTTAGATAAGACTTCGCTTTGGGTTCATGGACCGTATGTTTCTATCTCTTTGTCGTCGTTGGAGACTTGTATCTTCTATATCCATGAGTTTCTCAACAAGAGTCTCTCATCAATAGGAAAATGAATTTCAATATTATATTAGCTAGGATATTTTAATTAGCACAAATTACTTGTGCTGAAAGTTTGGAATAATTATTTTGAGATAAGACCAAATTAATTTGTGTTGAAAGGTTGAAATATTTTGGGATAGAGCCAACATCTGCTGAAAGCCTAGAATAATTATTTTGAGATAAGATCAAAATATTTTTTTCTGAAAGGCTGGAATATTTTGGGATAGAGCCAACATCTACTGAAAGCCTGGAATAATTATTTTGGGATAGATTTTACACCTCGTAGATACTTTGAAGGTTGGAGCATATCTACCAATAATTAATATTTTCAAATCAAATATATTGTACACATGCATGCATCAAAAGGACAAGATTTATGACTAAATCTACAATGCTTTAATTCATTGTTTTACAGGTCAATATAAAATAATGATAATCATAGAAATGTATTGAATAGTAATCTTTGGCCTACTTATAGGAAACTTAATAAATATTTTTTTTTATTCTTTTGACTAGCTTTAAATTACAAAATAGTGTCTCTAGTTAAAAAGAGACAAATCTTCTTGCACCCCTTCATCACTATATAACACAACACATCCACCAACTCAATACACAACACACATAGCAAATTAAACAAATCTAAAGCAAAAAAAAAAAAACACTATCATGGGAAGGAAACTTGCTTTGATTTCCGATGCTAGATCGAGGAAAATCACCTTTAGAAAAAGAAGCAAAGGTATCCTGAGGCAATTGAACGTTCGACTCTATGCGGTATCTCAGCATGCGCCGTCATCAAGGGCCCTGACGACTCCTGTCCCGAAGTGTGGCCATCAAATGACGGTGTGCAAAGCGTTGTTTCTAAATTCCGGGCATTGCCGGTGGTGGAGCAACAGAAGAGAAGGATGGACCAAGAGACTTTCCTCAATCATCGGATAGCCAAAACGTCCGAGCAGTTGAAGAAAGAGATCAAGGAGGGCAGGGATTGGGAGATAAGGGAAGTCATGTTCCACTGTTTGACAGGAAACATGCATCTGTTTCATCTATATCCCGTGGATCTGAAAGATTTAGGTTCTCTGATTGACAAATATCTGGAAGATGTTAATCGGAGGATCGAGGTTTTGGAGGATTCTCGTGTGGAGATCGGTGAATCCTCCTATGCTGCTGGTGGTCCTTCTGAAGGGCTTGGATCTGCTCCAGCCGCTACGATTGATGAGGATGATTCTTCCTCCTCATCGACAACTGCCGCCGCCCGCAGGTTTCATTAACTCTATTCATTAGCAGTAGCAGATCCCGGGGAGATTCATCGCTCCGGCAGCCGTCAAGACCCCCGTTACCAGTCAAGATCTCACCAACAATAGATAATTCTCATGTGTTTCTTTTGTTGTTGTTGTTGTTATAACTTGCAATTTCAATTTATTTTCATTAAATTCTCGCTTTTGTATTATTCTGGTTCAATATCATTGTCAGTATGATTATCTTTTTAATGTTATGAATTTTGTTATATAACAAGACACATATATGCGTATTTTTTTAATTCAGTACTGTTAAAAATTTATCTAGTAAATGAGTTTTATACAGTACTAGTTGGAGAGAAAAGGCGGCGGACTTAAAGGTTTCAGCCTTTCAAAAACTCTCACTATGTTCTTGAGATTATGACCTAATTCGAGAAAATGAGGACACGACGTCGTACATACACGGCAGCGACTCCGCCGTCATTGATCCCCAAAGCCCTAACAGTGAAGCCCATAGTTCAAGCACTTCCAGTGTCCGACACAAAAAGAAGAAAACTCCAATCATGAGTTTTCTTTTCGCTATTCCTATTAATCGAAACTCGGATTAAAAGCCAGCATCCATGCTTCTCTTGGCTGCAAAGCATGGTGTGAAGCAGCTGTTTCTGTCCGTAAGTTTAAGCCTCATCGTCCCTGGATTGTTCATCCAATTGACAGAACGTCACCTACAAGCTTACCTTACATTCTTGTTGACTCATGGCGGTCTCAATCTCAAACATATAAGTTCGATTTATCATTTATGAAGGACCATGCAGTCTCTTGTTCTAGGGTTGGTTGGCTTCTTGTGAGAACATTCGGACACTATTATGCGCTCTTTATTGACCCTTTTACCAACAAGTAATTCTAGTTACCCCAGGGGCCATTATTTTTCGACGGCCACCACACAACATCGCTTAATGTGTTGTGACTTTCATCATCATCCCTTTGTGTTCTTGTCTTGTGAATTTTATATGTGATTTTTTCAGGTTTGATTCGAATTACTACTTAGTTACTATGTTGTTCAAGGTAAGTTATAGTAATATTTAGGTCAAAGAATTGGTTTCATTTGACTATATTAATTGTGAGATTAATTACAACCAGTTCAAAGCTGATTAAAGACAAATGTGTAGGCCAGTTTTGTAACTCATCCTCTTTAGTTGTTGGAAGTTACTTAAGCAAAATTCGTTACATAATATTACATTTGAATATCTACTAATTTCACGCTTCCACCAATTATCAATGCCACTGAGCTCTATCGCATCAACATGTTTCTTCAGTCACCTGCTGATCAACAAGATTTATAAAACCATCGTTTTCTCACAAGTTCCACTTACTAAACAACATCGTTTTCTCACAAGTTCCACTAACTAAACAACATCGTTTCGTTTCTACCTTTTAAGTAATAACATTACACTAAAAAACATAGAAAAAGCTAGGAGTGGTGGAATTGCCTCTGCTGTTCTTGAAACCTTTCAGTCCTCTGCTCCAGCCTCAAGATCAGACATCTCGTCTTCTTCTTCTTCTTCTTCTTGCTCTTCTTGTTTGTAGTATATGGTGTTAGAAGAGTGGCCAGTGGTCTTGGAACGGTGTAGAGTGGTTGCATAGGAAGAGGAGGAAATGCTGAAACTCCCCGAACCACCAAGTCTTGTGCTTTGGAGCTTCCTCGCTTTGCCTTTCTTCGTTTTAATGTCTTTCTGCCATTTCTTCAATGCCTTTGCCATTTGCTCAGCAAACACTGCTTTCTTCATGTGTGAACCCATCTGCTCACATATCAACACAAACATTTCATCATTTCTTTATTTTCCTTCATTCAGTTCAAGACTACTCTCATTAAGAGATCATTTTGGCTAAAATAACGAAAACATTTGTTTACAAGTTACCTGAGTCACGAGTGCGTATAACGGGAGAGTGATGTAGCTGCATAAGATCAAGGCTCCTAGACTGCATATATAATACATGCATGCTCACATTTTATACTTTTTCCACCATTGTAAGAAACATAATTTAAGGTTTTGAATAAGATTTGTTACCATAGAAAGAGTTTGGTGACCACAAGATTGAAATCTTTATGGAAGCATGATCGTAATCCAAAAGAATACTACAATCCCAAAGATGATTTTTTACATATATGGTACTCAGTAATTAACTCAAGAAGATAAAAAAAAAATTGAAAAGAGATGGGTTTTTTTACCCATATCCAGAAGAAGTGTGTTATTTGGAAAGCATTCTGTATAACACAGAGGAAATACTGATTAGATATAAAAAATTATAGAAGAACACAAAATCTGAAAACATAGTGTTTGATAATGTAACTACCTGAAACAAAGAAAAGTGGATAAGATGAAGAAGCAATTGAGGGCAATCGAACCAAAAGTATCGATCTGAACCGTGCACTAAAGGCATCCCCTGAATGATTGCATGTGTCTCTGTGATTTCTAACGCCATTGTTGCCAGAATTGCTTGAAGCTTTGTTCCAACAGCTAATATTATCTGCAACAAGACTTCTTATTCATATATGAAAAAAAAAAGCTTCCAAGAAAGATTTGTTTAGTAGAGAGAGAGATTGTCTTACGAGCACAGGAGGTATGGATGCCCAAAACAATGTTCTCCATCCTGGAAAAAGAATTAAAAAGATTTCAGTATATGAAATGAATTTGAGTTTAAAGATATAGATATAGCTCACCATTAACATTGAACAGCAAGAAGATCACAAACGATGCCCAAAGAACTGGACTGTTTAGCAAAAAAAACAAAACGTTAAGAAAAGTTTATATATTATATAAAGACCAAGCGGATAAAGAAGCAAAATTGGAATTGCATTTGATGTTTGGATTTGTGTTGTACCTTATACCAACTATTAACTTGAAATCATCCTCAAGAGATTTATTGATATATCTCTGGAAGTTGAACTGTCTTCCCGGGGCTAAATGGGCCTGAAGAAATCACAAGAATCACTCATCAAAGAAAGAAGAAAAGAGAGAGAGATGAAAGATTTTGACTCACAGAGATGAATCCATGGCGCAGAGTCAAGTAATCTGTTCTTCCCACGGATACAAAGAACTGCCTTAAGAAGCATTCCTGTAAACAAATTTTTGTTTCTGAGATCTCAAAATAATCAAACCAAGAACGTTTGATGATACTGGAGGAGAAATAAGAAATGGTTTCTTTACGACGTAAAAGAAGAACGGTAATTTTGTCCAGACACTTATATGTTCTCTCACAAAAGAAGTCTCATGAGTGAGCCTAAGCCTTAATTGATCTGCTCCACAAAACCAAATACAAAATAAATATGAGCCTTTAAGAAATTAAAGATAAAGCTTCAAAACATAATTTGATGAAAAAAATACCGATAGAAAACTCGTAATCATGAGATAATGTCTCTTGCTCCCACTTTTTCCATCCACGAATCTGCCACAAAAGCCAACACTAAATGAAACATTCTTCACTCAATTAAACACCATTTTAATGAATACTAGATTTGTTGTACCTTGAGCCTGCTAAGCATCATGGTGACTAAACTATAAAGAATATGGAAGATTGCCAAGAAGAACAACAAGATGTGAAGTTGGTGCAAGCCTTTCAGAGTTATGAGTGGCTCAGATCCATTTTTGCAATTCACATGAAAATCATCAGCCGCCAAAAGATGTCTGCTAAGAGATGGAGCGAGAGTGCTTGCGTTTTCAAATGGACAAGGTAACATAGAGAGAGCAGCTTTTGAAGGAACGCAGATCTTGAGAATGTATGTTTCTCCAAAGGTAAGTAATAAGGAAATGAATCCAAGAATCATCAGCTCTACAGATTTATCAATCACCATTTGCTTTTAGTTAATTTCTTAAGAAAACCAAATCAATTAATCTTTAGCACATTAACAATCATTAATTACCAGCTTTTACTTTCTCTAGCGCTTCAAGGAGAGAGTTTTTATGCTTCTTCCATAACCACTGAGAAAGAAACAATCAAAGATGAATCAATCATCAAGTGTTTGAACAAGAAGATTTGTAGGAAAAAAAGGAGAAGAAGAAGAAGAAAGCTGACATTGGCGAGTCTTTGAAGACCCTTTTCGAGGAGATGAGAGATGAGGATGAGAAAGGTGCAGACGACAGCGACGGCCCAAGTGGGAGTCTGAGAGAGAGTTTTCTCGCCGGAGGGATCTCCGGTGGCTGTAGCTCCGTCGTGAACCACCAGAAACCATAACAGAAATCTCCGACACCTGTTTCTTGTGATCATGAGCGAAGGGAGCGGTAGAGAGAAAGAAGATACAACAAACGTAAAGTTTAAAAACTTATAATACTGCTCCTTAATTACTATGTTGTACAACGTATACTAGAATTTAGATTTTCTTGAAAAATTGTTTTCCATTTGACTATATTAATTGTGAGATTAATTATAACCACAGTACACGTATATTTACATAACTTTTTGCTCATAACAATGGTGTAGTTTCAATGTTGTGAAAAGACAAAATGTGTAGTTCAGTTTCGTAACTCATCCTCTTTAATTAGTGGAAGTTACTTTAGCAAAGTTAACCGGAACTATGCAAAACCTAACCGAAGGATGTTCAATTTACATCTGGTTTGTATTGGTTTTACTTATAAGAAGGGGAAAAAAAAGACGCCGTGTGGATAAAGTCACCGATCCCTTCTGAAAAAAGAAAAAGAAAAAAACCCTAGTCCGCCTCATAAACCCTAATTTCAGCCGTATAACTCGGGAAGGTGTAAATCAGCACTGATCGTTTTGCATGTCTCTATCAACGACAATGGAAAGGTATATATTATGTCTCTTCTATACATGTGCTTATTCATATATATGAACCGGTCTGGTGTGTTAATTCTTAAACTCTAAGCTCCAAACCAATTCCTTAAATTTGAGGTTCTTATGCAGCAAAAGCTCTGGTGAAAGTTTGAGAAATGAAGACAGGATTAGTCAGTTGCCCAATGCTTTGCTTCTGTCGATATTGTCTTCACTTCCAACAAAAGATGTCCTGGCCACCAGTGTTTTGTCTAAACAGTGGCGGTCTCTTTGGAAGATGGTGCCTAAGCTCAAATTTACTTTCTCTATAAGAAATGGTGACAATGATGTTGATCTTCAGAGATTTTCAGATAATGTTTGCAGGTCTATGCTTTCACTCCAAACTCCGGTTCTACAGAGTTTGCATCTGGAAGTTATTGCTAAGAAAAGTGGTACTATTGATTTTGGAGTGTTAGTTGGAATTGCATTTGGACACCATGTGCGTGAGTTGGTACTCACAGTTGAGTTTAGCCAAGGGTCGTTCAGATTTCCTATAAACTTGTATAAATGTGAGATGCTAGAGACCTTGAAACTTGGTGGCTGCGGTAGTTCCATTATTCTTGATGTAACTTCTCCAGTTTGTCTCAAGTCTCTCAGAACTTTGCACCTTCACTATGTGTTCTTCAAAGACGAAGAATCAGTTCTCAACCTTTTATCTGGCTGTGAAAGTCTTGAAACTTTGTTGGTTCGTCCATCTCGAAATGATGATGTGAAAACTTTCACTATTGCGGTGCCATCCTTACAGAAGCTAACCATACAATCTGGCTATGGTGATGGTGCGGACTACGTGATAAATGCTCCTTCTTTGAAGTACTTGAATATTGAAGCGTGTCATCACTACGGATCTTTTCTAATTGAGAATGCACCTCAGCTAGTGGAGGCAGAAATATTCAGCGGTAACGTAATTATGGGATCACTCACTTCACTCAAACACCTTACCTTGAGTATATCACATTTGGAGGTAAGTTTTTTCTTGCAAATAAAAAAAGGGATGAATATATATTTTATAGTAGTTAATTAACTTTGCTGTTTTTTTTTTTTTGGGTTTTAATGTTAAACTTTGCTGTTCTTGTTGTTGTTGTTGTGATATGGTTTCTGACTCATGCGTAGATGAAGGTTCCTGCTGGTAGCATCTTCAATCAGCTGGTATATTTGAAACTGTTTCCATCTGAACTAGAGGACTGGAATTTACTAATGCTCATACTCGATAACTCTCCTATTCTACAAGTGCTCAAGATCCAGAGTGTAAGCCTTCATAAAATTACCCCAGCTCATTTTACAGGTTTGATGGCTTAATACAATGTATGATACGTTGCTGGTTTCAGGGATATGGTGTTGAGGCCCGTAACGAATGGAAAGCACCAAAGCATGTTCCTCAGTGTCTGTCGCTTCATCTTAAGACATTAGACTGGTGCGTAGATGGAATAGAATATGGGGAAGAGGTTGCCGAATACATCCTAGAGAATGCAAGTCGCTTGGAAAAACTAATTTTGAGCTTTGACGTCGACAACTACTCTCTTTCGGAGGAAGACAAACTTCAAGTGTGGCACGCCATGGAAAGTATGTGTCCGTATTCATGTGAGTTTGATCTTGTGGGGTGATGCAAACGCATCTTGGGTATTCATTTGGGAGGCTTTCATTGTGTTTCGACTTATGTCTTGGCTTTTCTAGCAATTTTTGTTTGGATTTTGAAAAGAACGATTAGTTCCTAAACTTCATAAATAGCTTTATTATAAAACGGCTTGCGTCTACAAGTTACAAACCACTCAAGGCATTAACAGAATTTATCTGCGAGTTACGAAACGTTGTAGGATTCAGCTTTGATTTTAGGTCTTGTAAGGTTTATGAATCTTCAGTCATAATCAATCGATAATTTGCTAACAAGTAATTAACATTTCTGAAAAACAAGAAACCATTTTCATAGCTTTCTCGATCTAGAGACACTCCAATAATCAACTGATTCAATTTCAATAATAAAATAAAATCAAGTGTAATATTCCTCTCACCTGAGGAAACAAATCAAGAGCAATTGGTCGAAGCTGTGACCACTAAAGAATTACAACTTGGCACAAAATCCAGAATCAACTCCAACTGCAAACGCACTTAACAAAACTCTACTCAAAATCCCTCATAAATTGTCTTACTTGAGATCAATCTGGTGGCTGTATTGTTGAAAACAGCTTCTTATTGGTTCCTTTCCTCCTACAACACCTCTAATCACTCTTACCCTCCTGAGATCCAATCTCTTGTAAGTAATGCTCTGCATCCAAAGCCGCCATGCACCCTACACCACAAATCCATATGCTCTGATCAGAGAGTTGCTTAGCAAAGAGATTCTTGATTCATGAAACGAGAAAATATAACATTTGAAGGTAATCACTGTCTACGTCCAGAAACTAGAAAGGTATGCAAATATCACGGAAACACGCAATTACTCTCGACCAGTAGCTAAATATGTTTGCTTCTTCTTGGATCAAGAGAACATTAAGATACTTGAAACAGATTAATTCAACTTCCACGGTCTCAAGGGCACCTACTTAGAACAAACAATGACCATTACTAGTCTTCTACAGAGTATGAGAATGAAAGTAAATAGGCTTTTACCACTCTAAAGCAAACACAAACCATTCTTCGTTAAGTGAATCAAATGATATACAAAACAAGCCAATCTGAGAGCATGGAAGGACACCATCATAAAAAGCTAAAAACTTTCAAATACCCAGCAGATTTATCAAACTATAACGCTATCAGATGCTTCTCTATGCTTCTCCATTGTGCAGAAATGTAAAAAACAGAGCAAGTTAGAGAACAAACCAGATCCTGCAGCAGTAATGGCCTGCCTATACTTCTTGTCTTGGACATCTCCGGCGGCGAATACACCAACCACGTTCGTCTTTGTGGTACCAGGCTTGGTCAATACATAACCATCTTCATCAAGCTCAAGCTGCCCATCCAAGAACTTCGTCGCTGGCTCATGACCAATGGCGAAGAACAATCCAGAGACCTTCAGATCTGACACATCACCGGTCACGACGTTCTTCACCTTTAATCCACCGAGAACGCCTTTTCCGTTTTCGTCTCCGTATGCCTCCACCACCGCAGAGTTCCAGATCACCTCGATCTTAGGGTTCGACAACGCCCTCTGCTGCATAATCTTCGACGCCCTGAACGTGTCACGCCTGTGGATTATGTAAACCTTAGATCCGTACTTGGTGAGGAAATTCGCCTCCTCCATGGCCGAATCGCCGCCGCCGATAACCACCAGAGGTTTGTTCCTGAAAATCGGAGCAGCTCCGTCGCATACAGCACAAGCGGAGATCCCGCGGTTCCAGAAACCACCGGCGCCTTCACCAGATCCAGTGAAGCTAAGCCGCTTGGCCACAGCTCCCGTCGAAATGATAACAGCGTCGGCGAGGACTGTTCTGGAATCGGTGAACAGCTTGAACGGCTTCGACGAGAAATCAACTTTATTGACCGTCTCCGTGAAGATCTTCGTACCGAATCGCTCCGATTGCTTCCGGAATTTCTCAACGATGTCCAGGCCGAGGATACCATCGGGGAATCCAGGGAAATTCTCGACGTCGGTGGTTGTAGTTAACTGACCGCCGGGAGCGATATCGTTAGCCATCCATCCCTCGAAGAGAAGAGGCTTCAGCTCCGCCCTCGCCGCGTAGATCGCCGCCGTGTGTGCCGCCGGACCACTCCCGACGATGCAGACCTTGGTTTTGTGAGTTTCCATGGAGGAGGAGGAGGAAGAAAACGCGGAGGCTAGAGCCGGCGGATTTGAAGAAGAGACAGATACAGTGGAGAGAAGAGAGCCGAGAAGAAAGCCTCCTGCTCTGCTTATTATAGACTTCAAATGGCTCATAGAGATCCAACACATACACATTTGATACGACCACCCACTTTATTTGAATTTACTTTTTCTCCTTTGAAATTTTATTTGTTTCTAGAAATTCAAGGCCTAAATTTTGATACGACACTCGACCACATTACTGTATATATATATGCTATGCTTTGGAATATGAACAGAAACAAGAAAAGAATCATTTTCGATATGAAAACATTACATTATGTCCTAGTCCATATGATACGACGATAGTCGATACTTAGAAGTCTCCAAAACCAATCCGGTCAACAAATTTAGGCAGAATTTGACGATATAAAAGTTAAGGGGACCAATCGAACAACAAGGAGAAAAAGCATGCTAGATTCCTAAATTATATAAAATTCTTTTTTTTTAGGTTTTGTGCCAAAAACCCTATATTTACAATACTGCCCGTGAAGGCTTTTTAAGTATGAAATAGTCCCATGTCTTCGTATATTTATAATACTGCCGTGAAGTTTTTTTATCTACATATTACCCCATTATATTTCAGGATTGATAAATGAAAAAATAATAGTTGGTCAACTTATTAGTTAACTTTATAAAATTGTAAATTGAGTAAATTAACATTACATGATCAAGTTGAATAATTGCAAGCTGTACAAAAGTCGTGACCACGAAAGAGTTAACGACATAGCAAATTCTGATTATTTATTGGTTTGACCTTTTTTTCGAAAATGGCAAAGCAAATCAATGGGTCTTTCTTCTCTAATCACTATTACCCTCCTGAGATCCAATCTCCTGTAAGTAATGCTCTGCATCCAAAGCCGCCATGCATCCTGAAACATCCATAAATTGTTTATAAAACATCTATAAAAAATTAAAAACATATAAGTTGCTTAAGACGCAAGTATGAGGCGAATAAAAGCTATTTGCTACTTTGAACAAGTAACGTCCTCTACAAGTCTTCAAACGAGTGTGAAGAAATGTTAAAAGAAGAGTAGCTAGAGAACAAACCAGACCCAGCAGCAGTGATGGCCTGCCTATACTTCTTGTCTTGGACATCTCCGGCGGCGAATACACCGACCACGCTCGTCTTTGTGGTACCAGGCTTGGTCAATACATAACCATCTTCGTCAAGCTCAAGCTGTCCATCCAAGAACTTCGTCGCTGGCTCATGACCAATGGCGAAGAACAGTCCCGAGACTTTCAGATCGGACACATCTCCGGTCACGACGTTCTTCACCTTCACTCCTCCGAGAAGGCGTTTTTCGGGTTCGTCTCCGTATGCCTCCACCACCGAAGAGTTCCATATCACCTCGATCTTAGTGTTTGACAGCGCCCTCTGCTGCATGATCTTAGACGCCCTGAACGTGTCCCGCCTGTGGATTATGTACACTTTAGATCCGTACTTGGTGAGAAAATTCGCCTCCTCCATGGCTGAATCTCCGCCGCCGATAACCACCAGAGGTTTGTTCCTGAAAATCGGAGCAGCTCCGTCGCATACAGCACAAGCGGAGATCCCGCGGTTCCAGAAACCACCAGCGTCATCACCAGATCCAGGGAAGCTGAGCCGCTTGGCTACAGCTCCCGTTGAAATGATTACAGCGTCAGCGAGGACAGTTCTTGAATCGGCGACTAGCTTGAACGGCTTTGACGAGAAATCAACCTTTTCGACAGTCTCCGTGAAAATCTCGGTACCGAATCTCAGCGACTGCTCCCGGAATTTTTCGACGATATCCAGGCCGAGAATACCTTGGGGGAATCCAGGAAAGTTCTCGACGTCGGTGGTTGTAGTTAACTGGCCGCCGGGAGCGATACCGTTAGCCATCCATCCTTCGAAGAGAAGAGGCTCAAGCTGCGCCCTAGCCGCATAGATCGCCGCCGTGTGTGCCGCCGGGCCACTCCCGACGATGCAAAGCTTGGTTTTAAGGGTTGGAAGACCATCCATGACGGCGGAGGGTGAAGAAAACGTGGAGGCTGGCTCGAGACGGTGGATTTGAGGATGATGTGATGTAGAGAGGAGATCCAACTGTATATGGCCTCCATAATAAAGACTCTTAAAATCCAACAACATGTACATGGCCACTCAAACCAATACAAAAGACAAGTCGTCTTTTCAAAATTTCTAATACGCATGTCTCTTACTTTACATCCAAGTCGTCTTTAAAACAAATTTTAAAGTTATGGTCAACTACTAATTTATGATTAACAATTTGAATAAAGTTTTCTAATCAACTGTTTCGAGTTTTCTTTGTTTAATCTACTTTCTTGTCCTTCAAGTTTCGTGATCATAACTTAGTAGTTGGTCAACGTATAATTTAGTTGTTAAGTTTTATACACTTTAAAATTGCTTAAATTAACAAATACATGATCAAGTGGAGTAATTGTATACATCTCATCTCTTCCCTTTAACCGTAATCATATCAGAAGACGAACCAGGAAAGACGATTCAACCAGACAGTTAAGGCTTAGCTCATGGAGAAAACAAAGACGTAAGAATAAGAATCAAATTCCGTCTGTATATGCTCAAATATCATCTTGAGTATTAGTACTAATGTCTTTATTTTATTTTATTTACAGAGTTGAAGATGTTGAAAATGTTGATGTTTATACAGCAAAAGGTTTGCTTACTGTTGGCCATCGATACCTCGATGTTAGGTAAATCCGTATATACAAAAATCATCATTTCCTTGTAATCCTTCCACACATATATGTTGATACATAATACATAATTTTATAGATCTTCTTTATGGGTGTGATTGTAGGACAAACGAAGAATTCGCAAAGAGTCACTCTGATGATTCCTTGATCATCCCTTATATGTTCAAAACAGATGAGGGTGATTTTTATAAAATTTTGCAATAATTAAGTCCATCTTAAAACATTCATCGACAGCAAAACTGAAACCTATTGTAAATGAATGGTTTGTAGGTAGGATTGTAAATCCTGATTTCCTTTCTCAAGTGGCATCGGTTTGCAAGAAAGATGACCATTTGATCGTGGTGAGAATCTAATCTCTAATTGAGTATTGATTTACTTTTCTCTTAATTAGTTACGACTAGATTTTAGTAAAAGTTACTAAAAATTATTCGGTGAAGGCTTGTAATTCTGGAGGAAGAGCAACTCGTGCTTGTGTTGATCTTCTCAATGCGGTGAGTCTATATGTACATTGTATACATTTGATTTGATCTAGCTATACAAAAATACAAAGAACTTATGCATACATATACGTATGTCTATACTCGGTAGGGGTATGAGCATGTGGCTAAAATGGAGGGAGGCTACTCGGCTTGGGTTGACGCTGGATTCGCCGGCGACAAACCTCCTCGAGAGCTCAAGACTGCTTGCAAGTTCCGCCCAAAGGACAACTAAACTGGCCTGGTTTTGTTATTCACTTGAACTCCTTTATATATTGGTTTGATGGAGAAACGAAAGAAAACATTTGAAACTTTATAAGAGTTGTTTGTGATGTTGATTTTGTAACAATGAATTGGTTTCGAGCTCGATGAAGCTGTAACTGTATGGGATGTTTGTTACTTGTAATATTTCTGGACGTTTTGGGCAAATTTGACACATACGATGATGGAAACTTGAGATTAATATGTGGACAAAAAGCGTAACGCAGGACAGCAACATGAAGAGTAAAACAAAGTTGTAGATATGTGTTTCTAAACAGAAGGGTGTTGTGCTACAAATCAATAATGGTTTTTTAAGAATCTAATAAAAGAGAAGAGAGACCATAAGAAACTAGATGGATGGATGGCCTAATTAAAAGTATCCTAAAGCGGCTCTCTCAGGTTGTGTTTATGCTCTCATCATAATATACAAATACAAAAGACTCCTCACAGCTACTTCTAACATTCATTCCTCTCTCTCTCAGATCTTCAAGGCTTTGTTAAAATGTATAATGTCTCTAATCAGATTGCTCGAGAGGCACACGGACGAATAACTGTCCGTTTAAGGTCACCACAGCCGATGTGTGATGCGGATCAATTCTTGTCGGCAAACTTACAATCTGCATTTCAAGATAGGTTTCAAAATGTCAATAAACATGCAAGAAGAATGGTTTGTTCTTGCAAAAGATTTCGGATTTGCGGAAACTGTAAGAATCAAACGAGGATTACCTTTTTGAAAGGAGTAGCTCCCCAGGGATTCATAGGGTTCTCGGGCTCGCCACTTATTACCAACCGCCCAGCCGGATCTGACTGGACTCGGACCTGTGTCATAGTTGCCAAGTGCCAAGTTCAGTATCAAGATAATTTCACATGAGCACAGAGATTGTATTTTAAGCGTGTGGAGAGAGTGAGAGAGCTAACCTCTTCGCGGACTAGTCCTGGAACTAATGCATACACCTCAAAGCAATCTTGCTGCAGATATGGTAACAGATTATTATTAATGCATGTAAAACCAGGCAAGTGACTGCTCATACTAATCAAGAAAGCAACGATTGATTATTTTACCGTTCTCTGTACGTTAATCTTCACCCAATCAGCTGGTGCTCCAACATCAACAACTGTCACATCCGACCTAAAGAAAACCAAAAGTTTGGAATCAGGATTTCAAATGTGAAATTAAACATGTCGAAAAGTCAGAGCACAAGACTTTTAACCAACATACATAGGTCTAGACACTAGGACGGCACTTTTTGCACCATGTTCAGCAGAGGACGGCCTCTTGCGTTTGAGCAAACCTGTTCACATTGCAAGATACGAGTGACAAACTGAGTCAAAGTTTCAATAATATACACAGATGGAGAACAAACACGTCTTCATCAAACAGAACTCATACCAGGGGTGGTGGTTCCTATCTGTTTTTCGCGCTTTTGATGAACAACTAAATTCTTATCCTACAAAGTACAAAACAGTGTGCTGTTCAGATTATGAGAACAAGGATATCGAGTGAATGCAAAATGAAACATATGTTTGGTAACAAGATTCTGACGGACCTTCATTGCAGGGTCACTAACTTCACCGTTCCCATTAAGACGCTGCGAATGCCAACCTTGCATAGCACGTGCTGCTGCATCTCTCCTTGCTCTACCTGATCCAGAAGCCTAGTGTAGAAAAAAGACCGCAGGTTAAGTTTTAAAACATAGACATTACTCATATGAAGAAGATTCAACAAACACTAAAGATGAATGTATGATTTTCTGGGCCTGACCTGATTATCAATACCCATTGGTTCTGGTTCAGAAGCAAGGGGTATATGAAGTTCACCTCCAATGACTTTTTGCCGCTCATATTCAAGAAGAGCCTGAAGAATGAAGAACCGAGTATAACATTACGAGATGTTACTAGATGGATCTAAAGGAACATATGTCCAGAGGATTCACAGTTTTCTCTTTTCAATCATTTAAATTCATTTCAGAAGGATTGAAGCACAGAGTCCCATTCCAGTGTATACCAAAATCGCATGAAGGAAAACAAAAGCAGAGAATGGAAAAGAGGGTGGACAACTAATCTCACCTTTTCGTAGAAACCTCGGAAAGTCCAAGATACCGTTGTACATGTCCTGGACAACCAATTGAGAATTAGAAGGAATCCTCGGGTATATGCACATAATTCCCAAAACTTAAGAAAACCCACTAATAAGAAAAAGGCAAGGTCAATGGTAAAGAGCAATTTCTTCTTACTTTGGGGGCCTGAAAGACTCTCCTACTTGCCGCCATAGTTTGCATCCAGTAACCTATGCAAAATAAAGCATAAGTTAATCATATTAGAGAATCACCAAACGCGTCACTGCTAGATTATTGAACAACAGTATGCATGCAAAACGAAAAAAAGAGATAAAAGGCAAAGATGATGTGATGTTCAACAGGTGCATTAACAGTATCACGTACCTTGTCATAACCGCCCAATCTAGTTACAGCTCTCCACAACCTTGTGCCAAAGAAATTAATTGAATATCAGCTTCCACTGAAGTTTTGACAGTGTATAACACACTAAAGTAACTAAATAAAGATGGGAAGCAAGCTTACTTAAGGCAGTTTAGTGTCTCCCCATAGAATTTTGGAGGTTTGAAATCCATGCTTCTCTCTTTAAAGAAACCATGTAATTCTTTCATAAAAGCAGATTGATCCTCCTCAGTTCCAGATTCATTACCATCCGACATATCATCCAAGAGGAAAGACCGCTTTGCGGTCATCTTCCCATCAAAACCAGGTGGTATATCTCTTTTATGGACCCCATTATTCAAACCACCACTTACCCCCACTTCAGACTTTATACTGGAAGATGCAACACAGGGAGGACCAGATTCACTTATCACTAACGCACTCTCATTTTCAGCACCAGTTATTACAGTTACTATAGAATTATCTTCCTTTTCAGCATTCGTAGGAGCTTCGGCATTTGCATCGTTGTTATTAGTAGCGTCAACACTAGCTTCAGCAACCAATTTAGAATCAGGTACGTCAAGTTTCATGTCTTCCGAAGGTTCAGCTTCAAATGTATCCATTTCTTTGTTATGATCAGATGAAGTCTGGGTAGCGGGCAAGAGAGATAACACTTCTTTATTGTCTCCTGGAACTCCAGCAGTCAACACATCAGAATTCTGGTCATTTTCTGTCAAATTTTCAGTGGCAGGCATGTCTGGCTCTTTTTTCCCGTTCATTGAGGTTTCTGTGAGAGGCTCGGATGGCTTATCCTCCAGTTCCAATACGGTCTCAGAACCAGGCCCTTCGTCAAGCTCCGTTGTGGTAATTTGATCATTATCAACTGGACCACTTCCATGGTCAGCCAAATTCATATTGTTAGCCTCCCCCTCGTCTATCCTTTCACTGTTCCCCTCAACAACTTTGGTATCAGGATTGGCTGGAGATTCGTCATGGTCTCCAGAGGCTATGATCTCATGTTCTTCTGCAGATTTTTCCAGCTCCATCTCAGTATTAGCATGATCATGCGGTGATTCGTTGTTGGCATCAGGATTGACTGGAAATTTGTTATGGTCTCCTGAGGATACAGCATTGTCCTGTTCCATGTCAGTATTAGCATGATGATGCGGTGAACCTTTTTCCTCCAAGAGTTTGGTATCAGGATTGACTGGAATTTCGTTGTGGTCTCCTGAGGATATTATGTCGTGTTCTTCTGCAGCTTTGTCCTGCTCCATCACACTATCATCATGATGATGCGGTGATCCTTTGTCATCAGAGAGCTTGGTGTCAGGTGATGTAGTTGTTTCTCCATGTACTAATTCAGTATCTTCGTCAACCATGACAGAATCTCCGTCATGTTTCAAGAGATCCGAACTTACTTCGCTTTGTACTGCAGTATCCGTGTTATGTTCTATGGTGTCCTCCACAGAAGCCTTAATTAACCCTTCTTCAGGATCTAAAGCCACCGAAGGAGAAGGACTAAGATGCGGGCTTGTTTCTAATTGGGAACTCTTCTCATCATGGGTTTTCTCATCATCAATCTTTGTAGGATCATCAGTGTTGGTCTCCTTCTCAAGAGTAGGAGCCACCCTGCTTGAAGCAAGAGAAGTATCTTCTTCTGTAACCATGGGACAAGGAGAATCTTTATGTTCACTGACGGGAGCTTCCTCTTCTTCTGTATCTTCTTGATTCTCATTCTCGGTTTCCTTTACATTGTCCTGACTTTGCTCTCCAGTTTCAGTTCCCATATCAGTTTCCATAACAGTATCCTGACTTTGCTCTTCAGTTTCCAATTCCTTATGAGTGCCCTGTTCAACTCTCTCACTCTCCATTTCTGTTATATTCTCCATTGTTGATGCCATTTCAACAGCATTCCTATAAACCAATTCACGCATACAAGAAATTTAACAAATACGAATTACAGAAAACTAGAGGAAATGACCACAGGTTTCAATGAAGCTCATCAATCAGATAAACCCCAAAACAAAAAAAAGTGATAGGCATAGTAAAAAGTGGGAGAGAGAACCGCTCAAAGGTCTTTGTGAGCCGTAGGGTTTTAGAAGAGTTAGAAAGACCATTTCAACAATCTCAAGGATATGGTTGGTTCTTTCTTAGGGTTTGGTTATGTTCTAAATTGTAATCGATAAATTCAAGATCAATAAAAAAGGAGCCATTTCTGAACATATCAGTATCACTGTTTCATAAAAGGATTACACAAAAAAATGAAGGCAACATAAAGCAACAATCTTTTTTCCTTTCTAAATGAAGAAGCAACAATTTTTAGCCAGTATACCTCATTTCTAGTTCTTATAATCCAACCCAGACACCCATTTCACCCAAATTAGAAACCAAATTTTGAAATTCTTTAACAGTAACACATTCAACAAAAAAAGCCTAAATCCTACAAAAATTTCCACGAGTGAAACTAATAAAGCATCGAAATTGGAGATAGAATCTCTTCTATTATGCAGTCAATTTCAGATTTCTAACAAAAGAACACGATTTACAAACCTCTAACAAACGTCGCAAATTCCGGATTCAATTACAACTTCAAAAAAAAAAATCAAAATTTCGAATACCAAAACGGCGTTGAATAATCGAAACGAACCTTGGAAGAGACTAAGAAGAAGAAGAATCAGGAGGAATAAGAGTAGATAGGGAGACGACAAGTGAGGAATTTTCGCAGCTTCTGCAGTGAGTGAAACACTCTCTTTCGTCCTCCTCAAAATTGTACCCACCGAGATCGAATTGGAAACTAAGGGAAATCGAGGGTTTTCAATTTGAACCGGGTTCTCGTGATTTTGGGCTCACGGGCTTTGACCTAATCTTGGCCCGATCAAGTCTACACTTTTTTTCCACGCGTCTCAGAATTTGTCGGAAAATAGTTTCCTGTAATTATTACGGTATATATAAAAAAAAAGAGTGTTCACCAATCACCAGTTTCTGATTGGTTTAGAGAGAGATAATAGGATATTTTTGTCACCTTTAAATCCTTTTTTGAGTTTTTCTGTGAAAAGGGTAAGGAATATCACTCAATATCACATTTTTGGGACCAAATAAAGTATCTAGCATATCCTAAATCTAATTTATTATTTAACATTTAATTGTGAAATTAAAAAAACCTTTAAAGGAAACAAAAAGATGTAAAAAATTGAAGAAAAAACATATAATTCATAACAAAACCATAAATAAAACACCCATTTTTTCTTTCTTTGTTCTTCTTTTTCTTTTCCAGATTTAACAATGTAAAATAAACAACAAAAGAGACATCTCTCTCAAGAGTCGGAAGACATGTATCTTTCTAAAAGCTCTCAGAGGAAAGCATCTTTCTCAAGTAGCTTCACCACATCGAACTGATTGTTAAGCTTGGCCACATCAATTGGATTTTTATTGTCCATGTTTTGCAGAGTGCTACAAACACAAACGAAGAAACACTTGAGTCATATAATAGAAACCAATCTTAACTTGTTTCGAAATATAATCTGCGTTTTAATGAAAAACTTACACTGCAGCACCATTATCTAGGAGAAGGCTCACACACTCTTTCCTTCCATAACCAGCTGCATAATGCAACGGTGTGTTCTTGTTCTTGTCAACCGCATTGACATTTGCTCCAGCATCCAGCAGAACTTGAGCACATTTCACCTAATAACAGACCCAATCATCACACACAAGATTAATCTTTTATAACCACATGTAAGCAAAGCCAGTTTCCATTCATTTTTCCTAAGCCAAACCATCAATAAATGTGTTATCATATACTTAGTTAAGCCGAGATTTTAATCCACCAAGTGCATGATATTAAAGATTCTTAGTTATGTAAAGTAAAGCCAGAAAATTGCTTGACATTTGCCTACTCTAGTGACATACCTCTCCATATCCACAAGCAAAATGCAAAGCGGTTCTTCCCTCTGAGTCTTCTTCATCTTTGTTACCACCAGATTCCAAGGCAGCTTTCAGACCCTGATTGGTTTCAGCCAATCAATACACAGTGAGTTTTAAAAGTTTACACTCGAGCAATAATACCATTTAGGGACAACAAGAGGTGTTAGGACTCAGTTTACCTCAACATCGCCGAGACTAGCAGTCTGGTGAACAATAGACTCTTCCTCTTCACCTTCTTCAGCCTCCTCAGGCTCAGCCGCAACATTCTGATCTGCTTCTCCTCCAACAGCTATCCCCATAGCTTCACCAAGCTTTTTCAACACATCTTTATCATTCCAGTACCTAATAATCACAAGAAACAAACTTCTTAACATACACCAAAATAGTTTCCAAACGAATGAATCAAATAACTTATCATCATCACAGTCACATACTTCATCATAGCCTCAGGACCACCAGCGTCAATCTCAGCAAGTATAGGTTTCAATTCAGGATCTTCCTTCAGCTGAGCCATACGCTCAGCAAATTGCTCTGTTGCTGCAGGGTTCCCCATTGCCTCAAGAAACGGAGACATTTGTGGATCCTGTAAACAAACAAAAATATTCAAAAAGGATGTTCATGAATCTCAATTAAAGAAGATTAATAAACCAAAAAGAGCTTGCTTTTATCAGTTTACCTGCACCAAAGCGTTACCAAGTTTCTCGGCCATTGTTCTGAACTCAGGATTGCCCATAACCTGCTCCATTGTGCGCATGTACTGTTCTGGATCAAAGTTAGGCATCCCTCCTCCTTCTTGCGATCCAGATGGAACAGATTTCTGAAGCTGCTCAGCTAACTGGTTAAATGATGGATCTTTAGCTATTTGCTCTGCTAATTCCTTGATGCTTGGATCCTAAGATCAAAAAGCAACCAAACCCATCAAAAGAAGCAATAATCCAAGGACAGAGAGAGAGAAAGAGAGAGCCTTGACTTACATTGAGAAGACCGGCCATGCCGGAGAAATCGAAAGCACTGAAGTCAAGGGCAGGATTGGCCGGAGAAGGTGAAGGAGAAGCTCCTGAGGCTGATCCCGGTTTAGTGTTCTTACTCTGCTCATTGGAATCGTTTTTCTCATCTGTTAATCGGAAAAAATGAAACGCTCTCGTCTATTATAAACTCGATGAAACATCGAAAAAAACAACAAATCTGACTATAATCGAGATAAACAACACGATACCTGAAGGAGGAGTAGTTTTGTCTGAACTTGAAGCCATCGGAATCGGATATGACTTAAAAAACCCTAGAGAAACAAAAACCAAAGAAAATTCACGGAGATTTTCAATTAGAAAACCGAATTGAGAAGACCTCTGGATTGGAATTGAAACACTGATGCTGATCCGATAGAGAAGAAGGTTGTGATAGGGGATACCTGTCGAAGCGAGTAAGAAGAAGCAGAGAGAGACCGAACAAGAACAAGAAGAAGAACAAAAAAACGCAAAGCCCAAAAGTGTTTGTGGCAAAAACAAAACACACACGGAAACGGATATTCGTTTTTTTTTTTTTTTAATTTAACAAAAAATCTAAAATAAATGAAAAAATGATACATCGAAATGAATCAACAAAGTTTGAGGCCCTTTAAGAATCACAAAGAGCAGATAAGGACTAAATTGCAATAAGTAAATGATTGTGAATAAATCTTTGATGTCTTTGGCAAGGCAATATAATGGGGAAACCAGGTGAAGACTGATTATGGAATAAGCAAACTACCGATACGCAAAGATATAGAATCAAATATGTAGTTACCGAACCTCACAAAGAGTAAATAAATTTACATTTTACATAAGAACTTAAAATCAAAGAAAATGCAACAAAATAAAGCTCTTGAAACATCTTGTTAAACATGATGTGTCTCTTCATACTTCCCCAGCCACATATATGAGCTAATTGTTCTTGTGCATCATCGTGATTCCAATATTACCATGTTTGTATCCGAGAGGAGGGGGCTTGTCGCTGAAGAAACGAGCAACAACTTTCTCTTCAAGAATTGATAAAACTTCAGGGGAGTTTACGCATAGAGGTGTCTTGTATTGGGATGAAGAAGCACCTTTGGAGATGAAATATTCCATGAGAGAATCAAATGTTCCTTGATCAACCACTCTTATCTCTAGAGCTCCGATTGAATCATATCTATTCCTAAGTCTTCTATAAATAATGTCAAATGATTCCTCCACTACACAACAACATTCCACCATTACCTTGTTATCAAGCTGAACAATGCCGTTTGTTTTTCTGGATTTAAGCTCCCAGTAAATAACATAGTGACCTGGTACAGTGGAGACATCAGAATAGCATGTGAATCCCATCAACATTAAACCTGAAGATTCAATAACGTGTGACGCACGACTCAACGCCTTTACAAGATCTTCTTCAGTTGTTGCCTCCACGTGGACGCTTAAAACAACATTTTTTCTACGTACAAATCTGAATTTAGGTGCACTATTGTAGAATCCGGTCACCTCTAGAATATCTCCCATTCTGTATCTGTATAAGCCTAGCAACAATATTAATTAAAAGGGATAAGTATATATTGTATAGCTTAGAGAGAGAGAAAGAGAGAGTGTTATATGTGTGTATGTGTATGTGTGTGTAACTCACCGAAACGATTTGTGACCAATATCTCATAAGAGCACCCTCGCTTGACGTCCACAAGATCAACAATTTCATCATTGTTTCCTTCATCAACAGGTACAAACTCAAAGTAGGACATAGTGGGTATAAATGTGTAGGACACATCTTGTGGGTTGCATAAAGGATCCACATTTACTCCAAACAATGCTTCAGAAGCTCCATAAAGTGGAGAGATGAGAGGCAGCTTGTTGGAATAGAACTCCAATATTGGGACGTATTGGCTCATTTGTCCTGTAGATATGCTTTCAATGAATTTGATGTTGGGCCATAGCCGTGTGATGATACCTTCCCATGACTTGTGGATGCATTCTTTTTCAATGACATCTGCCAATTCAAGATTGGTTCCTCCAAGTATGGCAGAGACAGATTCTCTGCAACTAAGGTCGGTGATCCAATCGCTAACATGACCAGATCGGATATTAGCACACAATTCTTTCCAGTGAGTTTCAAGAAATCTGATTGCTTGGACTAACGTGAAAGCAAATATAGCAGACATACTCACAACCGTGGCTCTCTGGACTAGACCACATAGAAGATGACAGAACATACTCTGCTTGTCCTCAAAGCATAATATGACTTCGTCAGGGCTGGTATAACATTTTGATGGCCGGTTCTTGAAACAGTCGCTCCTAAGGAAACCCGTAAACGCAGGAGCAGCATGCAAACCAGAGGGAGTTGTAGATAAAGGTCTAGTGTTCATAAACTTAATCACTTTTCCTTCCTTGATACCATCAATGTACCTATAAATAGGCCGGAAAAAAAAAGATGGATTCTTGGTAATGCAAGTCACAAATATACTTAAAAGAACTTATATATATATGAACAGTTACTTGGATATAATGGCAGAGCACAGAGCTTGGATGAATGCCAGATTCTCAAAGTACTTGTTGTTTGTAGGAAAGAACTTTAGTTTCCCTCCACTAGTTCCAGAGCTACACACCAACAATGTTACAAAATGATATTTTCAAGTAAGAGGACTACTTTTATTTTATTTTGTAAAAAAGTTTAAGGACTAATTTCCTCCGTTAATAATATGCTTTTAGTAATCTGATCGACAACGTATATATATATATATATATATATATATACCTTAGGGAGAAATAAGTAATAGGTTCGCCCGAAATGACATGTGAAGGTTCTCCGTTTGCGACCCGTTCGATATAAGGCTTAACATCTTCATAGCTAACCAACGGTACGTTCTTTTGGAAGAGCTTTTTATCGGAGCTCCCATGGAGAAAACGTCGGAGATACTCTGTATTGGCGTTAACTCTGAGTATCTCCTCCAACATGTCGTCTTGTATTTGCTTCGCATTTAACGTCAACTCCTCTAGATCCATGAGCTTGGAGTTTAGAGTAGTCATGTTTGTTTTTCTGATCTATATTGATTCATATCAAGTCAAGGGTTCTTCTATATGTAGTGGCTTGGTGTAATCATGCAAGGAGAAGAAAGTAGCTCCAACTATTGAATTTTATAATAGAAGAGGGAGGCCCTTTTTTACCCAAATTATTTGGAGCCATTCATGTGAGATTCGTATTTTTCTTCTGGTGGACCACAACCTGTCGCTACATTATTAAAAATCCTGTAGTGAAAGTTTATCTAGAACAGATCATGGGTCTATCGTTTTCGCTGGCATCAACTTGCATTGCATGTGTTACTCGAGTCTACACTCTTCTTAAAAAGGTAACTCACAACATTCTAAAGCTTTTTACTGGTCACAAAAGCGCTAATGTAAAAGTTCGAACTATTGATATGGCGGGTTGTTCTCATTTGATTCATATCCAAGCTTGTTACTCAACTTTCTTGCAGATAATGTAAAAAAAACATGTTAAGTGTTGTTCTGTTCTGCTTGCAGATTAAGAGTTCAAAACTTTTGACTTTTGACAGGCTTAATACAATTATCTCTTACGAGCATATATTCATCTGATCAATTCCTCACAGCGTCGACAAGACTTGCTATATGTTTCAGTAGTAAACGGGAACAAGAGCTTCCTCATGGTCATGACATGACAGAAAAGAGTAACATAATTCGATTTCAATCTGGAATACTCATATATATATCTCTTCAAACAAATAAACACATGACATGAGAAACAAAAGTGTGATTTAGAAGAGAATTTCTCAGACAACAAGGAAAATATTAAACCATTTACGATGTTTCAACGGCGCAAGGAACAAATCAAGAAAGAAACTACTTGGTAGCCTGAGCAATTATGTTACTTATGGAACTAGCCTCCTCTTTCGCAGCCTCCACCAATTGATCCTTCAGTTAACCAAATAACACACATCATTAAGGACTAATCCATTTGTCTCAGTGTGCATATTAAGATTAAGAAACCATACCTGAGCTGATATTATCCTCGCCACTGTCTTCTTGCTCGACTCTTGAAGCTCACCGGCGATCAACAGCTCATCCAATATATAATACGCCTAGTAACGAAAAATGCCATCACGAAGTCAAACACAGAGAGTATAGAATCACTGCTTTTCACTTAGAAGGTTCTGTAAAGATGTATGTATGCATACCTTGTGGAAGTTAAAAATCAAATCAAGTTCACACACCTGAAGATCACAGAGAAACAAATTCTTAGTCAAAATCTAGATGTTTCTGTGAGGTTATAATAAGAGTGGAGGAACAACTTTCGGATATGCGTCAAAACTCACACTGCCAAAGTAACGGTCAAGAATCTCGACGTAGTGATGAATGATCTCCAGCACCTCTAACTCGTTATCCGCCTCATCAATGCACATGCAGAAGTACAAGCTTGCATATCTGCACAAACAAACAACCATCATGTTCATAACCAATGTTTCCAAGTAGCGCAAGAGTATATAGACATCGAGTAAGCATGTTTTTAACCTTTTGTAGACAACCTTGTATCCTCTCCATTCAATAAAGTTGCAGAGCTTGGGACCTCGGTTCAGAATCACGCCGCTGAGTTCACGTATCACCTATCCACATCATGTTTCCCAATGTAAAAATCAAGAGCAAGCATAGTATAATGCAGGATTAAGCTCAGTAGCACTTGAGCTATACATACCTTAGATCTTTCCTTCTGTGTGTAAGGCGAATACCACTTGGTGAGCCTTACTTTTCCTTGCCGACTAACTAGAAGCACAAAATGTATCTGCAAATACAAACATCAACCCAATATTATACTTCTTTTCTCAGGATCATCCAATTAAGTTACTATGAATGGCAATAACTGGTTTTACCCATCTCCAAGTTCATCAATTTCTAACACATGGGTAAGCTATAAAGCATCAAAAAAATTCTAGATCACAAAGAACATACAAGTTAGCTCTTTTAATCAACAAGAACACAATGGATAAGAGATCAAGTACCATAACATGAAATTTATCTACGTATCACTCACCTAAACCATAGCTACCACAACTCAGAAGCATTCTCAAGAAAAATTATAAAGCCATTTAATAAAGAGAGATTTTAGTTTCCATCACAGAGCAAACACAGATCAAGATGAGAGAGATCCAAGAGCTTCTTTTGCCAATTCAGAAAACAGAGACATAGTAAAGAGAGGTGAGACATGGAATTAGCTTTGGAGGATCGATTCTAAGAAATTTGAGACCCAAGACGCCAACTTACTTCCACAGCACCAGTGACTCAAATAGATCAAGAGCCAACTTTCATTGATAAACTAAAAAAGAAACTACATTTACTCTCTCACACACACACAAAAAATCGAATTTTTAGCTGAAAAATTTCACTTTCTAACGATCTCGATTAATTCGTGCACAAGAAAATAACTAAACAGAAGAGCAATCGATTGGTAGATCCAAGCAGAAATCTACGACCCCAGCCGATCAGAGTACCGGAGAAAATTATATCCACAAAGAAATGGATCAGAAATGCGAAATTCAGATTCAAAAAGTTGTTCTTTTCCAGCCAGCGAAAATCAAAGAAGAGTAGCGATAGTTACCATGTTTATCTGAAGCTCAAAACTGAGAAAATCTGCACCGGTGAAGCTCGATTCCTAAAAGAGAGAGATCTCCAGAAGCCGATGATCGTCGAAAGAATCGTTTCTTCAGTCCGGCACACATAATAGAACGACAGGGGTATATTAGTCATTATAAGCTTGTATAATACGGATCTTGTTCCGGATCGGTTTCATACCAAGTTAATTCTTTTCAATAACACCCTCGGAGATTTTAGCAATCCACATTTTAATCTTTAGCTTTTCAAAGTTGTAGAAAATTCAATTAATCATATCTGAGCATGTCTGATTCTTAAATTAATCACACTCCAAAATGAAGTGAACTTAGCAAGAACTAAACCCTGAGAAGCCGGAGAAACGTTTGGTCAAAGTGGCTATGCCATTTTGAACTTTCAGTCGTCAAAGTGTTGGCCAATTTATTCAACACTTTCTTCTTCACACTTCTTTTGAATGAGACCAACATAGCCTCTTCACTTGGTTCCAAAAAAAAACATATACCTTATATATTTTCAAACGATGAAAGATCGAGAAAAGAAAAGTTGTTACTTATTAGCACCATTTGGTGGCATCCCAACTTCCATTCTAGGAGACTTGAAAAAGTTGCATTACATAAAATAAATAAAAGCTTGAAACATTATGTGTATGTGTTAGAGAAGCTTTGCAAATTGGTAAAAATGATTATAACTTCTCTTATTCTATTATAGTTGAAACAAAAGCAAGAGAATTTACAAATCTAAGCAAACTACTTCTTCTAAACCCAATAACATTTTCCAAGACCAGAAGAGCTCATCCCCACCTCTCCATGTTGTGCATCTTCTTCCCTCACACTATCTCGGCAAATGGGACAAGTCCCAGATTTACCGAACCAAGTGTCCACACACTTCCGATGGAACACGTGTCCGCAACCTGGAAGCCCCCGGCACCATTGTCCTATTCTGAATCTATCAAGACAAACCACGCAATCGCCTCTCCGCCGTGTAATGGGCTCTGAGAACTTGAATCGGGGAAGATTTTCCACGAATGAGGAAGATAATGGACCTGACGGTTGGCGTCGGGGATTAGGGCTTTGGGGATTAGGGAGTTGGGGACTAGGGCTTTGGGGATTAGGGTGTTGGGGATTAGGGCTTCTAGGTTGGCGACGGATAAAAGGGCGGATGATGACGAGGAGAAGATAAACGGAGTTGATCCCGAGAAGGACGAGGAAGATATATAGAAGATATATCCCGAGAGACTGGAAAGTCTGGAATTATGTACATGTTGGAATACAAGGGCTGATACTTTCCATTTGATAAAAGAGAGTAATATATACGGCCTGAGAAAACCCTAAGGTAACAAAACTAAAGTAGCTACAAATAAGGGAAAAAATAGAAGAAATTTAATATATGTAAGTTTATTTGAGCAAATCACATAAAATAAATAATTAGAGCTTCAAACATTGTGTGAGAGGAGCTTGCAAATTGGTAATTTGATTATAAATACTAAAAACATACAAATATTGCAAACTAACTTCTTCTAAAACCAAAAACATTTTCTAAGACAAAAACGATTCTCCTTGTTTTGGATCTTCTTCCCTCAGTCTAACCCTAGCACGGCAGATTGGACAAGTCCTAGCTTTACGGAACCAAGGGTCCACACACTTCTGATGGAACACGTGTCCGCAGCTGGGAAGCCTCCGACACCAGTCGCTCTTTCTGAAATCATCAAGACAAACCACGCAATCGCTTCTGCGCAGTGTAACGGGCTCGGAGAGCTCGAATCGGGCAAGCTTTTCCACGAATGCGGAAGATAAACCACGTGAGGATTCTTGTTGGCGATGGAGAAAAGAGAGGAGGAGGAGGAGAGAACGGAGGAGGAGGAGGAGAAAAGAGAGGAGAATATCGAGGAAGATAATGCCTTTGAAGACTGCACTTATGCAGATGCAGAGGAAGAAGAGCGGATCACTTTTCATTAGAGAGAGAGAGAAACAGATATATAATCCATCCCCGTAAGGTAACTAAACTAGCTACAAATAAGGATATATAAAATGGAAGAAATGTATAAGAAAATCCTTGTTTCCGTAGGTGGTGCAAATTGTTGGATTTTGGGGGATGGTTTCTCTTTTAAAAATTTCTCTTTAGTTATCTCTTTCTTTGATCTTTATTGTAGTGTTTGTAATACAATAAACCTTAGGCATAGAACTCTATATATAGAGTTATGATCCTAGACAAGAAGAGCAAATCGCTAATTCCTATTGTTTCAATTTCCTTTCTCGTTTTCTTTTATGATTTCCCTTTTTCTTGTTTTCCTCCTTTTTGTTGATTTTCCTTTCTACTTGAGATTCCTCAATGGCGAAGGAAAAACTAGAGGGAAAAGAACCTCATATATAACTACCTATTTGATCCAACTCTCGTGGCGTACGTAAAAGTTACAGTTGGAGACAATGAGGACTGGCCGTCGAAGATACACAGCAGAAACTCCGGCGTCTTTGCTCCCCGAGGCCCTCACAATGAAACCCATTGTTCAAGCGCCGTCGTGAGTTTTCTATCTCTTTTTTCAATCGTAATTCCAGGGTCTATGATCTCTGAATTAGGGTTTAGGTTAATTTGTGTTCTTACGTTTTCTATCCCTAATGCATTCTTCTTCTTCTAACTATCGGATATATGCAGTCTAAAGGCTAAACGGAATCAAAGATCAAAGGATAAGAAGAAGAAGAAGAACTATATTATTACAGGATTGTGGGATGTAATTATTCCCTCGGAGCTCCTGCAGGAGATACTATCCCGCCTCGGACCAAAAGCCAACATACAAGCTTCCGTTGTCTGCAAGACATGGTTTGAAGCAGCTGTTTCTGTCAGGAAGCTACCGCTTCTTCCTTGGCTTTTTTATCCATTAAAGGATAAAGATGGAGACTACATTCTTTTTGACCCATTGAGGTCTCAAAAATATGAAAAGAATGTTCCAGATTTAAAGGACCATGGAGCAGTCTCTTGTTCTAGGGATGGTTGGTTGCTTGTGGTAACACATATTTATGATAGTCCCCCACAACGGATGTTCTTTTTTAACCCGTTTACACAGGAGCGTATCTACTTACCCAATAGGTCACCCTTTTCCTCAGGCAGTTGCTTAGCTTTCTCAGCCGCTCCTACATCAACTAGTTGTTTAGTCATCTCTTTCAGCCAATTACCTTTGGGAGGTGATTTTGTGATCGCTACTTGGCGGCCTGGTGAAACCGTATGGACCGTCCATCGCTATTGGAACCTACCATCCAGAGGCAGATGGAACAAATGTGTCTTCTCAAATGGTGTGTTCTATGCTCTTAGTTTATGCGGTTACGTCGGGGTTTTCGACCCGTCTAAAGAATCTTGGGATGTTCTTCCAGTGATACCCTGGCACTGTCCCGGCTTTTGTGAGATAGATTTCTCTAGTAAGAAAGTGTTTTTGATGGAGCATGATGGAAACATCTTTGTTATGTCTGCAAGCCGCAACGAGAAAAACAACAACAAGAGGAACCGGTTGGTGTTTAGACTAAACCTTGAACGCATGGTATGGGAAGATAAGAGCGATGTTTGTGGCGGCTTGACTGTATTTGCAAGTTACATCGATCTTGTTGACGTCTCAGCCAAGGAGAGGAACGGAACATATCCATCGAGTAATGACTTAGTTAGATTATACAACTCCCTCTTTGATGAGATGAAAAACACTTGTCCCCCTACAAGTACCTCTGACTCTAACCACGTCGCTTGGGTTGATCCATCTCACAACAACGTTAACTTGTGACTTCTTTCCTTTTCATGTTTTTATGGGATGAAAAACTTTTATTTCTTGCGTTTTTTTAAAGGTTTTACATGATTTAGTTGCAAGTCTTGTTTACATTTTTTTTTATCCACAAATGTTTTAATCTGATTCTAATTTTTCAAGAACCTGAGCTTTCTTCCAACACAAGCAAGAAAGGAGCACCTCTTGTTTTCTTACGAACACGACAAACATGAAACAACTTGAGTAAAAAAAAAAAAAATTACTTGACCACACGTGTGAAGTAATGCAGGCCCATTATAAGCCCAAATCGTACATTTAGAGCCCAATTTGTTTTCCACAATTTTTTATTTTTCTAAAAACATGTTACCCTTAAAATAAAGGGGACACACCTTTAAAATAAAAGGTTTGTAAGTTTTGCTCCAATGGAGACCTTTATTCTTACCCCTTAAAAACACTTTTTTTTACATTATAGTCCTTAAAAGTAACTATAATCAATTATTATAATAAACTTTTCACAAAAAGCAATAAAAACACTTTAATAAAATATTACACAATATTATTAATTAAAACATTACATAATAATAGAAAATTACATTAAAACATAAAATTACATAAAAAAAAATTAAACTAAACTTACATTATTGTTTCCATAATTTTCCCATATGTGATCAATCAATGCATTTCGAAGAGACAAGTGAGATTCTTTATTTTTTATTTCTAAATTACGAGCTAGAAATTGTTGAAATCGAGCATGTTCGTTTACTGCAGTTTCAACTGTTGACTCTGGCGCTGGTCTTGTATCTTTAATTGGTGCATTGAGATCACGTTCATCTTCAATTATCATGTTATGCATTATAATGCACACTGTCATTATATCATGCTATACCTCTTTTTTCCAGTAACGCGATGCTCCTGCTATAATAGCAAACTTAGAACTCCAAACGCACGTTCCACATCTTTTCGACATCCTTCTTGACGTTTTGCAAACAACATCTGTTTGTTCTAGTTTCCCAACTCTCGATTTTTTTTTCATTGTAACTTTCTTTTATTTTTTCCCACAGTGTTCTCAAAGATTGGTTATTACTAACTATTGGATCTTGTGATATTTCTAAATACACACGACATAGTAGCTCATCTTCTTTGTTTGCAAAACGTCAAGAAGGATGTCGAAAAGATGTGGAACATGCGTTTGGAGTTCTACAGTCCAAGTTTGCTATCATAGCAGGAGCATCGTGTTACTGGAAAAAAGAGGTATTGCATGATATAATGACAACGTGCATTATAATGTATAACATGATAATTGAAGATGAACGTGATCTCAATGCACCGATTAAAGATACAAGACCAGCGCCAGAGTCAACAGTTGAAACTGCAGTAAACGAACATGCTCGATTTCAACAATTTCTAGCTCGTAATTTAGAAATAAAAAATAAAGAATCTCACTTGTCTTTTCGAAATGCATTGATTGATCACATATGGGAAAATTATAGAAACAATAATGTAAGTTTAGTTTAATTTTTTTTTATGTAATTTTATGTTTTAATGTAATTTTCTATTATTATGTAATGTTTTAATTAATAATATTGTGTAATATTTTATTAAAGTGTTTTTATTGCTTTTTGTGAAAGGTTTACTATAATAATTGATTATAGTTACTCTTAAGGACTATAATGTAAAGAAAATGTTTTTAAGAGGTAAGAATAAGGGTCTTTATTGGAGCAAAACTTACAAACCCCTTATTTTAAAGGTGTGTCCCCTTTATTTTAAGGTTTGACCATTGGAGATGCTCTTAAAGAGATTAGAAGGGGAAAAAGAAAACAAAAGGTCGTGAATGTCTCTGTCCCTCCTTCAGGTTCTAACGCAAGCTCCACGAGAAAGGATCGGAATCAAGCAGATTTTTGCCGCCGGTGAATCGCCGGCGTAGTTAGTGAACAGAAATTCAGAAGCGATTGTTTTAAAAAGAAGAGAGATTGCTACGTATGTCTATCTAGAAGCGGCTAGTGTGAGAAGAGGGAGTTTTGAAATTTGTGTGGAGGATGTCTCTGAGGATTAAATTAGTGGTGGATAAGTTTGTGGAGGAGCTAAAGCAAGCACTTGACGCCGATATACAAGATCGGATCATGAAGGAGAGGGAGATGCAGAGTTACATCGAAGAGCGCGAGCGCGAAGTTGCTGAGCGAGAAGCCGCCTGGAAAGCCGAGCTCTCTCGTCGCGAGGTGTGTTTGTATTGAATCTTAATTTTAGGTTTTTTTTTTCTGGGGAAATGCTATTTGTGGGGATACTGATTTGTTCGGAATTTTTCCCAGACGGAGATCGCTAGGCAGGAAGCGAGGTTGAAGATGGAGAGAGAGAATCTGGAGAAGGAGAAGAGCGTTCTCATGGGGACGGCGTCGAATCAGGATAATCAAGACGGGGCTTTGGAGATTACTGTGAGTGGTGAGAAATATCGGTGCCTTAGGTTCTCTAAGGCTAAGAAATGAGGGTTTTCGCTGGATTGGGGAATTGGATTTCAGGTTCGAATCTTAGGGCAGAAAGGGTAGCACTTTTATTAAGGCAAAGATTTGTTCTTCGTTTGTTGATCTGTGAAATGGAAAGGAAATTATTGAAATTTATGCTTTGATTTGTGTAGTTGAAAATTCAATGAAGAAAGTATGTGTTTTTTTGCAATCAGAGTTCGTTTGATCACTTTTAAGGTGCTTTCTGCTGAAATTGAACATTTGGTGAAAGCTGTGTTCGTCATACTAATGGATGTAGATTGACTAGTAAAGATTTTTGTAGGGAACAATGGCAACATCTGGACATATCTTTCCATATTCTTCAGTTTTTAAAGGATTTTTTTTTCAGATGGTTTTGCTTGAATGCGCAAACATTGTATGGCATGAAGAGAACCAAAGATGGCCCGTGTGAAGATGCATGAGTGAGAGTGAACAGTAGTGATCATTTGTGATTGAAGAGAGTTGTTAATAGACAAATGTTTAGCGGTAGAGAAATAACAGCATTTACAGTAGACTCTAGCTTGGTCCTCTGCAAAGCCAGCGTTGGATAGCAGGTTTAAGCGTGAGATGTTTGAGAACATAAAGAAGAAGTAGAAGGTTGTGCCTGTAAGACAAACCGTGCTCTTGTGCTAGGTTCTATTTTCCTCTATGTTACAACAGTAAATGGCTGCTTTCACAGGCTTCCTCTTCCTCTTCCTCTTCCTCTTCCTCATCCTCTTCCTCTTCCTCTTCCTCTTCCTCTTCCTCATCCTCATCCTCATCCTCTTCCTCTTCATCTTCATCTTCATCTTCATCTTCATCTTCATCTTCATCTTCATCTTCATCTTCCTCTTCCTCTTCCTCTTCCTCTTCCTCATACTCATCCTGTGCAATAGGGAGATACGTGGACTTCCAATATGCATGTTCTTTACTAGACATATGCGTGGTGAAATTGTCAAAGCCTCGGCCGGTAACGGAACAGCATACTTCGCAAACCCAGGAAGATTCAACCGTTTGAATGCTGTAATCATTCTCCTTCTCAAGTGCCCTTGACTCCGCGAGAAGAAAGCTTTCCCAGGCATTAGTGGAGGAGGCGGGACGACCAAGTGGATACGGAGTAACAACGTTGTACCTCCAGCCTTGTAGCCTGCTCAAGTCAATAGGAGCAACGTGGTCTGTTGAATGGGTTATGACCATGAAATTTGCTGGAGGTGGATTATGTGCTCTCCATAGAGACATATACCCCAAAAGACTGTTGGAACCGGAACCGAAGGGGTCGACATAAAGAAGGAATCCAGTGGAAGAGACTGCTTCCAGGTGATCAGCAGGGGTGTCTTTTAGTGTGCCAAATACCTTCATGGTGAGAGGCCCCGTGTAACCTAATTTCTCCAGATACCGTTTCATACATGGAAACACCCGACGAGCATCAAAGCCTCGGGGAACGGGACACGTATCGATGTTCCAAAACACCGCTGTTACAGCACCAGCAAACTCCTGCGTCGCCATAGAGGTAAACAGTACTCAGCTGCAATTGAAGAAAAGCTTCTCTTAAGCGAAGCAATAGAGAGAAGAAGAGATGTTTCTGAATAATATTGATTCTCATTGTAACACAATCCTTATATAAGAAAAACCCAAAACCCAAAACCGACTTTAGATTGAAAACCAAAAAAAGGAAATTTAGCCAATTACGTGACTTTCTAACAATGGAAATTATCCTTTAGTACCACATAATTCAAGACTTGAATCAGATTCATAATCGGGAAATTTAAGTTCCTCGAACTAGAATGGAAATCAAACATCACATCTGCGTTATTCGTTACTCGAAGAGATAGATTGAATCACCGACCACAGAAGAAAGAAATTAGTAGATCATCACATCGACAAGCATCAATAAAAGCAATGGTTCTGATTTTTCTACCTTTACCTAGTTTTAAACAAACGTCCACTAGTCAGTCAAAAACACCACAAAGTTTGGAACTTTGACCAAACCCGAAGCTCGAGAAGTTGATATTTTGTTCGTGTGGGTGGTGGAATCAGTAATCTACACTTGTAACTTCTTCGTCGTCACCAATCAGGCGAAGAAACCTTCCGGAGATGATTCCGTTTCCACTGTTACCGACGCCGATTGAATCAAATTACAGGCCTTGCACCATTCCTTACAGATTCCCTTGTGATAACCCCAAAATAGCCACTCCCACTGAAATCTCGTGGATCAACGTCTTCGCCAATTCCATCCCTTCTTTCAAGTTATCTCTTCGACCTTTGGTTTCCGTTTTGCTTTGACCATTTTCAGAATTCTGTGATAGCTAGTGGTATTAATGGGGGATTGTTCACATTCATGGTTCGGACATAGCTTTTGATTTTGTTACCAAGTATTGATGTCCTTAGGCTCACTAGCAACTGTCGTTGGTAGTTTGTTCGTTGACTTTTCTGGGTTTTCAAGAATTTTGACTTGGTTAACATGAGGAGGAACTTATGCTTGGTAGCTTGTAGGAAACAGATGGAATCCTGATTTTAACTAAAAAAATCCCCAATATGTTCTAAAGCTGCTTCACTTGTAGGAAACGTGCAGAGAGCGATACGACTGTTCCTGATGCTCCTGCTAAAGCTGAAAATTTTGCTCAAAGGTACCATTTTTTTTGAAGGTTTGGTTCTTAGGATTTAGGAAATCGCTTGCCAATGTCACCTTCATAAAACTAGACGAGCTTTTAGTCATGTGGTTTGCATATGTAGAGAGTTTAAAAGTCTTTCAATTTGCGTCTAATATGTCTTACTTTGAAACTGGAAGGTATGGTGGAATTCTTGAAGACTGGAAGAGAGATCCACAGAGCCATGGCGGTCCACCAGATGGCGTTGTAAGTCATAACACCTCATGGTCTTTTCCTCTTGTATAGTGAGCTTTGTTTTCATGGATTATCTTGGTTTGTTTTCAGAGTCTCGGCCGAGTTCGTGAGCAAATACTGAGAGAGTTAGGATTTAGGGACATATTCAAGAAAGTGAAGGTATATGAATTCCCTTTTCAAGATTCTCTCTTATACTCTCTATCTCTGTTTAGATGAGTTATATATTCAATGATGGATGAAAATAGGATGAAGAGAATGCAAAGGCTATATCTCTATTTCCTGAAGTTGTAAGTCTGAGTGATGCTATTGAAGATGAAGGAAAGCGATTAGAGAATTTGGTGAGAGGGGTCTTTGCTGGAAACATCTTCGATCTTGGTTCTGCGCAGGTATCTATTTATCTTATACAAACGCCAATTTCTTTCTCCTACAGGAACCATGTCCTAATATTTAGTAGCTCTTGTTTCTTTTCACGTCTTGAAGCTTGCTGAGGTTTTTTCAAGAGGTGATGGTATATCTTTCTTGGCTAGTTCTCAAAACTTGGTGACAAGACCATGGGTCATTGATGACTTGGACAACTTCCAAGCTAACTGGATCAAGAAGCGGTGGAACAAGGTCCACACTTTTGTTTTGCTCTCTTTTATCTAAAAGTTTTTTGTTCAGACTTCAGAGATCGAGACGCTTGACAAAACCCCACTGTTTGTTTTCTCATTTTGTCATGACAGGCAGTGATTTTTGTTGATAATTCTGGTGCAGACATAATCTTGGGTGTTTTGCCGTTTGCAAGAGAGATGCTTCGCCGAGGAATGCAGGTACTCTTTGTTTCAGTCTCTTGAGTGAGAGCTTCCTGGTTGCTAAGACTGCTTAATGAGAAGCAAGTGATGCAGAGTATACTGTAAACTTTTCTTCCTCTTCCCCCTTGTAGGTGGTGCTTGCCGCTAACGAGCTGCCATCCATCAACGATGTAACATATACAGAGCTCAGAGAGATCTTGTCACAGGTAAATGAATGAAGTGGTTCTTGATTTTTTCGGTATTTTGTATAGAAAAAAGTGATTCTGATTTATTAATCATGATGATTTACCAGTTGAAGGATGAAAATGGCCAGTTGTTAGGCGTTGATACTTCGAAGCTTGTGGTTGCAAATTCAGGGAATGACTTAGCGGTAAGATACTGGAAGAAGCTCCTATAAGAGAAATGGGTTTATTCAGAGATTCTTAAAAGTTTGTTCTTCCTCTGGCGAATATATGTTTTCAGGTAATCGATCTCTCAAGAGTATCACAGGAGCTTGCTGACCTTTCATCTGATGCAGACTTGGTCATCATAGAAGGCATGGTAAGTCCCATTTACAGAGTGAAAGTGGAGTGTAATTTTGACAAATATTTAACGAGTTTTGGTTTCGTTTACTGACTTCTTGGCCGTTTCTCATGATCAAGGGTCGTGGAATTGAGACAAACCTCTATGCTCAGTTCAAGTGTGATTCTCTCAAGATCGGAATGGTACTTCCTAGTTTTGTTCTTAGTCGTTACTTTGTGTGTTCTTGCTTATTTTTTTATTTCTCATGTCCCATCCTTTTTTTTGTGTTAATGCAGGTGAAGCATATTGAAGTAGCAGAGTTTCTCGGGGGACGGCTTTATGACTGTGTCTTCAATTACAATGAAGTTGAGAGTTAAATTATATTTAAGTAATGTTTGAATTTTTTTTTATTTTAAACAAGAATTGAGATTTGTGCTGATATTTTGGGTATCTCAGGTTTCATATTCTAAGAACATGAAACATATACTATTAACAAGTTTGAATTCTAACAAGATCGTCATATATATCAGGAAAAAGAGTGACTGAAACTAATAAAACAGGAAAAAGCCAAAAGAAAAGAGTGATAAAAGTAGACTTGCAATACACGCAACCTAACCACTAAACAAAGGAATCGAGGTCAAACTGGGAGTGGAAACACAGTGATAACGCCCCAAATTCACAGACATCTGTATATGAATCTTCATCTTCTTGCACATATCTCCCCTCAAAATATAGATCCAAGTCCCTAGGTCTTTGTCGTGGTCGCAACACATGAATATGGTCTTGTCATAAATGAAGTAACTAATGTGATAATACGAAATATATAGCATTGGCAAGATAGTTCTTGGCAAAGTCATGAGTTTTATCCACACCACTTGTTCCTCTTTATCGATCTTATTCTTCGTTACCCAAACCTCAACCTTCCTTGTCACATCGCATTGGTTCAACAACGAGAACCGATCTCTCTTGTAAACCGCGAGGAGATGTTTATCACTGTGATGGTTAATGTGACATGGAAGGAGCTTACAAAAGGTTTTGAAAATATCAGCAGAGAAATCAAAGCTTCGGATCGAGTACTGCAAAGTATTCATATCACGACTAAACCAATAGAGATTTCCGTTTAGGGACACTTGTTTTCTTGGTTCAGCTGTTTCAGTCTTGAGCCAGTTACCCTCAGGTGTATCAATAAACTTCAACGCCTGAGACGCACAATCGTATATCGCAGCTAAAAAATGGTACTCACGACCATAAAAATAGCCCAAGATCTTGTAAACCTTATCTGGTTTGCTATTATCGTATCCTAAGCCAAAGTCATAGAACAATCTAGGCCCGTTCTTGACATAGAGCAATTGAGCGCCGTCCTTGGTCCTTTCAACCTGACTCAACCACGGATTCCAGATCGCTGTCCCAGACTCATGTTTATAAAACAACAACTCATCGCAACTAGTGAGGAAGTTTCGGGGAGTAGCTATAGGAGGGGAGTGTAGCTCACGCAACTATACCGTTGGATCGTTGCTGTTGGGATTGAGTATGTCTATCGAATAGGTTTTGGAACTGGTGAGGAAGATGAATTGGGGACGGGAGCGAGACAAGTGTTTGTTTTGGAATGTCTTGTCTTTGTGAACACCGTTCCATCGTTTACTTACGGCTCTGAAACGAACTAGAGATTTAATTGGAAGACGACAGAGTATCTCTTCCTCCAACTCCCATGGAAGCTGCATAGCCATATTGGTTAGTTAGGTCTTGTTGTGTGTTTTAGTTTCGTTACTAGAAAATTGTTATATAGATAGCAAAAGAGGAGTGTATATTCTGTTAGGGGAAAGGAAATAATCTTAATATTATTCATAGTAATAAGATCATTTGAATGATAATGAATACTATAAAGTTCAGAGTTCAATTATATTTTTGTTTCTATCTTTCTTAAATAAAAATCCACATAAAATATGGGAACAATAATAACACCAACTTTACGGCAAATCACCCACATTAATCATGTTAGGAAGAAAAAACAACTGGCACGTAATCATTGGCTAGGAATAAAAATATGCGTAGGGCCCACAACATACACAGAGATAAAAGCCAGTCTGTGTCAAAGAAGCTGTAATCACAATCTCTCTCTCTCTCTCATTTCTCACTTTCTCTTCCTTCCTCTGTTCATAATCTTCCTCTCTCTGCAATACTATGAGCTCCTCAATTATGAAAACCCTCCAGATTCGTAAACCCACTTCTCTCCCCGTCTCTTCCTCCACCGCTGCCGCTAATGAACCAGGTCTTCTCCGCCGTCGTCTCTCTTCCCTCTCCCTGAACCTCTCCCGTAACCAGTCTTCCACCGCCGACGACGGTGACGTCTCCAGATCCAAATCGGTCTCCTCCGTGGGAGAGCAAGGAGGTAATAGCTCCATGAAAGAATGGTGGGAATGGAGTTGGTCACTGATTCTCTTGAAGAAATTACCAGTCTTCTTCACGGATCTTGAGTTTAACAAGGATGAAGCCAAACCATCAATGGGGAATAGTCAACAGAGAGGCAGCTTCGTTCACGTACTCTTCAAGCTCCGGTCCGAAATCAGCCGTCTCCTCCGTTCTTCCTCCTCCGATTCTCTCCCTCTCTCCTGCAAACAAGGACAGCGATGACGTGGCAAATCTCAGATTATGAAAATTGATCTTCTTTAACTCTTTATTAAAATGTATAATATGCTTGAAGTTATTTTGCTATCATTCCTAGATTACGTCGTCATGAAGCCTCTTTTATTTATTTTTGATGTATAATTAATTAATTATTTCATACTAGGTTTGAAGCTCATTTGCCACAATTTTTCTATTTAATTTTTTTTATATTAATTAATTAATTTGTTGATTTGAACTTTGAATTATAATGATTTTGTGTTAACTTTTGTTTTTGTTATATTTTGAGTTAACCAACCACTTACACTAAAATATGAACAATTTGTTTTTTATTTTATTTTATTAGGATATTAACACCTCACTTTATCTCGAGTTATCTATTTCTAAAATTTTAGCATGTTATAAATATTATGTTTGTTTACTTCTATTAGACTATAAACATGCATATAAATTTGAATCAACGTTAAAATTTGTAAACATAATGTAAAATCGCATTTGCACCCGAAATAAGATTAAAAAATAATATGTATACTTTTTATCTACTTTGTTGTGGTAGAATGTGAGCCTCATGACCATTGATTATTTTCTATTAGTTTTGTAAATATAAATTATATTTTTGAAACAAACATATCACAATCCTTAAAATTTTCATGTTTTTCTCTGCAATTAAATTTACCTATAAAAACTCGACTTCTATTTGTTTTAAAAAAAATCTCTAACTCTAATTTTTCATTAGCTTTCTATTATCTAAATTAATTTATATTCAATTTTTAACTTGTAAACACATTATAACATTTTTAAATAGGATAAATCCTTTGAATAAAAAGGTAAATATATACTATTTCAAGTTAAATATTTCTTTACTCCATCTCCATTTTATATTCCAACTTTTTGATAACTTTTAACATCAAGTTATCACATATTTATATTAAATTAATTAATTTATTTGTGTATTTTTCTTACTTTTATTTATATTTAAAATATGAATAAATGTAAAGAAATATGAATAGTCATTTAATAAATATTTTAAATACAGTTTAATGTTTTTTGCTGATGTGGACACTCTAAATGGAAAGAGGAACTCTCTAATTATATATAAGATGTCATAGAAATGTGCACTTATCTTTTTATTAAATTTGTTATCAACTTGGATGGATTATTTCTTTATTTATTACTACATGTCAAATACTTTGGCTAGTGATGATAAATAAAAGAATAGAAGTCTAGTTTTGAAAGAACATATTAAAGGTCAAAATACTAGAGCTGAATAGAGAGCTTTTTCAAATTCTGATTTTACTTCTTTTATTTCCATTTTTGTCTTGACGATAAAATAGGTAGAAATAGCGTTTGATGTGTATACGAAAAAGAAAGAAGTATCTACGAAACGTCGGCTACAATTAAGGCTGCCATTACCTTTTTGTGGTCGGTGGGGAGAGGAATAATCGCGTCGGTGGCGCATTGTTTGTTAATCGGATTATTATTGTCTATCATTAACTATCTAAACCTTAATTATTTCATTACCTTATCATCTGGATTGGACCGTAGAAAATATAAGAAAACCTGCAGAAGAAAAAAATGACTAACACATCAAACTATATTTTAAAACAACAAAACTTCAGAATGGTAAATTTGTTTTTTATTACTAAAACTCGCAAAATGACAATCATGAATCCGATCTATCAAACCATTTTATGCAGGTCCGGCACGAAGCTAAAGTTTGTAAAGTATGGGCTTTAGGCGCCAAAAATTTTAAAGTTACATAGGGCGCCAAAAATATATATAAATTTAGGGACACTATAACCAATTAGTTCTCTTAGGCGTATTGGTTCAGTGAATCCATTATGCAGCCGCCGCCTTCGAATCCTCCCATGCGCATATTTTCCATTATTTCTTAATAAGCAAATCAATATACTCTGCGGAATCCTCCCATGCGCATGTTTTCCATTTTTTAATAAGCAAATCAATCTAACATCGATTAGATCATTTGATGATATTAAATTATTTTACATATTAATAAATTAATTAATGTAAATTAGATAAGTAATTCAATTTTAAAATAAAGAAACTTAATTAGTAATTTCCATTTTTTTCCTTCTTAGTCTCCCTTCTTTTTCCATACTGAAATTTAACAAAGCTTATGGGACTTCTGTGCTAATCTTCAATAGTTTATTCAAAATTTTGTGTTTTTAGAAATTTTCTGAATTTTGAAACATGAAGTTTTGGAATTTTGAATGGGTTATATTGCTTAATCATCCTCTTTCATGCTTGGAGAAGGCAAAGAGAACTATTTTTTCATAAGATACAATGATATTTATGTACTTTTTTCTATTTATATGAAAAAAATTAAGTTTAAACAATTGTTTTTTTATCATATACTGTAAAAAACCAAAAATAATTATTGTGACTAAAGGGCATCAAATTTTAAATTCGCTTTAAGCGCCACAAGTCATCGGGCCGGCACTGATTTTATGGAATATACTTACTAATATCAAAGGTGACATAAATAACTCAAAGCATGTGATGTAAGAAGACTGAAGAGTATATAACTATATATGCCCTAATAGAGATATAAACAAGTGGCAGCACATGGTTCCCCTGTCATGTTCCAATCTACCACATTGGGACCAACGTATGATTGATTGTTTCGAACAACTTGAGAGTTTGGTTCCAAGACATCAAAACTTTGATGACATGATTGAGACTTGTTAGCTCATCATATTCCACACATTTTACATCTCTTATTGGCCTTTTCATATACATGTACTCTGTTTTCATATTATATGCAATATGTTATTGACTTATTGTACTTATGTATTGACCGTAACTAGAGAATTGGTGGACGGCATAGACTTGTAAATTGTAATCTATTGGTTTGTATTAATATCATTGTTGTGCTATAAAAACACTTGTGCTCTAATGGAAGATGATTGATCTCTCAAAAGCCCAAAAAGGGTCAAAGCTTTCAACAATGGAGATGAAACAAAGCTCCACCAAACTTTAACAATTGTTACAAACAAACATACAAAACAAAGAGACAACATAAATAGTCCTCACAGCTACACTTTTTTTTTGTTCCTCCACCAGATTTTTATCATACATTTGACACTCAAACCTTCAAAGATTCAACTGGCTTCTTGCACCTATCCATCCCGGTTTCTCTTCAGCCTTCTCTGTGATTGAAAGATTTCAAATATTGACTAAGTAAAAACATTTGCAGCCTCACCGAGCAAATGGTTCAAATACAGTAGTAAGTGTGTATGTGCCTACGCATCTCTCATGCTGATGTTTAGGCTATTTCTCATTGTTCGTCTCCCAATACCAGCATTTCCCTTTTGCATCATCGCAACAAATTCTCCATAATCAATCCGTCCATCCTATAACAACAACCAAAAAAAACCAAACTTTAGCAGCCAATACCAATGGTGAAGAGTGGAAGAATCATGTCAAGAAACAAAAGCTTACATTGTCTTGATCCACTTCTTTGATTACATCTTCAAGAAAAACATCGGTCATTCCATGTTCAACGCAAGATTGTTGCAGCTCATCAATGGTGATGTAACCACTTCCATCTTTATCAAAGTACTGAAACGCAGAGACAAGATGCTCTTCTCTGTCTAGTTTATTCAGATGGATCGTCGCTGCAATAAACTCACTGTAATCTATTGTACCGCTGTTGTCTACATCAGCCTAAGACACAACACAACAAATATGGTCATTGTCTGTCTATATATATAGCGAAATGATATCACATATTATTCCCAAAAGGATGCATTTTTTTTTACCGCTTCCATAAGATCTCTGATCTCAGTGTCTTTCAAAGTTGAGCCATATCTTCTCAATCCAGCTTTGAGTTCATCAAAAGTGATTGCACCGCTGTTATCAGTATCCATTGCCTCAAACATTTCTCTTAAACCTGCAATCTCTTCTTCTGAGAGGCTCTCAGCTATCACCTGATTAACCATAATGAAGTCATATGAGTTATCTCAAATGAATGTGATGCTGCAGAGAGAATAGCAGTTGAAGTTCAAATAAAAACTCACCTTTAAAGCCATCTTCTTCAATTTATTCATTGCAGAAAACTGCTTGAGACGAGACAGAACAGCCGGATCAAGTGCTCTATCTGGTGCTACTCCGTTCTCACAGATCCATGGATGACCTGAACAGAAAAGAGAGAGATACAACATGAGATATAATCCTAATGTCTTCATGGTTGCCAAAAGTGAAAATGAATACTTACGCATGACTTCATGAGCGGTCAAGCGTTCAGAGGGACTAGAGCATAACATCTTCCGGATCAAATCTTTAGCACTGTCTGATATCACAGGCCAAGGGTCTGAATCAAAGTCGATATATCCCTTTAACACAGCATCAAATATTCCTTGCTGTGTTTCTGATTCCAAAAAACACAAAACCATACTTCAGGAAACTTAGTCTAAAGCACTTAAACAACGCATTTAAGCAGCTTTATGCCATCAACACATACCTGCCCAAAAAGGTGGGACACCACTGAGTAGGATATAGAGTATAACACCAGCAGTCCACACATCAGCTTCTGGACCATAATGCTTGAGAAGAACCTCAGGAGCAACATAGTATGGACTTCCAACAACATCCTTGAATATTTGTCCTGAAGCAAGAACACACATTAGACAAAAACAAGAAGAGCACTTTAGAGATCAAACACAAGCACTTCAATCTGCAAAGTTGCATCATTAACGTTACCTGGTTTGAAGAAAACAGAGAGACCAAAATCAATGGCTTTAAGAGAGAAGTCATCATCCTTATTAACCAACAAGAAATTCTCAGGCTTTAAGTCTCTATGCATGACACCAAGAGAATGACAAGCCTCAACAACACCGACAATGATCTTGGTCAACTCAGCAGCTTTCCTCTCGCTGTAATGCCCTCTCTGAATAATCCTATCAAACAGCTCACCACCAGCACAAACCTCCATCACAATGTGAACATACAAAGGGTCCTCATAAGCTCCTTTGATCGTGACAATGTTCTTGTGACCAGCTAAATGGTGCATTATCTGAATCTCCCTCCTAACATCCTCAACATCTTCTTTAGAGATCAGTTTCCTCTTTGATATAGACTTGCAAGCATAGTCAACACCAGTTGCAACCTCGGTGCAGAGATACGTTGTCCCGAATTGTCCTTGTCCTAACTTGCGGCTTAACGTGTAGAGATCACGGATGTTTGGAGTCTTGTGACCAAGAACGTAGTAAGCTTGATTGTCCATGTTACGCCGCATAACAGGCTCTTTCACAGGAATCACAAGAACTGGATTGTTCTTGTTGCTGCTGTCTTTTTTCAGATCTTCTTGCTCTGCAGTCGGCGAGTGAACGGAGGAAACGGTGGTGGTGGTTACGGATCTCTCCTCGGGCCGACTATCGCTGCCCTCGTAGATTTTGTCCTTGAAAGAACCACGGCATGAATTGCCCATGAAACTCTCTATTTACAACTTTTCACTTTCTTCTTCTCCTCATCCAACGAAAAACTGTTGTTGAAAAGAAGAAAAAAAAAGACAAGAACTCAAATCAGACAAGAGAAGCAAAAAAAGTATCAAACTTTGGAAAGAAATCAGAGAACCCACATCAGATCAAGAAATTAGAAATCATAAAGTTTTGTAATTTTAATCAAATCAAGAAAATGAAAAATTCAAAAGAAAACAGACAAGAGCTCCTAAAAAGTCGTCTCTTTGAGCAGATAGATAATCCAGGAGATGTTTCATTAAATGTTCATTGATCATTTACCAATATTATAGGTTTACAGATCCCACAAAAGAATCAAAACACAACAATAAATGAGGAATTTGCAATTAAAGAAACATGGAAAAACAGAGGATCTAGTACCAGAATAGCAGAACAGCAAGGAGACAGATGAAATGGATTAGGATTAAGGATTAAGATTAATAAAATCGGTTTAATAATTTCCAGGGGACGACGAAGAAGAAAAGGGGAATAGTTTTGAAGTCAATCACAAAAGGAAAACAAAAAAGGTCTCTTCTTTCTTTCTTAGTTTATATATCTCTGTTCTTGCTGTTTCTGGTTGGGTAATTGGAGGATGCGTTGAATCATTAGAGTGTAAAGATAGATTCCTTTGCTGTGGATTTGTTATGATGAAAGAGAGAGAGGATGGTGCAGCAGACAGAGAGAAAGGTCTTAGTGCTCATCACCTAAACGCGGTTTCGTCCCACCTTCTTCATTCGGTTCTCATTAAATTATTGTTTAATCCTTCTCTCTCTCTGTTACTGGTCTAATGATGATCCAAAGCAAGAATAATTAGGAGGATAACTTATTTTTAAGAGTCATTATTAGCCAAACGTTAATAGCTTTTTTAGAGCTGTTTATTATGCCCAACTTAGCTAAACTACAAATGGTTTATTATTAGATGCAAATAGTTAAAAGAGTTAATTAACCAGAATTATGATGTTGACAACTACTAATTGGTTTAGAAAGAAAATTCAAGATTTATTATTTTGACTTTTCATTTTCGTTCATCAAGATTGACTTATGCAACTAGATTGTACATAAGTTTACAAGTAAAATCTAAAATGTATCACTTTTCTTACAAGATGACATCATTGACATGTCACTGTCGGTAAGTGACTGAGATCGCAGACTTCAGTTTCCTCGCACGTGGTACGAATTTAGTTTTGGTCTACGGTTTTCTTTAGTCAAATCTTCTTACAAACAACAAAATTAAAAGATAACCATGAAAAATATTTGAGAGCTTCTAAAAACAATAAAATTATTCCATATACTTTTCCTTTTACATCAATCATTAAAGATTGTAGTGTCTGTTTACACCAATATTACTCATTAGCAGCTTAATTACATTCCAATTCCAAAGTTTAACAAATGCATTGCCGTGCAGAAAAAAGTATCAAAACGCTACACAATGCCCTCACGAGACTCCGTATCTATCTACTTGCTTCACACTGCTAATTTAGTTGCATCTACGGGTTTCACCACTCCTCCACTTGTAGGGCTATATTTTTCACAAATTGTATAAATCACTGGTTAGATGAGAAAAGTGGAGCAGAAAGATTTAGACTCTCTGATATGGAAAATTTGGAGAGATGTCTGTCTACTTACAATCCACTTAAGACTTTGATAGCATCGTAAAAGAACCATTGCAAGGTGATGACAGGGCCAACGATTGTGATTCGAACAGGAAGACTTCTGGTGAAAAGACCAACAAACCCAATGTTCCTCACAGCCTGAAGCTCAAGCAAATGTGATATAAACAACATCAAAATCAAGAACACTTTGTGAAATGAATTTTTTAAAAGATTGGATTGTTTATAGTGGTTAAAGAGTTTACCTGCAACACATTCTTGGCTTTGTTGTTGTAGAGAGACGAAAGAACCACATCTGCAGGGTTAGAGACGACTGTACCTACTGCTCCAGCAGTATACCCAGCGAGACATGTGACACCGAGCTGTTGAGCTTTAGAGCAATCTTGCTTCCTTTTCTTGATAATGTTCTGATATATAAACTCCACTGACTGCTCAAACGTTGAGAACATCACCATGGAAACTGAAACCACATAGGAGACACAATCAACAAGATATGTATACTTTTGGAAGAGAACACAAACGCGTCTACAAAAAGAACAAACTGATGCAGAGACATGCTTCAAATTGATTTAGTGAAAATAGGCATTGCACAAAGCAGTAAGATTACATGGAAGATTGCGACACCAGAGCGGAAAAAGTCCCCTGTGGAAGCTGCAATTGTAGAGAGACAAAGACTCAAAAAAACGAACACAAAGTGACAGCCAACAAGCAGAGTGATCCTGAGAAAAAAAAAGGGTTTTGCTTACCCAGCAAGACCTTCATTTCTATATACTCTTGGAAATCCATCAAGCAACCCTTTTGCAAACAAGGGCTGTGTCTGTACTCTGACTTTTATAGCTTCAAAAGGACATAAGGCCATATCGGCGAATATCTGAGCAGAGGCACTACTGAGAAAATATATGGAAGTTCTGTTATTGTTAGGCAACACATTGCTGTAGAGTGTCTTGAAGTACTCATAGAGCCCAAATCTGCATCCACCTTGAACACCATAGCCTAATAGCTTCCCTGACCAACCTCTCCAGAGATAAGAACGGCCATGCTCTCTTAACAGAGTTGAGAAACCGGACGGAATGCTATTGTACTTCACCGGATTCACCTACAAAGAGAGTAATATCTTTGAACACAATCTTGATTGATCCAATTTGAACACAGAGTAAAGAACAAACGTCCTAATTCTACCAATTTGATCCCTCAAGAGCAACAAACAAGATTTGATCAAGAAGCAGAGAAATGGAACAAAACCTGCATATTGACTTTGAGGACATCAAGAGGGGTTATAGCTAAATGAGTTGTTCCGGCACTGAGCATGCCTGCCATGGTGCAAACGGAGTAGAACCAAGGAGACGTCAGCTCGTCGTCTAATTTACTCTTGACAATTGTCATCTTCTTCCACAAGATCGTTTTGGATCCCCGATGATAAACCCTAATCCCTTAGAATCAGAACAAAAGTTGGTCTTTGGCCTTCAAAACCCAAAAAACCCAGAAATGAAGAAACACGTCACGAGGAGGGGGTCACAGAGAAGCTAAAGAAGAGGGAATAAAGAGCGTATGCATACGTGGAGGATTCTCATGTCTGATGGTGATCGTTTGTCCACGTCTTACGGCAAAGACAAGGCTCAGAAGGAAACAGAACGCTCTCTTTTACTTTTTCTTCACAAACAGAGAAAATAAAGTTCCAAGCTTTCGGGAACGGGTTGGCGGAAAAATCGAATCTTCTTGGTAAATGAATGTTATAAAGGTGAATTTCAATTTAGGTCTCACGCCGCCGGCAGATAGATTCGTTGCTTTACCGTTACCGGAGTTTTTAAGAGTCCTCTGTTTCAAATTGGGCTTTTCTTGGGCCTTGTAGTTAGGAATCATCACATGATCATGCTTATGCTTCACTGATCAGTAATCAGTAACTTGTAAAACATTGTTTTGACTAAAGTACAGAAACAGAAAGAGATTGAAAAACCAAAACTTTATCAAACTTGTGAAAAGCTGAAAGCTACAACCGTTTTATTTAAATCCTCAAACCCTTAAAATCAATGAACATCCAAACCCTTGTGTTACAACAATTACAAATGCTCTCTCAAATCAAACAAAGTCTCAGAGAGACTGAACAAAACTCAAGAGAACAGTGTCCTTTCTTGTACTGAAATAACCATTTCTCTCTCTTGAGTGGATAAAAGTTTAAAGATGGAATCTTTGATTATCAGGAGAATCTCAAACATCAGCAAAATCACCTGGAGATGCTACTGACAAGCCTAGCACCAATCTTATCAAGCTTCTTCACACAAGCAACAGATTTCAAATGTCCAACTTTCCAAAACGCTTCCACCATCTTCTCTCCGATCGCTTCTCCTTTCTCCGCCACATCAATCACCGCAACAGCCGTTGGTCCAGCTCCACTAATCGTACATCCAAAAGCTCCAGCTTCCAAAGCTGCCTTTTTCACAGCTTCCATCCCCGGAATCAATGGCGCTCTCGTCGGCTCAACAACTTTATCCGACGACAACGCCTTCCCAAGCATCACCGCGTCTCCCTCTAGCACCGCCGCGACTAAAGCAGCTGCTTGGCTACTGTTCCACACATGGTGAACCATCGGAATCTCTGTAGGCAATGCTGCTCTCATCTTCTTCGTTGGAGCTTCGAACTCAGGGCTCACTAGAACAAAGAAGAGATCTTTCTCCGCCGGGAATCTCAACGGCTTCAGATCGAGAGGTTCGTAGCTTCTAATCAGAACGAATCCTCCCATAATCGCCGGTGCGATATTATCGGCGTGATAACCGGAAACCTTAGCTTCCGATTCCAATCCGGCTAATACCAATTCGTCATTTCCTAATTTCCGGCCGAAGATCTCGTTAACCGCCACAGCGGCTGCGGCGGCGCTAGCTGCGCTTGAACCTAAACCGCTCCCTAAAGGAAGGCCTTTGTGCAAATCCAACGATAAACCAACCGATCGGATCCCTAGCATCTTCATCGTCGCAATGGCGGCGATTCCGGCGCAGTTCCGGAGGGGATTTGTGCTGAGTTTCGTTGTGGTTCCGGTGATCTCCGAGATTAAGATCTCACCGGCACGAACGGAAGGATCCACGCGGAGAGTCACGTGGTCTCCGAGACCGTCGACGGCGCATCCTAAGAAATCGAAGCCTGGTCCGAGATTAGCGACGGTCGCCGGCGCGAAAGTCTTGACGGAGGTGAAAACGGGCTCAGGCTCGACGGCGACGAGGGTTTGTACGGAAGCTCTGCATCGAAAGACGGAGACTTTGGCGAATAACGGCGGCGATGGTTTCGATTTGGGTTGGAAATAGGAAATGGGTTTGGAAGGCGACTGGAAACAGAGAGAGGCCATTGATGAAACAGAGTAATGAGATCAAACAAAAGCAGAGAGATGCAACAAAAACAAAAACTCTTTCAAACAAATATATAAGAGAGAGTGATGAACAAACGTGACCACCTAACCTAATCAAATGTTTGTTTTTTCGAGTAAAGCTGATTGCTTTTGGAGTGGAGTGAGATCAGATTCAGATCTCCACATCTTCGCATTACCTCTGAATCAACGAAATTAACGGTTTAGTCACAAACCGAACTGTACCGGACCGGAAAAGCTTGGCCGCTTTTGTCTATCTTACAAAAATGTACAGAAATGATTGAATCATATTGGTCTTGATGCAATACTATTTGAATTCATAGAAAGATCGTTCCTTTTGCGCTTAAACCTTCGCTTTGATTCTTCTTCTTTTTGATCAACATATGCTAGAAAAGATTGCAGCTTTTTCAAACGGGAACTTTGTGGTGGAGCTATAGCTGCTTCTTCTTCTTCTGGCGTGTGTTTGCAGTAGTCACGGACTATCTTGAAGAAGTGGATAAAGATAGCAACAAGACAAGCAATCCCACAGACAAGAAACATCCCCCAGAAGCTATGAACGTTGAGCTGTTCTGAGTCACCTGACTGAGACCCGTGCGGGCTACTACAGTTTGATTTCGAAAGCCATTTGTCATGGATCTTCTGAAGCTCACCAGTTTCGGATAAACCAAGAATGGCGGTTGACATGTCAACTGCTAAAGGAGAGTCTCTTGGGAATGCCTGAAATGCAAAAGATTAGATCAAACTATGTTCAAACATGCTGAGTAAAGAGAGAAGAAGATGACTCACAAATCCCCAACCGCATCTGGTGAATTCTTGCCCTCTGATGGCAAACTTACAGTAATCCGAGAGGAAGAGATCAACGTAAGGACGTTCATCGACGATTGCAGCAACAGAACCGTTTTGAAGCGCATTAGCGTATTCTTGAGGAGAGCCAAGAGGCACAAGTCTTGATCTAGCGATGTTAAGCTCATCAACCATGTAGCTTTCAGCGAAAGAGCCAACCTGGAAGCCAATACGACCAGTGCTGCTGATGAGTGTGTCTACTCCTTTTATAGGTGAATTCAGCTGTTGCACTGTAAGCAACGATGTGAGACTCGCAGTGTAGCTAGACGTAAGGATCAGAACCACAAAAAGCCATATGAGCAGCACCATACGACCAAGCGTACTCACTGTGTTCTCTCCTGAGAGTTTGATTTTCATAAACATGTTAACAACTTCACATAGGAATTGCAATAACTAGCTTGAAGTGGTTTTGAGACTTACTGTGGGAGAAAAACATTGTTGAGAAGGTGAACCTGAATATTCAGTAAAAGATTAGAGCTTGCATTAGCTATGGTTAAGACAAATAAGATGACTCTTGTGTGTACTAACCAGAGAATGGTAACGACTTGTCTCTTTGGAGGACCTCGAAACTCATCGTTGATTCGGTGTTCAAGAATCCATATCACAGCTCCAACAGCAACGAAGAAAGCAGCTGTTACAGCCCACATAGCAGGAGTGAAAGGGCGTAAGAAGGCCCAAGGATTCTCGTTAGGTGTTGAGACAGGAGCAACCACGACAAGCCCTGACTCAATGTAAGGCTGAGTGAAATCCACAATTCTTGTTCGTTTTGTGACAATGGCTACATCTCCTACAACAGCATCAAAGTCAACACCAGTGGCGACCTTGTTGACCAGCTCATTGTAGTTTGGATTCTCAAGACCATCTCCGAAAAAGATAAACTCATGAGGAACCGGATAAGAAAGCAGTTTCACAGCAGCTTCAAACACATCAATGCAATAACCTTGCACAATGTTGCTACTTCCATTAACCCTTGACACAAAGTGCTTGAAGCTTGCTCTATCAGGAACACCGATTCTCAACCGCCTCCCATTGTTACGGAAAACCCATCCACGAGGCGTAACCGAAGTCCCACCAGGCCAAGTTACAGGTTTCAGATGTTGGTTTGAGCTAGAACGGTTGGAAGGTTTGCTGTAAAATGATTCAGGAGGCACAACAGAAAGACCAGAATGGTTAGACCAGTAACCTACTTGGCGAAAACGTTCACCAACCACATTGATAATATCATACGAAGGCTGTAACATTGATCTGTCTTGATGAAACTGAACCGGACCTGTTAGACCAGACATCTTTGTATGCATAATGTAGTCAAGAAGTTGTGATCCTTCATCAAATCTGCTCAACGCACTTAGATTCAATGCCTCGCCTTCCAAGCTGCTTAGCTTCTCATCGTGAGAGAATGTAAGATCACCTCCAGCTTCAAGAAGTGTCTTCACTGCTTGAGCAATGATCCACACAGTATCATAAGCATACAAGCCGTAGACATTCAAACCAATAGTCTTGTTACTAAACTTTTCCTTCTTCCACCGTGCCGCAAAGTCCCTTTTCTTTCTTGAATCAGGCGTGTGAAGACGCAGTGTTACAACTCCATTGAGAGATTTGCGAGCCAAAGGCAAACCTGAGTCTAGTAGAGAAGATAACCAAGTTGTAGCTATCCAGACATAACCTTTCTCCATCATCCCTAATCTCTCTGCTTCCTCAAAGATCATTTTGCCTGTATTAGGGAAAGTGTTCACAACGATTATCCGAGATTCCATTCCTCGGATCTTAACCAACTCCTCTATGATCTCAGCTGGACTAGAAATCACAACATCCAGAGGAAGCACCGCCTTGTAAGAAATCCCACAACGTCTCTCTTCAAGCTCATCGCCTAACGCAGTAACGCCATTTCTGCTGTTATCATCATCGTTATACAATGCCACCACATCTGACCAGCCGTAGTATGTGATCATCTCCGCAACGGCACGCATCAGAAACAGATCGCTAGGTGCTGTTTGTACAAAGAATGGGAACTGGAGTGGAGATAAGGTAGGGTCAAGAGCTGTGAACGACAACATGGGAACAGTAAGCTCATTCGCAAGATGAGACAGAACATGAGCCATTATTGATGTCTGTGGACCAATTATAGCTACTACATCAGTCTCCATGAATTGCAAAGCTGCAACAACAACAAAAGGACAAGCGGAAATAAGTAACTATCCAAAAGATGGATTACTTCAAAAATAAGATTGAATAGTTTTTTGGCTTCTTCAACCTCCCATGATGCTGAGGAAGCCACTGCGTTTAGCATCACTCATCAAAATACTTAATTTGGATCCACCGAGGAAGCTAGGATCAGAATTTACATCTTCCTCAGCAGCTTTCAAAGCAATATTTGCAATTTGACCGTACATGGTGTTTAAACCAAACAGTGCACCAACTTTGATAACAGGAGGCCTAGAACTAGAAGCTCTCTCCGAAAGTAACCCACTAGCAGCAAGAACAATGAAGCCTAATAATAAAACCCAATTCATTGCTTGGTCAACAAAAAAAATGAGATCTTGAGCTAAACACAAATCAGTTTTGACAGGCAGAGAGCCAAAGTAAGTAGCTTTCAGTTTCACCAGTGAGAAATGGACCTGAAAAAGTGTCACGGAGATTAAAAACTTTACCACAAAAGACGGTGGAGATGAATTAGTGGCAGAGATGATGCCAAACCCCAAAACTAAATCATCCTTTAATAGATTAAAGCAAAAGGAAGATTCTTGAGGCGTTGAAAAATTAATTGGCTAAAAAGGATACTAGAAGACGTGAGGAACAAGCAAAGAGAAAAATAAGGAGAAAGCGACTGAAGCGAATATAAAGCGACTGAAGATTTGAGAAAGGAACAAACTTTTCGTAATGGGTTTTTGAAATTTGATTTACTTACAAACGGAATCCATGGAGGAGACAAAGCTTCAGGATAAAACATGGGAAAGAAAACGTGGGAAATGAAAGATCTCCATTACCATTTGAAAAAGAGTTTGTCATACACTGAAAACTGTAGAAGAGTGAATCCTCTTTTACGTTCACCCTTTTCTTTTTCTAATTTAACCCCAAAAAGTAATGTCATGATCAATAATACCATTAATTTATAGGTTTTAGTGGACTAAATCCAAGCACGATGGTAAGTGTATTGTTTAACGCTCACGATGAAAATAATGAAATGATGAAAGGAAAGGAAATTGAGTGTAAGATGTTGATGAACAAAAACACTAAAGTGTAATGGAATTTATGTGGAATATCCACTGAATTGGAAATTGGACCACACAGACTATCATAGCACTCCGATTTGTGAACCAAAAGATACTTTTTTAGGATTACAAAAATCATCATTTACCCTTTTATGATCTTTCTACTTCCTAGTTCTTTTTTTATAAATATAATTTTTCTAATTCCATTCCTCGATTTTGTTACTGAAGATAGCAGATTTTTCTTTAGTTTTACAAATCATAGAACGAATAATACATACTTTGATAAGAATTTAAAATCATTGTTCCAAACATAAAATGTTGATCTCGTTCTCTACTTTTATCTTGCTCAAAAAATTTGTCAAAAACATAAATATGGCTTCGACTACCTTCAGTGTTTTCTTCACGAGTGTTGGCTAGCATTTGCCGTCCTCTTGAGGAATGGTGAATGTCCAACTAGGAAAATCTGAATCCGCAAACAGAGATGTTGGAACCGCTTTGTAGAACGCCAATGGAACTTGTTTTACCCTTCTCCGAATCTGCCAATTTCAATGTTATCCAAAGTTAGTTTGTCTCATGGTCTAAAATTTTACTACAAAGAGTTCATGGCAACGTAAGTAGAGATACATTACCTCATCACCGAATATGGTGGCATATGAACCAGAGCTGAAATCTTCAATTTTCATTTCAGTGGTTTTCGCTCTTTTGGTTAGATCAGTTTCCAGCGATGAAACAAACCTACACAAGAATAGAGAGAGAGAGAGAGAGAGAGAGATATCAAGAAGATGAGAACATGTAAAAAGCTTCAAAAGAAGTTCGGATATTATTGTTTGGGAAGTAGATAGACCTTGAAACTGGTGGGCAGTAATGGTGACGCAGAGTGTCAATCTCCCAAAGGGAACTTCCTGTAACAAGTAAAGAGAATCATTAGTTCTCGTATGAAATGACCTCACAGAAAGCAAAAAACCACCATCTCTTCAAGCTTTAAAAGCAATCAGAGCTTCATCATGCGTATGACTCTAGAGAAACAGGGCATTTTTAGAAAACAAAAATATATCTCGTTATGCAACAAAGCCACAATTAGGAAAGTTCAAATGAATCATGCTTCCTCTACATAGACGGTGTAATTCTATGCTAAAGTCTGGAAAAAAATAGATAAAAAGACTGGAAATGTCAAATACTTACTCATGGCACCAGATATCTTGGGGTCAGTTTCCAGGTTCTTGAAGCGGTCAATACCAAGCTTTTTCTTCTTTGGTAGGCTCTCATTGTCTTCATCAATTTCCTGCACAGAAGCGACCTTGTTTGAAAATCAAATCGTTTTTATATGTTCTTTTAAGAAGTCGTGAGGGATATCATATAGAAGCAAGTCATTTTCGGATCTGGTAACATGTTCTTTGCATTATAAAGCCTGATAAAAAAAAATAGGTCTTACGAGGTGCACAAGATGGTTAATTGAAGGATGTCTTCGCAAAAGGTTGTAGATCAAAGCCGTTATGACCAAAGATCCCGAGGGAGGAATGGAAAGTGACAGTCTGCTTAGTTTCTTCGTGAATGAAGCAGCTAGGTATCCTGGAAGCAATGATGACTTCAGGCAAGCATCAAGAAGCTGCAAAAAGCGTTTTCAGACATAGAGGTGAGGATGGCAGATTATAAACCAGGTCCAGTAGTTCATTGGTAACTCAAATCCGGCGATACCTGAAGAAATCTTGATCGGTGCTTTGCCACAAAGATGGAAGGAACCAGCAACGCATAGAGTTTTATATAAAAGTTGGGATATTCCAAACCATGTTCGGTCATGAGGATGTAGAGGCTGCTCAGCGCCATCACACTGACAACTCCCCCGATATCATATGATTTTGTTAGGAAGTCGCTGCAAGTTATCAGGTACGGTGAAACATATATAAGCGATCATCAAAGTAGAGAGATACAGAACAGTAGAAGCTTTGGTAAATATGCATACCATAGCATTGCAGGATTAGATAGATGGGGAATAACTGTCTTGTCAATACTAGCAAGAACCTGATCATCAAAATATATAGCATATTGGTAAGTTTTGTCCATGCCGCTGTATTCCAAACAAAAGAGTTTAGTTGTGAAAGTAAACTAGCTAACCTCCTTGTAAACGTCAAGGGGAAGTGGCAGTCTGAGAAATGAAATCCATGCTTTAGTGAACTTCAACTTCATCCGCTTGGCAATTGTAGTCGGAGAAAGAAGCTAGAGTTTTTGACAGAATTACGAGGCATAAGTAAGCAGTTACATTCACAATTAGTATATATATACCAAACTTGCAACTATAGACTCACACTGCTGTCTTCTTCCTTCTTCTTTTTCTTTTTATCCGTAGGTTTTTCATTAACACTTCCATCTGGAAGTATCAATAACCTTTATTAGAAAACCTAAACGTAGATGGGGTAACATAATTGGAAAAGAAATAGCCCCAAGTGCTCGGAAACACTCACCTGACCCACTCCACATCTCGTGCTGAGACTTCTCAGCTTGTTTTTCGGGAGGTGGAATTCGAGACAAAAGTTGATAAATCTTGCGAACAGAGAGTTCAAGGCTACAATTCACAAGTTTTCAAGCTAATCAGCAACGAAACAACAACAAGAAAAGCATGAAAATTACATTCAAACAGTCTGAAAGAAAGAACAACGAATATAAGTTACAGTTATTCTAACCTTTCTTTCAAATCAGTCTCTGCCTCATTAGTTTCTGTGACGGTTCCATCACCTAAGAAGGCCAAAACCACAACAGTAACACACACACAAGGTTACATAATGAATCAGGGGGGAAAATGAGAGAGAATATCTAGAAATGAAGCATGAATGAGCATACATACCAGACACGACCGATGCTTCAAGTGTTTTCACAAACTTTTCCATGCTGATGTATGTAAAATAGCTGGCACAAATCGATATTTGGAGTCAATACCAAATGAGAGGATAGCAACAAGCTAATGCAGAAGGAAAAAACAAAGCTTTATCAACGTACCGGACATCAATATACTTGAAATACTTTGAGGAAAGTATATCCAAGAATATCTCAACATCAACTGCAGAGTGAATCTGCAGAGACAATAGTAAGAGAATTAAGCACACTGCAGATAAAGAAGCAAAGAAATTTAATTTCAACCAAGTTTTTAGATACTTACAATAGCATCAAGTACTCTGTGGTAGATGGAAGAGTGAAATCTTCCCACATTCAAAAGCTTCACAAACTCCATTAATGTCCCCAAAACAATATCCTAAGCAAACCAATTCATCGAAAGCGTTAGAAACAAACTAAGTTCACAGCAATGAGAAAGCGCAGAGATAGAGAAGAGAGGAAGTTACCCTTAGAGTATCTTCAGACTGGTCAGAGACGAGAACGTCGATTAGAAGCTTCACGAACTCGTCAAATTTTGATCTCAGCCAAGCTTTGAAGATAACTTCAGGGTCATCAGCTACAGCTGTTGTCGCCGAGTCATCTCCGTCGTCTTCTGAACGAGGGCGTTTCGTTGAAGTAGGATGTGAGGAAGTCGAAGGAAGCTGAGAGAGAAGAGGAGTGAAAAAGGACTGGAGAGAGAGGAGGGATTCCACCACGAACTGCGGCGGAGATTCAGGGGAGATGAAAGAGAGAAGGAGAGGAAGGTTGTTGATGTGAGCTCGAGAAGAGAGTAGGTCACAGCCCAATGACTTGAGCTCTTTCAAGGTGTAATTCGCTTTCTTCTTCTGCGTATTCGAGAGAATCGACGCCATTGTTGAGCTTCTCTGCTTTCGTGGCGGAGACAGAGGAGACGATGAAAAAGAATTTGAGAATTTAGCCTAGCAAAACCCAAAAACCTAAACGATGTAATTGCGGACAACACGACGTCGTATTTAGCACTCACAAAAACAAAGAATTATCATTAAGCCCCAAATCATGTCAAATATCAAGATTTGACCCCAATCTTTTTAATTTTCATTTTCAGTCACAAAGAATGAGTGATAGTCTGATACAAACAAGGTTCGAACGGATAGTGTGAAGATTGAATTTTGAAACAGTGGCATTACACAGAATATAGTAAACGAGAGATATTAAATCTTAGCAACTAAATGTCAGAAAGATTGATTTTGATATTGACTTTGATCTTCCAAAAGACACTACAAAACTCAGAAACAGAAACGCTCTTAGATCTCTCTTATGATTCCATCTTTCTTCTCTCAAAACTATAAAAATCTATTGCTGCTTCTCGGGCTGTTCTTCTTCTTCTTGGTCTGGATTTTCTTCTTCCTCTTCCTTCTTCTCTTCCTCTTCTTCGTCGTCCTCTGGAGGATCATAAGGCATCGGCGGTGGCAACGGTGTCTTCATCGGGCTAAACTTGGGGAAAATGTCAGGCCTCCTCCCAGGTTTAGGTCTCTCCCACTCCTGCCAGTAGTACATCACAACGAAATCAAAATCATTTCTGGTGGCAAAAAATGTAAAGAACATAACAAGGGAACATGCATTTCTCAGTCAAGCTTTGACTTCTATAATGAGAACGGCAAGCTCGATTACTCGATGCCAACCAAACGAGAAGACATGCTCTATATGTTACAAATTGCTTGAAACGGAAACAAAGGTTATGCAACGTGAAGATCTATGACGATTAAAGCTCCAGTAACATTCAAAAAAAGCTAATTCGACCTGGACCATTTAAGTTTCTTCATCTATGGCTGCAAAAGATTTGTCTTTTATTCAACTAATGGGTAGATTCATCAACAAACAACAACACACTCTCAAGGATAAGCCATGAGAGAGCTAGAAACAGTTAAACAACCCTTCTATATTCTCAATCACCGATTAAGCGACAAATCGAGCTGTTACCACATGGAATTGAAATGTGGAAATGGAAGATCCGAAATCAATTTGAAGGGAAGAACAGGAGCTTACGATTGGGAAATCGAGAGGATTGCGACGAGTGAGCTTCTCTTCCTCTGGTGCCATAGCCACAACTTGAAGCTGGTTACTCGCTCTTCTAGCAATCCGATGGTTCGGATTCCATTGGCGACGCGAAGGAAGGCGAACGGAAGAGAAACCATGGACAAGGGACGAGGAGCAAACAAGCGAGCGCGAGTCGTGCATAGAAGAGGAAGACATCTTCGACATAGATAGAAACCCTAGAACATCAAGCGATGGAGAAGGGAGCAATTTCGGAGAGCAAAGCGACGCCATGGCTCCGGTACCGGGGATAATCGATTTTTCCACCAACCAAGAATTATCGTGATAGCCTTCCTAAATCTTATGATGCGTCTGCGTTTCAATAGTGGCTTTTGGGCTTGACTGGAAGGCCCATAAACACTAATCAGATTGCAATTAGCAATTGAATTGAATTTATTCGAAGCCGATCATGGTTGGCCAATAGCCATTACCTGTTTGTAAACTGTTGGTAATTCAAACTAAAATACACATAAAAATGTTTCTCTAGATTACAATTTTTGTATGAAGTTTGATCATCAGTTCGATTTTTGTTTCTTGAAGAATTGCTCAAGTGTCTCAAGATTCTAACCTAAAGGGAGATTATCATTTTAGCTTGGTTCGAACTTGCTCCCTTTCTTTTTCTGCTTAACTTTATTAATTGTTGCATCTTTTAACAAGTATGTCTTTTCACCTCTATTTATATTGTTTATTATAGTTTTTCATTCTTCAATTTTATACTTGTTGTTTTGATAAACAACTTTATTCGATTTTGCCTTTTCTTTTTTTGCTTATCATCGTTTTATTTCATCGGCATTATAACTACGGTCGCTCCATACTTCTTGTTTCATAGTCTTTGAACCCACACAAAAAATGCACAACATAAAGGAGCCATTCATGAGTGATTTGTGAGCGGAATAGGGTGGGTAAGGAGGAATGTCCAGTAGTAATTGATAACACTGCTAAATGAGAAGTGTCTGAATTCCCTTATTGTTTTCTTATTTTTGTAGCTTTGCTTCCATTATTTTGACCCTTTTTGGTTTTCATACAGCCGTGTGAAAGCTTCCCTTACGTGTGTTCCCGTTGTGCTACGACCTCTCTACCAAAGGCAAGTCTTACCACAATTTTCCCTTTCTCACTTGTTAGTTTTGTTTGCCTAAATTTGATGTGCATTTTGGCTTTCATGAAGCCCGCACACATGTTTGCACCACCAAGTGAGTCTCATGGGAAAGAGACAAGTTCTAACATGTTTGCATCACCAAATGAGCATCATTGGAAAAAGACAAGTTCTAGCATTTGAAAACGTTTAGATTTCTAATCTTTAGAATTTTGGGTTTTTCTTAATGAATTGTAAAACATTTGTAGCCAGAATTAACAAATCAGTCACTTGCTCAAGAAAACCAAATGTTGCTGCCGTAGATGGATGATCAAAGAGACAAGCTGTTGCATGAGTGTTATGTTGTACAGAAACGGCTTCAAGAGTGCAATGTCAAGTTCCACATAGAAGAGGAGAGCAAGTTAATAATGGACTCATCTTCTCCATCTGAAGCCATGGAGCTCCTAGCAACTTCTGATAACCGAATAGGTCTCCTAATTGCTGAGGTAGAAAAGATGAAGCTAACAACATCAGAAGATAATCCCGGAACAGATTATCTAGTAAGGAAGATGCTAACAGAGGTCCTGACTGATAATGCAAGACTCAGAAAGCAAGTGAACTCTCTTCTTCGTTGCTCTTTGTCTGGACATGGAGTACAATTTTGATTTCCTATATTTGATTTCCACAATTTTGGAACAACATTCTTTATTGTCTTTCATGACTGTTTGTCGTGTTTGGATCTCTGATCCTTTTTATCGTTGACACTTGTTTCTTGCTCTTGTAAATTAAGCACCGCTCAATAAAAAACTTAACACTATATTGTTTGATTAGGTCGAGTTGCCTAGTAACAATATTCAATTCAGGTCGAGTATTTTGACCAACAGACAAACAAAAAAAAATCATAGATTAAAAAGCAGCAATGATTTGGAAGAGAAAAAACATCTACATGAAAGATACCGAATCATGAACACAAGTACAGTCTCTACCTCTAATCTTCTTGAACACATTGAAAGAGCAATAACATAAGAAGCTATAGGTGCTTCGACCACATCTAACTGTGAGAAACTGATTTTAGATTTTTATTGAAACATAAGCTGGCACGAGCTTGAAGCTCTAGGCAGAGAAACCAACTCACTAAGTGTCTGAGATCGCTCTTCCTCTGTACCATATCTCCACCTAGAGATAACCGCAGTCTTTAACTGTGGTGCGTTCTTCAAGATGTACGCCACTATTTTCTTCTCCTCGCCTTTCATCTTGCAAAATTTCCACTCGAAAGTATGTAGATGGAACATCAATCATTCAGGAACCGAACTAGGTCCTCTCCAATTACCTTCAATGCGTTCGGCTGAATAGTGTTCCTTGCACTAACAAAATACACATTAACTGTGTGTTAGTTAGACCATAAAAAAAAAAACTGAAATAGAAGACAAGGAGACAGTTGGAAAAAAAAAAGAAAGGGAAAAGCCATGAGGTTCGGTTAAATCAAATGTATACCCAGATCTTAAGAACTTGTAGTTTAGGAGAGCGTTCCAACATCAAAGTAAGTAGATCCCCCCACCTTTCAGAAACTCCACATAGCTCTAAATCAAGAAGATGATAAAATCCAATGTGGCGCTGAAGCTGCGTATAGAAAACATAAGCAAAACCGTACAAATGTAATTAAAAAAAAAGCACAAGAAACACAGATCGTTTTTTCAGTTACCGTTGAAACGGATAAACATAAGCAGAGGCGCTTGACTGATGTAAGAGATTCCAGCAGCTTCTCGGGGTTATTATCGTAAAAAACACAAACATTTGCCTCAACCAACTCAGGCATATTCCCAGACAAACACAAGTCACCAAGAAGATCAACAAAGCTCAAGTACTTCAAAGACGGGGCATTGAACACAAACGTAGAGTATACTTCTTCTGCCGGGCCTTGATGATATCTTTGAACTATAGATAATCTTTGCAAGGCAGACATTTCAACGGAGAGAGATGGCAAACAGTATTGCCTATTATCACTTGAGTCCAGCACCAACTCCTCAAGAACAGGACAGCCTGATAAAAGCCTATGGTAAGATTCATCCACTTCGGTTTCGGTTCCATACGTTACATGCACCAGGTGTAATGTTTTCAGGGATGGCAAGAAAACATGGGTAGGCACATCAATGACAGTCACGTAAGTGAGTTTCAAGACCTCGAGCTTCTCGTAAGTGTAAAGAGCCTTTGGTAATACGATTTTGCAGAGTGAGTCATCGCGATCATATGTCCAGTCAGAAATCTCAAGCTCACGCACATGGCGAGCCATTCCAATTCTGATCCATGTTACCAAATCTTCAGAGCTGCAACAGGCACCAACGCCGAACTTCAACACTTCTAGAACCGGAGCTCTGTTCAATACCATTGATCTGTCCACATACTTGGCAAATTTCTCATACTCGGAAGGCTTCATTTCAGAACCATGCTCCAAACCATACTCAAAATAAAGTTTCGGAAGCATCGTCCAAAGAAACCTCCATCTTTTCGACAAGACCATTGTGGCGACTACTTTTTTGGTAGGCAGTGATGATACAATCTTCAAGAGCAAATCATCCGACAGATTACTAATCCTATCCATATCCAAGCCCAAAATCAAACCCACTTCCTAAATCTCAAAGTAATTCCACAGAAGATTCGAGCGTGTTGCCGGCGAAGAAAGAGGAGAAGAGAACAGAACCCAAAAACCCTAAACCATGAAGCAGAATCGGAAAGACACTTACTTTGCCATGGAGATTGCTTTTGTGAAGTTAAAGCACAGTGAAATGCCCTGAAACGAAGAGCTATGAGATCATTTCGTGGGCTCTTCAGTTTCCAGATTTTTCAGATTGAAATCGTTTGTTACTGGAAGAACAGTGGTTGGGAGCTTTTTCCCCAAATCGATGTACAGTAACTCGAGAAGAGTGCTAAAACCAAAACGACGTCATATCAATTTGCTTTGTAAAACCAATAGACATTCGCGGTTCAACGGTTCAATTAAACTAAACTGGATTCGAATCATAACCGGTAATTCGATTTCAGTTTTCAATTTGCACAAAACTACGTCGTTTTGCGTTCTGTTCCGACAAGGCTAATGACGTGGCAGCTGAATCACCTCGGTTGACAAAAATACAAAGTTGACTAACGAGATTGTCAAAATTGATGATCCATAATTCGTCATTCCAAGAGAGCGAGAGAGCGAGAGATGTAATTGTTTTTTTATTAAAGAGAGATGTAATTGTAATGAGGATGAATATGCATTTTACATAAACGACGTGCTTAGCCAAGAATGTTTCCATCTTTTTGAATTGTTCATCAGAATATAACAAGCGGTGTGTTTTTCGTTAACTAGAGTCTTAGTTTATTGCAATGTATGAAGCAAACACATCAACAAAGCAAAGCAATGAGATTGAATTATTAACTTTAACGAGTTGGTTCCTGCTGAGTCATAGTCTATCAGGTAATTATGGCAAATATTTTGAATATTCCTTGACGAATATTTCAGATGCTTTGTAGTAATTAATACAACAAATAGTGAAATGGAGAAAGTAAAGAAAACAAAATAATCAAATACTAGAAAAACCATTATACGATCCAGATAGAACTATCGAGTTTAGAGCATGTTTAATGGGAGACGCTTGATACGACGCTTAGGGTAAAAAGCAATTAAAATTAAATGAAAAATTCGTTTTTAACCAAGCTTCGACACTTGCTTAGGCATTTTAAGCACCGGAGCTTGAGGGGCGCGTGGCAGTGTGAGATTAATGAGAAAATAAAATTCTCTCTTCTCTCTCTCTTTGCAGACCTCCATCGACGGTTCAAGCTCCAAAATCCTCTTCCCCTATTTCCCCAATTGCTCTGGCCGAAGCTCCGAACGACAGGCCCAACTCCGATATCCTCTGTTTCTCCAACTCAGCCTCCTAAATCTTCTTCTATTGTCGCTCACTCACCGACTGTGTCTCCGTCGCATGCTCCAACAATGTCTCCGGCGACTCCTTCTCAGTCACCAAAATCTTCATCCCCTGCTTCTTCTCCATCTCCGTCATCAAAATCTCCATCCCCTGCTTCTGTTTTTTTTCTCCAATCACCGTCATCTTCTTCGCCGGCAAACTCACCAACGTCTTCGCCCTCTCCTGATCAGACACTTGATGTACGGGTTTTAGAATCATCATTGATGGGATTGTTAGCAAGCTTAGCTCTGTGGGAGATGTTCAAATACTGCAGTGACATATGGAGATTTGATCGTCATCCTTGCGTTCGAAAACTCTTGATTGTTTTTGGACAGTGGGGTGAGTTTCTCGATCACTTTGTTCCTGTTTTTGGTTTGATTAGGTTTGCACACTTGACTAATTGAAGATTAATCAATCATCATGGTGTAGCATTTGTATTTTTGCAACTTGTTGATAGTCACAGAATGCTGAAAACGTTTTGTTATGAATTAAAAGATAGACTTTTGGGTTTTGGGAATCTTGTAGATCAAAGCGTTCCTTTGATTAGCTTGTGTAGCTTAGTTCCTAGAGATGAGATTACTCCGTAAGAGCAATATAGCAAGAATAGGCTGCTCACTTCAGTAGTGAGAAACCCTCTATTATTTTTTGAAAGTTTGGGTCCAATAGGATCTTACATTGTAATCGCAAGTATGTTTTGGGATCTTGAAGAAACTGAAACTGTAAATGGATAATATAGTAAAAGCCTAAGTTTTTTCTTTGGTTATCCTACTTGCAGTGACTGTTATTCAGGTTACTAACTAACCAATGGTCAAGTTCCGATTTAGCTTTTGAATGATCTGTTTTGAGCTCTGATGTTTCTTCGTGCTTCTTTGTAGTTATGTTATTACACGCTGGGATGATGTTTCAGTTCATATGCGATGTTGATGCTGTCTATGCAACACTAGTCAATTAGACAACAACGAACAAGAGAAATGTGGTCAAGGATTGAAGAGCCAATGTGAGTTCGATGAGGGAAGTGATCGTTGTTGTGTGAGCTATGATGAGATTGTGGTGAATTATGATGATGTGATTGAGCTTGATGAAGAAGGGAGGGACGGCTCCTGATGTTGCTTTTTTAATCTTCAGATTAGGTCGTGAAAGTGATAATGATGCAGAAGACCTTGAACATGCCAATGCAGGCCTTGTTGTTTGGTTTTGGACAAACAAAAGCTCAAGATCAAACAATATTTTTTGTTTTTTGTTTTTAAGCACCCCAATAGGATTCTCCCATTGGAGCAGAAAAAACTACCAATGCTTAACATAGGTGCTTAGCAAAATTTTAATCATAAAATATATTTTTAAGCATCTTATAAGCACCTTGCATTAAACATGCTCGATTGGATATTTGTTTCGTGACTGGGAAGTCAACATTAAAACTAACCGCTAAGCTATTTGCTTCCAAGTGGCTGGCATTCTATCCGGGGCATTGACATATATAGTTGGCAAATAAAAAACATCTAAAATCGTGTGCCAATTTTCGAAAATATGACTTTAGTTATACATATATACATCTTAGTGTATGTATATAATAAGATTCGAATGTAGAAAAAACCTTACCTAATGATGGACCACCATCCAAAAAGGATAGATTATTACCAACAAAAATCTACGGTCCATAATTAATGATGGGGCATTGCACTTTTGAAATAAACAAATTAGCCGGAGATGACTGGCCAAAAACGAAATAATCACCCATAAATCACTGAAATTCGATAATTGTTATATCCAGTTCAACTTTTGTTTTGGTTGTTCCCGACTATTATTTATTTGTTCCGTTCGTTATGTTAACTCCATTCATTTTTCCTTTTTGAAGCGTTTATAATTAGATTTCGTACCCAATAATTAGTAAAGTTGTATTAACGATTACTCCAGTTACAAACCTGTTTATACTTTTTCTTCATTGTTTAGTAAGATGCTGCTATACATGTGATGTGTGATCTAGCTTTGAAAAAAAAAAAAAAAACTCAACTGAGAATGATAAGAAATTAAATAAATAAAGGGAAAAGAATGCATCAAGACTCAAAAGTCTCATAAACCTTAAGATATCTTCTCTAACCACATATCTCTATAAAATATGACTTTATTTAAATATAGACAAAAAGAAGTATATATAAAAAGAGAGCCAGCATTTGCATTTAATTTAGATATTTAATTCAACAAGAGAAAAAAAGAGAGATGATATTTCTTCAGCTTTTGCTATTAAAGCTAAACAAGATCTAAATTCAAATCCTTTACTTATATCAACATTTTATTATTCTCGTTGATCTCTTGTTTAGTTTTTTTTTTCATTTTTTGTATAGATCATATAATTTGTTTTTAGGGAAACGGTCGTAGAGGGAAACAAACTTTTAAAAGGTAGTATGATTGATTAGATTGGAAGTCTCGGCATGCTAAACAAAATGGAGTGAAAGTGAAACGGTGGTAATATGTTACAAAAAAATCATGCAATTTCTAACATTAAAATCAGAATCTGCTATCTCAATTTAAATTTATTATCTCAGTTTATTACACATCTTTGAAAATACATTTTAAAATGTATCTTTATCGAAACTATAACGATAATAAACAAATAAAAAAAGGGGAAACCCACTCCCAAAAATCCCATTTATGTCATCGGAGAAGACAACAGCAAGGTGGGCGCGTGACGACACACACGCGCTGCAGCTGGCAACAGCCAATTTCCCTCTCATTCTCTCTTCTCTCCCAAAATCCACAAATATTTCCGTCTTTATATCATCGCTTCACCACTCTCTCTTCTTCTTATCACATTCACACTCTCCCTAGTCGCAATGTCGTCGCCGGCGATTACCATTGCCACTCTCTCCTTCCTCTTCCTCTCCGTCTCTTCTTCTCTCGCTCTCGCTCAGAGCAGCAACAAGCCCCCAGCTGCTCAATCCTTAAATGTCGCCTCCCCCGTCGCCGCCGCCGCGGAGTTTGAGCTGGTTAACCCAAAGCTTCCGCCGCGGAGTCTCTCGCTCGCGTCGTCGAAAAAGTACGAAGGATCTTCCGATCTGGTACACCTCCGGTACCATATGGGTCCGGTACTCTCTTCCGCTCCGATTAACATCTACATCATCTGGTACGGACGGTGGAATCGGCCGCATAAATCCCTAATTAGAGATTTCCTAAATTCGATCTCCGACGCTAAAGCTCCTTCTCCCTCCGTCGCCGAGTGGTGGCGCACAACTTCGCTCTACACCGATCAAACCGGAGCCAACGTCTCTCGATCCGTCCTAATCGCCGGAGAATACGCCGACGCCAAGTACTCCCACGGCCAACACCTGACGCGCCTCTCGATCCAGCAGGTCATCGCCAGCGCCGCGAAATCGGCTACTTTTCCGGTGGACCACAAGAACGGGATGTATCTGGTGCTGACGTCACACGACGTGACGATGCAGGACTTTTGCCGCGCCGTCTGCGGGTTCCACTACTTCACTTTCCCGTCGATGGTTGGCTACACGATGCCGTACGCTTGGGTTGGTCAGTCGGGGCATCAGTGCCCGGAGGTTTGCGCTTATCCTTTCGCATTGCCGGGATACATGGGTCACGGTGGTCCCGGAAAGCTCCGGCCACCGAACGGAGAGACCGGCGTCGATGGGATGGTGAGTGTGATTGGGCATGAGCTGGCGGAAGTGGTGTCGAATCCGCTGATTAATGCTTGGTACGCCGGAGAGGATCCGACGGCGCCGACGGAGATTGGAGATCTCTGCGAGGGGCTCTACGGAACCGGCGGAGGAGGAGGGTATATTGGTCAGGTGATGAGGGATAGAGGAGGGAAGACGTTTAACATGAATGGGAAGAGAGGAAGGAAGTTTCTGGTTCAGTGGATCTGGAACCCTAATTTGAAAGCTTGCGTTGGTCCTAACTCCATTGACTAGAGGAGGAAGAAGACGAAGAAGTGAAGTCATTTGTGTGTTTTGGCGATGGTGATGTTATAATGATGATGGTGATTTGTGCTTAATCGCTATGATAAATGATGAAATAACCCGTTTATTAGACGTAGTTTGGTGCTCAGAATTAGGTTAGTAGTGTAACATTAATATTTTCTGTTGATTTCTTTTTTTTTTTTATATATAATATATATTTTTATACTGCTTTTGTGTTTGTTTGAAATTGAAGGAATCTTGATTTCAAATGCTTCTTGAATGGGTAATGTTGAGAACTTTTATGTGTACTTGGGAAAGCGAAAAGTTTGAATTTCAAATTTTGTGATATTTTCAACTATTGAACAAGTAAATCGGTTTCAATAAGTGTAAGTGGTGTACGATAACAATAACTTTTCGTGTCATCAGTATTTAAGGAAAAGAGTAATGTACTATACCTTTTTTGTTTTGTTTTAGGACATTAACTTGTTTTGTTTTTTTTGGGGTCAGATATGACGTCAATAATGTACTCCTATTCGTTGGGTTGGATTGATAACTGACATGGTCTGGAGACACGAATCTTAAAACTCTTACAAGCCTTGTAATAAGATTCCTAATTAATCATTTAATTGCAATTAGATTTTACTTGTCGGATAATGTGTAGCCAGCATTCATCTTTACATGTTCTTTGCTTTAATCTCTTGTCACGTTTAATACTCCTCCTTCAATGCCTCAAGACAACTACCAGACGATGTGTTTTTATGCGTGGATGCTTTTAAAGAAATAATTTTTATCAACACCAACAAATACTTTTTGGTTGTTGTAAATGCTAGTTTTGTTAGTTGTATCTTTTTACGAAAATTACATACAAACAAAATGTTGAGCCTATTTATATAAACCATCGCTCTTGGCCCTCTTGTTATATATATACGAGGCCATGCCTCTCCTACCAATCAATTTGAAAGACTAGTGTTACACAAAGGTAAGGAAAAAGACTTCAAAGTTCTATGCGAGTGGTAGAGACAAGTGAGAGAAGGTGTTTGTAAACAACAGCTAAGAAAGGGACCCATTTCAAACTACAAACAATCATTACCATTCTCAATGGAAACTGCATTTATTACAATTCATTACCTTAGACTTTTTTTTCCTTCACTTTTCCATCTTTCTAGTAATTTTCCGTATAATTCCTCAGTAGATAATTGATGTTTTCCGGCAACTCATGTTGAAATGTTGATCATACGTTCTTAACTAAAGAGTCTCTGACTCCTTATAGGCATTGTCAAAGTGGGCCAAAAACTGTATACTTTGTCCCCCCATCCCAACACCAATCTTGCCGCGAGAAGTCGCAATTTGAATCGGAAAGGGTCTGGTCAATATGTTTTGCTAGGTGTTGAGATCGTTTAGGTTAAGTTTGGACCAAAATAAATAAATTTCCACACAAAATAAGGGGAACCTCGGCCAAATAAAGGAGTCACGGCCAGAGGGATGCATATTTTCTACACAATCTTCTCTTATGTGCTCATACGAATATACATATCTTCACTAAATCGGCCATATATCTTCAACTGTAACTCTAAATGACTCCAAGCCAAATCGCTGAAAGTCACAACACAAAGAGATATTCTCTCTACCTAAACTAATCCAAAACGGACATCGAGAAGGACTCTGTCCAAGGGCAAACCTCCGATGTTTTACTTGATAAATATAATAAAAACTACAAAAAGCATGTTAAGTCGAGTTATATCACAATTTATATGATTGGACTCATTGGCCACAAGACATACATGAAGATCCAAAGAAAGCTCATTTTGGAGCAAACCAACTTCCTCTCGATGTTAGATTATTGTTTCCAACGTATCAGAATGAAGAATGTACACAAAAATAAAATACACATGTAAAAAGTTGTCAGAGCTTACTCGTCCTGTAGTTATTTATGTGAAAATCTATGTGAATTTTACATTTCATCGTATACACTATATACATCTCTAACTCTAAAATTAACAAACTTGTAAATATGATACTTTCTTCTTTTAGAACCAGCATCCTTTGAGCTCAGCCCTGAAAGTTCCTATCCCTTCCATGTCCTTCCATAAATACCCAACTTTCTTCTTTTCATCCAAAACCCAATTAGGAGAGAGTGAGAGACCAGTAGTCTTGTTCGGTTTTAACATTTGTGGTCTTTAATTACTTCGTTATCAAAGCTGGAATTTTAATAACACTGACCTATTTACACGGTCACTTATTTGTTTCATCACAAGAATACACATTTGCATCAATTATGGATTTTTCTTTAAGAAAAAAAAAACAGTTATGGAAACCATGTGAGACGAAATCCTACGAGATTAGTAAAAAACAAATCCCACCAAATTAGGTAAAGAGAAATACGGATCCAATAAACTAGCCGTACTTTTTTTTTGAAATAATAGTCTTACCTTAATTAAACACACAAAAAGTTATATATGGTTTTGGTAAATGGATTTAGAAAAACAAGTAGTAAAATTTCCTTCTTCTCTGACATCAAATTTTAAAATTTATTCCTTTTAAAAGAGTAAAAAAATGTTCCGTCACAGACAAAACCCCATCTACACATCCCCATCACTAAACATTCTTCTGTAGTAACTAATTTGAAACAGATTAGTAACTTGTTGAAAAGTAAAATTAAGTTTCAATTTCAAATGAAGAAAATGCCGATGAATTGTTTGTCTGCTCTGATTGTTTCCTCTTTAATTGGTAGTGGTGACTGGTGTGGTGAGAAAACATTTTTCTTTTCAGTTGACTTTGACCATTAAAATTCTCATCATCATATCTTCTCTTTCTTCCTCTCAAATCCTTGCACCACGATTCTAACGACTCAGTCTTCTCTTTCTTCTCTCAACGCCATGGTAAGTTGGTAACAATGCAATTTGTTACCACTTGCATATACTTATCTCCATGAGGTCCATTCAATAAATAAATTTAGTCAGAGAAAGGAGAAGAGACGAAAAGAAACTTCTTCGAATTGGAGTTAAAAAAGTTATCTTTTTCATTTGGTCTACTCATTCACACCCAATTTCAAACGCGGTACTTGTCCGATCTCTTTCCATCCCCTTTTCTTATTGTATCTTTTCCCGTAAAGCACTCTGTTTTTGCCTCACACGCCATTGAAATCCTGAAATGAAGTGGATGATTGTTTAGACAGAGATACTTGTATATATAATTGAGAAAGGGGCAAAAAGGTTTTGGCTTTAAAATTTAAATTTTGTTTGTCGGTATGGGGCTTTGCTGGTCTTCTCCATCTGATTCTCCTCCAACAATAACACCTAGCTCTACTGGTACCATCAGCTCAGGTTCGTCCTCTCATCTCAATTCTCTTCCTAGTTTTATAGTAATCTACATAATTTCACATAAACTTGAGTTATACGTTGAATTTTCATCTGCAAAACCAGCTTTAGTTTAAGTACTTGTTTGTTCGATGCATAAATGTTACGCCTTTACATCTCCCTGTATGAGGTTTTAGCCTTTTGATTGTTGTTATGTCATATGGGTCTTACAGAAAGTTTACTCCTTTTTGTTGTTGAATCAAATTCATGTTCCATTAATGTTGTTTTTCTAGTTTCTGATCTGTTATGTGACTTGATTTTTGTTGTTGTTTGGAATGGTTGTGATTGAAGCAGGTGCATTAAAGTCAACGACTACAGGAACATCAAGAAGTAACATATCTAGCAATAGTGGATTCTCTGCGGGAAGTGGTGAAGATGCTTACCCTGAGGGTCAGATACTTCCCACTCCGAACTTGAGGACATTCAGCCTCGCAGAGCTTAGAGCTTCAACGAGGAACTTCAAGTCTGAGAATGTTCTTGGAGAAGGAGGATTTGGGAAAGTCTTTAAAGGCTGGCTTGAAGATAAGACACCAGGGAAACACAGCAGCACTACTGGAACTGTGATTGCTGTCAAGAAACTAAACTCCGAGAGCTTCCAAGGATTCGAGGAATGGCAAGTAAGTAAAAGTAGTTTTCTCTAGTATGCAATGAGGAGTTTTGTTTGTTTACCGGATATGGATTCTTGATTTGGTTTTGTGTGCAGTGTGAGGTGAATTTTCTTGGGAGGATTTCTCATCCGAATCTTGTCAAGTTGTTGGGATACTGCTTGGAAGGTGACGACTTGCTTCTGGTGTATGAGTATATGCAGAAAGGAAGCTTAGAGAATCATCTCTTCCGAAGTAAAAATCCTTATTTTTGCATCTCTACACAGTCATTTGCATGTTATGATGGATGATTTTGTAATTGCTTTCTTTTGTTTTTATTCCTCTAGAGGGTTCTGGAGTACAGCCACTCTCATGGGACATAAGGCTTAGGATAGCTATAGGAGCAGCTAAAGGCTTAGCCTTTTTGCACGCTTCAGAGAAGCAAGTCATTTATCGAGACTTCAAAGCTTCAAACATTCTACTTGATGGGGTGAGTAAATACAGATGACTCAATTTGAGTATAATGTAGCAAATCATCATCAAAGAGTGGAGTTTCAATTGGTTTGTTCTTTGATGCAGTCATATAACGCAAAGATATCAGATTTCGGATTGGCGAAACTAGGTCCTTCCGCGAGTCAGTCTCACATCACAACACGAGTAATGGGTACACAAGGTTATGCAGCTCCAGAGTATGTTGCTACAGGTACTAAAATGTCTTTATCTTTTTTTGGTTCTTGTTAGTTTTTGAGGATAGAGTTTTTGTAACATGTTGGTTTGGTTCTAACTTCTAACAGGTCATTTGTATGTAAAGAGTGATAACTACGGGTTTGGAGTTGTGTTAGCTGAGATCTTGACTGGTTTACGCGCGCTTGATCCAAACCGTCCTACGGGACAACACAACCTAACCGAATGGGTCAAGCCTCATTTGTCCGAAAGAAGAAAGCTCAGGAGCATAATGGACCCTCGTCTTGAAGGAAAATACCCTTTCAAATCCGCTTTCCGAGTGGCTCAGCTGGCTCTTAAATGCCTCGAACCCGAACCGAAAAACCGTCCGTCGATGAAAGAAGTGGTGGAAGCTCTCGAGCTCATTGTGTCTGCCAATGAGAAACCTTTGGAGCGAAGGAACACTAGAGCTTCACCGAGCGTTGGTCACCGAGAAGGCCATTATCGCCGGCAACATCTTTCTTCATTTCATCCGAGGCAAACCACGCCTCGAGCTCACTAGACAAAGATTCTTTTTTTGGTTTTCATCTATGGTTTTGAATTTGTTAAAGATAAATATAAGTTCATAACCCATTCGTATGTATACTATATGGAACCATTAGACAAGACAAAGCATATCGGCATATATTGTAAGTAAAGTAACAATGTGTAGAGTTTGCTGTGTGTGTGTAATGTGACAGCTTAAACGGTTCAACCAGATTAAGAAAGTGTTAAACTCATAGATAAACCATTTTTCACAGTTCTGCTGTAAAAGCTTCAACTTTTAACCATGGAAATGGGATTGCTTTCATAAGATCGCAGAGATGGGATCAAACCTGTGTTCAAAGTTACAAGCTTTGTCCTCGAAGATTAAGCAAGCTTCCTTCAACGGAAAATGGCGGGAAGTGCTTTCTGGGTATTCAGAGATACAGAGAGCTGGGAATCAATTTAACGATCCTTTCGTTTTCCCTATCGTTTTCAAAGCTTGTGCTAAGCTCTCATGGCTGTTACAGGGTAAATGCATCCACGCGAGTTTAATCAAGAGAGGTTTTGAGTCTTTTGTTTCTGTTGGGAACTCGATTGCTGATTTCTACATGAAATGTGGAGACTTGTGCTCCGCGATGCGAGGATTCGATTGTATGATTGCGAGAGATTCAGTGTCTTGGAACGTAATCGTTTTCGGGCTTCTCGATCATGGTTTCGCAGAAGAAGGACTACGGCGGTTTTCGAAGTCGAGAGTTTTGGGTTTTGAGCCTAATGTTTCGACATTGGTTCTTGTGATTCACGCGTGTCGTAGCTTTCGATCATACGTCGATGGAGAGAAGATTCACAGCTACGTGATCCGTAGCGGGTTCTGGGGAATTTCATCAGTTCAAAACTCGATCTTGTGTATCTATGCAGAGTGTGATTCTTCAAGCGCACGGAGACTGTTCGACGAAATGTCTGAGAGAGATGTTATTTCATGGAGTGTTGCGATCCGAAGCTATGTGCAAAGTCAAGAGTCTGTTCTTGGATTGAAGATGTTTCAAGAGATGGTTCGCGAGGCGAGAACAGAGCCGGATTGTATAACTATAACAAGTGTTCTCAAGGCTTGTGCGGTTCTTGAGGACGTTGATGTGGGAAGATCAGTTCATGGATTTTCTATACGGAAAGGTTTTGATTTGGAAGATGTGTTTGTGAGAAACTCACTCATCGATATGTATTCCAAAGGTTTTGATGTTGATTCAGCGTTTAGAGTGTTTGATGAGACTACTTGTCGAAACACTGTTTCATGGAATTCGATTTTGGCTGGGTTGGTACATAACCAAAGGTATGAAGAGGCTCTTAAGATGTTTCATTTGATGAGGTATGAAGAAGCGATTGAAGCGGATGAAGTTAGTTTGGTGACTCTTCTTCAGATTTGCAAGTTCTTTGAGCAGACATTGTTTTGTAAGTCAATACATGGCGTGATAATCCGGCGTGGATATGAGCTGAACGAAGTTGCGTTGAGCTCTTTGATTGATGCATATACAAGCTGCAATCTTGTTGATGATGCAAGAACCGTGTTTGATTCGATGACGTACAAGGATGTGGTGTCATGCAGCTCAATGATCTCTGGTTTAGCGCGTTGTGGCAGACCTAATGAAGCAATCTCAATCTTCAGTCAGATGAGGGATAAGGCCAATGCTATTATCGTCATTCATCTTCTTGACGCATGCTCTGTCTCAGCAGACTTGAGAAAATCCAAATGGGCACATGGAATTGCTCTCAGGAGAGGCTTAGCCACCAATGACATCTCAGTTGGTACCTCCGTTGTTGAAGCATACGCAAAATGTGGCGCCATAGAAACTGCGAGAAGAGCCTTCGATCAAATCACTACGAAGAATGTAGTCTCTTGGACTGTGATCATTTCAGCATATGCTGTTAATGGTTTACCGGATAAAGCATTAGCATCGTTTGAGGAAATGAAACGAGAAGGTTACACACCAAACGCTGTGACATATCTAGCAGCTTTATCAGCTTGTAATCACGGAGGATTGATCAGGGAAGGTCTGATGATCCTCAAATCAATGGTTGAAGATCACAACAAACCTTCGTTGCAGCATTACTCTTGCATTGTAGACATGCTTAGCCGGGCTGGAGAGCTTGACAAAGCGATGGAACTAATCAAGAACCTTCCTGAGGACGTTAAACCCGGGGCTAGTGCTTGGGGAGCGATTCTCAGCGGTTGCAGGAACCGTTCAAAAAGTGGGATCGTTACGTTAGAGGCAATAGCTGAGGTTCTTGAGCTTGAGCCCTTGTGTTCTTCAGGGTATTTGCTAGCGTCTAGTGTGTTTGCTGCAGAGAAGTCGTGGGAAGATGTAGCGACAATGAGGAGGTTGGTGAAGGAGAGAAACGTTCGGGTCGTTGCAGGTTATAGCATGGTTCTTGAAGGAACCAAAGCTAGGAGGTTTTTGGCTGGAGAGAAGCCAAAACAGAGTGATTGCGAGTTAAACGACGTCGTTCAGAGTCTTCATAGATGTATGAGGTTAGACGATACAATAAAATGGATCTAAGGCCCAATAGTATTGGCTTTAGCCAAGAATTGAAATTCTAAAACCGACGCCGTAACGTGACAGTCCCCACTCGACGCGGACCGGCCCGGTTCGAGTCGATACGTTCTCTGAAGCCGAAGTCTTGAGATTCTCATTTAATTGGCCGTTCAGAGCCAACAATAAGTCATTTCTCTTACAATTTCTGAAGACTCTCATTTGTTATTCGACCAAAAAAAAAAATTATATCCCTTTCCTCAAGAAATCTTCCAAACCGACTTCAGAGCTTTTCGTCTTCTCGTTTTCGTTGAATTTAGTTTTTATCTAGGGTTCGGGCTCTTGATCGATTTCGCGGAACTCTGTGATATTTGTTGAACTAGGATCTAAAATTAGAATGGGCGGAGAAGGAGATTCGAGTCAGACGCCGACTTCTGTTGATGGTGGTGACGGAGGAGGAGCTGTGGCCGTGAACGTCAGGTGCTCGAATGGCACGAAATTTAGTGTGACGACGAGTCTCGATTCGACGGTGGAGGCGTTTAAAGAGCTGGTGGCTCAGAACAGCGATGTGCCAGCTAATCAGCAGCGCTTGATTTATAAGGGTCGGATCCTCAAAGACGATCAGTCGCTCCTTAGCTATGGTACTTTTTTCATCTTCTCTGACTATTCGTTTTCCCGATTTCTGTTTGGCTCTGTGGATTTGCTTGATTGAAAATCTCATAGCGTTGCTTGGTTGGAAATATAAAATTAGATTTATGTAAGGTTTTTGTGGGGGATGGTTTTTTGTTTTGGTGATGCTTATCGCAGAAGTATGAATTGTGATGTGAAGAATTTGCAGATGTTGTTGTTAATGGAAGTGTTAATGATCCATAAGTTTTCCGACGATTATTTACCTTTTTGGCATGGTCAACTGTGTATTTTTCTCCATCAATGGGTGATGAATCGCTTCGATCGTTGTTTAGCTAGAAGCTTTTGTCATCTCTGATGTCTGCTGTGATCTGATTTTATTTGGATAGTCTTTCATGAACCTTAATGTTTCCATTTTCTGTGGACTATTCTCTATGTAGGTTTGCAGGGTGATCACACCATTCATATGGTTCGAGGCTTTGCGCCTTCTTCAGCACCACCTCCTGCTCCGGCTGCAAATGCTGGCAACCAAACCACTGCACCTAGTGCTACTCGAGGGGTTGGTGGAAATGATAGCTCAAATCTAGGAGGAGTGAATCCAGTTGAATCTTTGTTCCCAGGGCTTGGGTTTAATCCTTTGGGTGGTGGGAATGCTATGTCTGGGTTATTTGGAGCTGGTCTTCCGGATCTTGAGCAGGCACAGCAACAACTAGCTCAAAACCCGAATATGATTAGAGATATGATGAACACACCAGCCATTCAGAATATTATGAACAACCCGGAATTTATGAGGAGTATGATCATGAGTAACCCTCAGATGCGTGAGCTTGTAGATCGCAATCCTGAGCTTGGTCATGTCCTCAATGACCCAAGCATCCTTCGGCAAACTCTAGAAGCTGCGAGAAACCCAGAGCTTATGCGTGAGATGATGCGGAATACTGATAGGGCCATGAGTAACATTGAATCTATGCCGGAGGGATTTAACCATCTTAGGCGTATGTATGAAAATGTCCAGGAACCGTTCTTGAATGCTACTACTATGTCGGGTAATGCTGGAAGCAATGCGGCCTCTAATCCTTTTGCTGCGCTCCTGGGAAACCAGGGCGTTACTACACAAGGAAGCGATGTTTCTAACAATTCTTCGACACCGAATGCTGACACGGGAACTGGGAATAGTATTCCGAATTCAAATCCACTTCCTAATCCTTGGGGTGCTACTGGTGGTAAGAAACTGCATTCTTCTCCTCTTATTTGCCTGTGAGATATTACTTGTTTTTGAAGGATGCAGTAATATTTTTTAACAGTAAGAGTGGCTTAGGAACAATATTGTGTATAGTAAATTGGTGAATTCATGTAGTTTGCATAGTTTGTTGTTATGGATAGCTTGGGGATGAAATTTGACTTTTCTCATAGTGAAACAAAGAATAATAAACATATCGTGGGGCTTCTTTATAGGCCAGACAACTGCCCCTGGAAGGACAAATTCGGGTGGGGATGCGAGAGGCCCTGCACTTGGTGGACTTGGTGGCCTTGCTGGGCTTGGCGGCCTTGGTGGACTGCTTGGAGCGGATCCAACTCTTGGTGGTACCCCTGATGCTTCTCAATTGAACCAGCTACTGCAAAATCCAGCCATGTCGCAGATGATGCAAAGTGTACTTTCCAATCCACAATACATGAATCAGGTAGCACCTAGAGTCCTAGACTAATCTGAACTTAAGACATTGTTGCTATTATAGTGTTGTGAAAATGTGTTCAATGTTTTCCATTGGTTCCAGCTTATGAGTCTCAACCCACAAGTCCAAGGCATGCTAGATTCGAATCCTCAGTTGAGGGAAATGATGCAGAACCCAGATTTCCTTCGTCAGTTTAGCTCTCCGGAGATGATGCAGGTCAGTTGGGACTCTGTTGTCTTTATGCATGTGAATTATGAACATGTGGTCTCTCCAATGAAACATTTCGGTATCTCTAAGCTTTTATCAAGTGTTGAAATTTCTTCACCCTAATGTCTGGATTGTTTTTTGGTCTTTAGCAAATGATGACTCTACAGCAATCACTTTTCTCTCAGAATAGGAATACGACCACCCAGTAAGTGTGGATACTCTTCGCCCTTTTGTTTTGCTCAAACGTAGTTGAGCAGCTACGTATCCTGTATGTATCTGAATTGTATTTTGGGTTATAGTGAGTTTAGACAATGGTGTGACTCGTGAGTAATGCTATTGGTAGTGATCGATCTTGATATTAAGCAAAAAATGGATTGAATCATGAGTAATGCCGCAACTCCTGTATCTTATACTGGGATGATCATTAGTAACCTGTTTCAAGCGCTGTTGAAGCATTTTAACCGCTAAACTTGCATAGAAACAGAATGTTTCTTTTAGCTTCTGCCTTTAGACATAAGCTTTTAACTCTTTTCCATTTCCATCAATCCCTATTGATATTTCCAATCCGTCTTCTCTGTAGGGATCCGGGGCAAACTGGTGCTGCTGCCGCAGGTACTTCTAAATATAATATCTGTAAAGGCTTTAGTTCTATGTATATAGTTACCTTTTTGTACGCTTTGCTTCCATGAATGTTTTATTTCAGCACACGTAGCTTATTGAGTAAATCATTACGATGGCAATGTTTATAGGGACAGGCAATAACGCGGGGCTGGATCTATTGATGAACATGTTTGGCAGTCTTGGTGCTGGTGGCCTGAGCGGCGCGAACCAACCTAATGGTTAGATTCACTGGGATTCTTTTTACACTTTTTGTGTTTGTCTTGTGTATCTGTCGAGGACGGCTCCATTGAAAATAGGTTTCTTGTTTGGTTACAGTTCCTCCTGAAGAACGCTTCGCGACTCAGTTGCAGCAGCTACAAGAAATGGGATTCTACGACAGAGCAGAGAACATAAGAGCTTTGCTTGCAACAAATGGAAACGTGAACGCTGCTGTAGAACGACTCTTGGGAAGTATTGGCCAGTAGTAAGCCAGCAGGTTCGTGAAACTGATGTCTCCTCTCTCCCTCACATCTGCCACATTCTCTCAGTTATTATAGAATAAGCAGTGTTTTAAGCAATGATGATGATATTTATGGAACTCTCTTATAATTTATATTTATGATAGGATCATGAACCTTGTGGATAGAAAAGCCGCATCAATACGGTATTTGTGGTTCTCTTTACCCATTCCCCAAAACCTCCTTTTTTATATATTTTGGGTCGTCGTTTGAATCTTTCAGATTGTATTTGAGTTGCTACAAACATACATACATTTGTAAGAGCTGGTTTCGTAATGGTACATTTACGTTATCTTACATAGTTTCGCACATTTACATTATTTTACATAGTTTCGCACATTTACATTATCTTACATAGTTTCTCTGTGGTGGTTGTTATTGCTAGAGATTTCAATGAGGTTTTGATGCAGTGTAGGAGTAATAGGAGAAAATAGATTAGTGGAGACTAGAGAAGTGGAGAGTAATAAAATTGAAACAGAACAATAAATTTTTGCCAAAAACCGTTGTAACACCATTGTTAGTTCCATTTAGATACCAAATGCATCAATGAGGACCCAAGAACTCGTTCATCGAAATGGGTTTTTCTTTTCATATTTGGTTTGATTTTGTTTCACATTTTTCTTTGACGTCTACTTTTTTATTTATTTCTACACGTAGGAAGCAAGCAGAACAACATAAACTTTTATTTGATTCGATTAAAATGACAATACAAATTTTAAGAAACTAAAAAATGTAAATCCCACAAAACAGGGGGCATGTAACAATTCGACAAGTAACTGCTAAGAAACCGTTAAGCGATTAGCGACTACTCCACGAATCAGAAAACTAACTCCTTCCTTCTTCTACATAACCAACCATAACTCCCACTCCTCCACTTTTTTTTTTGCCCCTATTTTGTTTTACCGTCTTCTGTTCATCATCACTCACACAACAAATGACGAGCACTTCAGGCTCCGATCCCAATTACAACATCCCGTTTGCTGCATCAAACGTAAATCTTCCGAGTTACACTCAAAGCCCAAGGAGAAAACGCACTAAACTCTCCACCAACGAAACCGCGTCTCCTTCTTCTCCAAAGAGGACTAAACGGGCCAAGAAACCAGACCCTAACGCTCCAAAGATCACACCACCATGCACCGAATGCGGCAGAAAGTTCTGGTCGTTGAAGGCTCTCTTCGGTCACATGAGATGTCACCCTGAGCGTCAATGGCGTGGCATCAACCCTCCTCTTAACCACCAACGAACCGTCACGTCATCACCATCGCGGCTTACATTGGAGCAAGATCAACACGTAGCCTCTTCTCTGCTATTAATGGCTAATGGCTGGAATTTTTCCCCCGGTTTAAGTGGCGGAGGAGTGGAAGGACGGTTCGAGTGTGTAGTTTGCAAGAAAGTGTTTGGATCACTTCAAGCGTTAGGTGTTCATAGAGCAACGCATAAAGATGTCAAAGGATGTTTGGCCATTACAAACCCAACCGAAGTTGCTGTTAATCATCCTCCTCCTCGTCAAGAGATCGTTGATCAAGATCATAGGAGCAAGAGGTTGAAGTTGGTCTCAGGGCTTATTCATAAATGTAACATCTGTTTTAGAGTGTTTTCGAGTGGGCAAGCTCTAGGTGGTCACATGAGATGTCATTGGGAGAGAGATCAAGAGGAGAAGAAGAACCAAGATTCTACTGTTATCGATCTTAATGTTCCTGCTGCAGCGACGGTACAGAACTTGCCCTCTTCTTCTTCAGACACATTGTCGGAGTGTTCGTTAGATCTTACGTTGGGACTTTGATGATAATAGTAATAACATATCCTATATCTATATTATAGGGGAATTTGTTTAACTCTCTTTATATGTATGTATGTGTGTGTGTGATGTTTTGAATGATAAACTTATATGATTTGGGGTATTGTAATATATGTGGATCTAAGCTATTGATGAAATTGCATAAAGTGTTATATGTGATCGTAGCAAGTTATCTTTTTGATTTAATTTTTATAATTCGTTGAACCTATATGTTTCTCTAAGCACGTATCTTCTTCACCAAGGCATTAAAGAGATGAAAGTGAAGCTTTTTCACAACAAAAACAGAGAAAGAAAAGAAAAGATTTCAAGTTTCAACTTTGTTTTGATTCCTAAGCTCAGAATATACACAAGACTCCTTAGTCGAAAACAAACGTACAAAGTTTGAGTTTTTCTTTTCATGTCCTAGAGAAAAAACCTACAAAATCAAGAATGTTCTTCCCTAAACCATGTTGCTCTAAGCCTCTAACTCTTTTGTTCGAGAAGAGTAGCTTTCTGGAGCATCTCAGCAGAGTCATCGGGCATGTCGGCTTTAGCTAAAACCAGAGACATCAAGTAGAAACCGGTAGACCAATTAGGATACTTGTCTTGTAAATCTATCACATCGAGGTGGGCCAATGTCACTTTGTCCTCGTATAGGTAGCTTAGACAACGCCTCGCGTAAACACTTGGCACCACCACGTTTCTACCTTCAGCGACCTGTAGTGGAAACAAAGAAGAAAACAGAGTTTTAAAATCGCATACATAAGAATGATATTTTGTTTACTACTAAACAGAGTCTTTACCTTGGTATAAAAGTCGATTGCGGTTTCAAACTTTTTCTTTTTGAAGGCATCATCAGCCATTTCTCTCACCGTTTCAAGAACAGATGTCATTGGTAACCAATCTTCCAAAGAGCACTGCACAAACCAATAGTTATAGTTAATCCCTCTTTAGTGAAGTGAGTGAGTGAGGAGATTGGTTTGGTTACTGATACCTCGAGGACTTTCTTGTCATCTTCGATTTGTGACTTCAACAAGAACTCATGAATGGCATCAAGGTCCTTTCTCAAACAAGCATCTCCTAGTGGCGAAAGTTTACTCGGATCTGCCTCTTCCTTCTTTTCCTCAGATGGAACCTATACATTTGCAGAGATTTTAACACTAAATGTGAAATCCAAAAAGCAGAGAATTTTGTTTCTCTTGGAGGCTTCTTACTTCTGCTGTATTCTGTGATGCTTCAGTTTGTCCTTGTTGACTAGAAGATGATGCCTCTTCTTCTTGCTTCTCTGCCATTTCAGAAGATGGAGCCTGCAAATAAAACAAGATCTGGTTTGTTTAACATGATTGAGAGAAATCATCAAGAAGGAAATCACGGTTACAATAAATGCCTCTTCGTACTTCTTCTGGTTTAGTCTGTGATGCTTCAAGTTGTCCTTGTTGACTAAAAGATGATGCATCTTCCTCGTGCTTCTCTGCCATTTCAGAAAATGGAACCTGAAAACAAACAAAGCTCCGTTTTAAATCATCAAGAACGAAACAAGTACGGTTACAAGAAAGCCCTCTTCTTACTTCTTCTGGTTTAGTCTGTGATGCTACTAGTTGTTGTCGTAGACTAGAAGATGATGCCTCCTCCTGATTCTTTGAAATTTCATCCATTTCAAAAGATGGAGCCTGAAAAAAAAAAAAAAAAAATATCGGTTAGTTAAATCATCAAGAACGCAACAAGGTAAGGTTACCAAATAAGCCTCCTTACTTCTATTTCGGTTTGCAAGTCTTCAAGTTCTGCAACAAGATCTTTTGTGCTGAGACTAGTCTCAGGCTGCAAACACTTGGTGACGAGATCGAAAAGAATCATTGCGTCTACTACAGAGAACTTCCCCTTCAGTCTTGGATCCATCAATTCAACAGCATCCTTTCCGTTTATCATCTCAGGAGCCTAGAAGCCAGGAGAAAAATCAAGTAATTAATAGGTTTACATGTAGCTTGTGTTGCAAGAAATTCACAATCACAAAGTCAAGAGAAGACTTGAAAGTGAATCACTTACATGGCTTGGAGGAATTTGCTTTCCAGTTATCATTTTTAAAAGGATAGTACCAAATCTGAATATCACACTTTCAGGGTCCACACTTCCTGCAAAATTATATAATATAACATCAAAATTTCGGTATAGATATAATCTGAAGAGATTATCAATATTGGGAATTGATTAGTACCTGCTGCTCTTTCTTCATGATATATCTCTTTCACTAAGCCGAAACAGGAAAGGCATGCATCGCCATTCTTCAATAACCATCAAATGAAACACACAGTTTTAGCATCCTTGGATCACAAGAAAACATAAGCATGAAAATATTGTTGCTAGTGTATGTACCTCATCAAAGAGAACCGAGTAAGCACTTAAGTTACTGTAAGCCGTAAGACCTGCACTGCTACAATAATCCAATGCTTCAGCTACACACAAAGCGACTCTCATTCGCATTGGCCATTCCATGGCTTGACCTTTCTCTGTGAATCACAACAGAAGAAAGACTTCAAAACAGAGAATGCTTACAAGATTTCAATTGATTCTACAAGCAATCAAACAATGAAACCGAGTCTACAAACAGATACATTGTGTACGTGTTACTTCTACATCCGTTCAAGTCACAAAAGTTTTCTCCTTTATACCATCCACAGTAGTACACAATCAATTTCACATAAACCAACAATGCCCTCTTTGTATAAAAACAGAGTATGCTAACAGTATGTACTTATGCAACCAATTCTACAAGCAGATATCTAAAACACAAATGATCATGTAACAGAACCAAAAATGCAGAGTTTATGTATAAGAACAGAGAATGGTACAAAAGCAATCAAACGATGACATTGACAATGATTCTACAAACATATACACTGATCCATGTTAGTTCTAGTCACAAAAGGCTTCGTCTTTAAATCAACAATGCAGCCGAATTGTATCATAACAGAGGATCCTAAGTCCTAACAATCTGTTCTAATTCAATCGATTCAACAAGCAGATTCATTTATACACTAATCATGTCACATAAACCTACAATGCAGCGTCTCTGTTCTCAGAAGAATCCTTACGATGGAATAAACGCTTAGCGAGAGTATCGTTTGGCATAAACTCTGAAACAAGAAGCCTTTCTTCTCCATCGCAGCAATATCCGAGCAAATTGACGACTCTCTTGTGCTTTAACCCTCCAACTCTCCGTGCATCCTCCTGCAAAAACAACGAAGGAAGAAACAGGATCAAAAGCCATAAAAAAAAACGCGGGAAAATTGAGAGGCTTTTAGGGCAAGAAAAGGGTACCGCAAAGATATCGGGATCTGCCCAAGCCGGAGCCTTGAGTCTCTTGACGGCGATGAAGCCGAGATTCTGAAACTGTCCCCTGTAGACGACATTGGAAGACTCGCCGCCTCCGTCGTTCTCTGATACGATCTCGTCGGAGCTGAAATTCTTCGTCGCCGACTGGAGATCGGAGAAGAAGAAATCTGTGAAAGGCCAGACTCCGCCGACGACGTCGTATTTCTTGAGCTCTTCGCGCTTGATCTCCGATTCCTGCGGAGGAGTTTGGTGCTGAATATTCAGCTCCTGCGTAAGATCTTCGACGGAAGGCTGCGAGTGGCAACAACCGCCCATGGTTTCGCGTTTTCGCGGGGAAAACAGAGTTTCGAAAGCTTTTCTTTGTTAGTGAGAGAGAGAGAGAGACGACGATTGGGGGAAAAAATAAAAAATGGATTTTATTTTGGCTGTTTGTGGTTTGACTATGAGTCTTGAGGTTGAAGTAACAACTCTTTTATAACAGAGGATCATCAAAGTCTAAGCTCAAGATTACGCTCTTGATCAATTATCATTATCTTCTAATTTCTGTTTTTTTTTTGGATTTTATTGTTATCTCATTTCATAAACTATCTATTTTTTTTTTTGTTTTTAGGACTTTGCATGGTCTCAAACTTATATGTCGATTTGTATCTACTCAAACTTACGTCTCTGATATTTTTGCTTATACTACTAACATTTCATACGTTTTAAAATGCCTACATTTGGTAATAATGGGTCAACAAATAGGCACATATATGTAATTTAGTTTAATTTAATTTTTTGTTCTTAATTCTTTGCGATTTGTTCAGTACACTAAGGACCACGACTGAAGTTCTTTTTTTTTATGGTTAAAATTAAAAACAACCTACAAGGTTTCATTTTCTTCAACTATTTTGAAGCAATTTGTCATTTATCTGTTATGTTATTGACACTGAAAAAACAAAAAACATAAACCAAAATTTTAGTCTCTAGCCTTCAACGAACTTATAACGGCATGCTCTTCTCTTTTGTGACATTTGTGTAGCCCATCTGAAAATTCTCCTCTCGGTTGTAAAACTCTCATTTAGCCCAGTAATCCAGTATTATAACAAAGGACCCAAAATTTATTTGACGCAAAGTCAACAAGTTCACATAAATGTATGTACTTTTGAACGCCTTGTATGATGATGCTCCACGATAACGACATAAACTTAATTTAAATAACTTCGCTTTCATTACAAAAAGTCAGTAAAATAGTGTGACATCATCTTCCATGATTGTGGCTTTACTTTTTTCTTTAAATAGGCTATACAGAGTGCTGTGTGTGTGTATGTATATATATGAAATTACAGAATTCTTGTGTTGTCACATAAATTGTTCATACGATAAATGATCTTGTTACGATCGTATGAAATCAGAACCTTAATCAGTCGAAGTGAGAATCGAAAAGGTGAGGTTAATTAAGAAATGACATTATAGTTTCCTCTAGAGCTACATGTGTTGTGTAGGGCCTGCCGGATTCAGATGAAAAAAATAAGAGATAGTAACAAATCGAAGAAATCGAAAAGAAAAATAGAGAAAAAGAGAAATAATTAAGAGTGTGAGTAGAAGATTTGCTATGTGGATTAAACTAAAGCTAATTATCGAGTTCCACTATATGATTCTTTTTTTTTTGCCATTGTAGACGTGTTTAGTGGTAAGATTTTTATACACTCAAAAATTAGTTCGAGTATCAGTACGGAATTTATTATGTTATAAAATACTATGAAATAAAAAGGAGAAAAAAGTCGTATGGAAAGTACTTTAACTTTGTGTAATGCATATAATCTTTAGATATTTTAATCATTGATATGAAATTTATGATTTACACGAGGATTCAACTAAAACAATAGTCTTGAGGAAGTGAAGAGTATTTAAAGAGTTCAATGACCTTTGGTTTGGTCATGTCCGGACGCGACTAATCGAGAGAATAAATCAATCGTACGATGAAGAAGAGACAACGGCTCCCCACACCATTGAGAGTCATTTGATCATCTAATTAAGCCTTGACCCTTTGTACATATATTCACTCACTACAAGTTTAGCCATTAATTTTGATTGAGTGATGAAACTAATTAAGAAGTTTATTCACGTGTTAGTGTCTGATTGGAAGACTAGAGTATGTCTACCACCTTTACCTAGCTCAATTATGTACAAATCACTTTTGACTATAATATGTTTTACATTTAATTCTTACACTAAAATATAGATAGATACTATACCCAAAGTCGAAAATGACATATAGCGTAACAATTTATTGATTGCGTTACTAACTGAAGAAGAATGACATATCTTCCATAGCTACTTTTGCATGTAACTAATAGAAGAATGACAAAGTTTCTGAATGTGAATCGCAATTTCACACGAAGTTTTTTATAAAAAGAAATCAATTTCAAGAATTATGTGACTTGTTTTTGCAGAATCACAAACATTCAGTCATTATGCAACTATATATCCATCGATCTTTAAAGAAAAATGTTTCAAACCTTCAAACTAGGGCTGATGTCAAGAGATGATATTATTATTATGGAAAAATAACTTTGGAATGTCAAAATATTCACTAGTTCAAAACGAGAAGACATGTCTTCTCTAAGAATCTTTCTCTTACAGATTCATTGATACAGCCAAGTTTTTCTTAACCAATGAAACACAACGAGCTGAATAAAAGAAGTACGGCATACGTAATCACCACGAATGATTAATAATCTGAATATCTAATTAATTAGAGATAATATTATACTAATCAAATTCCTTCAACAATAATTATATTGAGGCAAAAGAATCTGAAGAAAAAAGGGTAGAACACCAACCACACACCATTAACAAGACCATTTAACATCTCAAACTCCAAATCAAAACTGTTCTTTTCTTCTTCTCTCTGGTCTTTCTTGCAGAAGAGAAGCAGATCAAGTTGGATTTGTCTTTTAGAAAACCAAGATAACTGTTTTCTTTTTCTTTATTGCAGGTACAGACAAAGTGTTATATATATAAGTGTGATTAGAACAGTGGATGCTCTTATCACGGGTCCACTTTGTTCTCGGGTACGAATCTTGACGCCCCATATCACATGGTTAGAGATTAAAATACACTAATCTTACCTTCAATCAACTATTTGTGTCCAGAAGAAGAAAAAAACACCATTCAACAAAAGAGAGAAGCTTTGTGAGAAAATAAATTTTCTTTTCAAGATTTTGCTCATCATTTATGTGATGGGTGTCTGTGTATGAAGAGAAAGAGACAGAGCAATCCAAATCTTTGTTTCTTGTCAGAGTTTTCTTTTAAGTGTTCTTGGGTTTGGTCATAAAACCAAAGTGAAGCTTTCTCTCTGTTTCTTTGTGCAAGAAATCTTGATTTTTTTTTTTTTTTTTTTTTTTTTTTTTGGTTTTAAAATCTTGATAAAATTGGTAACTATTTCTTAAACTTTTACAAAAGCTCTTTGATTTTCTTTTTGGGGTTCTGAGTTGGAATGATTTTGGAATTGGGTCATGGGAAACTGATTTTCCGTTTCATTTGTTAAAGAGCTTCAATTGATTTTCCTCTGGGAGAGTTTCCATGTGCATAAGTGAGAATCTTGTACTTGAATTTGATGGCACCACTTTGGATTGATACCCTCTTTTAAGTCAACTCTCCATTGAAAGCGAAGCTGCTTATACATATATTTTTTTATAGCATCTCTATGATTTTATCTTTTGGGAAAACAACAGTTTGATTCTTCTCTTCTCTTGTTCTTGGATGGGTTTTTGATAGTGTTTCTGCATCTTCTTTTTCAGATTGGGTTTTAACATTCTGAGGAGAGGGACTTCAAAATTCACTGGACTTTGCTCTTGTCTATATTCATCTTCAAGACAGTTTTCATCAAGAACAGCATCTAAGCACAGTCTCTGAGAGCTTGGGGATTTGGTAGGATCTATTGGGTGATGGAAGATGATGGTGGTGGCAGTGGAGGTGAAGGAAATGGTGGATTTTCTCCTAATTCTAGCTTTGGGGCATTCCCTGATACGGCCATGGATTTGGACTTCATGGATGAGCTCTTGTTTGATGGATGTTGGATAGAGACAACAGATAGTAAGAGCTTGAAACAGACAGAAGAGTCTGCTACAGCTTCTACCCCCATGAATGACAATAGCCCTTTCCTCTGCTTTGGCGAGAGTCCATCTCAAGACCATTTCTCTAATGAAGAAACAGAGAGGAGTTATCTCAAGAACAACAAACCGATGAATCAAGAACCTTTTAACCAGGATGGAGCAAGTCTTGAGGAAGCAGAAAAGCTTTGGTGGATTGCCCCAAGAGCAAGTGAAGGTCCTTCTTCATCTGTGAAGGAGAGACTATTACAAGCTATAAGCGGTCTTGACGAGGCGGTGGAGGATAAGGACTTCCTGGTACAGATATGGGTGCCATTTCAGCAGGAAGGGAAAAACTTTCTTACCACTTGGGCGCAGCCACATTTGTTCAACCAAAAGTACTCAAGCCTTGCAAAATACAGACATGTCTCAGAGACTTACAATTTCCCGGCTGATGAAGGTTCGAAAGATGTAGGTCTTCCAGGTCGTGTCTTCTTGCAGAAACTGCCTGAGTGGACTCCTGATGTGCGTTTCTTTAGAAGCGAAGAATATCCACGCATCAAAGAAGCACAAAAGTGTGATGTTCGTGGCTCGCTTGCCCTTCCTGTGTTTGAAAGAGGTAGTGGGATTTGTTTGGGTGTTGTTGAGATCGTCACAACAAATCAGAAGATGATTTATGGGCCAGAGCTTGAGAATATCTGCAAAGCTCTTGAGGTTTTCTTCTTCCTCTTGCTTTTGTCTCTAACCTCAAACTCTTCCCACACATGTTTAGACTGATACATTAAACCTTGTGCTCTTGAGGTTTTGTCTGTGTATGAAAACACCCTAAAGATGTTGTTGTTCTTGCAGGCTGTTGATCTAAGGAGTTCAAGTAACTTGAACCCTCCAAGCGTTGAGGTGCATTAACTGGACTCTTACTTCATTTAACTAGTAGAAACAATGATGCATTGCTAAGGTCATACCCTTGTGTTTCAGTCTCTGCAGGTATATAGTGATTTCTACAATGCTGCATTACCTGAGATATCAGATTTCTTGGCCTCAGTCTGCAGATTATATGATTTGCCTCTAGCTTTGTCATGGGCTCCGTGTGCTCGTCATGGGAAAGGTGGATCCCGACATTCAGATGAGAACTTCTCTCAGTGCGTTTCGACAATGAATTCTGCTTGCTTTGTCCTCGATGAAGAGAGCAAGAACTTTCTCGAGGCATGCTCTGAACATCATCTGCTCCAAGGGGAAGGCATTGTTGGGAAAGCATTCAAAGCAACCAAACTGTTTTTTGTACCTGAAGTGACCTCATTTAGCAAGACCAACTACCCTCTTGCGCACCATGCCAAGATATCTGGACTACATGCTGCTCTAGCGGTCCCGTTAAAGAGCAAATCCAATGCTTCTGTCGAGTTTGTGTTGGAATTCTTCTTTCCAAAAGCGTGCCTAGACACTGAAGCGAAACAGGAAATGCTCAAGTCGCTGTCTGCGACTCTGCAGCAGGATTTCAGGAGTTTAAATCTGGTCATTGACAAAGATCTAGAGTTAGAAGTTGTATTGCCTGTTAGAGAGGACATGGTTATCTCAGAGAACCCTTTAACCTGTGCAGAGACCGCAGAAATTCATCTGCAAGAATCGTCATGGATCTCCCACATGATAAATGCAAACGAGAAGGGCAAAGGTGTGTCACTTTCTTGGGAGTACCAGAAAGAAGATCCAAAAGATGAATTCAAGGTCCCATATACAAATCAGCTTGATCCAAGCCCCAACAACTTTCCTTTAGAAGCTGAGATTCAGCAGGCTTCAAGTTCAGGACTCAGAGTTGCTACTGGTCCAAGAACCGAAGCAGCTTCCACTGGTGGTGGAAATATGTTAGGGAGTAGAAGACCAGGGGAAAAGAGAAGAACAAAACATGAAAAGACCATTGGCTTGGAGGTTCTTCGACAATACTTTTCTGGAAGCCTCAAAGATGCAGCCAAGAGCATTGGTGGTAAGAAATTGCTGTACACTGCTAGAAACATAGGTTCACACTTTATGAATTTTGATTCTTCTTGTATCTTGAGAAAAGCATAACCAGTTCCCTACTCCCTAGTCTAAGCCCAGACCTCGTATCCCAATTGAACATGTAACACTAAACTTCAAGCCTGAGCAACAGTACCAAGGGAAATGTGATACTCCATGTCAAATATTAATATTCTATCACTAAGGCAGTTGATCAGGGTGCTCTACAAACATTTTCATCTTGCCTATTTATGGGTTTCTCAGACAGTGATGTGACAGGGTTTCGTTCTTATGTTGCAGTTTGTCCAACTACCTTGAAAAGGATATGCAGGCAACACGGAATAACAAGATGGCCCTCCCGGAAAATCAAGAAGGTTGGGCATTCGTTGAAGAAGCTCCAACTTGTTATGGACTCTGTTCAAGGTGCACAGGGCTCTATCCCACTCGATTCATTCTATACAAGCTTCCCAGAGTTGAGCTCCCCGAATATGTCCAGCACTGGCCAGTCACAGCATCTGAACGTTCCAACAGAAAACGGTGTTTTGGCAGAGGAAAAAACATCACCAAGGTCACCATCATCTTCTTGCAGCAAGAGCTCTGGTTCAAGCACCAATGCGAAAACTGCAAACACTCTGAAAACTCCTGAGGATGCTGGCGCGGTCTTGAAGAAAGCTCATAGCGAGGCGGAACTGCATATCAACCAGGAGGAAACAAAATGTCTTGCAAGAACCCAGAGCCAGAAAATATCCAAGGAGCCTCCACTTGTTGAAAATTTACCTCCATTACCAGCTAGTAGCAACAAGAGCTTAAGAGCTGGAGGGGCCATTAAAGTGAAAGCGACGCTTGGTGAGGCCATAGTACGGTTTACCTTGCTCCCGAGCTGGGGTTACAGAGAGCTGCAGCAAGAGATTGCTAGACGCTTCAACATAGATGACATTTCCTGGTTTGATCTCAAGTACTTGGATGATGATAAGGAGTGGGTTCTTCTGACATGTGAAGCGGATCTGGAGGAATGCATTGACATACATAGATCATCACAGAGCCAAACAATTAAAATAAGTCTTCACGAACCTTATCAAGTCAAGCTGGGAGGTTCTTTTGGTAGCACTGGTCCATCCTAATAAACAATCAAAGCACCTTCAACCTATTGCTTAGATTTTAGAAATCTCACTTACCTTTTTAGCCTGGGAATTGTGTGTAAACTTAATTCCAGTGCCCTGAATACCATTTTGCAGATGGTTGTAGTAACCGGAGCTCCTTCATGGACTTGGCAGATTTTTGTATCATAGGCGATGCGTTCCAAAAACTTGTATTTGATTCCTGTACAATCATTTACTACCCGGTTTCCTCTAAGCTCTGCAACAACTGCAGTTAAGATATTCTGTGTGTTTTCACTTCATTAATTTTGGGATATGTCTAGTTACTATCTAATCCATGATTTCATTGATCTATCTAGCAAAGCTTGTGTGGCGAGGAACATTAAAATACTTGTGCAAAAGATAAAGAATATCCATTTTACTTATATTGATTATGACGTAACACTTTCATTGTTCTTGGTAAACACAGAAACAACAAACAATCTGTATGTCTATGTTTAGCCAGAAACCTAGTAGTCTAGAAATCAGAAGTTGCGCAGAAGAAAAGTACAAGATTAGTAGCTTACATTATTGGAAATAACGTATGTTGTGTTCCTCTGACCCAAAATTCAAAGTTGGCTTCAAATTCAATATGAAAGTGGGCGGCTCTTTTCCCCCTTTTCTCCACCAGCTTGGTCTTGCCACTTGTGTTCACCCACTAGTGTCATTTTATCTATTCCTCTGACTTCAATGCGCACACCTTGAACGCAATGTTTACTTTTAATACCCCCTGCGAGACGTCTTTTGCACCGAAAATCAGTGTCCAAACATGTCATCTTGTCTATTTCTACTGGCCTACCTGCAAAAACACAAGAAAACAGAATATGAAGGTCCAACTCTGATTAAACATTATCCGTGTCAGATACTTTTAACACAGGGATACATTCAGATTCTTTAGAGACATCTCAAACTGTACATTAGTAGATATATTATAATAACGCTAACATCTTACACCTGAGACAAAGATCAAAAGAGTATGCCACTCAAAGAGTATTTGTCGAAGTATCCGACTGTGAACTTACATGCTAGTGCATAAAGCAAGAGTAGAATGAAGAAAGTTACTGCTGTATGTCCATTTCTACTTTAAATTGAATTTTAATCAAAAAGGAATAATTCGTAATCCGAAACCTTAAAAGTTTCTTGATATCAAAGGTTGTACCTAGGATAAATGAACCAACATCAACAATTTTATTCCTTGTTTCATTTTCCTTAATTTTGGGTTTCGTTAGAGGGTTTACCAGTCCTAGTTTCTTATTTTTACCTGTCAACAGATCTAGGAGACTAGCTTTTGCATCCTTAATGAGCTGCACCTGAAATACGTGCTTGACCATCGAATTTTAAGTTTCCCATCAGAAAGAAAACAGAGTCGTGCAATATCCCTAACGATCATCGTCCTCCCAGTAATCTAAGTAGTCAACTCTCTGAGGCTGAAAGCTTGATATATCCCCCTGACCCCATCCTCTTTTAACCCTTGTCAGAGATTTTAGAGCAATGCCACTGCCGTCATCTCTGCAAAGTGACAATTGACAGGGAGAACATTCATTCAGTTTCCGAAAAAAGACATTAAAACAATTCTCTCAATCAGAAATCAGTGGAAATTAGTGAGTTCATTCTCTAATCATATACATGAATGCTTACTCCAAATCTTGGAACCTTTAAAAAGAGAAAACAAGAATATCAAAGGACAAAGTAAGGAACTACGAAACCTCCAATAAAGCAACTAAAATACCTATTGACATGGTGCCTACAATAGCAGAAACAATGATAGAACAAAAAACAACAAGGAGAAAGTGGCATCCATAACTTCGCATATCACCAAAAAAAGGAAGAAGGTGTCATCCATACCTGTGCAATATATTCTGCCAGTTGTTTCCACCATACTTATTATGCTTTTTCTGGTGTAAATCACTTGCATTTGGGTCGACTTTGTTTGCAACTTCACCGACTGAAGCCATTTCCATCATCTTCTCAGCAAAAATATTTGCCTCTTTCTTGTTTCCCATCTTACCTAAGCCATCTATCACAGGCATCAATGCTGCAGGGTCAAACCCATATCCTTTGTCTATCATCTTCTGCAAAATTCCAGTAGCTACTTCTAGCTCATCCTTCTTACATAAGCTCTCAACAAGATCTTTATAAAGAAAAGTCCCCAACTCAAAACCTCTATCCAAAACAACTTCAAGCAACTCCGTAGCTTTTAAGAGTTGCCCTGCAGCAAGCAACTCATTAAACATCAAGCTGCAAAGGCCTTCCTTTTGTCCACATATACTTACAGCCGTCTCGAAAACTTCTTGAGCCATGCCAAAGTCAGGGACCTTACAGAATGCTCCAATCAAATATTCGAAAGAACATACATTCGGGGTTACATTCTTTTGCATCATTTCATCTAAGAGGTTAGTTGCATCTTCAACTTTTCCTCCCTCACAAAGATACTTGATTGCAGTATTGTAGGTGCAGATGTTAGGTGAAATCCCCTTTTCTATCATCTCATCCATCAGTCCGTGAATTTCAAATATCTGATTTTGTATACCTAAGCCCAGGATCAGCGAGTTATAAGTCTCTAGGCTCTTATGACAACCTTTCTTCTCCATATCTTTCAGAACGCGAAATGCAGATGATAGTTTCCCCTGTTTGCAGAAATGATGGATGAAAATGTTGTAAGCAACAGTGTCCGGTTGCAGCTTCTCTCCCATCATCTCAGCAAACAACTTTTTTGCTTCAGCGAACCTTCCAGCTTTGCACAAACCATCAAGTAAAGTTGAATATGTGATCAGGTCAGGCAAGCAATTGTTCTCTATCATGCTGTCATCCACCAGTCCAACATATGAATTTCCTAGGTTACCAAGAGCAGCACTTCCATGCACCCGCATCCCCTTAACTATCTCAATAGCTTTATCTAGTTCTCCACTTCCACAAATCCCATCAACTATAATGTTACAGGTGACAGTATCTAGTCCATAGCCTTTTTCATTCATCTTCCGCAGCAACTCTTCAGCTTCAGATATTCTCCCCAATTTCCATAGGCTATGCAGCAAAATATTGCAAGTATAAGCATTTGGTGAGCAATTATTCCTCATCATCTCCTGCAATAAGCTTTTAGCTGCGTCAACTTTCCCAACACTACAATAACCATGTAGCAGACACCCATAAGTTACAACATCTGGAGAAACACCATTTCTTCTCATCAAACCAACAATAGCCTTTGCATCGGATAGCATGCCCAATTTGCAGAATCCATCCATCAAAATATTGTAAGAATAAATACTTGGCCATATTCCCTTATCAATCATTTGCTTAAGTACTGTTTCAGCCTCTATAAACTTCCCATGTCTGACCAGTCCCTGCAACCAAATATTGTAACTCTGCAAACTAGTGAGATCATCATTCTCTCTAATCGACTCAAAGAGTGTCTTAGCTTCCTCCAGCATCCCTACCTTGCAGAATCCTTTCAGCATCAGGTTGTACGTTATACTATTAGGCCGAGGAAGACCCAGATATTCATCAAGCTCCATATCCCTGAAAATCCTTGACGCCTCTAAAACCTTTCCTTCTTTACAAAGCGCTGATATCCTGGAGTTGAAAGTTACAATATCAGGAAGCAAACCTTCCTCTCTCATCTTCTCCACCAATTTCTCAGAATCATCGTTCCTACCTTCCCTACAGAAGCTCGAAATGATGGTATTATACACAACCTTATTGGGTAAAACCCCAAAACTTTCCATCGAATTCAACAACTCTAGTCCTTTGTCAGGCAGACCAAGTCTACAATACCCACGAACCAAGATCCCAAAAGTAAACTCATTTGGCTTACAACCTTTCTCTGGCATTTCGTCGAACAGCTCACGAGCAGCGTCCACACAACTCGAATCACACAAAGCACGGATCAAGAGATTGAACGTATAAGTCTGTGGAGCAATCCGGCAAAAGATCATATCTTTGTACAGCCACGAAACGAAATCCACACGCCTTTCCTTTATGCAACCTTCAAGCAACACATTATACAAATAGATTCCGGGATTGTTTTCTGGGAAACGCGACCGGACGAATTGGAATTGCGCAAATGCCTTGTCGACGTAATCCGATTTCGCGAAGATTGAGACCACCGAGAGAAAGGTCGAAAATTTTGCATTTTCGATTGACGAAGAGAGAACAAGACTGTGAAGGTCGTCGATTTCTTCGTTCATTTTGGCTCGAACGAGTATACGAGCGATCGTTGGTGCTGCAGCTAAGGAGATACAATGGCTCTCTTCTGAAGGAGAAGAGAAAATCCTCTTGAAGATACTCCATGCTAATCTCGGATTGTTGGTGTTCTTCAACAAAGCCTTCTTCACAAGTGTACCAGATTGTTCCATAGACTACCGTTGCGGAACCACAGAGCTGAAAATTCAATTGGAGGGTGTAAATGTTAACATTGTTTTCCAGATTGGTTTCATATGTGAATATCTAATTAAAGACGGACCGAAATGTAATAATGGTTACTATTGGGGCTGGTATGTAAATAACAGAACTTGTAGACTAAAAGTAAACGCTTTTTACTCTTTTCTTCAACCTTCGTTCTAAAGTCGCAGCACGTTCCCTTCTTCTTCTCTCAATCATTTGCTGCAGAATCTGATTCCGATCAAAATCTCCGACGAAGATGTCTCGCCAATCGCTTTCTCTACTGAAGAATCTCGGTAGGATTACTAGTCGGTCTGGAATCCAGACGCGATCCGTCACTTACATGCCCAGGCCCGGCGACGGAAAGCCACGACCGGTGACGCTGATCCCCGGAGACGGAATCGGACCTCTGGTGACGAACGCGGTTGAGCAAGTGATGGAGGCGATGCACGCTCCGGTTTACTTCGAGCCGTTTGACGTTCACGGGGACATGAAGAGTTTGCCGGAGGGATTGCTGGAATCGATTAAGAAGAACAAAGTGTGTTTGAAAGGCGGACTTAAGACTCCCGTCGGCGGTGGCGTGAGCTCGCTCAATGTTAACCTCAGGAAAGAGCTTGATCTCTTTGCGTCGTTGGTCAACTGTTTCAATTTGCCTGGTTTAGCCTCTCGTCACGAGAACGTTGACATCGTGGTGATCAGAGAGAACACTGAAGGTGAGTATGCAGGGCTTGAGCACGAAGTTGTTCCTGGTGTCGTTGAGAGCCTTAAGGTGAAATTTCCTCTCCAATTTCTCCGTTTTTGGGTTGCAAATGTGATTTGGTGGTAGATTTGTAGTGTCTTTACGAGAATTTCTTGCATTTTTGTTCTTTAGGTTGAGTTACATGAGCGTATGGAATCGAATTTAGCTGCATTTCTTGAATAAACATGATCCTGGTAGTGTGATTCTTGAGTGGAATGGTTTGCTTACGATACAGAAGCTAGTCATTATCAATCTTTCATGTCCATAGATTTGTTTCCTCTCTCAATTGCGTGTGTGTATAGTGATGTTGGCATTCACAGATGCACATTGGTGATCATGTTTTATGTTAGGCATATGCGAGTGCCGCTTCGTTTTATTTAAGATGTATCTGATACTATTGTAATGCTAGGTGATCACAAAGTTCTGTTCGGAGCGTATTGCAAAGTACGCGTTTGAGTATGCCTACTTGAACAACAGGAAGAAAGTTACGGCAGTCCACAAGGCCAACATCATGAAACTGGCTGATGGTTTGTTCTTGGAATCTTGTCAAGAGGTTGCTAAGAAGTATCCAAGCATCGCCTACAACGAAATCATTGTTGATAACTGCTGTATGCAACTTGTAGCAAGACCAGAGCAATTCGACGTCATGGTAAGTGTTTCAGGCACTTATGGATCCTTGGACTAGCTTTCCTTGAATTCGGCTTAATTTACATGAATCTTCTTTGCAGGTAACGCCCAATCTCTACGGTAATCTTGTTGCAAACACTGCTGCTGGTATTGCGGGAGGCACTGGAGTCATGCCTGGAGGTAATAATAGTCATCTCTTTACTATAGGTCTAATGCACAATAGGGAAACAGATTCTCTTGCTTGTTAGATTGGGATTGATCTTTGGACTATTTGACAGGAAACGTTGGGGCGGACTATGCGGTGTTTGAGCAAGGCGCATCAGCGGGAAACGTGGGGAAAGACACGACGGAAGAGCAAAAGAATGCGAACCCGGTGGCGTTGCTGCTCTCATCAGCAATGATGCTTAGACATCTTCAGTTCCCTTCTTTTGCTGATAGGCTTGAGACCTCGGTGAAGCGTGTCATCGCCGAAGGAAAATGCCGGACTGAAGATCTTGGCGGAAACAGTACTACTCAAGAGGTCGTTGACGCGGTCATTGCAAATTTGGACTGAAACATCATCACACTGCTCCTGAAAAAGTGGTAGAATTTCACACACACGTTTGTGTAACCCTCAATTTTTCCACATTCTTTCGAGATAATTCGAATTGAGTCTCGAGATTTCCACTAAAGAAAAACAAAGAACATGGATTTTGTTGCTAGTTTTATTGGGATTTTGCTCTCCCAAGAACACCTCTGATCTTTATGGTGTTCACTGTATTTTTTGAATAATTGAAATTTACTCTGTTCTGGTTTTGGTACCAGAACTGTATAAAAACTTGAAATTTATTTCACAACAATAAATAGATAAACACAAAAACCCATGCTTTCAAGTGGAACGAAGTTTTTATTATTTCAATCCGAGCTGTACTTTAGATTCACACTCATAAACACAACACCATAACATTATCAGAGAAGACAGAGACAAAACAGAGCACACTGAATCAACACCATCACGAAACTGAAGCTTGATCTCAACGTTGAAGCATAGTTACCAGGACCACCAGAATCTGTTCATCAGAGAGTAACCATTTATTATCAACTCATTAATAGCCACTAAAACTATAACACATTGTGCAGAAACCAGAATCAAACAAACCTGGACAGGCATCTGGAGAAAGGGTTGTGAAGATGGTCTGGTTGGAGTAGCCAGCGTAGGCGCAAGAACGAGGTCCACAAGAGGTACTAGTCGTGTTACTTAGAAACAAACTCTCTGCTCCTTCGCATCGTGAAGACGGACAAGTTTGCCATTTCGAAGGCTTAAGCTGAGAAGGTTCACAGCTTAAACTGTTCACAAAACACAAAACCAAAACCATCAGAAATTAGCAAAAAACCAAATCCTATATCAATTTTGAACAAACACATCAATCACTTACGTCCAGTTGCTTGAGGCGTCACAAGAGCACTTGATGCAATTGTTTGCAGTGTAAAAGTATGAGCTGTTAGGTAAAAGCAGAGGAGCATCCAACGAGTCGTTCCTCACAGAAGAGCTACAAGCTGCAAGTAAAGTTAAAACAGTTTATAACTTTCTTTCCAAAATTAGAAACCCAAATAGATTTCTCCAATGAGACTTCTAAAGTTAGAGACTTTTCAATTAAATTTTCATCTAAACATCATCAAAGTCACAGATTTTTCAATGAGAAATCACCTCTTAGAGGGACGTTGAGAGGATAATCGGCGAGGAGCTCAGGATCGCCGGTGATATTATTGACCCGAGCCAAGGTCGTGTTGTCAGTTCCAAACTGAGCAGCGATCTCACCGAGTGAGCTACCCTGTTTGACCACGTGTGCGTAATGAGCGACATCTTGACCGTCCAGTTTGTCGCAGCTACAAGGCAAAGGGATCCAAAACCTTTGACCGACCTTGATAAGGCTCGGGTCAGAGATGTTATTCAGCTCACTGATCTTCTCGTACCGAAGCAGAGCTCCGTAAATCTCAGATGCGATGACGAAGAGCGTGTCTCCTGCCTTTACCGTGTAATTCGGAACCCGGTTCGAGACGCCGGTTCCGTTGGAGCAAGAGCAAGGGATTGGGACGCGCACGACCTCGTTCGGGTTCACGCGCCGGTCACGTGGGGTGGAGAGAGGGAGGTTGTTGGCTTCGAGGATCGAACGGAGTTTCTTGACGGCGAAAAGGGTTTGGATGTTTCCTAACGTCGTGGCGTTCTTGCTTGAGAAACCGACGAGAGAGCGACACGTGGACTCTGAGCCGCTGCATATGAAGTCTCCGGTCATTAGAGCGGAGAGAGAGAGGAGGAAAGAGAAGGCGAGGAGGAGAAAGGTAAGGGTATAACGGGAAATTTCCATTTTTGTTGTATTGCCGGAGAATTCTTTAGCTCAATCTGGATTTTAAAAGGATGTGAAGATGAGGACGAAGACGAGGAAGAGAGTTGACCCAGATGAGTCTCTTTGGAGTTTGACTGTTGACTTTGTAGAAAATTAAATGAGAACACAACAAGAAACAGAACACATTGTGCTTTGTTCCCTAATGGAAATGTGTTGGCATTTAGTTTACCACGCGTTATAAAGTTATAATCTCGTGATAAACTACTACTAGTAATAGTGGTACTGTAGTAATAGAAGATTCGAATAAAAGAGCATATAAATAATTAGTGATTGAGGTTATGATGGTTTATTTTTATTCTCCACCATTCAGAATTTTCATTGGAATAAATACATTATTTGGCCACTAGGAAGAGGATGGACTAAGTTTTACATCTTGTAATTCCAAAACAATTCCATGCATGTTTGTTTGTTTTTTTAATAAAAGTGTATATTCTTAGTTCTTTAACCAATCCTTCATAGTTCATACACTATCCAGACAGAATGAGATAATTAGGCTCGAAACTGAATGAAGCCAAGCTGGACCTCCAAGAGCCAACTGATATTGAAATTGAATTAACCGTAAGATAAAAACATGAATTTAAGATTCAATCATTGTTTACGTTACATATCACATTCAATCATTGTCTACGTCAGATATCATTTTCATAAACGATAACTAAGATTATATTGTCCAACGACCAAATCAAAATAAAACTGTTAGCAAGAAGAAAGAGGAACCAAAATCCAAATCAAATACAATATGGTTGGTCTAAAGTCGTCGTTTAGCATTGAAGGTTTCCAACATAATATTCATCAAAGTAAGAATAGTCCTCCGACTTACATAATAAACAAAAATCGGAAAACAAAAGTTTTCATTTTTCCAACGTAAACTGTTTCATCTTAAATTGACACAATCCATATTTTAATTCCTTCTTAATCCAAAACTCAGAAATGATAACAAAATTAGGGAAAAAAACACACACCGCAGCAAGATTCCCTCGCTGTCATTTCTGTTTCCTCTTCTCTAACTTTCCCTTTTGCTTCTTCATTTTTTAAATCTTTAGACACTCTCAAAAGCTAAAACTTTCTCGAGAAAAAATACCAACTTTCACTTTTTATTCTACTTTCAATCAACATTTCTTTACCTCATATGGGCTTTCACTTCTCACCTAACTTTCAAAAGTCTCTCTCTTTTACTTTTTTAAAAACCTTAAATTTTTCATTATTGTACTATCTGATTCTCGAATCTCTGCAGAATTAAAAAAACTTTGATTTGATGGGTTGTACAACCTCCAAGCTCGACGATTCTCCGGCGGTGGCGCTTTGTCGCGACCGTTGCGGTTTCTTAGAATCGGCGATTCAGCAACGTTACGCTCTAGCCGAATCCCACGTGGCATACACACAGTCCCTGAAAGGAATTGGCCAGTCTCTTCACAGCTTCATCAATCACCACCACCGCTTCGCCGGAGGAGAGTCTCCCAACCCGGAAGATGACGACGATTCGCCGAAGAAAACGAAACAAACTGCTCCTGCCACCCACTCGGATCCTGGGTCGGGTCATATCGAATTCGATTCTGATTCCGACGAAATTGATTCGTCGCATCACTCTGATCACTCATCTCCTCTGCATCACCATCTCGACGACGAGGATTACCCGAATTCGAAACCTCCGTCTTACTCTGGCCCGTATTTGCATATGAACTACATGAAGAATAGCTCGATGCCTCCTTCCGTCGTCTACGAGCAGAGACCTTCGAGTCCTCAGAGAGTTTACATCGGCGAATCATCATCCTCTAACTATAACCCATACCTTTACCCTCCCAATTTGAGTGATCCATACTTCGGGAATCACGGACCCGAAACTCCATCGTCCTCGAAACAGCCTCCGCCGCCACCAACGCCGCCGAAGTCAGAGGCTTGGGATTTCCTAAACCTTTTCGATTACGCTCCGTACACATCTGTTCGCGATTCGAGAGAGGTGAGAGAGGAAGAAGGTATTCCGGATTTGGAAGAAGTGGGTTTTCAGAAGGAGGTTGTGAAGGAAGTACAGGGGAAACAGAAATTCGTCGCCGGAGTTAAAAATCCGAAGGAAGAGCCGCCAGGTAACTCCGGTGGTGCAAGCACTAGTGACGGTGGTCAGGCTTCTCTGTTTCAGACTAGGCCAAGCGTCTCGGTTGAGAAGGAGGTTCATGTCGTGGAGAAGGAAGCTGTTAAGGATGATGGGGACGAAAGACGACGGAGGAGTAATGCGGCGGCGGCACGTGGCGGTGGCGGCGGCCGGCGTGGTGTGCCTGAGGTAGCGAAAGAGATAGAAGTTCAGTTCTTGAGAGCTGCAGAGTCAGGAAGTGAGATTGCAGTGATGCTTGAAGTGGGCAAACATCCTTACGGCCGCAAAAATGGTAGCTTTCATCAAATCTTTCGTTTTTCCTCTGTTTTTGATGAATTTGTTGCAGAAAGTTTGATTCTTTGTAGAAAAAATCTAGTGAATATATACATTTTTGTTTTGCGTCAATAAATGATTATGTTTTCCACTATTGTCTGTGAAATGAAAGTAAAAAAATTTGGAGCTTTGTTGCGTTTCAGCCATTTTTAAATCCTAAAGAACTTGTCTTTGCATGTGTTTGAGCAGTTTCGTCAAGGATGACATCATCTCAACCGTCAACCTCCAAGAAAGGTGAAGCATCTTCTTCCGTGGCTGCACCTACTTACGCAGACATTGAGGCAGAGCTTGCATTAAGGTCACGTAATCTCTCTTCCTCACTGCACAAGCTCCACCTTTGGGAGAAGAAGCTTTACGATGAAGTCAAGGTATGTTGTTGTTACTTAAACCGTGTCTGCCTCACGTTACTGAGATGTGATCTGTTTTGTAATGTGTGCGGCTTCTCATGTAGGCTGAGGAGAAACTGCGTATGTTACACGAGAAAAAGCTAAGGAAGCTGAAGCGTTTGGACGAAAGAGGTGCAGAGGCTCCAAAAGTAGATTCAACACGAAGATTAGTGAGAAGTATGTCGACAAAGATAAGGATTGCGATTCAAGTTGTTGACAAAGTATCGGTTACAATTAACAAGATAAGAGATGAAGAGCTATGGCTGCAACTAAATGAATTGATCCAAGGGTAAGCTTGATGAAGTTTGGTTTGAATGCAATAATACTATGAACCTTTTCCTTATGTTCTCGTTCTCTGTTTCTAGGCTGAGCAGAATGTGGAAATCCATGCTTGATTGCCATCGAAGCCAGTGCGTGGCTATTAAGGAAGCCAGAGGTTTAGGCTCCATTAGAGAGAGCAAGAAGCTCGGTGATGATCATCTGGAGGCTACAAAGCTGCTTGGTCATGAACTTATAAACTGGATTTTGGGGTTCTCGAGTTGGGTTAGCGCTCAGAGAGGTTTTGTGAGAGAACTGAATAGTTGGCTCATGAAGTGTCTTTTCTATGAACCAGAGGAAACTCCTGATGGAGTGGTTCCTTTCTCTCCTGGTCGTATTGGTGCTCCAATGATATTCGTCATCTGTAACCAGTGGGAACAAGCTATGGATAGAATATCGGAGAAGGAAGTTGTCGAGGCCATACGCAGATTCACAACGAGTGTGCTTCATCTTTGGGAACAAGATAGGTTAGAGACCAGGGAGAGGATGGTAGGGGATGGTGGTGATTCAAGGAATGTGGACAGAGAGGAAGAGAGGATACAGAGAGAGATTCAAGAACTTGAGAGGAAAATGGTTTTGGTTGGTCCGGGCGGCGAAGATAACATTGTCTACCAAAGCGACACTAGTAACGAGAGTTTACAAGGTAGCCTTCAACGTATCTTTGAAGCTATGGAGAGATTTACTGCGGACTCAATGAAAGCTTATGAAGATCTCTTGGAGCGTGCTGCTGAGAAAGAAAGTAGCTCTCAAGAATCAGAGGAAGACTAAATTACGAAATCAAAACTACTTGTAAATAATTAGAGCATGAACAAACCTAGGAAACATGTTAATATTTTTGAGATATCCAAGGAAAATATTAATTACTTTTTGACTCTCCATTTTTCTTGTATAATGCCTTCACTTCCAAGTTACAACTCTATGTACAAAAATACAAAATCTATATAGATTATGTCGTTTGGAAAAGATCTAGCACTCCTTTAATTATCAGGTTATCCACTTTAGATTTTAAATAACGAACACTTAGAGAATTTACAAAGGAAACCAATATGTTATTACGTACACCAACTCATAATAGTGTATTATGTTTTCATTATTGCTAGACCTTGTAATGGCTCACCCGAGTGGCTTTCCATTCCCGATCTTTTTTAATGAAGGTTTCATGTGTTGAAAACTAGTATAGATACATAGCATGTAATTCTTACTCGATATTAAATGTAAGACATTGAACATTGTAGTCAAAGTTTAATACTAGAAATAAATTACTCTAATTCACAAAAAACTACATAAAAATCAAAATAAAGAGTTTTGACATGGAAATCCACTTGTTACCACCATGCAAATTTCTGACATGGAAACTATTATGGAAACTATTATATAGATTCTGATCCAAAAGTAGGTCAAAATTGACTCATAATTGACAAATAAAGAAGAAAAAGGAAAGAAAATAAAGAACAAATACTTTTGTTTTTCATAATTTCATCGCTTATGTAATCACAAATGGAATTCACTGTATTTTATGTCATCATTTTCTTAATAAAAGTTAGATGTTACAAAAAAAGAACATTTAGTAAATAGACAAATTGTAGAAGGTCTTACATTTTCAAATTACAGAAAGGATATTCAAATGGATAAAGTTTTCGGGCGTATTGTAATAATTTTTTAGCGAAATATTACACTATTTTATATGATATCATTTATAAAAAAAAAATTAAATGATAAAATGCACCGCAAAATATTATCCGCACAATTTTTTTCTACGGTTTTACAAATTTATTGGGAAAATAAATGAAGAAAATAAAAACTGGCTGAAAAGAAATAAGAATTAATTAATGAGTAAGAAAAAGAATTAAGAAGCCCTTGAGTGACAAAAAAGAAAGAGTCGTCTTCTAATTTTGGAACCAAAATGATTATCATGTTAAACAAGACTTTTTGTATTGGCAACGAAGAGACACGAAGCCTCAGAGTCAAAGCACACAACAAAGACAGCAAAAGTAAATAAAAAAACCATTTTTAACGAGGAACACTTTTGAAACTCTGCTTTTGCCCGCGTAAAGAATCATGGGTTGTTGCTACTCATTGTCTTCTTCCATTGGAGATTCTGAACAACAAACCCACCAAAACCACAGAGGAGGAGATCCAACACCATTAACAAAGTTCCCCTTCTCCGATCTCAACGCAGCCACCAATAATTTTAGTTTGGCAAATATCGTTTCAGAGGGCGGAGAGGAAGCCTCTGATGTTGTCTACAAGGGCCGTTTGCAAAACGGCGGCTTGATCGCTGTAAAGAGATTTAAGATTATGGCTTGGCCTGATCCTAAGAAATTTGCGGTACCCTCACTTTTTATTTATGAAAAGGTTTTTAATTTTGTGGCGGTTTTTGATTCTTGTTTCTTTGTTCGTTGTTTAAGGAGGAGGCACAGAGAGTGGAGAAGTTAACGCACAAGAGAGTCGTTAATTTGATTGGTTATTGCTGTGATGGAGATGAGAGGCTTCTTGTTGCAGAGTTTATGCCAAATGATACTCTTGCTAAGCGTTTGTTCCATCGTAATGATTCCTCTTCTTCATTTCTTAATTTTTACTTTTCACATATTGCATTTGTGAATCTGAGAACAGAGTGGCTACATTGTATCAGCATTTAGGTATAGAGTAAAACCAACTTCATCGTTTGATTGCTTGTGGATCCGACTGAATCAGAAATTGTTAGATGTTGTGCTATAGATAGTATAAATGTAACAGATTTTAAGCATTCTCTGTTTTGATACAAAGAGGCTGCATTGTTGGTTTATGTGACATAAGTGTGTACTACTATGGATGGTCTAAAGTCGAAAACTTTTGTGACTAGAGAAAATGTAGAATTAACATGTACATAATGTATCTGTTTGTAGAATCAGTGTCATCGTTTGATTCCTTGTAAAATTAATTGAATATTTTTTCTGTTGTGATTCACAGAGAAAAGTCAAACCATGGAATGGGCAATGCGAGTGAAAGTAGCTTATTGTGTAGCTGAAGCATTGGATTATTGTAGCAATGCAGGTTTTGCATCTTACAGTAACTTAAGTGCTTACACAGTTCTGTTTGATCAGGTATATACATACTATTAGATTCCCATCTTAACAATATTTTAATGCCTATGCCTTTTCATGATCTAAGGATGCTCAATTTTGTGTGTGTTTTGTTCTTAATGGATATTGAAGGATGGTGATGCTTGTCTTTCTTGTTTCGGCTTGATGAAGGAGATCAAAGATGATCAAAGAACAACCGGTAATGGATTCATGCTTATTAATTATCTTCAGATTATTGTGATCATAATGTGACGGTATATTCTCCTTGCAGGAAGTGTGAATCCTCAAAGTGTCATATTCAGATTTGGTACTGTCCTTGTGGAGTTGCTAAGTGGAAAGCAAATTCCTCCAAGCCATGTAAGTGATTCTGTTCAAGCCCTCTCTGTTCAAACTATAACTATATAGTTTTTTTTTTAGATTAACTAGTACTTATTAATGTTCTGATTCTAGGCTCCTGAGATGATACATGGAAAGAATGTTATTGAGTTGGTTGATCCAAACCTGAAGGGGAAATTCTCTACAGAAGAAGCTATCATAGTTTTCAAACTCGCCTCTCAATGTTTGCAATACGAGGGCATAGAGAGTCTCAACACAAAAGATCTTGTTACAACACTTGAAACCTTGCAAACCAATACAATAGTAACGGTATCATTCTTGATTTTTGTTACTTCTTGTTTTTGCATTCAAGATGAAAAAACCTAATGTTTTAGCTCGCAGGTCCCATCTAATGCAATGCTTGCAATGACAAAGGATAAGAACGTACCTTGGACTCAAATTTCGCCACTAGGAGAGGCCTGTTTGAGAATGGACCTCACAGCTATTCAGAAAATATTGGTGTCGACAGAATATGAAGATGACAAGGAGGTCATCGAGGTAACACAAAAACTCATCAATCTTGAAAACATGATTCCATAGCTAATCTGGCATCAAAGAGGTTTAAACTATGCTTGGGTTTGCAGTTATCTTTTGAAGAATGGACACAAGAGGTGAAAGATCTTCAAGAGGTTCGAAAACATGGTGATCAAGCCTTCCTTAAAGAAGACTACAAAACCGCCATTGACTGTTATTCTCAGGTAGCTATTAGTGTCAGCTCCGATCTCCCTTGCGTATTAGTTAAAAAAAACTCTGTTTTGAAACTTGTTTCTTGTTTTCTGTCAACAGTTCATTGAAGGGAGAAGAATTGTATACCCAAGTGTTTATGCGAGGCGTAGTCTTTGCTATTTATTCTGCAATCAACCAGAGAGAGCACTCCGAGATGGGATGCTTGCACAAGAAGTCTTCTCTGATTGGCCAACCGCCTTCTACTTGCAGTCTATTGCACTATCCAAACTAAATATGATCACTGATTCTGCTGATACTTTGAAAGAAGCAGCTCTTCTTGAAGCCAAGAGACAGCCCCATGAGGAAGAATCTTGATTTTGCAGATTTTCTTCAAGACAGACTGAAATCTTTACTTTTGTTTCTTGTAAATTTCTGAGAAAAGAGTTAAAAAAAAAATTGAAACCTTTGTGAATCTCCATTTTCATCTCTTGCAGTTACCATTTTTGAGAAAGCTAATGGGTAAATCGAGAAATAAAGTATCGAGAAACCTTTAGTATCGTTTATAGTTTGTGTGAAGAGCTAAGGAGGTTGGACCGGCTTTGAACTAAGGTTCAATGTATATGTATTAGAGACAGAGACATACACAATGTTAGCGACCCTCTTGTCTTGGATCTAAATAATGCGCATCAATAAAAATCAAGAGCAGAAACCAACAAGTGTGACAAGAAAAGGATATGACAAATGTTTGTCACACATCTTGTTGGCTGAGAAGAAAGGGAGATATATAAGATATAAGGTTTGCGATATGGAGGTTGTTCTTGTATACTCGTGCAAATATGCAATAAGGAATCAATACTACGGAGATCTTGATCCAATAGTTTTTCGGAACACTAAACAAACATCTTCTTAAGGCGACTTTAGAACGAAGGTAGAAGAAAAGCGGATTTGTGCAACACATCCAAGGATGCTTTGTCACAGATGCTCTGTTTGATTCTCTCTTCACTTACATGTCTGGATCCAAGTCATGCGGAAAATGGTCACTAATCTCAAAGCCAATGAACAAGAAAAAGGTCTCATGTGAAGCAAAAGCTAAAGAACTCACGAGGATTGATTCCGAATTTCAATCCCAAAAGACCATGGTAGATGGAAGATGTGAGATCCTAGCTAGAGTCATGCATGAAAGATCTTGAAGATGGACTTGGATCTCTTTCCAAAGTCTTTCATCAAATACAGAGTCTCAATTCTTAACACTTTAGGCTGCTAAGCCTACAATGTTTGTTGAAAAAGTTAATTAAATAGAATTCTAGCAAAAAAAAACACATAAACAATGAATACAAGATCTTTCTCATATTAACTCTGATATTTTATTTTAATCAAAGAACCAATCTCTACCAAGATGTACATAAACTTATACAGTTTTTTACCCCAAATTTCACTCTTTAATATATGGCGGTGAAACAATTTCTTTACCCCAAAAGAGTATTAACTGTTAAGTAATCCATTATGGATTTGTTAACATGCCCCATCATCTACGGATACGGATCTTGCCACTACTCACCAAAACCATCATTATCTCAAGATGCTTTCTTTGATTAGTATAACAATGAATTCATAAATGCAAACGTGTGCAATATTGTATGATTTGGCAATGCATTTTATTTTCAAATGAAAAATTGGTGAGAGGTCTAACAAACAAAATTTTCTCTAACAAGTGACATGCATAGATGGATGCTAAACATCCAAATCTATTGAATAAGAAAAATAAAACATGAGAGGTAAAAAAGAAAGGAAAACACTATTTTGTTATCTATGAATTTTTATTTTTGAGTGGTACATCATTTCCCATGTGTATAAAATTTAGTATAACACAAATTAATAGGGAAAAAGGTCCATATGTTTTGGATATTTAAATTTTGATGCTGGACAAAGTCTTTTTTTCTCACTAGTAATCATGTCACAAAATATTGTGTAGTTTTTGTGTACAATTTCAAAAAGGAAGAGGATCACCTTGTTCCCCATCATTGGTAATGTGAAATAATAGATACTTAGTGTGTTTATAGGAATTTTCCAAAGATTATAGAGGACATCGATGGCACAAATGAGCTAATTAAACTGCTTGAGATAGTAAATGGTTTGAATTAAAAAACAAGGAAAGCAAACCTCTATAATAGCTGTTAATAGAAAAGAAAAAAGAAAAAGAACAAGGAACTGATGGATCAGTAGGTACTCATAACGGTGGAGAAGCATCGGAAGAAAGAGAAGTTGCGCAGGGAGATTTTTCTGGGATACCTCTTGCTCCTGCATTGTAGGTCCTGCATAGGATTACCACTGTGACACCTCCTACCTCACCACTTGCGACCGATTTGGAAGTTCAAACTGAAGATAACATATCAAACGCTGGTGGAAAAACATCGGAAGAAAGGGTAGCCGTGGATGGTGACGAGGTAATCCTATATATATACATGATTAGTAAGCTCCGTGATTAGTACTATGTAATGTCAGTAAAAAACTCTCAAAATTTTATAAAATAGCTCTAAACAAACAATTATCGGTTTGTAAATATTTTGTGAAAATTAAGAAGGGGTTATTGGAATAGAATTAGTGTGGATTTTAAAGATTTTAAAGTTAAGAGAATTAACTCTGTTCTTTTGTAGAAAAAGTTAATTAAATAGAATTCTAGCAAAAAAGAACACATAAACAATGAATACAAGATCTTTCTCATATTAACTCTGTTCTTTTGTATTAATCAAAGAACCAATCCCTACCAAGATGTACATAAACTTGATACAGTTTTTTACCCTCAAATTTTACTCTTTAATATATGGCGGTGAAACAATTTCTTTACCCCATAAGAGTGTTAACTATTAAGTAATCCATTATGGATTTGTTAATAACATGCCCCATGATCTATTCGGATACGGATCTTGCCACTACTTCATCAAAACCATCAATACTCAAGATGCTTTCTTTGATTAGTATAACAATGAATTCATAAATGCAAAAGTGTGCAATATTGTATGATTTGGCAATGCATTCAACCTTTTGATTCCATAAGAAAAATTAAAAGAATGAAATAGAATAGTTCCAACACCTTCAATTCAGAAATTAGAGCCTTCGCTAGTCAATTTTGAAATTCGATGACACGAATGACCTACGCATCCATCAATCTATAGATGGGGTGGCCTTATTGGCTTATCTGTATGTCAAGATTGGTTCAAATTCAATTGCGGGTGCCGGTTTAGTATGGTTCGACAAGTTTAAACCAGTTATATGAAGATGAACTGAAGTTGGGCTCCAACAGATTAGGCCCAAATACAATTTATCTATTTGGTTTTTTTAATTATATTAATGCCTAAATACAATTATACTTATGTAAATTAATTTATAACTGCGGTTAGTTGTATCTGAATCTCAAAATGCTAAGAAAAAACAATACTGACATCAAATTAAAGATTGTGGACGTCTTAGCAATATCTTTTTTTGCCGGTTAGACCAGTGGTTCTTTTAAGTATAATTTAGTTTATTTTTAAATGAAAAATTGGTGAGAGGCCTCACAAACAAAATTTTCTCTAACAAGTGACATGCATAGATGGATGCTAAACATCCAGATCTATTGAATAAGAAAAATTAAACATGGGAGGTAAAAAAAGAAACGAAAACACTATTTTGTTATCTATGGATTTTTATTTTTGAGTGGTACATCATTTCCTATGTGTATAAAATTTAGTAGAACACAAATTAGTAGTGAAAAAGGTCCATATGTTTTGGATATTTAGGTTTTGATGCTGGACAAAGTCTTTTTTTTTTCTCACCAGTAATCATGTCACAAAATATTGTTCAAATTCTGTGTATAATTTCAAAAAGGAAGAGGATCACATTGTTCCCCATCATTGGTAATGTGAAATAATAGATATTTAATGTGCTTATAGGAATTTTCCAAAGATTATAGAGGCATTGAACATCGATGACACCAGAGTCAATGGAAGACGAGATTGATAAAGATCTAGATACAATGGTATCTTATGTGAAGGAGGGTTACAAAATGACCTGAGCCAATTGGGAAAGAAGATTTATGTGTCGTTAGTCTTTCTAGGATCCAAAGTCGTTGGAGACAATGAACCAAATGTCAAGAAAACAGTAGACAATAAATGAACGACTATTGAAAATAGAGGTAAGATATTTGGTTACTTTTTCCTTTGTAATTATAAGTTTAGTAAGACTATTAACAAGTTTCATATTTTGCTTTTGCAGTCTAATAGACACGGTGTGCGGTGTGGATCAGATCCATTCCTCTAACCAGTCTCAACCCAATCCGAATAGTGGGGTAATTGTTTTTCTGAGTTTTTTGTGTTCCCTTTGTCTAAAAGAAAACAATGTTAGGATACGAAAGCTTGCTAAATTTCCAGGAAACCATAGTAAAACCTCAGGAAAAAAACACTGATTCACATTACTCTGAAATGTTCCCCGTTAACAATTCTGCTCACACTTAAACATTCTCTGACACTTAAATATTGTACCTTTTTTTTGTTACGGTATTTTATATTCTTTTGTATTAATACTATTTAAAATAGTTTGATAATAGCAATTTTTAGTTAAATTAATATTTAACCAAAATTTGTTAGATAATTATTTAGTTACTATATCAAGTATTTGACAGTTTTGTGTATATACGTAATGAAAGAAAAGCTATTGTAAATCATATAGATATATCTATCTAAAATATTAGATTCACAAAATCATGATAAAGACAAATGGGAAATTTGGACAAGGATATAAATATTGAGGGGCCTGTTTTGGGATTGTTCACTCGAGCCCAACTGTCTATTCCTAGTGAAACACTGCCGTTTTGGAGATCTATCCTTGGATCTCTCTGTTTCTTGAACTCGCCAAGTGTTTCTCAAGAGACAAACAAAGGTCCACCACCGTCTAAGTCCAGGTCGGAGTGTGCACGACTTCAAACATTTCCCGCATTTTCCCGCATTTTCCGTCTCTTTCCCTTCCCGATTTTCCCGAAGCCTTCAATCTACCACTTCTTCTTTTTCTTCTTTCAAAAACCATAAGTAAAGCCCTAAACTTGTCTCTTCACCTTCACCAAAGTTCTTCCTTTTTTAAGCCTTCGCTGTTCCAGAGGATCTCTGCATCTGCGTTACCAAGCATAATTTGTAAACTCCCAGGTACTTACTTGATGATCTTGTAACCTCCTTTCACCTTTCGACTGCATTTCCTGCGATTTTTCAGTACCCCTGCTGTTAAAGTTTTCGCCTTTTCTCTTGCATCACTTCTCTAGCCTTTGTTTACTGGTTATCACTTCTTCATATTGCATCATGTCTGATTTTAGACGAGAAATCACTCCTATTTTAGCCTAAAGCTTGTGAATTTCAAAGTGTAGCTGCGACAAAGTCGGCGACGAAACATGGCGAGCGGAAGCAGAAATCGGTAGCAACGAGTGGGCTTTGCAAGCTCTTCGTGAACTAATAATCTCTCCTTTTCCCTAGCCTCTCGAAGCTCCAACTCTTGGTCTCAAAGTAAACATCCAATACTTAGATCCAAGCTTCTCAATTTCTTTTCAATGTTATTAAATTTTTTTCCTGCTTTCTTACTCATCATTGCATTGGTCTAGAGGATTGCTCATATACGAACAGGAAAGTTATCAAGTAATTCCCATTCATTCTAATCCTTATTCGTCAAATTCTATCAAAATTTTGAAGGAATAATAAATTGGTTTGATTCCACAGCGTATCAAGCCTTATGTGCTGCATTTATACTCATATTGTCCATTTCGATCTTCTTCATATTGCATCACTTCTCTAGCTTTTGTTTACTAGTTACTGATTGATTTGATTTTCAATTTCTTAGTCTTTGCTCTCTGATTTAGGTCCCAAATTTCAGCAATCTCACCGAAAGTTATCTAATTTTTGCAGCATGAGTGAATCAACTTTCCCAAAACGGATGTTTAAGACTGGATTTGAACACCAAGAAGGCAAGAAAGTGAATGGCTACTTCAGACTAAAGTGGATAGAAACTATAAAGAAGGCACTGAATGTGGAGCAGAAGCAGCGACTAGCAGAGTCTTAGTTCAAGAAGATAATGCAGATGGGCAAACACACCTTCTCGGTCCAGCTTTTACATCACTTGCTGATGCTTCAGTTGAAAACAAAGAGGAAAAAGGAGTTGTGGTGGACCTTTTCTGGGAAGCCTATAAGGTATGCAATTGAAGACTTTGCTCTAGTAACTGGTTTGAATTGCGAACCAGGAAACCAAACAGCTCTAGTTGCCGGTAACAGAAAAGAGAAGAGAAAAAGAGTGAGCGAGAATGAAAATGAGGGTGAGATTTGGAGATCGTTGTTTTCAGAGGCGGAGAACCCCACACCGAAGTTGATTGGAAGGAAGCTAGAAGACAGAGAATACAGAGACCCTCTGAAAGTGTTTAGGCTAGCGCTTATACTACTTATTGAAGGGATACTTTGTCCAACTAGTGATGCGACTCCTGTCAGGCGCGAGATTGTAGAGATGGTTGGTGATGTTGAGAAGTTTATGCAGCACCCTTGGGGACGTGAATCTTTTCAATTTACCGTTAAAAGAGTAAAGAAAAAGCTTGTTCCTTACCATTATGTTGCAGAGTCATCAGTTGCAGTGCAAGGGTTCGCTCATGCCATGGTCCTTGTAACCGTCTGCAGCTGTCCAGCGATATTAGGTCATCAGTTATCACCAGAAGACACATTACAGAGTGTTCTGGGTAAGAAGTTTGTCATCGATGTCGACGCTGCAAAGACACTTGATAAGGGAGGACAAGTGAGTTGTTCTTTTCTTTTTTTCTTTGACTTCGGTTCTTGCTCCTTCCTTTTTTTCTGATTGAATTTTGATTGTTAGACGATTCTCGTGTTAGACAAGACAGTTGGTTAGCTTGAGATAGTTGGTGTCTGGTTGGTTATATCTTGAGATGGTCTGTGAATTGTGATTAGCTTATTTACTCTCCGAGTTGGTTAAGTTAAGGCTGTTAAGCATTGTGGTTTTGGTTGCTGTGACTTTTAGGTTGTTTAAGCAATGAGATTTTAGTTTCATAGTTGATAGTTCGCACCGTTCTTCTATTTGACAGATTATCATATCGAAGAGTTGTTCTTCTTTCTTTGTTTCTTTGACATTCGATTTATGCTCCTTTTTCTGATTGATTTTTGATAGTTAGACGATTCCAGTGTTAGACAAGACAATTGGTTAGCTTGAGATAGTTGGTTATATCTTGAGATTGTCTGTGAGTTGCGATAAGCTTATTTACTCTCCGAGTTGGTTAAGTTGAGGCTGTTAAGCATTGTGAATTTGGTTGTTGTGACTTTTAAGTCAAATTTTGTGTGTCTGTGTGTGTATGGACAGGCAAAGGTGAAGGCGCTGCTAGTTGAGGACCAATGGGAGGATTCACTCAGGTTCAAGGACAAGCCAGATCTTTCCGTGGATTACATGCTTGCTTCAATAGCAGAGGACTACCCATTTGAACCCCACACATGGACTGGTGGGGTCACTGTAGAGGAGGCATTACAGTCACCGCCTCCTCCGAAGGGTGCGATGGATGCCGAATCATCAGCGAGTGATGCCGAATCATCAGGGAATGCCGACAGAATTGATGAAACGATGATTGATGAAAGTTTAGATGATGTCAGTGATCCTGTAAGAGGTGTAGAGAATCTCAATGATCCTGTAAGAGGTGTAGAGGATCTCAATGATCCTGTAAGAGGTTTAGAGGATTCCACTGATCCTGTAAGAGGTTTGGATGCTGATGAACCAGTTAGGAGACGACAGAAGACCAATAAGAACTTTGAAGAAACTTTTGAGAAAGAGCTTAAAGAACTGAAGGACCAAATAAGGGACCAGAATGACGAGATGAGAGACATAAGGGACGAGATAAGGGACCAGATGAGGGACCAGATGAGGGACCAGAATGAGGAGATGAGAGACAAGATAAGGGACGAGATAAGGGACCAGATGAGGGACCAGAATGAGGAGATGAGGAACAAGATAAGGGACGAGATAAGGGACCAGATGAGGGAACTCAGGGAGGAGATAATAAAGGACCTGAAGGGCAGATATGGTGATAATGAAACAGAGAACTGGTCGATACAACCTGATATGGAGACTGGTGCGGCATCAAACCTGGATCCTTTACAAGATGCTGCTGTTCCTCTTCCTCCAACCGAGGTAAACTAGCTCAGATTTTATTTTGACATCAAATAGCTCTGATTTAAGAAAGTATTTGTATGATTTCATTATCTGACAATTCACAGTTGTCACTGCAGACCTTGAACGAATCTTTGGAGAAGGAGGTTAAAGAACTGAAGGACCGGATAAAGGAACAGAATGACAAGATAAGGGACCAGGAAGAGGAGATAAGGGAGCTGAAGAAACAGACAAAGAAACGCAAATTTGATGGAGGTAGTGGAGACAGAGAAGCTCCCGCCACGAGTTTGGTTGATCCTTGGGGAAAATCCACTGTGGACGGCTTAATTGAAAAGATAAAACCCCAGCTTGAGAAATATCATGTAAGGCAAATGGAAAATCATGATATTTCCCATGATTCAACCATAGAGGGAAGGGAGATTATCCACAGAGTTAATTTTGCTTAATTATATGTTTGCAACAGGGGTACTTTGCAAATGCAAGCAACAAGGCTTTCTTAAGAAAAAGGCAACTTCTCGATGTTGCGCAAAAATCTCATCATTGAGATAGGTAAAGTGTCCACACAGCTCTCATTCTATAGGCGTGTCAGACCTCTGTGTTATAATGCATTTGCTCATACTAGAATGTGGCAGAGCAGTCTTGTACTGTCCGTATCTCATTAACGTAAAAGGAATTGATTCCTCACCTTGGTCTTTGTATATTTGCAAGGTGGAAGGAAGTACCAGATCCAGGGTTCTGTTGGTAAAGGTGGTCCTTCTCAAGTGTTCAAAGCATACATTGACAGCGATCCTGATCAACTTGTTGCTCTAAAGGTAGTTGCCCTTGGTCAACTCAATATGCCACGTAACACAGTTGTCAGGTAGCTCACATTCATTAAAACTCTTCACAGGTACAAAATCCACCTTCCCCTTGGGAATTCCACATGTATCGCCAACTTGATTGCAGGATCAAAGAGAGCCAAGTATGCACTTTTTCTCTTAATCTTCTTACCGGCGTTTTCACACACCAATACTTATTACTTTGAGTCTGATGTTATTATGTTAGAGATCAAGCTTTGGATTGGCCCAGAGAGTGCACGTGTATTCAGACTACAGCATACTTGTGTGCGATTACCTATCAAACGGGACACTCCATGTAGGTTTCTTTGGACTCGTAATAAATCAAATGCAACATGTTGTTTAATTTGCGTCTTATTTCTTTTTTGTGATTCAAGGACGTCATAAAGTCACAAGCCAAACTTGGCAATGGCAAGGGCATGGAAGAACTTTTGCGCATGCATTACTCAATAGAGATGCTCTACATGCTGGAAACTTTGCACAGTAAGTTGCTAAACTCGATTGTAAATTGCGGAATGTAGATTACAATAGATAAAACTTTTTTTTGTTGTTCAATCATGAATCCATATATATACCTTTACATTAACAATCGTACCAGAGTCTGAGATTTCTCACTGATTACTTGCAGACAAAAACAAACGGATACATTCTTTGATTCAGGAACAGGCTCTTGGAGTAGCCAGGTATATCATTTTTAGACAACTACTAGTTCTGTTTCGTGTGTCATGCATGATGAAAAAAATTGACATTTCCGTACTTCAGGGTCTCTGTCTTGTCGATTGGGGTAGAGGAATAGACTTGGGACTCTTTCCTAGCACCACCGAGTTTACAGGGGACTGTCGTACCTCACGTTGCACAGAGATGAAGGAGAAGAAACCCTGGAAATTTCAGGCAAGCAGTTTTTTTTGTGTAACTCCCATTGTTTCGGCAAGCTCACTCATCTTTAATTTGCGTGATTAGACTCTAAATAATGCAACGTCGTGTAGGTGGACACCTATGCACTCTGTGGAATCATACACCAGATGATGCACAACACCGACATGGAGGTCATAAAGAGACCATCAAGGGACGGTGGACAGATTAATTTACCGAATGGTTTGTTAAGTAGGTGAGCTTCTTGTTTTTATTTTCTTTTTCTACTCAAATCAAAAGCTTTAAGAAGGGACGCACTGTTGGATATTATTTTATATGTATCGATTAAGTGCTAAGTCTGCTTGAGGTGATGTTGCAGGGAATTGGATCTGATGCCGGATCTGTGGACGGAGCTGTTCACGAAGCTGTTGAACAGAGATGCCTGTGAAGATGACACAGAGACGCTGAGGAATATCAGAAGGTCATTGGAGTTTTATCTATACTCCGATTGCAGGATCATGGAGCACCTTAACGGGTTACTTGCAAAACAACGTGTACAAGTTAACGAGTTCCTTGCAAAACAACGTGTTTAAGTTTAGGTTATGATCTTCTGTAGTTTATTTCATGTAAAAACAAAGTTTAGGTTCTGTTGAGACCACTCTGTTCTCGTTTTTGGCCAACAATGACTAGGGTTTGTACGGAGACTGCTTTTCTTACTCATAACAAGAAGGTTCAATGTACATGTATTATGCATGACACTAGAACAGAGACAAAGACAATGTGTGTCACTCTTTAGGTTCTAAACAAGAATCCCAAAGAACACGTAAAAACAAAAGACTATTCCAAAGGACAAGTTTCAGCAAACGATGAGCAAGTTTTGTTCCTTGAAGACTGATGATGATTCATAGTGCAGACCACTTGTTATACAAGGAATCGCTCACCATGAACTGAACATCACAGCTGAAGAGCTCATTGTAGAGGACAATCCTTGAAGATGGAAGATGTTGAGATCGTAGAGTCATGCAATAAATATATGGATATTTGTAAGACATTAATATGATTTACCTTACAAACTTTGGCAAATTTAATGTCTAATATTAGACTAAATACATCTATCTGATATGCAACTATGAAGTAGTGTCCTTTTCTTTGGTTCACTTTCTCCTACCAACTTTGACATGCATGACTCTGATTTGACTCTGAATTCCAATCCGAGAAGAGTTTGAAGATGGAGGATGTTCATATCCTAGAGTCATGCATTCAAGATTTTAAAGATGGACTTGAATCTCTGTCTAAATCTTTGATAAAATACAGAGTCTCAATTCTTAACATCTTAGGCCACTGAGCCAGCAAGTTTTGCACATATATCAAAATAATAATAATAGAAACTTATTCAAGATTTCTCATATGATTTTGCATTATTAGTTCTTAATCATCGAAGAACAAATTCAGTCTAATATTCTCGCCATAACAAGTTAAGCTGCTAGCTTGAATCCATTTTTCAGCTTCCTCATAATAAATAAGATAATCATCTCTGAATTCACACGCTTTTAGGAATAACAGGTTTGTTCATTTCTATCTGCTGAAAGAAATTGTTTATTTCTGTCATATTTCTTATAAACAGAGCAAATATATTAACTAACAGAAACAGAACCAAAAACAGATAAAATATGACTTGATATATATGGATTTTCAGTCATATGATACCTAAACCAATATGAAAAATAAGTCGATCAAGATGACAATATAATCCTCCCACTTTTGTTTGCAATTTAATCAAGAAAACAAGTTCTGGAGATGTTTGCTTCTGCAAGCTCTTCACATTCAACCCTTCTCGAAGTCGCACAACAGTTTAATTGATTCCAGAAGCTATAATCATTTCTTGGATGTTTGTTTGAATTTCCATCGTCTACGTCCTTCTCCTTCTTCATGAGAGCGATATCACCAATTGTCTCCCAAGAAATATCATCAACATCGTTTGGTGTATACACCAAACTAAAGCCACATTTCAGCACTTGACATCTTGCTACCTCGCTTGCACCATCAGTCACCTGAAATCTGAGTGAAGCCTTAGAAGGAATACATCCTTTCCCATGGTTCTCCACGTGGCGTTTTTTGATATCTAGCCAACTTGTATATCCAATAAAAACATGAGCAGACTCAATCTTGCGTGGCTCATCGCCTGCTACGCTCCAACCACCAACGATTGAAGTAAAACTGATACATGGCCCATCTTTACTTTCAAACTCACAAGTGCATTTCACCAAGAAACGATTGCTTTGATGTTCTTGGTTGTCCGGAAACAATATAACTGCGCATAAAGCTATACCAGTAAGTCTATTGTCACACCAGTGTCGAGGTAGTTTCGGCTCTAACAGTGATCCAAAGCCTTGGTGATCAAATGATGATGGTACTTCACATCCAGGAAAACAAGTGCCGATCAAAGATTCCAAAACAAAGCCCTGCAAAGATATAACAAAACAAGATCATTAGACCTTTTTCTCTGCAAACCTTTTTATAGAGAAAAGAGTTGTACAGACCCCGTTATAACGATTCAGAGCATCTGACATCAGCTGGCCTTTTCTACGAGTGTAGGAAATGATACTACTTTTTGCAACTTGATCCAATTTGGTGCAGTTTGTGAAAATGAATGTGCAATGGATTTGCCCTGTCACCATGAGAAGGGCTAGAGGGTTTCCAACTTTTTCCAGTGAGTTGCAGCCATGTGCATCTAAGCACTTGAGGTTTGGTGGAAGCACCGGGACAGATTTGAGCTTCTTGCAGTTCTTTAAGTCAAGCCATTTCAGATGGTAAAGCTGGCTGATGTTATTATGTAAGCTCTCGAGATCATTTCCACTTAAGCATAATGATAGCAACGAGGATGATATACCGTGATCACCACTCAAACCGCGATGTAGGTTTGCAAAAGCTTGGCCTTGTGACTCAGTGCAATGCAATAACATTGGCATCTGCTTTATTGCTGTCCCATCAAGAAGTAAAATCTGTAAAGATTTCATGTTCTCCTTGAGCTCTGGGAAACTCTCTAGCTTTGAGCAGCCAGAGAGGATAAGCTCCTGAAGAGCTATTAGATTTCCAAGACAGTCGGGAAGAGTCACCAACGCTTTGCAGTCTTTCATATTCAATCTGAAAAGTTTCTGAAGAACCTTAATGGAATTAGGAATAACCTTTATTGCCGTGCCTTGCAAGTAAAGAGCTTCCAAGCTCTCTGAAATCACCGGAAACTGTTCCAAGTTCAAGCAGTAACTCAAGATGAGAGATTTCAGAGATTTCAACTTCATCTCTGGAAGAGACACAAGGCGTGTGCATCCTTCGAGGTTTAGGTAAACCAAACTTTCCATTTCTTGCATCCCTTGCGACAATGTTGTCAAGCCTGTGCAGCCTTCAAGATTCAGTCTTTTAAGATTTTGAGCCCCTAGTAACCCCGATATATCGTGCAGCTCACTCGAGTAGCTGAGATCGACCCACTTTAGTTTGGATGTATCCTGTGACCATATAAAGAATCAACCATTTAGTAGTCAGCAATAAAAGGCAAGAAACTAAGTAGTAAGGGGATGCATCATCAACACACCTTGTTGTCCTTCCAAAGTCGTGTAATCTTGCTGTAAGGGAGGTTGAGTTCGATGAGACTCTTCGGGTTTATCTCTTTTGGAAGCTTTTTCAGAGGGTATTGTAGCCAGTAGAGATACCTGAGATTTTCCATTGAGCATTTAAGCCCGTCCGGGAAGTTCAGTTTGCAATCAGCATCACAATCTCGAGAACATTGGGAGTTGTAGACTTTGAGGTATCTTAGATTGCACATCTCACTGAAGATTTCAGAGTCTAAGGTCAGTTTATCATTTAATTCAGACATGTCCAGCAAAATACCCTTGACGCAGTCCCTTTCCTGACAAGTTAACAATACAAGTTATCATGATTGTATAACTGTGAAAGATGATCAATAAATCTCAAGTAATAATGAAAACTTACAGATAACTGGTGATTGGGTTGATCTTTTTCCCTTGGATGATCAATAAATCTCATTCTCTTGTTTTTCACCGTAGAAGAAAAGCTATCATGATTCCAAATCAATTTATTCTCAGTAGATAAGGATGAACAAAGTTTCTTACCGAATGTAGACAGTAAATCATGCATTTCTACTCTGCCACTAGAAAGGCTAATCAGTAACTTGTCCGCAAGATCTCTTATTTCACTAGCAGCATCACCAGTAGAATCAGGATCTTCTGAGTCCACTAAACTTCTTACGTAATACTCATCCCCTGATATGAAGAAACATGCTACAACAAGAAAAGCTTCTTTCTGCTTCTTACTTAGGTCATCATAACTTACTCTCAATAGATCTTGTATACACGGGCTTGGAATTTGCGCTAGAGTATCCAACCTCTGTGACCAGTGATCTTTATCTTTCGAGAGAAGCTCTCGACCCAATATCTTGAGAGCTAACGGATTGCCTCTGGAATAATCGACGAATTTCGTGGAGAGATCCCTGAGAATCCCCGGGTAAGGACAGTTGTGATCTTCAAAGGCATAAAAGCTGAATCGCCTTAGACCGTCTGTGAGATCCAATCTTGGGACAACATAAGTATACTCGAGTTGTCTTATGACTGTCCTGTCACGCGTAGTAATAACAACTCTGCTACCTTTCCTAATCCATTTTTGGTTTCCGAGAAGGGCTTGTATCTGTTTCTTGCAACTCACGTCATCAAGAACAAGAAAAACTTTCTTCTCAAGAAGTCCACTTTCCACGGAATGATACGTCATTTCGTCACTTATCTCAGTGTAAATGTCACTAAGCAACCCTTTGAGAAGCATCCTTTGTAGCGAAGACGTCCCGTAAGCATTTGACTTCTCACGGATGTTCACCATATGAACGTGACGCTGGAAATTGTGTTTCCACTCATCATACAATTTCTTCACCAGCGTGGTTTTGCCGATTCCGGGCATCCCAAAAACCCCAACAATGCGAGTTTCCTTGTGGCTAAGATCCAACTTTTCTTTAAGTTCCTCAAGGCGTTGTTTGAGTCCAGCGAGCTCGTTTTTGTTTTCAGAAACAATGATATTATTGTTGTTGGAGATTGAGCTTGAACTTGTGGAGGTATTCGGGCGAAGCATTTTGTTTTTTTGTTCTACTTCTTCATTTTGTAATGCAATTTTCTTTAATGCTCCCTGAACCTCCTCAACGATTTCACCAATGAGAAGGTGTTCGTCACTGCAATAATTGAAGAGTTAATTAACTAGACTGAAATTAACTAAGGATTTGTACACTAAATAACAAAGATTTAAGAAAACAATTAACGAGGTATAGCTAGTGGCAATATTTTAATATCAACAAGCTAAGCTTGGTATCAAATTTTATCTAGTCTTTTCTTTCCTACTCTTTTCCTCCCATGATTTATATTTTGTTCTTAATTATAATAATTTCTCATAATGAAAAGTGCCATCAAGGGGACAAAGAGACCATTATATCTTTTGTTGTTGTTGTTGTTGTTAAAGCTCATTGTATCCATCTTTCAGTGGATAGATCTTTCTTAGGGTGGAACCGATCTGAATATCAAGATCCTTGAGATAAAGATTAATTTCTATGGGATTCTAACTCAAAATAACTGAAAGAATATGTTTTGGGTTATTTTCCCTGAAATAAAGCTCATATTTTCTAATAATCACTTAAGTACTTTTACTCACAAAATTTTCAAAAATTCGACGTAAAAAAAAAATAATAAAAAAATTATAGTAATCGTGATGAATCCACTTCATAGAGGAACAATGTTATAGATGTCAAAAAAAAAGGGAACAATGTTATAATTACCATGACCTATGCGGAAACCAACAGTGGAGGAGATATCTTGCGCAAGTGAGTAAAAAAAGAACAAAAAAAATTACTCTCTTAAGTCAATCACAATTATATGAAGTAATTTTTTTAAATACGACAAAAAAAAGTATTTTTTAAAAAATGTTTCTATTTATAATACTCAATATTTTACTTTTTAACGAAAAAAATGGATATTATTTGAACCCTCAAGGGGTTGGCCTTCAAGATCACTATATCAGTAACAAACTTCAGGTTTATTTTTCATTATGTTTTCTTTTTCTTTTCAGTTTAGTAATACTGTATCATGATGTCTGTATTCAAAACCTAAACCTACCATGTGCAGTATGGTCAAACTAGTGACAGTAAAAGCTCTCAAAACCACTAGACCACCAATTACTTGGTCTAATTTATTTATATGGAGGGAGTTTTCGATTCTGTACCTCTTTCCATCGTAATTGATGCCTATATGTTTGGGAACAGACTTCAAAGCTTCAATCCACTTTTTCTGTCTCACATCATCAACATACTTCCCCAGCTCCCTCAACTTGTCACCAAAATCTCCCATCTGCAATTTGATGGTATATGGAGCCACCAAGTAGAAGATGGGTATGACCACGAGTTTGTTTGCATCCATGCATTCCTTCATCTTCACTAGCTCGTCCAAACACCATATTGACTCTGTGTACCTTGGGGAGAAGATTGCCAGCGCGATCTTCGACTCTTCTATCCTCTTAAAAAAGACTTTTTGATTATGGCCCTTTTGCTCATTGGTGTCTATATAAGCGTTGATCCCGTTCCTTTCTAAGGCTTTCTTGAGGTAGCCGATAAAGCGGTGACGAAGTTCATCTCCTCGGAAGTTGATGAACACTTGAGGTTGTGGTGAGGCATCCATAGAATATCTTCTCAAAAACGGACTTTTTTTCATGTTTGATTTTTTTTTTGTTTTTTTTTAAAAGAAGGCAAGTCAAGTTGTAAACTTCTCCACCTTAAAAAGTCGTACTATAACCTATGGACCATTTCAACATGGGTGCCTTCATTTTAACATTTGAGAATTTGGCAAATAGCGTAAATTAAATAAGCAAAGTAGCAAACACACAAATTTTTTAATAGCATATGTAAACGACTTGAAGACGAAATGTCTTGGATGTAAGTTATCATATCTTATTCTATACAGTTGGACGCGTTTTACACAAACATGACTCGTTATGTCACGTCCACATATCTACTAACATATTAACCAAAACTCTATCTAGGTCTTGGTTTGTGCCTCTTTGCGCCAAAAAAATATGCTCAACCCTAGTTGCCCATCTTGATAGGATGTATCAAAGTGGGAAACTCTGATTTATCTCTAAAGTTGTCAACTGAATATCGTGTATGTCATGTCTATGATTCTTTAACTTCATGTCTACTAATTCGGTACAAAAAAATTTACTTTTTAAAGTCGGATTCAAAGTCTCTCAATGAAAAGTCTCCCACCTTTTTTGTTACGACTTACTATTTTTGTTGTCTTGTCTACCAACTTGTTATTTTGGCAACTAATGTAATATTTATTGTTAATTCATGGACTTATTAAAACCAAAAAAAAAAAAAAAAAAAAAAATCATGGACTTCTAAATCAAAAGTAATGGGTAGTACTGCACGTCAGCTATACATTAGTGCATGTCTCATGCTTCTCATTGTTCTCAACTTAAAATCAGATTAGAGATTCTTATGTTCATACAAGATCATTGACCGAGTAATAAATTCAATATATTCTATCGTCCTAGTCTCATAATTACATATATCTAGCTATTGTTGTATCTCTCATTACACGTATATAATTTACTATTTTAATGTTTTTAGACGTTTTCTTCGGTAGATGAGATCTCTATTTTGTGTGTAGGGTATTATGTCAATATCAACATATTAATAAAGTAAAGTCCATATATCATTTTCCTACAAAAAAAAAATCATATGCATGACCATGGTTGCTTTATTTCCATGTTTATGTTTTGGCTCTTTACTTCTTCGTTTTTCCGTCTTTGCCAACGATGAATGGAAGATCAACTTCTGTATATAGAGAAAAATTTACAAAAATTTTACTGAGTTTTGTCTTAACTTCTTCTTTTGCTTCAATCTTCACATAGATATTCACAATCATGACCGATGACAAAAAGTCAATGAGATGCATGGTCTACATCAGCTTCCACAAAGGTGAAGATACAATACGGTACTCCTTCATCAGCCACCTCTCCGCCTCTCTCAGCCGGAAAGGCCTGATCTCTTCGTCCTCGACGTTGGTGGATAACTCCTCCAACGAGACTAAGATAGAGAAACAGAGTTTTAAGGCTTTTGTGGTGGTTATCTCTGAGAAGTACGTGTTATCTGCAGAATGCCTTGATGAACTTGCGGAGTTTGTTGATTGTCAGCTGCGGAATAACCAAAACGTGGTGGTCCCGGTGTTTTACTGCATAACTAAATCGGAAGTTGTGCATAAATCGCGATTGGACATATTGAGAGATACATTTCCGCATGAGATTTACTCAGCCGAGCGGGTAGCTCGTTGGATAGGCAGTTTGAAGAAAATGACCGACTCGTATAAACCAAGGTAACTATATAGATTAAAGACGTTCAATCCATTTATTACTGTCATATCATTAAATTCAGGATTTTTCAAAAGGTCAATTTTTAATGTAGTTTCATAGGGAATATTGGAATATTGTCTCACACCGTCAAGTTAGATTTTTTTTTTCTTTTTTTTTTAATGTAAAATTATATTCAAACAAAAGCCTTTGTTATATCAAGTGTTTCTTTGTTTTGAGATTAAGAATTTATATCATAATATACTCACGTTTTGATTGCATTTGATATAATATGTAGCTAGTGTTCACCGAATGTATTATTTTAGTTAATTGCCTCTTAATTGTTTTGGTTTCAAGCAGGATGGATTGCGGTGACTGTGAATTTGTGGAAGAGATTGCTAGAGAAGTGTATGAAATTATGTTTCCTACCAAACGAATTGGAATATACTCGTCGAGGCTATTGGAGTTAGAAAACTTTCTTCGCAAGCAACCATGGGGTGGTGTCCGAAGCATAGGAATTTGGGGCATGCCAGGCATAGGCAAAACAACACTAGCTAAAGCAGCATTTGACCAGCTTTCTGGTGATTATGAAGCGTCTTGCTTCATCAAAGACTTCGACAAAGAATTTCATGAGAAAGGGCTTTATCATTTGATAAAGGAATACTATGGAGAAACTCTCAAGGAAGAGCTAGAACCAAAAAGAGTACTTATCGTCCTAGACAATGTGTGCAAACCTCTGGATGCAGATGCTCTTCTGAATGGTTTTGATTGGTTTGGTCCAGGAAGCTTGATAGTCATAACCTCGAGAGATAAACAAGTATTCGTTCAATGTGGCATCGATCAAATATATGAGGTTGAAGGTTTAAACGAAGATGAGGCGAAGCAACTATTCTCTAGATACGCATTTGGAATCGATTGGAGAAAAAAGAGTCTCTTGGATACCTTCTCACCTTACTTGATGCCAGTCATACAATATTCAAGTGGAAACCCTTTAGCTCTGAGTCTTTATGGAAAATTCTTGTCCCACAAGAAACCAATGGAGTTGGAGACAGAGATGCTCAGGCTAAAGCAAACTCCTTTGCCTTCGATTTTGGAAGCATTCAAGAGCAGCTACAATACACTCAATGAAAACGAGAAGACTATGTTTCTAGACATTGCTTGTTTCTTCAATGGAGAAAATGTGGACTACGTGATGCAACTGTTTGAAGGGTGTGGTTTCTTTCCACATGTTGGAATATATGTTCTAGTGGAGAAATGTCTCGTGACTATCTTAGAAAATAAGATGCAAATGCGTAATCTGATCCATGTCATTGGAAAGGAAATTTCTATTGAAGAAAGTGTACAACTCAAGAGCGATTTTAGATTATGGGATGCTTCAATCATTCAAACTCTGCTAGAAGATGAAGAAACCAGATCAACTGGAAAATCTAAGGTATGATATGATAATGTTTGATACGTAATAAATTGATAATTTCTTAGTACATTTGATTTTGATTAATAATTTATTGGCCTCTCTTCTGTTTTCAGGGTGTTGAAGATATTGAAGCCATATTTCTAGATACATCTAACTTGGACTTTTTTGTCAAACCTTATGCTTTCAAGAGTATGCATAATCTTAGATTTCTAAAGATTTACAGTTCTAATCCTGAAAAGCATCAAGGACTTCGTCTTCTCAAAGATCTTGAGTCTCTTCCGAATGAGCTAAGGCTACTCCATTGGGAGGATTACCCTCTGAAATCCTTGCCACAAGATTTTGATCCTAGGCACCTTGTTGAACTCAACATGCCTTACAGTAAACTTCAAAAACTTTGGGGAGGAACAAAGGTAAGTAAACTTGGATTTATATTTTAGACCTATAAGAGATGCTAACATGCATATAAGAGACCTGAGCTAATTCATTCATTTTCAATTGGTTTTGAGTTGGAACTTAACATTCTTGTTATTTATTTTTATTTTTTAACTTTTTCTCTCCAGAATCTCAAGATGTTGAAGACGATCAAGCTTTGTCATTCTCAAGAGCTAGTTGAAATTAACGATTTTCTAAGTGCTCAAAACATTGAGGTAATAGATCTCCAAGGCTGTACAAGATTTCAGAGTTTTCCAGCCTCAAGTCATCTACAGCATCTCCGAGTTATTAACCTCTCTGGTTGTGTAGAGATCAAAAGCTTTCCAGAGGTTCCACCGAATATTGAGGCGTTGTATCTTAGTGGAATTAGTATAAGAGAAATACTAACATCAAGTGTGAGGCTCTCTCCGCAATGTAGGAACTGCAAAGAACTGGAAAAGGTTAGCTCATCAAACCAAGATCTAGACAAGCTTGTTTGCTTGAATCCCAAAGATTGTCTTCGTGTCCAAAGTTTAGATTTTCTCAGAGTTCTTGATCTCTCTGGATGCTTAGAGCTCGAAAAGATTCAGTGCTTCCCAAGAAACCTGAAAGAACTAAATCTTTCAGAGACCGCAATAAGAGAAATACCTTCATCAGTCAGTCATCTCACTGCACTCGAGGTATTGGATCTAACGAAGTGCAAAAGGCTTCAGCACTTGCCCATGGGAATGAGTAACATGGTCTCTCTTGTTAAGCTTGTGCTCTCTGGCTGCTCAAAGCTTGGAGTTATTCAAGATCTTCCAACAAACCTGAAATATTTATATCTTGCTGAGACCGCCATAAGAGAAGTGCCATCGTCAATCTGTCATCTCACTGAACTTGTTGTCTTCGATGCAAAGAACTGCAAAAATCTTCAAGACTTGCCTATTGGAATGGGTAGTTTAAACTCTCTTGATATGCTTACCTTGTCTGGATGCTTAAATCTTGAGGTTATCCACGATCTTCCTCGGAACCTTAAGTTCTTAAGTCTAGCTGAGACGCCTATAAAGAAACTCCCATCTTCATTGGAGGATCTCACTGAACTGGTTTCACTAGATTTGAAAGATTGCAAAAGGCTGCAACATCTTTACTTGGGTTTATTCAAATCCATTGTCACCATTGAGCTATCTGGCTGCTCAGAGCTCGAGTATGTTCTTGGTTTCTCACTTCAAGATATGGTACAACGAGCTCATATAGATGGGACCGACAAAGTGATGTTAGGTGGATCTCCTCCATGTCATGTCATGTTAATTTGGGAAAAATGGAGAACATTTCATCTCATAGCAAGAGACAAGAGTGGCTCCAAATGCTCTCTCATACTTATGCCATTTTTAGCCACGCCATATCAATCAATGCTGCCATCTTCGTTGTTTTCTTCCTTTGTGTCAAGAATGTACGCCATGGTGTCTTTGTGTCTCAGTAATACATATCTACTGGACATACATATACCTCAAGAGATATGTTATTTTCCTTCACTAAAATCATTGGATCTCAGCGGAAATGGCTTTAGCAAGCTTCCTCAAAGCATGAAGCAGCTCTGTAAACTGGAAAGCCTTACATTAACTCATTGCAAAAACCTCAAATCACTCCCTGAGCTTCCCCAGAGTCTAGATCTTTTGAATGCACATGGTTGCGTGTCTTTGAAGAGTATTCATATGAGCTTCGAGCAGTTTCCTAGACATTGCACATTCAGCAATTGCTTTAATCTTTCTTCAGATTCAGTCAAGAAGATTTTAGATTCTAGTGTATCTCAAATGGCCAGAGAGCATACTCAGGTACATACTCTCTATGCCTTTCTTTCTCTCAAAACACTGTCTTATATATATATCCAAAAAGATTATTGTCTTTATGATTGCTTTTGCCTTACTGAAACAGAAGCTCATCAAAGCACCAATATTCAGTTTATCTGTTCCAACATCTGATGGTCTGAAATCTATCACTCACTTGCAACGAAGTTCATCAGTGAAGATACAGTTAACTCCTCGTATCAAAACACTTATGGGGTTTCAAATATCAGTTGTAATTGCATTTTGGGATGAATCCTACAATGTTTCTGGTATTGGCATCAGGTGTGTCTGCAGATGGAGAAACAAGAAAGGCGTCTCACGCCGACTAGAAAGAGTTTATGATTGTTGGACTCCAGAGGAAGTTATTGCTCAAAGAGTTCGAAAAAATCACATGTTTGTCTTCTGTGATGTCTCAATGCATCCAGGAGCTGCTGATGGGAATTACCTAGATTTATTGAATGATCTTGTTGTATTTGAGTTTGTTCCTGTTAACGATCAGAACATGGTTGTTGATGATTCTTGCACTATAACAGAATGTGGAGTAGATGTAATAACTACAGAAACAGGCAGAGCCAGTCATGACTTGAGGCGCACTTCTTCTGTTTTGGACTCCATGGAGCTTTCCTCATATGTATTACCACCATACAAGAAACGGAAACGAATTCTCTCAGGATTAGAAGACATTGAAATGGTATATCTCACTTGTTCATTAGAAATCTATCATTAAATTTGATTCATATAATGTTTTGTTTTCCTTCAGGAATACGAGAGGTTTATCTTGTCAGAAACAAAGCAAGGTGTAGCAGCTCATAAGTCTTCTTTGATTCACCATCAGAGAAACCATGTTTTCTTGAGCTTCTGTGAGGATGTCCGAAGAACCTTTGTAAGCTACTTGATCAAGGAATTTAAATGGATTGGAATCACTGCAGTACATAGTCAGTTTAAGGGAGGGAAGTCGATGAGTCGTCATAAGGTCACACAGGCCATAAAAGAATCAAGGGTATCAGTTGTCATTCTATCGAGGAACTATGTTTCTTCGAGTAGGTGCTTGAACGAATTGGTGGAGATCTTAACATGGAGGGAAGAAACATGGGGACACCGAGTGGTCATACCAATATACTATGAAGTGAATCAATCTGATGTTAGAAACCAGACCAAAACTATTGGTAAGGACTTGATGAGAAACTCTTTGGAGAAAATAGAGAAGATGGAGCTGAGATGGATGAGAGCTTTGACATGCATTGTGGATATAGTCGGTGAATCTTCCCAAGACTGGTGTGTATAGTTAAATCTCTTACGCATCAATGTCATCACAAGCATAAAGCATTGGATTGGTTTTGGTACAATAAATATCTAATTCGAGACACTTGTTTTTTTTTTTCTATTGTTTTAGGGAAGATGAAGGGAAGATGATTGAGAAGATTGCTGTTGATGTTTCAAATCAAGTGAATGTGATTGAATCAAACGGAGTTGGTGCAATGTTTATTGAAGAAGAGGGAAAGGACATTGAAAATTTTAAGAAAAGTATATGGGATGAATTAGACGGTGTGAGAAGCATCCCAGGCTGGTATATGTACGTATTTTCTTTGATTTATTTGTGTCTTCTTACTTTAAGATCACGCATTTTAGTATGAGACGTGCTCCAAAAGTAATTACATTCTCCATTCTCCGTCCTGTATCTTATATGCTTACGATCAATTCAAGGAAGATTCTCTACCTTCATGTTGCGGTGTCAAATAAGATTCAACTGTATATATGAATCTTGTTCGTAGCTTTTTCAAGAAGGTACTTCTTTGTTTTCTGCCAAGCCCTAGTCATTGTTGGCCAAGTACGAGAACTTAGTGGACTCAACAAAACCTAAAACCCTTATGTAACACTCCGACATAACCTAACTCAGATTGTCTGCAGTTACTGTTGAACCAGAATCAATAAACAAAGAGCTTTTGGTATATCATCTGTAGGCTTCTTAGTCAAGGCACTATAGGTCTGTTTCTGCTAATTCTTAGGTCAAGAAGTTCTCACTGCAATCAAGGTTCAATATGGTGAATAAAGTCCGCCTTCAAGATCTTGAGGGCATGACTCTAATCTGATATTAGTAATATCAGCACAGAGATCAGTGAGTTTGATTCTCACAAGAAAACAAATCAGAGTATCCAATATAAACGACTATTGCTGCTTATAAAACAGATCTTCCAATATATTAAAGCCTCTTCTTTATTTGGAAGAGACAATTACTTAGACAAGAAACATATATAATAGATGGAGGTTCGAATCCTATATATTACATAGAACAAGAAGAACAGAAAAAAAAAAGGAAACATCTAACAAACATTAAAATCCTTAATCAAAAAAGAGTTTGCATTTCGACGATGCTCGTGAAGACTCTGCAAAGTCCTTAAGCATCTTAAGTTTCAGAATACTGTTAACAACATATGAGATTCTTGCAGTCTTTAGGAGAAAATCCCGTTTCAAGATGTAAACCGCGATCTTCCTCTCTTGTTGTCTTCCCAAGTATCCTGACCAGATGAAAGTCTCTAGGCTCGACTCAAAACATGCAGGAACATGACTAGGTCGATTCCATAGAACCATATCTTTGTCGTCATGCCTCTGAGATGGAGCAGAATAATTGGATTTCAGACCACCACACTGTATATTAGACCAGATATATAAAAATTGTTTGCCAAAGAAACTTACTCTCATTTGAAAGATGTTGAGAACTCGCAAGTTAGGAGAATCTGTGAGCAACCGAGAAAGCAGCATAGACGAACACTCAGAGCAATCACATAGCTTCAACTCTTCAAGGTGTCTGAAGACAAAACCGTCACCATACAGAGCCTGCACGCAATGAAAAAAAGACAGGAGAGGACTCTATAAAACCAGACCGGAAGAGTTGTAGTTGATCAAATCATAGATGGAAAGAAGCTGACCATTTTACCTTTGAACATATTGTGAGATGCTTGACAGATTGGATTGATCCCACAAGACTCTGGATATCAGGGTATCTAACATCTACATATGCCTCTTCCAGCTCAGGCATGTTCTCAATCAAACATGACTCATTCTCATCATTACCGTCCTCAAGTCTCAAATACTTCAAAGAAGGAGTATCAATCTCTAACCTATCTATCTCACAATCACAATTCATTAAAAGTAACTCTGCAAAGACAGGACGCTGACTTTGACGTCTCCCACATAGTTGTCAGTACCACTAAAATCCACCAATAGGTTTTCAATAACGGGACAAATAGACAGAAGCCGTCCAAGAGATTTTCCATGTAAGCCACTCACTTCTCGAAGCTGCAAAGTTTTCAGGGAAGGAAGACAAACCATACGACGAGGAACATTCATGAGAATATGGCCACTGAGTTTCAAGACCACGAGAGATCTGCAGGCATACAAGCTAAGCGGCAATATGCCATGCTTCCCCGGAGGATCATAACGAGTTTTGCCTGGCTTTATCGGATAACAACAATAAGATACATCAAGCTCGCGGAGGGAGCGAGAAGTTGCGATCGCAAGCCATGTCTTGACGTCTTCAGTTATAGCACGTGGAACTGATATGTTCAGACGGAAGCTTTGGATAACCGGAGCTCTATGTAGCGGCAGACTCCGATTAAGAAACTCCCTCAAACTTTGACATCTACAAGATCAGTAGTAATCAAGTTTCGGCAAATACATCCAGAGACACTTCCATCGTTTCGACAGCTTGCAAGTGGAGATGGCATCTTTTGTTGGAAAACGCGATAGGATCTCAATCAGCAACTCATCTGATAACTCGCTGATTCGATCCATGTCTCTCGAATTGGATTGAAATTTGGAACCTAAATCACAAGAATTAGAGCATTATGCTCTAGAGAAGTAATGCAATGTGACGAAGATCGGAAATGGCAATTGATTTCTAGCTTTAAAGCAAACAAATTTCAATCGAATTTTGCGGAACAATCTAAAATCAGACGTAACTGGAACCGAGAGAGAGAAAAGGCGAAAACTTTAACGGCTAAGAGTACTGAAAAATCACAAGGAAATTCAGTAAAAAAAGGTGAAACGAGTTTTCAAGATTATCAAGTAAGTACCTGGGACTTTGCAGATGATTTTTGGTAATGAAAATGCAGAGATTCTCTGAAACTAAGAAAGGCTAAAGAGGTAGAATTTTGGTGAAGGTGAAGAGAGCTTATGTGGAAGAAGAAGAAGAAGAAGCAGTAGCTGGGACGCTTCGGGAAAATCGGGAAGGGAAAAATCAAAGATTGAGAAAAAGCGGGAAACAATTCAAGGGAAAATGAGTAATCTGAGGAAACTCAAGGAGCGAATTGAGAACACAAAAAGAAACCGAAAAATCTAAGAGGCTAATCGTAGATGATGGATGATGGATGATGGATGCCTAGGTCATTAGGCCCATCTGGCTTCGTTAGACTCAATAAGTTAATCGATTGATTAAACAGTCTAATTTATGTATTAATTTATATATTTATACATAAACTACCATGATTTTTTCATTTGTTTCATGAATCATGAATTGATTACTTTATTGTAAAATACAAATCAAGTGAAAGCATTTCATGTAAATACTAAGACTTAGACCATTCATTCTTTGGTTGACCAAAAAAAAAAAAAAAAAACATTCATTCTTCGAAATTGCTATTTTGTAACTTATACACTTGATTGCTCACACTTGAAAGTCTGATTTTCTCTTGTAGTGGTGAGTTTGGGAGATTAGGCCACGGGAACTCAAGGGACTTGTTTACTCCGCTGCCAATCAAAGAATTTCATGGCATTCTTATAAAGCAGATTGCTTGCGGTGATAGTCATTGTTTGATTGTGACCATGGAAGGAGAGGTTCATAAGTATGTATGTTTCTCATGGTTAACGTTTTTCTCCTTTTGTGCTATTAATCAAAATAAAGATAATTTTCAAATTAAACTCATCAAAGACTATATTTCCAAAATTTCTCAAAAAATAATGACTGCTGCACAAAATGGGTACACTGATCAAAATTGAAACCATAACAAATGTGAGCATGAATTTCACATAAATCAGTTCCAAATAGCAATTTCAAAAATGAATGTGTCTTAGTAATTGCTGTTTAAATCAATTTTTAAAGCCAACTGAAAATTACATGAAATGCTTTTTCATTTAATATGTTTATTTTAGCCTAAATAATCATAGAATTCATGATTCATGAAAACCTTCATAAGCTACTTAGATACTTTCTAATACGATTAAGAAAATCATAGTAGTTTATATAAATATATAAATTAATATATAAATTAGACTATTTAATCAATAGATCAATTTATTGGGTTTAATGAAGTCTGATGGGCCTAATGACCTATGCTGGACTTATTGGATAAACTGTATATCAACACACAATAGATTCCTTCTGTATTCTCTATCCGCTCCTTCATTTTCCTCGGATTTCTCATTTTCACATAAATTGTTTCTCAATCTTTCCTTTCCCGATTTTCTCAATCTTTCCCTTTCTGATTTTCCCGAAGCGTAACAGCTAGCTCTCTTCAGCTTCACCAAAACTCCAACCTTTTTTGAGTCTTTCTTTGTTTCAGCGAAGCTCTGCATTTTCATCAGCAAAAACCATCCGCAAATCCTCAGGTACTTACTTGATAATCTTTGAATACTCGATTCAACTTTTTTTTACTGAATTTCCTGTGATTTTTCAGTACTCTTAGTGGTTTAAGTTTTCGTCTTTTCTCTCTCTCGGTTCCAATTTCGTCTGATTTTAGATTGCTCAGCAAAATTCGATTGAAATTTTGTTTGCTTTAAAGCTAGAAATCAATTGCCATTTCGATCTTCGTCACATTGCATTACTTCTCTAGAGCATAATGCTCTAATTCTTGTGATTTAGGTTCCAAATTTCACTCCAATTCGAGAGATATGGATCGAATCAGCGAGTTATCAGATGAGTTGCTGATTGAGATCCTATCGCGTCTTCCAACAAAAGATGCTATCTCCACTTGCAAGCTGTCGAAACGATGGAAGTGTCTCTGGATGTATTTGCCGAAACTTGATTACGGAGGATGGAACTGTGATTCGTTGTATGTGACATTTTGCCGAGTAGCCTGTATGCTTGCAGATCTCTTGTGGTCTTGAAACTAGAAGGCCATATTCTCATGGATGTTCTTCCCGGTATGGCTTGTCTTCCTTCTCTGAAAGATTTGCAGCTAGGCTTAGATGGAGAATCTCTTGGACGGCTTCTCTCTGTTTGCCCTCTTCTTGAAAACTTACTGGTGGATTTTTGTAGCCGCTATGCGAGACCCTACACTGTCGGAAAAATCATTGTCAGGTTCCCGTCGTTGCAGAGTTTAGCTCTTTCAATGGCTAATGAGTTCGAGGTAGATAGGTTAGAAATCGATGCTCCTGCTTTGAAGTACTTGAAACTTGAGGATCATAATGTCGACAGTGAATCCCTTTTGATTGAGAACATGCCTGACCTGGAAGAAGCATATGTAGATGTTAGATACTCTGATATCCAGAGTCTTGTCGGATCAATCCAATCTGTCAAGCGTCTCACAATATGTTCAAAGGTAAATGGTCAGCTTCTTCCATATATCAACTACAACTCCTCCTGTCTCGTTTAACATAGAGTCCTCTCCGTCTTTTTCATTGTGTGCAGGCTCCGTAATTGCTTAGAGCGTTCGTCTACGCTGCTTTCTCGGTTGCTCACAGATTCTCCTAACTTACGAGTTCTCAACATCTTTCAAATGACAGTAAGTTTCTTTGATAAACAGTTTTTTTTTTTTGTCTAATGCACAGTGTGGGGGTTTGAAATCCAATTATTCTGCTCCATCTCAGGGGCATTACGACAATGATATGGTTCTATGGGATCGACCTAGTCATGTTCCTGCATGTTTTGAGTCCAGCCTAAAGACTTTCATCTGGTCAGAATACTTGGGAAGACAGCAAGACAGAAAAATTGCGGTTTACATCTTGAGACGGGCTTCTCTCTTGAAGACTGCAAGATTCTCGTCTGATGATAACAGAATTCCAAAGCTGAAGATGCTCAAGGACTTATCAGAGTCTCGACGAGCTTCGAGGAAATGCAAACTCTTTTTTTATTAATGTTTGTTAGATGTTTTTTTTCTTGTCTTCTTGTTCTATGTACTAGGATTCGAACCTCCATCTATTTATATATGTTTCTTGTCGAAGTAATTGCCCTTTAATATATTGGAAGATCTGTTTTATAAGCTCAATACATGCAGTAATAGTCGTTTCTATCGGATACTCTGATTTGTTTTCTTACGAGAGTCAAATTCAGTGATCTCTGTGCTGATATTTAGAGTCATGACCTCAAGATCTTGAAGGCGGACTTGTTTCACCTTATTGAACATTGATTGCACTGAGAACTTCTTAACGGAAGAACTAACAGAAACAGAGCTGCAGTACCTTGTCTAAGAAGCTTATAGAAGAAAGAAAAAAGAAGTGGACAGATGATGACATCTTCATTGCTATCATTATGTTTAAGTGGAAACGATCTCGAGAGCTTGCAGAATAACATCAGCCAGCCTTATCATCTGAAATGGCTTGACATAAAGAACTGGAAGAAGCTAAAATCTGTCCCAGTGCTTCCACCAAACCTCCAGTGAAGTACCATCATCATTTGATCACCAAGGCTTTGGATCACTGTTAGAGCCGAAACTACCTCGACACTGGTGTGACAATAGACTTACTGGTATAGCTTTATGCGCAGTTATATTGTTTCCGGACAACCAAGAACATCAAAGCAATCGTTTCTTGGTGAAATGCACTTGTGAGTTTGAAAGTAAAGATGGGCCATGTATCAGTTTTACTTCAATCGTTGGTGGTTGGAGCGTAGCAGGCGATGAGCCACGCAAGATTGAGTCTGCTCATGTTTTTATTGGATATACAAGTTGGCTAGATATCAAAAAACGCCACGTGGAGAACCATGGGAAAGGATGTATTCCTTCTAAGGCTTCACTCAGATTTCAGGTGACTGATGGTGCAAGCGAGGTAGCAAGATGTCAAGTGCTGAAATGTGGCTTTAGTTTGGTGTATACACCAAACGATGTTGATGATATTTCTTGGGAGACAATTGGTGATATCGCTCTCATGAAGAAGGAGAAGGACGTAGACGATGGAAATTCAAACAAACATCCAAGAAATGATTATAGCTTCTGGAATCAATTAAACTGTTGTGCGACTTCGAGAAGGGTTGAATGTGAAGAGCTTGCAGAAGCAAACATCTCCAGAACTTGTTTTCTTGATTAAATTGCAAACAAAAGTGGGAGGATTATATTGTCATCTTGATCGACTTATTTTTCATATTGGTTTAGGTATCATATGACTGAAAATCCATATATATCAAGTCATATTTTATCTGTTTTTGGTTCTGTTTCTGTTAGTTAATATATTTGCTCTGTTTATAAGAAATATGACAGAAATAAACAATTTCTTTCAGCAGATAGAAATGAACAAACCTGTTATTCCTAAAAGCGTGTGAATTCAGAGATGATTATCTTATTTATTATGAGGAAGCTGAAAAATGGATTCAAGCTAGCAGCTTAACTTGTTATGGCGAGAATATTAGACTGAATTTGTTCTTCGATGATTAAGAACTAATAATGCAAAATCATATGAGAAATCTTGAATAAGTTTCTATTATTATTATTTTGATATATGTGCAAAACTTGCTGGCTCAGTGGCCTAAGATGTTAAGAATTGAGACTCTGTATTTTATCAAAGATTTAGACAGAGATTCAAGTCCATCTTTAAAATCTTGAATGCATGACTCTAGGATATGAACATCCTCCATCTTCAAACTCTTCTCGGATTGGAATTTGTAGTCAACCCTTGTAAATTGGTTCTCTTGTGCTTCATATGTCACCTTTTTCTTGTTCATTAGGTTTGAGACTAGTGACCATTTGCCACAAGTCTTAGATCCAGATATGAAGCAGAATAGAGAATCAAAAAGAGCCATTGTAATAGCTTCTGACTCTCTAAACATAGCAATAGATTTTTCGTTGTACTCTTGCCCTTGTTTGATCTTCAAACTCTTGATCACCTTTTGCAATGACTTGTTGAGGGATTTTCTTGAGGATACGTATTTCTTGATCTCTCCTGATATATCTCCGCGCTTTCTCCTTAGAATCGACTGGATCTCCATGAGACCCTCTTTCATATGCGACAAAGCATCCTTGGAAATGTTGCACAAATCCAAGATTCTTAGAGATCCATCAAGAAGCTGCTCGATGGCTTTCTTGTTCTGTTCTTGAGCTAGAGCCTGTTGAGTAGCGGGTAAGCGTATGAGCTTGTCAAGAGACTCGTGAAGCTCTTGAAGGTTGTCAAGTCTTTTGCAGATAGACGAGCTTGAAGATGTTGAGGCTTCCTCGGAAGATCTCAAACGAGTCAACTGCTCATCGACATGAGCGGCTTGTGGGTGAGGTCTAGAGGGGAAACTGTTAGAGCGAACATGGAAAGAGACTGCCATTTTTTTGTTATGTTAGCTCTTTGTTATTGATCAAAGAGAAGATGTTGAGAAAGCTAAAGATGTTTGTTCTGCCTTCTCATTGCCTCTCCGGGCAACATTTATATACACCATCAGGAAAGAGAGGCAAGAGGAATCTTTTGGAGATTAAAATATTAAAATCGTCAAATATAGTGTTCCTCTACAAAGTTGGTAAAAGGCATCTCTTCTAATATATATATCCAAGATCTCCACCATATCAGTTCTATGTCTCTTGCCAAACCATACTCACAGCTCAATTCTGAAATTTTCTTTTAAGGCATTGAGATTCTCTTCATTGCATGTGTTCTTATTTAAAAACAGAGCTGGCTTGTCTGCTATTGAAGGCAATGCCATTCGTGCAGATCTCTCAAGACTAAAAGAGTAGTTTATTTCCCTTTTTTCGAGCAGTTTCACATTCCATGTGAACTCCCAGAACACAATGTGCCAGAGGACAAGGCATGGACAATGCTGATTCAATATTGTGCATTTCAAGTTTTAGTCACGTTGAAAATGCCTCTACTTATCCAGAAATTATAAGCAAGCTTAAAAAATGGAAGAATCTCGATGGATACAGGTGACTAAAGTCTCTTATGCATATGTAAATTGTTTCACCACAAAGATACATCTTTAAGATTCTGTACCAGCAGTTGTTTTTAGGTTCTTGACAGATTTTTTTCTTTGATGTTTAAGTAGAGCATTCACATTTTGTTAATCTTATTGTATTTTTTTCACTACAAATATAGTATTTTATTTCCATGTTTCTGTAGACCATTTTTTGTGATTCAATGTAAAATATAAGAAGAAAAAATAATGTTATTACTCTGATTAATATACATGAGCTTGCCATATGATCCCACACGCTTGCATCATGGTTAAACTAATCAAGAAAATAAACTGCGACAATTTATCAAGATCCGTATCCGTAGATAGTGGCATGTGGAAAAAATCGTGTGGAGGTTCAGAGATAGATATTAAACATTAACATGTCGAACAAGTAAATGTTTGTTTCCCTTTAAATTTTTGAAAATATTGAACAAGTAAATTATCGAACAAGTAAATTTCATAAATGCACGAGCATTTCATAATTAGAATAGAGACCAGAACCTTTTCCATCAAAATTGGCATGTGCATGCACACGTAGACTTTAAAAAGTTCATCATTTACGTTGTGTCCCACACGAATAGAGATATTTTATTGTAGAAAACATGTGAATTTGATGAAACTTTTTCAAGGATATCACACAGACAAGATCCTTATTCTTCGATCCTCTAACACGTTACATGTGAAAGCACACGGAGACTTGAAGGTTCTTGTTTTTATTTATTTTTGAACCACTTCCAATGTTTCCCACCATGCAGACATGAACAGAGTTATTATTGCAGAGAACGTGTTAAATTCAATAATCTTATTAATCAGTGACCTTGTTGTAATTAAGAACTAAGACCGCGTTAATTAGGTAATCTGTTTTACCAGGAAGTTATTAACTTAATTTGTTTTACCATGAAGTTTAAACTGTTTAATTTGGGAGTTCAAGAGTCAATGCAGAATTGTGTGATTTCTTGTTTCTAGAGTGAAGTTGTTCTTTGATGATTAAAGAGTTAAGCGTCTAAAATAAAATAAATAAGATGATTAGAATTGAACTTAAGTATGTTTCTATAATTAACTTTTGTACAAAATTTGTAGGCTCTAATGGCCTAAGGTGTTAAGAATTGAGACTCTGTATTTAATCAATGACTTAGAGAGAGATTCAAGTCCATCTTCAAAATCTTGAATGCATGATTCTAGGATCTGAACATCTTCCATCTTCAAGGTCTCCTCGGATTGGAATTCGGAATCAATCCTTGTGAATTCGTTTGATTCTTCTTGACATGAGACCTTTCTCTTGTTCATTATCTTTGAGACCAGTGACCATTTGCCGCATGTCTTGGATCCAGACATGTAGCTGAAGAGAGAATCAAACAGAGCAATTGTAACAGCTTCTGCTTTTCCAAACACAGCCAAAGATTCTCCTTCTTGTGAAACCTTGAGAGACTTTTGTACTTTCTGGAATGACTTCTTGAAGGACTTTCTTGACGATAAGTATTTCTTGACCTCTCCAGATAGATCACCACGCTTTCTTCTTAGAATCGATTGGATCTCCATGAGACCTTCTTTCATCTGCGACAAAGCATCCTTGGAAACGTTGCACAAATCCAAGATTCTTAGAGATTCATCAAGAAGCTGCTCGACGGCTTTCTTGTTCTGCTCTTGAGTTAGAGCCTGTTGTGTAACAGGTAGGAGAATAAGCTTGTCAAGAGACTCGTGAAGCTCTTGAAGGTTGTCAAGTCTTTGGCAGATAGAAGAGCTTGAGGCTTCCTCTGAAGATCTCAATCTAGCCAATTGCTCAACGACATGAGCAGCTTGTGGGTGAGGTCTAGAGGGGAAACTGTTAGAGCGAACATGGAAAGAGACTGCCATTTTGTTTTTGATCAAAGAGAAGGTGTTGAGAGAGATAGGATGCTTTGTTCTGATTTATTCATTGGCTTCTCGGTCCATACATATATACACCACCAAGAAAGAGAGGCAAGAGGAATCTCATTGATTAAAATATTGAAACCATTATTACAATGTTTGTTAGTGTCCTCCTTTCAAGGTGCCACAAGGCATCTCCTTCTCATTATACACAAAAATTGTAAAGATCTCCACCATATAAGCTCAGTGTCTCCCTCCAACTACATCTTCATTTACAAATAATGATGCATTGAGATCTGTTTCACTGTTATGAGATGTATTTCAAGCTGGCTTGTCTGCTACGGAAGGTAAGGCCACTCGTGTAAATCTCATACCTATCTTTCAGGATTTAATTAATATTTTCTATGTGAAGTTTCAGACTAGAATGTGTCATGCCGTTGAAGGTGCTGGAATATATTATCATACAAAAACTCTAGCCTCACGAGCACTCTCAAAAGCTACTGTCATTTCCAGCTAGTCTTTGTCTCCTGCCTCTGAAGATTTTGTGAATATATTATAAGTCTCTCCGTGTGGTAGGCTATTTTTTTAGTTACATGCACACGTTTGCATTATGTATTTATTGTTATGCTAATCAGAGAAAGCATCTTTCAACAACTGTGATAATGGTGATCTCAATGAAGTAGCGGCAAGATCCATATCCGTAGATCATGGCATGTTAACAAATCCTCAATAGATTACTTAACAATTTTTCTTGGGATATAAAAGTTCAGAGATGCCACATTATAGGTTACAGGTCATTTCCTTCATGTATTAAACAGTAATCATTTTTTTTATGCACGAGTGGCCTTTAAAACAATGTCTCATATTTATGAAAGATGGTTCAATTAAAGAGAAATTAAAAACAAGATCCTTATTCGTTGGTTTTGACACGTGAAAACACAGTAAGAGTTTAAAGGTTCATCATTTTTTAGTTGGTGTATCACTTTCATTGCCTCCCAACTTATAGACATGGACAGAGTTATTATTGCAGAAAACGTGTGAATCAGAGATGCTTATCTTATTATAATTAGGAATCGTGACACCAAGAGAATTGGTAGATTAGAAATTCTGTAAATTGTGGGGGTTTAATACTCAATGGTAAATTTTTCAATTAGAGTTACTAGTAATTTTCTTGGTTCTGGACTAAACTTGTTTTTTGATGTAAAATAATTGAAAAGAGGAAAGAAGGTGCAAAAGATAATATAGGAAATCTTGAGTTTGTTTCAATTATCTTTTCTTTTCTGTACAAAATTGTCTAGGCTTTAATGGCCCAAAGTGTTAAGAATTGAGACTCTGTATTTAATCATAGACTTAGATAGTGACTCAAGTCCATCTTCAAGATCTTGAATGCATGACTCTAGCATCTGAACATCCTGCATCTTCAAGGTCTTCTCGGATTGGAATTCAGAATCAATCCTTGTGAATTCGTTTGCTTGTGCTTCACATGTACCTTTCTTCTGGTTCATTAGCTTTGAGACAAGTGACCATTTTCCACAAGTCTTTGATCCAGACATGTAGCTGAAGAGAGAATCAAACAAAGCAATTGTGATGGCTTCTGCTTCTCCAAACGCAGCCAAAGATTCATCGGCTTGTGCAACCTTGAGAGATTTTTGTACTTTCTGGAATGACTTCTTGAAGGACTTTCTTGTGGATAAGTATTTCCTGACCTCGCCAGATAGATCACCGCGCTTTCTTCTTAGAATCGACTGGATCTCCATGAGACCTTCTTTCATCTGAGACAAAGCATCCTTGGAAATGTTGCACAAATCCAAGATCCTTAGAGATCCATCAAGAAGCTGCTCCACAGATTTCTTGTTCTGTTCTTGAGCTAGAGATTGTTGTGTGACAGGTAGGCTGATAAGCTTGTCAAGAGACTCATGTAACTCTTGAAGGTTGTCAAGTCTTTTGCAGATAGAATAGGTGGAGGATGTTGAAGCTTCCTCGGAAGATCTCAATCGAGCCAACTGCTCATCGACATGAGCAGCTTGTGGGTGAAGACTAGAGGGGAAACTGTGAGATCGAACGTGGTGAGAGACTGCCATTTTTTTCTCTCTTTTGTTGATGATCAAAGAGAAGATGTTGAGAGAGCTCTAAGATGTTTGTTCTGCCTTCTCATTGCCTCTCCGGTCAATACTTATATACATCATCAAGAAAGAGAGACATGAAGAATCTCTTGGTTGTCATAAACTTATAATATTGAACCATGAACTTCTATGTCTCTAAAATGTTTCCCCTCCACATCTCATTGGCCATATTGAATAAAGATATGACTCAGATCTCATGAAATGAATGTGCACGGCCGAATTTGCAAATGCGTTGGCATAGTTTTATGGGAAATACAGCATGGCTTGTCTCACTGGAGAAGATGATAACAGCACTATTCTTGCATATAACCACTTCCGGATCTTGTCTGCATTCTGAACAGCAACCAACCACTCTCCATTACATATTGATTGTAGAGACATAACAACAACAAAAAATGAAGGCAACGTTACATAATGAAATGCAAATTTGAAAAGTTCCTATAACTTAACTATACTTTCCACCATCCACTAGAGACTTGAGACTACACATATTGTTTCAATCCTCTCTCTGTTTGATTGAGTCTATTGGTTCATTAGTTTATAGCCTCAACAAATCTGTACCTAAAAATTATAGTGGATGTCTGTCTCATGGACAGTTGCATCAAACCATATTACAAAACAACTACAAAGAGACAAGTTCTCTCTAAGCTAAATGAGAACATTTTTTGTCAGCATCCATCTCAAACCAACAAGAATCTTGAAAAGTCAGACAAACACGTACAGAAATTCCAGATTATGTTTCATTTTCACCTCTTTGCAAATGAATCTATCAAGATGGAGATGGATCATACCACAAACAACAACAAACAGACAAGGCATCTAAGCTAGATGAGAACATTTTGCCAGAATCAATCTCAAACCCCTGTTTGCTTCATGTTTTGGAAGCCGCCGAGCTCTAGCACAAGTCAAGTAGAATAAAAGAAGATTTAAGAACTCCTTAATTGACTTTTAATATCCGCCACAGCTCTAGCACAAACGACACCGAAATGAAAAAAGGAACGCTTTTGCCTCTAGGGTTTATGTTCCCCTGTTTCTCGGAAACAGAGGATGAGGAAGGTGCCTATACAATCACGGCAAAGATGAAGCCTTTAACTTTGGCCGTTTGCTCTACTCGCCGAGAGAAGGAACCATCGGAAAAATCAGCCCATTTCACGGCGCCGGTGAGTCCGACATCTGACGGAATTACAACGTCCGGTGGAAAGGATGAAATTTTGCAAGTGGGGTCACATTGTGTGGAGTATGAAATTAATTGGGTCTAGAGTCGAGTCAATGGTGGGACCCATCCCTTCCGAATTTCAAAAGGTCCCACAAAAGGGATTTGCAGCTGATCAGGACAGAGCAACATCGAGCCCTTGATTCAACAATGGTTTTATCCTAGTCTTCTTCTCGGAAAATCCATATTGGTTTTGACAGAAAGATAAAAGTCTAGGTTTTTATTTTGTTGTTGAATGGTGCAGTGCAGTCAAATTCTGCCTTGTTGTTATTTCAATATTGTTACATGAAATTTTCTTTACGGTACAACAAACTTACAGTTATACATAAAAAGCCAGAGTAATACAAAATACAATAATGTAACTCTGAAACGAAAGCCAAACATCTTACAAGCTCTGTTTTTGCCAATACAACCTTGCGACTTGCGAGCCCTCGATGCAAAAAGTTACTATATCATCACATATTCTAAAAATTTTATAGGTTAATTATTGGTGTAAGGTTCTGCAGCCAAGGGCTTATACTTAGCCACTGGTCTGATCCCCACTCGAGTCCTGGTTTAGGTACTTGCAGCTCTGGTAGTGGTGAGATTCCACACGGCCGCTTCAGTGCTGAAGAAGCTTCTTTTCTCTCTGCTTCTCTCTCTTTCTTTGCGTTTTCGGTTTGCTCCTGAAGCATCAAGATCTCGTTTGCTTCTTTCATGGCTACTACCGTTTGAGGATAAGGGAACGAAGTTGTCGTCATCATCAAGTCTTCTTCTTTCCCAACGAAAGAAATAGTCTCGGAAGACGAGAGAGGAGAGTTTGGGGTTGTTTGATTATTCATCTTAGCTTCCATCTCTGCTCTTTGCTCTAATACTTTCAGTGAAGTGGCTTTTCTATAAATCTTACACAGCACAACGTCCTGTGATCATAAAGAGAACACAAGATGATTAGCGACAAAGTTGTTTCTTGATTCTGAAACAGAGCTTTTGTGTGTTTAAGGTACCTTTGGTAAGGTGCAATTATCAGGCAACCGGAACTCGTTCATGACCCAATCAGTCTTGATTCCTCCAGGTGCTCTTCCTCTGTAGAACACAAGGGTCTTCTTGAGCCCAATCAGACGTTTTGGCTCAGACATGCTTATGATTTTACGGTCGGATCCTGTTGCTTTCCAATAACCTTTCTCAGTTGTCCTGCTTGGTCTCCCTCCGTTGCCATGCTTCCTTTCCCTTGGCACAAAGAAGTACCACTCTCTCTCACCGATTTTCGATAAACCTGTGAATCAAAACTCAAGAGTTTAACACAACCTAGAGAGAGACAAAATCAAGCTTGTAAGGATATGGAGAAACCATTTACTTACGAGGCAAGTCCCATGGATCATGACGATAGATGTTGAGGAAACCAATGACTTCGACTTTCCATCTCTTACCGTAAACCATGTTCTTGAGGTAGAAATCAAGCAGCTCCTCCTCGGTTGGGTGGAACCTGAAACCAGGGAGCTCCATCTCTGTTGCCATGTTCTCTCTTCACTGTCTCTTAAAACACTTACCAAAGTTTGGTTTCTTTTAAGAAGATGTGTAAGTGAAAAGGTTGTTGGTGGTATCACTTAGTTAATGTAATGAACATTTATATATAACACTAGCTATAGGACCCATTGTGGTGGAAGATATTTTTCTTTTTCTTTATTTTGTGTGTGTGTGTGTGTGATGTGGGAATGTTTTGAGGGAACAGACCAAGTCAAGAGGAAAGATGTGGAGGAATGCATGATTAACGATTGAATTTTAAAAGTCTTATTGTGCAATTTTTTTCTAATGTGTGTAGTTTTTTCTCTTCTTCTTTTCTTCCATGCTTTTAGATGTTTGTGAATTGTGATGAATATAATTAGAAAGAAGAATAAGGGTCTTGATCAAAGTGGATGGAGCCCACGCGGTTTCATCTTGAGAAAGTTAGAATGGGTCAAGAGGATTGGACCAGAGCTTAGTGTCATTTTGTTTTCTGTTCTGTTTTTTTCTTTTGTTTAATAATTATTTTCAAATCTTCTATTGTGAAAAAGAATCAAACGTTTTTGATCGTGGGACTTCCACCATTTTGTTTAATCTTGAGCTTGACTTTGGAAGTCTCCTCCAAAGACTGGAAGTCTTTTTGCCGTTGTCGCCCGTAACCTATTTTCTTTGCTTTTTTCTTTTGTTTTTTGACACTTTTACTAGCCGATTACAGACACATCCTTGTTATGATTGTGAAAATGTTATTGATTCTGACGATGAGATGTGTTTGGGCAAAATTTAACCGGTTCGCAAGTACAATAAACGGAATGACGCAGGAGAAGATATCTTATTAATCAATTGAATATCGAGCTACAACAAGTCAATATCAAAGATTAAACTAAGAGAATCTCGTCTGTCGCTCGTCGTAGATCGTAGTTCGTCGTATCTAGGTTGTTCGTCGCTTGCTCGTCGAGAGGCGAAGAACAAGTAGCTATTAGGGTTTTTGTGTGTTTTTCTGAATGTCCCCTTGTCCTTGTTATGGGACCTCTTATTTATAGGTGCTTGTCGATCCTAATCCTTGTTGAGTTGGGCTTTGACGTCGGTCGTAATATTCCATTTCCTACGTCGGTCGTCATCTGTCACAACTCGGTACAAACCATTCATTGCTAAACCATTAATTAACATCGTTGGTCGCTGCCTCGTCATGTCGATGCTAAGGCCTTTTAGACACTAAGAAGTAAGATCGACCGGTGGTCATCATGGTCGTCAGTCGATCATATCTCCAGCTTGTAATAGAGTTTAAGGAGCGACCGGCTAGTGAATTTATTTCACCCAACAACTTGCCCCCTACTCTTCAATTTCTTGTTTAGAATTTGTAGAGTAATACTTCATTTTCATATCGTCGGTCGGTCGCTTGCTCATGTCACTTGTGTGACTGTTGTTCGTTTACTTTTTTCTTCGTTCGTCGATGGCTTATACGAGTGACAAACTCTTCTTTTAAATCATGTGGAAATAACTAAGCAAAATAAGAGGGACGTACTTATTTTAATATCCATGTGGGATTGATTAAGAATGGAGATGGACAAGCTTCTTTCTCCAATGACCAATGACAAAGTTTTATTCTTGAAGCATGTACGTCCTTCCCTTTTTTTCCATGTGGGTCCCAAAGAAGTTGTACTTGACCACTCATGTAGCTTTATTAAAATTGAGGAACGACGTACATTAATTATGTAGTTGTGTTGTTTGTTTATGTAGAGAGTGACCAGCGACAAACATGTTTAGTCGTGCCTCTTCCTTTTTTCTCTTAATCGTCGAGCTTCATTCTCTCCAATCTTAAGTAAAACGTATTTTTTCAAATCGTCAGGCGTTGCTCGTCAATGCTGTTTCGGACCTTGCTCCCTTTCTAATGTAGATGTTATTCATTTTTTGTATGTCGCTCATTTATCTTCTTTTGTCGTTCCCTCTCTTTTCAATTGGAGTTACTTTCCTTTTCCTCTTATGTCGTTAATAGATGTTTATCTATTAAGATATTATAGTAGAATTAACGGAGCTCCTTTTTACTAGTAGTTGGTCTTGATCTCATAAGATCTAATAAAAACTAGCAAGGACAAACACGTTTTATGTGTTCGTCTTGGTTGATCACTTGGATTGACTACATAAGTCCTTACCTATTGATGAGCGTCGATGAATTCAGAACTTGCTTTCTCAACGGATAAGCAGCTATTAGGCTGTGAGGGCTATACCCCTTAGTTTATTGTCATATTTTCACGAGGACGTACCTCTTGATTTTGTAGATGTTGTCACAGATTAAGGACGTACCTCTTCATTTGTTAGCTAATGATTTATGATCATAATATTTGGAGGTCGTGCCCCTTTGTTAATCAAAGAGTGATGTGACATCATAGTCTATTGGAGGTCGTACCTCTAACTTATTTGTTAGCGACTGTCGTCGCTGTCTATTGAGTACGTACCTCTTTATTATATCATGACTTATCATGGTGAGGTCGTACCTCTTAATTTATTTAGTAGCGACAGTCGTCACTGTATATTGAGGACATGTCTCTCTATCTATTTGCTTATGACTTGTTGTCATAGCATGTGGAGGTCGTACCTCTAAATCAATTATTAGCGACTGTCATCGCTCTTACTATATATTGAGTACATGACTCTTTATGACTTGTCGTCATAACATGTGGAGGTCGTACCTCTAAATTAGTTATCAGCGACTGTCGTCGATGTCGATATACATTGAGTACATGACTCTTATCTTCCTAGTGACCATGGTCAATTTGCTCATGAGGCATTGCCTTTAGTTTTTTTTTTGAAGAAACGTCGATCGTCGTTGCTGCTCTATCATGAGGAGGCAATGCCTTTTTTTTTTTTTTACTGTCGTTTGTCATAAGCAGTGCAATGACTGTCGCTCGTCACTAGTTGTGGATACAACGTCGATATTAAAGCGAGTGACGAACATAATCTGAGAATTCTTAAATACTCATATGTAGAAAAACCTTTTATTAAGAAGTTCGTCCGTAGACATGCGCGAAGTAAAGAAAAACAATTGAAAGCAGAGACATCTCGTGGATCGTCTATGACTATGACAATAACGAAATAAATAAAACCAAAACACTGAAAGCCAAACTAACCTAGAAGAGGTAGGTTTCGAGGTTCGTTTCATCAAGATCTTTTTCCGTCAGTGGATCTCACAGAGTTGTTCCACCTCTGCTTCTTTGGTATGTGGAATCGACGATTGGATCTCTAGTTGATATAGCTCATGACCTTTCCCTTTTAGGGTAGTTTGGTAGCATGAACGTGCATGCTCTTGTTCTCCCTTGATCTCTTTGACTCCCCATGGAGTAGGAAATTTTATGGTTTGATGGAGTGTCGATGGCACTGCCCCCATGTCATGAATCCAGGGACGTCCCATAATTGCGTTGTACGCAGTAGCACAATCTAGTATCAGAAACTTTGTCTGTCGGTTAATTCCTCCTGCATACACAGGCAGCGTCACTTCTCCTATGGTCTGCTTTACTTCACCGCTAAATCCTACCAGTGGTGTGGATTTTCGCGTCAGTGCATTCTCATCCAGCCCTAATCCTTTGTAAGCATCCATGAAGAGAATGTTGGTCGAACTCCCATTATCAACGAGTGTCCTTTTCATCAGACTATTAGCAATTGTCAAAGATATGACTAATGCATCATGATGTGGAGCTAGGACACACTTATCTTCATCTGAAGCAAAGCTAATCGTGCACTTCGACAGTCGCTCGCATATAGCTTTGACATCTCCATGATGAGTTCTAGCTATTCTAGTACTCTTTTTAGCAGCAGAATGAGTAATTCCACTAACCTCTGATCCTCCCGATATCACGTTGATGATTCGATCATGCTCCGGAGATTGAGCAGGAGATGGTTTTCTTTGCACCTCGTCATTGCTTCTGTCGTCGATGCGACTCCTAGCCCTGTCGGACAAGTATTCTCTCAAGTGACCTTTTTTTAGTAGCTCGTTTACTTCCATTCTCAACGTGATGCAATCTTCTGTTCTATGACCATGGTCAGAGTGAAAGTCGCACCACTTTGATGTGTCTCTTCGTTCCCCTGGTGCTTTCATCTTTTGAGGCCATCTTACTCCAGATATATGATTAAGAACATTGACTAGTTCTGCAGGAGATATTGCGAGGTTACTCATGTCTGGCCATGTGGATGATGAGCGTTGGTCGCTCTCAATTTGGTTGAGTGGTCGATGGTCGCTTCTGCTGTCGCTTCTCTTGCTAGTGCTTTCACTGCGTGGTCTCTGGTACGGTCTGTCATCTCGAGAGGGACGCTCGTTCCTAACAACACGCGAATCAGATCGTGGGGAAAGTAGGTGTCGATATGCAGGGTCTTCCTCCCACCTTATTTGAGCCCATGCTCTAGATAGCACATCTTCCATCGTTCTGCACTGGTACTTCGTCAGTTCCTTGTACAAATCACTGTCTGGGAGCAATCCTCTTTTGAATGCAGAGATGGCAGTGGACGTGACACATGCCGGAATGGATACTTTCTCTTTGTTGAAGCGACCTACGTAATCGCGCAACGGTTCTCCTCTCTTCTGTATCACTTCATAGAGATCGTCGGCTGTCCTTTCTATGTTCCTGCTGCTCGCGAATTGCTCAACAAAGCGGTCTGTCAATGACGCGAACGAGTCGATTGACGCGTTCGGTAGGTTCGTAAACCACTGAAGAGCTGGTCCCGTGAGGCTAGATCCAAATCCTTTACACATACTAGCTTCGCGATATTCTTTTGCTATTGCCGTTGTGAACATGCGTTGCTTGTACTGGGCTATATGATTATCAGGGTCGGTCGTCCCGTCGTACATCTTCATTGAAGGGACGATGAACTTCTTTGGCATCTCAACCAAAGCGATGGCATCCGTGAAGGGAGTGTCTGCATAGCAATTAGGAGCACTTTTGGTGATTGGAGGAGCTACTCCTGGAAGTCGCGCGAGCAAGAGCTCCATAGCCTCCAATCGCTTTGAGAACATAGTATGCGAGTCTTCAGATTGATGTTCCATCGTTGGTGCAAGGGGTGGAACCAATGTTTGGTTACCTTGCGCAGCGTCGGTAGCTCCTGTTCCTAGGGCTGCTCCTGTTGCACCCGTAAGTGGTGGAGTGTCGAACGATTGCATAGGAGGGAACCGGTCTCGATATCTATTGCGAGCCTGAGTCAATGACGCGTTTTCTGCTCGTAGGGTTGCGTTCTCCGCCTGGATTTGCGCAAGTCGTTCTTCGTTCTGCTTCATCTGAGCTGTGAGAGCCTCCAGCTGAGCAACGGTGACGGTCGGTGTTTCGGTCGGTGTGGTATCATCTCCCGCCGCCATGTCTCACGCAGTTAAAATTGCCCCTCCTTCTAGCGCCAAACTGTTTGGGCAAAATTTAACCGGTTCGCAAGTACAATAAACGGAATGACGCAGGAGAAGATATCTTATTAATCAATTGAATATCGAGCTACAACAAGTCAATATCAAAGATTAAACTAAGAGAATCTCGTCTGTCGCTCGTCGTAGATCGTAGTTCGTCGTATCTAGGTTGTTCGTCGCTTGCTCGTCGAGAGGCGAAGAACAAGTAGCTATTAGGGTTTTTGTGTGTTTTTCTGAATGTCCCCTTGTCCTTGTTATGGGACCTCTTATTTATAGGTGCTTGTCGATCCTAATCCTTGTTGAGTTGGGCTTTGACGTCGGTCGTAATATTCCATTTCCTACGTCGGTCGTCATTCCCTAATTTAAACCATTAATTAACATTGTTGGTCGCTGCCTCGTCATGTCGATGCTAAGGCCTTTTAGACACTAAGAAGTAAGATCGACCGGTGGTCATCATGGTCGTCAGTCGATCATATCTCCAGCTTGTAATAGAGTTTAAGGAGCGACGGCTAGTGAATTTATTTCACCCAACAAGATGGACAAGTCCGCAATGCACACAAATGACCAATCCTGAAAATAGCTCAAAGCGGAGGAGGAATCTTGAAGTGAAGATTATTACACAATTTGTTTTATGGTTGATCATCATTTTTCCAAAAAAACTGGAACCATATGTATTGAAAAGAGATGAATGAAATCAAATGTTATGATTACCATTTGTACCATTAACATTTATATAAGTTATGGATAGAAGATAGAAGAATTGGGTAGCTTCAGTCTCAGTTTAAAACCTTTTTGTTTAGCTTTTGATAATACTAGATAGGTTAGAGAAGTTATGTGAAATACTGCTCAACTTATATTACTATGACACATAAAAATAAAAAAAATGTTTTGAAAATCAGACATTTTGAGAGGGATATAGACGAATTTAATAACTACCTGTAGTCATTACATTTGAAACATCATGTCAGCTAGTTTTTTTGTGTTTCAAAGGAGATAATTAAGACAGTGTTATTATTTGACGGATTTTGTTAAGTAATCATTCTATGAACTGTACGACAATATTATTTGTTAAATAATCACACTAGGTTTGTAGTATTGTCTTCAACTTCGTTTTTAGTAACTACAATTTCTTCTTTTGAACTATAAACTAAAAAAAAAAAAAAAAAAAAACTATGAACTCAAATATGTATATTTTTTACAAATTTTTGAACTTTTTTTTGTTTACTAAAGTGTCTATAGTATTTCAAATAAGGACGAATATTTTAATCCATTTCAAAATTATTTGCAAATTAACAAAGAAAAATCGTTTTCATTTTCAAGCAAAAGAACAAACAACATTAAATAGTAGTGACTCTACTGAGTAGCCACTAGTGAGGCTAGGAATATAATTCGATTGCATATGAAAGTTTCTCGGAAATTGCAAACAATATTCTGCTTTATTTCAATTTCTTGTCTTTTCAAATGACGAAAAAGAACACCATCAAACAATACACTATTCATTACACACACAACAATATCCACGAAACTACCCAAATAAGTTATACATCGAAAAGCAAAATTAAACCTGTGTAACAAAATTTAATGAGGAATTTTTAACCATTTAAGTGACTGATAAAGTTTTACATGTACGCATACAATTTGATCAACTTTCTCCATTAACAAATGTACACTTCTCTGTAGATATCCTTGCATACATATACATTAGTATTTGTTTCTATGAAATGTATTTTCACTACAACAAGAAAAGCATACAGTCTTGAAGTTAAACTCACTCTGGTTACAAAAAAATGTTAAAAGACTTGTGAACCCAATGATTATGACTTCATTTACAAAGCCATTCTTTTACAGTTTTCCCCTTAGCAATGAAACTACCAACATTCTTCCGGTCGATTCTCATCGGACTTCCGGTACGAACCATTATCTTCTTAACCAGCGCTTTAACCGGCGACTCTCCTCTTACATTGCTGTGTTTACCTGACCCCGAAACAACTACAATCTCAGCAGGAACCACACACTTCTCTTCACTAAATCTAACTCTCATCTCATCCATCCATTGCATCATTATCAAATACGATGAGCTCAAGTGCATTCCATGTAAATCCAACTTACCTTCTAACGAATTCCACTCTATTGCCTCATCTAAGACCGATGACCAAGTCAATTTGCTTACCAGAACCGCCTCGTCCTCGTTCAGAAAAGTAAGCAGCTCAGAAAGAGAAAGAGGACAAGTGTCCAAGTCTTTTAACAGTGATGTTACTGTAGGACAAGAATTCAAGACCGAGTTGTACGTTCTTATGGACAAAGGAACGTTGAAGTCCTTAAGTTTCTGTAGCCAAGAACCCATTTGTGGAAGAGCGTCATGAGCTCCATAAGAAGACAGAACCATATTTGAACAAACCGTGTCGATCTTGTGACCTTCTGTTTCCATTCTCTGAACCACTCTGTTCATGTCGTCAAACAATCCTAATCTTCCATAACCGTAGAGAACAGACTTATATTCAAACAACCCCGGCTTTACTTTTTCGGTTCTCATCTCATCGATAACTCTTTCTGCATCGTGAGGTTTGTCCATGTTGCATAAGCCAGAAACCAGAGACTTGTAAGCTTGAGTTTTGACATAGACTGATGAAGATCTTTGGATTATCTCTCTCAAACGAACGCAAGCTTCGTCGAATCCTTGTATCGACCCTTGTTTAGCATTTGATTCAACTAAATTGCAGAAGAAGAGAGCCAAGTCTCGTTCGTTTGACTTCAACCTTGAAACCGCAGTAGAAAGTAGAGTTTCTGATTCGTCGAACCTTTCTTGTTTATTGAGCAGAGCAACAAGTTCAGCAATGAGCTTGGGGTTCCAATCAAACCATGATGCTTCAGTAATCTCCGAATACAGCTTGAGAAATAAAACCAGTTTCAAGTCATTCAACTCCAACAAGATATTACTGACTGAGAGAAACAGGACAAAAAGCAAGCAAGACTCACGGAGAGAGCATAAAAGGAGAGATGAGGATGTGAAGTGTGAGCTGAGAGGAGATGAGAGAGGACATTGAGAGCCACTGATTTGGGTGAAGCGGCTACAAACTTCTTTATGTGGCGGTTCGTAGCTGAAGGATCTCCAGCTAAGGCTGGGGAAGAGAGGGAAGAGAGAAACCGATGGCTTTGCTTCATCAGAGGCACTGCTCCAGCCTTACACCGAACCTCCATTGATGTTCTATGAGTCCATGACACATTTCTTAGCTCTTCTTCAAAGTAACGGTTACATTGGCTCAGCCGCTGAGGCTGAGTGAAAAGGAACCGTTGTGGGCCGCTGTTACCGCTGCTTATCATTATCTGGTTCTGAGCTCTGTGTCTGGAAAGCAATGTGGGATGATAAACAAGAGTCAAGGTTCTGGTAACAATCACACCTGCATACAGAACAAGAAATCAACCAGTTGAATCAGAAACTGAGACCCAATTTCTAAATTTTACATACCGTTAAAGCAAATTATTCAAACAATCGGAGAAGCCAATGCCACACAGAGAAACTGACTAAAAGGTTTATACTTTAGCAGGAGATAGAAGAAATTTAAACGAGCCGAACCATCGAAACAGTACAATCAGGACAAAACCCAAATTTCGATTCATCAATTAGAGCAATTCACAACTGGCAATGAGAAAAAAGGGAAGTACTTTTTGAATACTAGTCACCAAAATCGGAAGAATTCAAAGACAAACAGTGAATGGATTAATGCTTTTAGGAGATGAGGATGAAGCAAACCGGTTTTACCGCCATGGAAGGTCTGATTAGGCCGAGTGGGCAGTTTCAAAGCCGCCATTTTTAGACCGGACAGCCTCCGGGAGTTTAACTGGTTAACGACTTTCTCTGTGTTTCCGACATCAGTCACTACACACGGACTCATCCGATTCCGATGAGCTTTGAACACACTGATCGCAGAATACCGGAGTTCGGTTTAGAAATTTGGCACCGGTTTATTACAACAATCTACTGTAATTGACTAATTGTATAGATTGGTACCGGTTCATGCCATGCCCACTTATTGGAATATTTTTCTTGCAATAATCTTCTGTATGTAGTTCTAGAATTATAAAATTCAAGTATTACTGATTTTCACAGATAAATTTACAAAGTTTGTCCTTAGACACACACAGTTCTTAACCGCAAATTTTTTGAAGACAACATGAGTTTGATTCGGCTACAAGTATCATCTCTGAGATAAAGATTACAAAGAAAGCTTCTCTATGTTAATGTACAAATGTCAAGATAGTGAAAAGCATGAACAGTATCTGTTACTCGTAAAACAAGAAAAAACATAAACATGTGACTGAAACTGTAGCTTCTATGGGCTGGTCATCTCACAAGTATCAGAGATAAACCTCCTTCAAGGTCTTGAACTCCGTTTATCAAGATTGGGATGATGTTTCTCCAGGATAATCTTCAGCATTCTGAGACAGTAAAATGTTTCACATACATATTAGCAATGGGCACACATTTGAGCATACTTTAATGAGCAGAAGAAAAGCATAATGTCAATATGATAAAAAGATGCAATTGCCAGTCCAACAACAAGCATCAGTCATGAATTTCAATGCGTGTTCAGAGACTATTGCAAATATGAGATTTGTTGACTGATATAAAGGTTAATGGCACAGAGTTTCTATAGCCACAAGATGCAAAGTTTGTGTATGCACAACTACAAGTACTCAAATCCTAGACAAAACAGTGATTCAGGTATCAAGAGGATGTAAACCACTTACCTCAAGAGAAGTAATCCATGGAGGTGGAGGCCAAAACAGCTTCGTATAGTCAGGGCGTTTATACAGTGGCTCTATTTTCCCGGTACTGAAATCAAACACTCCCGAATCTCGACCTTGCATCGTCCCCAAGCTACTATCCTCATTGAACACATTCCCATTGAACACCACAGAACTTCCCCCACAGTGAGGTAATATCTCAGAGGCTGAAGCTGAAAAGGTGCAGTCATCACCAAGGAACAACATCTTATCCCCAAGTTCCGTAACCTCAACCCAACTCGTCTCTCTTTCCACAAATTTGAAGACTTTAAATTTAACAGTTCTCTCATTCATATAAATCACATGATGCTCAAAATTCTCCTCAGCGGATCCAGGATCTCCATCAACCTCCTCCACGCTCAAGTACATATCAACCAGCAACATTTCACCACAAGACTCAATCAGAAACTTCTTGTCACCGCCAAACACAGGATTCGCGGCCAACGTCAGTTTCGAGGAAGTGAAATCCACAACCACAGTCCTTCCATTGTTGTCAACAGCGAAGAAACGTCCGTCGTACAGAAACACATCATCGTAAGGAGACGGCATGTCGTTGATCACAGTCCACGCCCGATCCCAAGACCTAAAAACAGCTACTTTCCCAGAAACATGGATCGTAAGCAACACGAATCTGTACTCAGAAGCATCACTATCCAAATACTTAACAACAGCTTTCTCCAAGAACAGAGTTTCCACAACATCACCGAACAGATTGAAATAATGGAGCTTGAATTCGCGACCCAATTCGCGAACCTTGAACTTCGACATATCGAGAGATCGAGGGAAATGCTCGGGAAGCGAATGTCTTCTATCGCTCAGCGGATCGCGAAGGGTCACCGTACGAGGACCGATGAGATTTTCCTCGACCTTGACAAGCCACCCGAACTGATCGGCTTCGCTGTGCGGTTCGTGAGGCTTGACGACTAAGATGCTCCGCTGCGAGAGGCGGAATCCTACGGCGGAGTCTGGGAAGAGGCTGACACCGTTGTCAGGGAGGATCGGGAGGCGATGAGACGGAAGAGGACGCTTCGGCTCGGCGGCGGATCGCCATGAAGAACACACGGAACGGAATTGGACGAGATCGAAGGAGGATTCGAGACATTTCGAGATTACGTCTAAGAGATCCTTCGGTAGCGTTGCCCAATCAACCATCGATGACAGATATTATTAACCTAGAAATCAGTCAATCTCCCAGAGAAAAGAAAATGTCAGACACGAATCAATACCAATATCGAGACCGAAACGACGATGAGATTTGACCCGACCCGAATTTGTTACAGCTCGGGTCGAATCAGACCGAATCATCTTTTTAATTAAAACGTCATCGTTTTTGTATCGTTTCAATATTCCGATTTCCTTGTTAAGTGGATCCGTCCGAGAGTTGAGATCAGATCGGAAGCAGAAACTACAGAGAGGTGAGAGCAGAGATCTCCACAATTTCCAGAAAGTTTTTTTTTTGGTCGGATTCAATGCTTGAAAATTGATTCTTCGTTGTGAATAAGGGAGAGAGATTGAGAGACTTCGTTGATGGCTACCACCAACGTCGTCTGCGACGGCGGAGATGTTGACGGTTGCGGTGGCGAGAGAAGCTTGGATCTTTTACCGGCGGCTCTGTTGGAGACTATCATGACGAAACTAGACGTTGCGTCTCTATGCTCGATAGCATCCACTTGCAGAACACTCAGAAGCTGCGTCACTCGTGTCCTCACTTTCACTCCCAACTTCCACGTCTTCGTAAGTTCTCAACATCTCTCCTTAACTTCAGTTGATCTGATTGCGTTTTTGACTTTGTTCAATTGCATGAGTATAGATGGTTTCCTGGGATTTTGATTTCCATTTCAGACTGAAATGATAGAAAAGTTAGTTTTTTGATTTCTCCTACTCTGTTTTTTTGGGTTTCAGAATGTTTCACTTTCAATGGAAACTGTTAGGCCATTGTTGTTTCCGAATCAGAAACTTTCAAGCCTCAAGCTTGACTGTGGACGGCTAGGGAATTCAGCAATCGACATTCTAGTACGACCTTCTCTGAGGGAGATCTCTCTTCAGAACTGTCGAGATTTCAGCGGTGATCTGATCTCTGAAATTGGAAGGAAATGCAAAGATTTAAGGTGTTGTATTCCAGATTTTGACACATCTATGCTTTTATAAGCAATGGTTCCACTCTTGTTCTGACGAATTGGTTATCATTTTCAAAATTCCAGGCTCCTCTGTTTAGGTTCTGTGGCAGAGAAAGTTGGTCGAACCATTAACCGTTGTGCTTTAGAGGATTTACTCAATGGTTGCTCCCATTTAGAGGTTTGAATCCGCTTCATATCTCTTTTGATCATAGAAGAGAATGTGATGTGTTGATTGGAATCATTTCCTGTTTGTTGTCATGGCAGGTCTTAGCACTCATGTTTGACCTCTCGTTGTACCTGCGTCCTAGTGATGGTCGAATTTTTGGATTGGTATCTGATAAACTAACCCATCTGGAGCTTGGACACATCTCATCAAGAATGATGACTCAACTTCTCACATCAACCGAAACGTCAGGGCAAGTCAGCAACAAGCCGGTTACATCTACCGTGCTCCAAAACGTCCAGCAGTTGCGTCTCTCAGTTGATTGTATCGACGATGCTGTGGTGAAGGCGATATCTAAGTCTCTTACATCTTTGATAGATTTGGATCTAAGAGATGCGCCGATTGAGGATCCAAGACAAGTATCTGACCTCACAGATTTCGGTCTTCAAGAGATCAATCAAAACGGTAAGCTCAAGCACCTCTCTCTTATCCGTAGCCAGGAGTTTCACTCAACTTACTTCCGGCGAGTTAGTGATCAAGGAATGCTTTTTCTTGCTGACAAATGCTTGAGGATCGAAAGCATCTGTCTCGGCGGGTTTTGTCGGGTGACAGATGCTGGTTTCAAGACTGTTCTCCACTCTTGCGCTAACCTCTCCAAGTTTAGCGTATACCATGGATATAAACTCACGGATCTTGTTTTCCATGACATCTTAGCGACTACTCTTTCGCTTAGTCACGTTAGCTTAAGACTGTGCCATCTTCTAACGGACCACGCGGTTCAAAAGCTGGCGTCGAATCTTGCTCTGGAGAGTCTTGATCTAAGAGGGTGCAGAAACCTCAGGGATGAAGCTTTGGAAGCCATCTCTCATCTGCCGAAACTGAAAGTGTTGCTTCTTGATGGCACTGACGTAAGCGACAAGGGGCTCTCATATCTTAAAGAAGGAGTTTGGGGTTCTCTGGTTTCTTTGTCAGTCAGAGGTTGCAGAAAGTTAACAGACAAATTCATGACTACTTTATTTGACGGATCCTCGAAGCTAGCTCTGCGTGAGCTCGACTTGTCTAATCTTCGTAACCTGACCGATGCTGCCATTTTCGCGCTAGCGAAGTCTGGAGCTCCGATCACAAAACTCCAGCTGAGAGAATGCAGACTCATAGGGGATCCTTCGGTGATGGCGCTTGCATCTACACGGGTTTACGAAGACGAATGTCCTGGAAGCAGCTTGTGTTTGTTGGATCTTTATGACTGCGGTGGCATCACTCAGCTCTCGTTCAAATGGCTGAAGAAACCGTTCTTCCCGAGGCTTAAATGGTTAGGGATCACAGGAAGTGTGAACAGAGATATTGTAGATGCTTTGGCAAGGAGACGACCGCATTTGCAAGTCTCTTGCCGCGGTGAAGAGCTGGGGAATGATGGAGAAGACGATTGGGACTCTGCAGATATACACCAACACAGTGAAGCACAAGAAGATGAGCTTGAACAGTGGATTCTAGGAGACGAAGGTGTTGAAATGGAGGATGCACAAGATGAGAGTGATGAAGACGCAAGTGAAGAAGACTGATAATACTGAAGAAACTATGTATGCTTCTCTGTTACCAGAAGAAGCTTCGGTTGATAAGAAATTAGTAAATTTGTATAAGCTTTGTGTAACACCAAATTGTTCTTATATTTAGTAACTTTCTTTAGGTTTTATTCTTTTAATGAATGTTTCTGAATTGTTGTTGTTGTTGTTGTAATCATCTCATCTTTCTTGAACATTTGATTTTGATTATTTGAATAAGAATATTTAGTGAAAGTGTTTTTGTAATCGTTTTCTTCACAAAACTTGAATCTCTTAAACCAGATTTTTATTAAAATCACCTTTATTACATAACAATGATTTTATTACATAACAAAAAAGTGTCTCAAAACTAGTTTTTGTTATGTAATAAAATCACCTCTCTAGTTTTTATTATTACATAACAAAAATATTTTTTATTACAAAACAAAAAGTGTCTCAAAATTAGTTTTTATTATGTAATAGAATCAACTCTCTAATTTTTATTACATAACAAAAAAGTGTCTCAAAACTAGTTTTTTTTATTACATAACAAAAACTAATTTTTATTACATAACAATGATTTATTACATAACAAAAAAGTGTCTCCAAACTAGTTTTTTTTATGTAATAAAACCACCTCTCTAGTTTTTATTACATAACAAAAACTAGTGGTTATTACATAACATAAAAGTGTCTCAAAACTAGTTTTTTTTACTACATAACAAAAACTAATTTTTATTACATAACAAAAATATGATTTATTACAAAACAAAAAGTGTTTCAAAACTAGTTTTTGTTATGTAATAGAATCACCTCTCTAGTTTTTATTACATAACAAAAACTAGTTTTTATTACATAACAAAAAAAATATGATTTATTACATAACAAAAAAGTGTCTCCAAACAAGTTTTTGTTATGTAATAAAATCACGTCTCTAGTTTTTATTACATAACAAAAACTAGTGGTTATTACATAACAAAAAAGTGTCTCAAAACTAGTTTTTTTACTACATAACAAAAACTAATTTTTATTACATAACAATGATTTATTACATAACAAAAAAGTGTCTCAAAACTAGTCTTTGTTATTTAATAAAATCACCTCTCTAGTTTTTATTACATAACAAAAACTAGTTTTTATTACATAACAAAAAAAGTGTCTCAAAACTAGTTTTTTATTACATAACAAAAACTAGTTTTTATTACATAACAAAAAAAGTGTCTCAAAACTAGTTTTTGTTATGTAATAAAATCACCTCTCTAGTTTTTATTACATAACAAAAACTAGTGGTTATTACATAACAAAAAAGTTTCTCAAAACTAGTTTTTGTTATGTAATAAAATCACCTCTCTAGTTTTTATTACATAAAAATAATTTTATTACATAACAATAACTAATTTTTATTACATAAAAAATTAGATTTTATCAACCAAAAAGGATTTTATTACATAACAAAACCTAGTTTTATTACATAACAAAATGTGTCTCAAAATTTTTGTTATGTAATAAAATCACCTTTCTAGTTTTTATTATTTATTACAGAACAATGATTTTATTACATGACAAAAAATGTCTCAAAACTAGTTTTTGTTATGTAATAAAATCACCTCTCTAGTTTTTATTACATAACAAAAACTAGTTTTTATTACATAAAAATAATTTTATTTACATAATTTTATTTTATTTACATAACTAGTTTTTTTTATTACATGACAAAAACTAATTTTTATTACATAACAATGATTTTATTACATTACAAAAAGTGTTTCAAAACTAGTTTTGTTATGTAATAAAATCAAATTTTTAGCTTTTATTACATAACAAAAACTAGTTTTTATTACATAACAATGATTTTATTACATAAAATGGTTTAATTTTCGTACGTTGCATGCGATTACACGTAACGCTTATATATTACTAATCAATGTAAGTTTTTTTGTGCCATGCATCATAACAAGCGCCGAAGTTTATGTATCCTTCTCTGAAAAATCGTAAATTTGTTTTTCTTTTTTTTCTTTTTGATTTATTTTTCCACTTTCCGATATGGATTTCAGAAATTCATTCAAATCACACAGCTCATACAAACAGATTCGAAGCCCCGGAGAGCAAAGCGAGGCAAGCCCTGAGCACCGTCCGATTCTCCACGATCACAATCACCATCATCACAACATGGAACACAAATCAGAGAGCTCACATTCGAGCCTCGACGACGGCCGAAACGCGCCGGTGGAACGCGATTCCAGCTACAAATTCTGGCAAGACAACACCGGAACAACTTCCGATCACCACGCCAACACCGCGGCACGAACCAGCGCTAGAGATCCACTCGCTATTAGCCGGAAAAGCGAAAAGTCAAGCGGGAGCTTCGATTTCGCGCAATACGGATCAGGGAGGCCACCGTCGTTGGAGGATTCTCCGACGAAAATGGCCGGTGGACAATGGGGAGGAGGAGGAGGAGGAGAGATCACAGTCGACGTAGACCAAGAAAACGAAGACGTAAGTCACCATACACTGCCGACACCTACATCAACGGCACGAACATCATTCGACGCGTCGAGAGACATGCGAGTCTCTTTCAACGTTCATAGACCTGGTACGAATCTCCCGGGATCGGCGGTTCCTTCTTCTTCTTCTTCTTCCGCTACTCATTCCTCCTGTTCGTCAGCGACAATGCGGACGAATCAGGAGGCTCAACAGCAAGATCAGGAAGAAGTTTTGAGATGCACGTCGAACATGTCGTTTCAGAGGAAATCAGAGCTTGTTTCTAGAGTGAAGACAAGATCGAGGCTGCAAGATCCGCCACGAGAGGAGGAAACTCCTTATTCTGGTTGGAGATCTGGTCAGTTGAAATCCGGTATACTCGGTGATATCGACGAAGAGGATGATCCATTAGCAGATGAAGACGTTCCTGATGAGTATAAAAGAGGGAAGTTCGATATTATAACGTTGCTCGAATGGCTTAGCTTAGTGGCGATTATAGCTGCGTTGGCTTGTAGTTTATCGATTCGTTCTTGGAAGAAAGTTAGGGTTTGGAACCTTCATTTATGGAAATGGGAAGTGTTCTTGCTTGTTCTTATATGTGGGAGGTTGGTCTCTGGTTGGGGGATTCGAATCGTCGTCTTCTTCATCGAAAGAAACTTTCTTTTGCGGAAACGTGTTCTTTACTTTGTCTATGGAGTGCGTAGAGCTGTTCAGAATTGTCTTTGGTTAGGGTTGGTTCTTCTCGCTTGGCATTTCTTGTTCGACAAGAAAGTGCAAAGAGAGACAAAGAGCAAGTTTCTTCCTTACGTAACCAAGATCTTGGTTTGTTTCTTGCTTAGCACCATCTTGTGGTTGATCAAGACACTGGTGGTTAAAGTTCTTGCCTCTTCGTTCCATGTTAGTACCTACTTCGATCGGATTCAAGAAGCGTTGTTTAATCAGTACGTGATCGAGACTTTGTCTGGTCCTCCGATGATTGAGATGAGTAGGATTGAAGAAGAGGAAGAGAGAGCGCAAGAAGAGATCTTCAAGATGCAAAACGCAGGTGCTAATTTACCACCGGACCTTTGTGCGGCTGCGTTTCCACCGGGAAAGAGTGGGAGAGTGTTGAATCCGAAGCTTTCTCCGATCATACCAAAAACATCAACTGATAATGGAATCAGCATGGAGCATCTCCACAGGATGAATCCTAAGAACATTTCAGCTTGGAACATGAAGAGGCTAATGAAGATTGTGAGACATGTCTCTCTTACCACGCTAGACGAGCAGATGCTTGAAACCACATACGAAGATGAGTCCACACGTCAAATACGTAGCGAGAAGGAAGCTAAAGCAGCTGCAAGGAAGATTTTCAAGAACGTAGCTCAACGTGGTGCAAAGTGTGTCTACATTTCCTTCTTTTGAGTTTCTTTGTTAGAACCAATCTTGATTTTCGCTAACAAACTCATATCTGAATGGACAAAAGGCACATTTACTTGGAGGATTTGATGAGATTTCTCCGAGAAGACGAGGCGATGAAGGCGATGAGTCTCTTCGAAGGTGCACCAGAGAACAGAAGGATTACCAAATCATCTTTAAAGAACTGGCTGGTAATTGTTTTTTTTTTCTGCATAAAACCTTACTTCTTCACCAAGATTCTTCAAGATATTCTGCTGTGTGTATATATATCACTCCGTTGTTGACTTTGATTAGGTCAATGCTTTCAGAGAGCGAAGAGCTCTTGCCCTAACACTCAACGACACAAAGACAGCTGTGAACAAACTCCATCAAATGATCAATATCGTCACTGCTATTGCCATAGTAGTCATATGGCTTGTCCTTTTAGAAATCGCATCTTCAAAAGTACTTCTCTTTGTAAGTTCACAAGTTGTGCTCTTGGCTTTCATCTTTGGGAACACAGTCAAGACAGTCTTCGAGTCAATCATATTCTTGTTCATTGTTCATCCTTACGATGTTGGTGATCGGTGTGAGATTGACAATGTACAGGTAAAAAAAATAAACAAGAAAATGTTACCATCTTTGATGATGTATTTAAATTACTTGGCTAACGAAAGGTTTGATTCTCTTAAAATCCAGTTGGTAGTGGAGGAGATGAACATACTTACCACAGTGTTCTTGAGATATGACAATCTCAAGATTATGTATCCGAATAGTCTTCTTTGGCAGAAATCAATCAACAATTACTATAGAAGTCCAGACATGGGAGATGCAATCGAGTTCTGTGTCCACATTACTACTCCTCTTGAAAAGCTCAACACCATCAAACAGAGAATATCAAAGTAGTAATCAAAAATTTATCCTCTCTCTAACGTTTATATACATTTTAAAACGTTTTGCTGATCCTTTTTTATAATGGTGATGTAGCTACATCGACAACAAGCCAGAGTATTGGTATCCAACTGCCAAGATCATTGTAAAAGAGATTGAAGATTTGAACAAAATAAGACTAGCGATTTGGCCAAATCACAGGATTAATCACCAAGACATGGCTGAGAGATGGACAAGAAGAGCTGTTTTGGTCGAAGAGATTGTTAAGATCCTCCTCGAACTCGACATTCAACACCGGTTTTATCCGCTTGATATCAGTGTCAAAACAATGCCTACCGTTGTCTCAAGCAGAGTTCCATCTGGCTGGTCACAAAACCCTACCTGAATTTGATGAACAAACAGTGTGTTATGTTTTTTTCCGCCTCTAACGAAGGCTGACTAACATTTTTGTAATCAACACACATTGATCTAATTAATTAGCTTCTATACCAAAATTTTGACCTTTTTGAAAATTCATTGTTTCTGTTAGACTGACTACTCAAGAGTTATTATACACTTAGAAATTAATCATCTACCTGTAGGACTCTAATCTTACCAATCAAACCAAGTTGGTTCCGTAATTTTGTATAAAAGATACTGATCAAGCCAAGTTCATGCATGTTATCACCTTAAAAATCTAGTGTTAGGTTTCAAACAGAAGTTGGAGTTTATAACAAACAACGACCTAAACAGTGGATGGTATCAGATTGAGTATACCAGATATTCATCAGAAGCGTTTGAGACAACTGTTGTCAGCCACCTTGTCTACGATGAACATAAAGATCAAGTAAGACAGCATGAAAATCAAAAGAATGGTACGGAGGATTTTATTCGCGATTTAGCTCACAAGATCAAGATCAAGATTGAAACCGAGATCAAGACTGAAACAGGAGCTTTGGTTGGCCAGGACGGATTTGGTGCTTAGCTCGCTATCTTGTTCTTGTTCATTTTTTTCACCGTAACAACTATTTATTTTTCTTTTTTTTTTGTTTAACTCAACTTGCATGTATTTTCTTTAGATAATATGGAATTCTTTCTTAGTCTTGAAGAAAATAATATCGCTTGTTATTTTTTTTAATGTCATTCTTCTGACGAACGCACACAGAACACAAGTACACATCTTGCTTCTCATCTTCAATGTTAAAAAAAAACTTTAGTAAAAGGAAACTAATCATATATATTAAGAGTTAAGACTATGGAAGAAAAACTGACCCGCACGGCACAACATGTTCAATACTAGTATATCATCCTTATAATCCATAATCCACAAAGTGATGAACACATATCCAAAAATTTATAAAATGGATCATCTTTATAATCTATAGTTCATTCAAGTGATAATTCAGTCATTTTTCATTTCAAGTATTAAATCAAGTTCAAGTTTTTGCGTTTTATAAGTTCAAAACGAGAAGACCCAATCTTTGATAAATCACATTTAATAAGCTCAAGTTTTCACCATTTATAAAAAACCAATCAAACCACGATAATTTCAGAAAAAGAAAAGTTTTAACCTTTAATACGACGAATGCTGATCATGACGATAAGAGCGAGAAAAACCGGAAAAATGTAGTAGGTACGAAACGACTAAGAGAAGTCTTCTTGTACATGTTATGTTGTGTTGGTATTTATTAAATGTGCCAACCCTAATAACGAAAACCAGGAAGACCAAACTTAGAACGTGTGATGTGCAAACATTGTATTAAATTTAGGGATCGTTTTATCAAAACGACGAATTAATTGCTATATTAAGACTTAATCCAACTCATGGAGGTTTATAAACTCCTAAACCAATTGCAATTGTTAGTAAGTTTGAGTAACAGAGAACATAAACCTAAACGTAACTCTTCTTCTAAACTATAACGTAAAACTCATCAACAGATCCACAAAGTTTCGGTTTCCTTTTCTAAAAATTCTTAGTTTTGTGTCTTTAATTTTTCTTCATTCTTATTCAGTTTTGTTTTTTGATTTTCCAATGAATTTCCGAAAACCTTTTAGTCCTCATAGCTCGTACAAACATATTATAAGCAACGGAGATCAAACAGAGAAGAAGAAGAAGCACAAAATCCCATTTCTTGACGATCACGCTAGCCACCTCACCAAATCTCAGAGCTCTGGTTCTAGCTTTGACGGCAACAAATTCTGGCAAGACATTGAAACCGATGATCACGCAAGAAGCCAGAAGAGCGGGAGTTTCGATTTCCCACAATGCCGTGAAGAGATCACACTCGACGTTGATGAAGAAACAGAGGAAATCAGCAGCAGCATCAACAACACACCAGCGTCGGGATTAGACGGGTCGAAAGAAACGAGAGTCTCTTTCAAGATAAACAGTTCTTCAGGTACCAACAACGATCCAACCGGTTCTGTCCGTTCTTGTACGCCTTCCACTTCTTTTTCCTCTGCGACAATGCGTATGAATTTAGACCAGAAAGATCAGGACGAAGAAGTAGTTATAAGATGCTCATCGCTGAGGAAAACAGAGCTTGTCTCGAGGGCTAAAGCAAGATCGAGGCTCCTAGATCCGCCACAAGAAGAGGAACAACAATACTCGAGCTGGATGGGGACATCAGAACAGTTAAGATCCGGTTTACTTGCGAGACAATCAAGCATCGAGGAAGAAGATGATTCATTAGCTGAGGAAGATGTTCCAGAGGAATTTAGAAAGTCAAAAATGAACTTGATTACTCTGCTTCAGTGGCTTAGCTTGATCTCAGTCGTAGTTGCGTTATTGTTGAGTTTAGGGATTAAAACTTGGAGACACACGACTCTTTGGAAGCTTCATATATGGAAATGGGAAGTGGTGTTTCTTGTTCTCATCTGCGGTAGGCTTGTTTCGGGTGTGGGGATCCGAATCATCGTCTTCTTCATCGAGAGAAACTTCCTCTTGAGAAAGCGTGTTCTTTACTTCGTCTACGGCGTGAAGACGGCTGTTCAGAACTGTCTCTGGCTAGGGTTGGTTCTCATCGCGTGGCGTTTCTTGTTCGACAAGAAAGTAGAAAGGGAAACACAGAGCAGTCCTCTGCTTTTTGTGACCAAGATCTTGACGTGTTTCTTGTTGAGCACTATCTTGTGGTTGATCAAGACTTTGGTGGTTAAAGTTTTAGCATCTTCGTTCCACGTTAGTACTTACTTTGATCGGATTCAAGAAGCTCTGTTTCATCATTACTTGATCGAGACGTTATCTGGACCTCCGGTGCTTGAGCTTAGCAGGATCGAAGAAGAGGAAGAGAGAGCGCAAGAAGAAATGTTCAAGATGCAGAAAGCAGGTGCAGATTTATCGCCGGACCTGTGCTCTGCTGCGTTTCCGGCGCCGGAAAAGAGTGGGAGTGTAATAATGAACAGCGTGAAGATCTCTCCGATCATTCCAAAGACTGGAAATGATAATGGGATCACAATGGACGATTTGCAGAGGATGAATCAGAAGAATGTATCAGCTTGGAACATGAAGAGGCTGATCAAGATTGTGAAAAACGTTTCGCTGATGACATTGGATGAGCAAGCGCTTCAAAACACATCTGAAGATGAATCAACCAGACATATACGAAGCGAGAAAGAAGCCAAAGCAGCTGCAAGAAAGATTTTCATGAACGTTGCTCAACCTGGAACAAAGTGAGAGTCTTACAAAACTTCTCCTCTTTCGTTCTTTAACAATTTTTCAAATTTTGGCTAATAAAATCATATCTCAATGATAAAAAGGCACATTTACCTGGAAGATTTGATGAGATTTTTGCGAGTAGACGAAGCAATTAAGACAATGAGTCTCTTCGATGGTGCAATAGTGACCAAAAAGATAACAAAATCAGCCTTGAAGAACTGGCTGGTACTTAGAAAAAAGAAGTTTTTGTTCTTGTTAAGATTATGCATGTGTGTATATGTAACTCTGTTCTTGACTCTGCTTTATTAGGTGAATGCTTTCAGAGAGAGAAGAGCTCTTGCGCTAACACTCAACGACACGAAAACAGCAGTGAACAAACTCCATCACATGATTAGTTTTCTCACTGCCATTGTCATTGTCATCATATGGCTGATCCTTCTTGAGATCATCACTTCCAAGTATCTTCTCTTCTTAACTTCACAAGTTGTTCTCTTAGCCTTCATGTTTGGAAACTCACTCAAGATCGTCTTCGAGTCAATCATATTCCTATTCATCATTCACCCTTATGATGTTGGTGATCGGTTAATGATAGACAATATAGAGGTAAAGAAAAACTAAAACGTGTGTGTGTTTGAGTCTATTTACTGAATGTTACAGGCTAATTAACAAAGATGCAAAAAACTGTAGATGGTGGTGGAGGAAATGAACATTCTCACAACAGTGTTCTTGAAGGCTGACAATCTCAAGATTGTGTATCCCAACATTCTTCTGTGGCAGAAAGCAATCCACAATTACAACCGTAGTCCAGACATGGGAGATGAAATCCAGTGCTGTGTCCACATTACCACTCCTCCTGAAAAGATTGCTGCAATCAAACAGAGAATCTCAAGGTAAAAAAATAAATGATCATTGTTTCTAATGTTTTATAGATTAGGACATCATGATGATCTTCTATTATTTGTTTAATACCGCAGTTACATTGATAGCAAGCCAGAGTATTGGTACCCGAAAGCAGATATCATTGTAAAGGATGTGGAAAATTTGAACATTGTTAGGTTAGCAATATGTCCATGTCATAAAATAAACCATCAAAACATGGGAGAGAGATTCACAAGAAGAGCCTTGTTGGTTGAGGAAGTGATTAAAATCCTCTTGGAACTCGACATTGAGCACCGGTTTCCTCTGCTTAACATCAATGTCAAGACCATGCCCACGGTTGTCTCGAGTAGAGTTCCACCTGGCTGGTCACAAACACATGATTCAGGGTAATTAGACGTGTCTGCATTTTTTTTGATAAGTTGATAATAATGCTATTTGAGTGTTAAACTTAAATAATTGTGTTATCTACTATGAATGAGAGACAGAAAATTATGTATATATGAAAGTGAAAGCAAAGAAGAGATATTTTAGATTGTGAGTTGTATTTTGAGAGAGGGGACTCTCCAGAGACGAGAACCAATCACTTGTATTTGTTTTTTTCTTCTTGTGAATGTTTAAAAATCCATTATCATCAGTTTCAAAGTATCATTATCTTTTTATTCTGTCTACAAGTTTTTCTCTAAATCAAAAGATGAATTTACAAAGTTATTCTGTACAATACCATTAGCACATCCACTTCGCTGCCTCATTTTTACTGTTTGAACTTGAAATAGTTCATGGGGAAAAAATTAATACATATATTGACTACTCATCTCTTTTAATACATAATGAGTTCCTTTAATCACACTTCCTCACTCGAGATGTTGTTGATTGGTTTGTCCAATGTTGGAGCAGGAACATCTTTTATCATTAGGCTCTGCAAGAAACCGATCATCTGCGCATGCAAAAATACAAGCGTGGTTCATCCAAATTCATATACAATCAAATCAAAGTACTCATGGATGAGTTGGCGATACCGATGACAAGGCGATGCATAGAAGGCTGAATCCAGGGAAATAGAACGGTGCATCGTTGGAAAGAAACAGTGCTATATATATACATGAAACCAAATATTTTATATGTGTCAAGACTCAAGAATGAAACTTAGAATAACGGAAATAATAATGGAGATCTTAAAATTTCACAAACCTGTCAATGGACTAAACACAAATGGTGCCACTACTTTCCCAAAGGACTTCACTCCTGATATGCATCCTTGTACTTTTCCCTTCATTAATTCAATCATTAACGTCGTGTTAAGATTTTGTGAACAACAAAACCAACACTGAATAGTTATAACAAGATATTTATAGTACTAGTTTTACATGTTCACCGGGTCCGACTTGTCTTGAAGCAATAGCACAAACCTATAACCAAATTTTGTTAAAACGCTATAAAGTAGCAAAGAGCACCGTTGTTAAGGACTAAATGATGATGTCAAAAGTCTTACCGATGGCATCACAAGCATGGCTCCAGGTACAAAAAGTGGGGTGAGATAAGGAACCTGAATAAATTCAATACACAAAAGCAAATCATATTGAGATTAAACATTGGCTGACATCCTGGCTCATGTTCATTGTATTGACCAACTCACCCATGGAGCCCAAGAAATGCTGACAATGGCCATCTGCATCACAAAACACATGCCCCCATTTCATCGGTTCCATATAGAAAAAAAAAAAAAAAAAAAATATATATATATATATATATATATACATGCTTACATTTGTGAATTCCATAAAAAGCCCTGTTGATAAGAGCTTGCGTTCTCCAATGGCAGAAGCAAAAGTTGGCAATACAAACAGCTGAGAATAAAAATTAGCAAAAAAATCATATAAAATTTTTAAGTATAAATGCTATGCTTTTACAATAAAATATTACACATTGTCACTCTTAATTTAATTACTTGAGTGATTGACCCAACGATGGTAACCAACAGCATGAGATCAGCAAACTGGTTCTTGTCAAATCCAAAACGCGCTTTCAGAAAATACTGCATATTTAATACGAAAAAAATCGTATGCTTTTGTTCACATTAATTGATAATACGAAGAAAAAGCTCATAATGTAAAATAAAGTGTATATAATATATGAGTTAAACCAAGAAAGCAGACTGCATTCCACTATCTGAGAAACTGCTGAAGAATGTAACAACCAATGCTTGAACGAATATGGTACTGCATTTCACAAACCATATCCACCATTTAGAATGATGTATATATAATTAAGTGCATATTCAAAAAGGAAAATAAAATACCTAGTCTTCATCAAGGAAATCATATCTTTCAATGAAGGTTGCTTCTTGTTAAAGACACGTGCTTTGATCGTTGTGTCGTTTAGGATTGGCTCGGCTAACATCGTGGCATCATTATCACCATGATGATGATCACCATCTTCTTCATCATTTAGCCTTTCCTTTAGGAAAAGTCTCATGTAAACCAGGGCAACGAGAAATGATATAGCTGAAACCTAATTGATCCAGAAAAAACATGCCACAAGCTGATTAGATTATGGATCCTGTGAGGATTTGACTCTAATGATGATAAGATACTAAGATACCTTAAAAGTCAAAGCTATGGGTAGAAAACGAGCAACTAAAGTTCCACAAACTCCAGAGATTGTTTTGATACCAGCTAAAATACTGAAAGCTGATGTTCTTGTTCTGTCCTGAATATTTTCTGCCTGCATATGAAAAATAAAATAAAGTGAAACAATTTGATGTAAATGTTAGGAGTTATTTTATTGTAACAATAATATATTATTAATACATTAAAATAAATCATTGTGAAAAAAATGGAGGCAATAATTACCACATAAGCAAAGGCGAGACAGTCGACGGTGCCCTCGCATACCAAAGCGGTCAGAATCTTGATTGTATAAAACAGATAGAAAAAGTTTGTATCCCTTCTGTAACCTAAAATTACTGCCAAAAATACGCATATGATATCAGATAGAAAATTCTTGATAATTTTTTCATCATGCCAGGATTATGACTTGGTTAATAAAAAAACTAGTTTCATAACATATTTACGTCTAAAAGTCCAAAACTTGTAACTAGTACATATTTGGTTAAATTTTGGTTGTTTAAAATTGGTGTTTTTTTCATTGTTTAATTATGTTAATATTAATAGCACCTTGAAAGCAGTTAAACAAAAAATTAGACAAAACTGGGATGTAACTTTTTTTTAAAAAGAGAACCAATTCTCCAAATGTGTTGGCATCATCAAACAACTATGGAAGGGACGGACATAATTTTTTTAAACGTTAAGAAAACTATAAAAGAGAATGATGATTAATATGCATGCACACTTGTCGTTGAAGTCGGGAATAGCTTACTTCCTTCCACGCGTTACTCTCCTAATACTTACACATATCATATAAATGGATGAAAGTCCTATTTTTGTCACGTTGTTTAATGAGTCGAACCAGAAGAAACCAAAAAGAAAAAATGAGAGAGAGAGAGAGAAGAAATAAGCTGACCAGGAGGAAGTATGGAGAGACACATGGGTAGAGTGAGAATCACTTTAATTCCATATCTGTCTGATAAATTTCCAAGAACTGGCATCATCACCATTGTCCCAAGACCTATTGCCTTCATTATATAGTTCTCATTAGCGCACAAATGAAAATGATATTAAATCGGTCAAACTTGATAGATATGAGCATGTATATATGTCCATATTCAACATAGATACACACTCTACAACAATATACAAACAAATGTTTTATGAGAAAAAGAAAAAAAAACAATATACACAAACAAATGAAAAACACTTGATTTAGTTAAGGAAATTTAAAATAAGAGTATTTTAGAAGAAGGAAAATAAAAACTCTCAATGTAGCCAAAGAAGAAAAAGGTTAAAAGCACTCTCAATTAACTTTGAAGACCAAGAGAAAATATTCTTAAAATCCTTTGCTTGAAAAAAAGACAAATCCGGTAGACACCAAGAGAGAGAGAGAGAATTTTGGAAGCATTATCTTTAGTTAAAGCAACGAAAGAGAAGAAAAACAATCAAGAAAATAAAACGAAAGAGAGGGTAATATAACCTTTCACAAACAAAAAAAGAGACAGAGAGAGAGAGAGTAAAAGTGTGTACCACTTGTTGGAAACCAGTGAGGTAGACGGCGAGAGAACATGAGTCGTCTGGTCGGGAGCAAACGGCGGCGACAGTGACGTCCGTAATCACTGGTGCTACCATGAATCCGGCTAAACCAGAGAGGAACACAATCGTCAACATGTGTCTCAGCCCTCCGAATCCATCCTCCATCCTCGACTGACAAGAAAAAAAAAAGAAACCAAGCAAAGGGTTTAGGATTTATAATTTTGTTTCGATTTCGCCAAAAAGGAAAACTCTTGTATTATCTAAGACAACATATGTTTTCACCAGTCGGCAGATATATTTCCAGTCTATTCATTATTTTAATATTCGATTGAAGGAAGCATTGTCACATTGGGGACATTTTTGTATTTTATGGACTCCATCTACTAGTCACTATCTCCTTTACATTTTAATCACTCGTTACCAATTATGTGTTGTGTCGTAATAGAGTTAAGGAATGAAAATGTAAATATATTTAACACCCGCTTCATTTAACTAGAATTTGAAAAAAAAAATTAAAAAATGAAATATATATAGATATCTAGTCAATTACGTAAGCAAACAAAAACTTTGTTGGTACGGATGCAAAACAAACCATAGTTGAAAGATTTGAATCGTAACAGATGGATCGAAGAGAACAGAAGAAACAGGTCACACAAAAGATAAAATCAAGTTTAGTTAACGCAAAGGGATATTCCATTTGACCAAATTGTGATGCATTAGTATTGTCGTAACACGTCATCGTAAAAGCTATCACAAATTGCTCTAGACTGAAACGTTTATTTTACTCTATCGCATAAATACGGCAGCATTTGCAACGACACTTGGCAATAAAATATTCCATCACGGGACACCACCAAAAGGTTAGGTAAAAAAGAAAATGGAAAGTTGGAAACGTACAAAATTCACTAAAAATGGAGAGAAAATGGAATTCATTGTGAAATAGCACAAAAAGGCCCACCATTATTGAGAGGGATAAAGAGTGGTTCCCACGGAAGTGTGCAAATGGCTAAGAAAGTGCCTCGTCATATCAAGATCTACACTGTCATGATCTTGACAACATTGAGGTACATTGACAACACGTCAACACCATTGAGTTCAAGGTGAAAGTCGTGGGTAATGCCTAAACCTTTTGCAATAATGATCAAAGCTATGATCATCCTGGTGGTGAAATAATTAACGATGTCAAGATGGTCTTGAGGAAATTTTAGAGAAAACTCTCATACTTGAGCTGATTGATCTTTGAACATGCGTTGAACTCCTCATGAAACTCATTCCACCGCCAATGATCCACCAAAGAGTTAGAAGTCTCCTCCATTTCCTCCATGTGTATAAGAAGAGTAATCGTTCTAAATTTTGGATATATCCTATTTTGTAAATTAGATAGGATAATAAAAAAATCAATGTTTAGAAAATTGTATCGCTAAATTGTAGCTTTTGTCTGAATAATTTTTTATAAGTTCTTGTTGGTAATTTCTTCTTAAAACGTTTGTTAAAAAAATCTTTTATCCTTGAAGATCTCACATCATTATATATTGCTTTCATGAGCTATCTCTTGTCAACCTTCCTCATTGAAGTGTTGCTGATTGCACTGTTCAATGACGGAGAAGGAACATCTTTTATCATAAGACTTAAAAGGAATCCGATCATCTGTGCATATTTAAGAAACTATTGTTAGGAACTCATGATGCATAACTAATATATATACAAACAACATAGTATTGATGGATGATTGATGAGATGGTTGCAAGTGTATATAATACCATGGATAAGGCGACGCATAGAAGGCTGAATCCAGGGTAATAGAACGGTGCCTTTTCGGAGAGAAACAACGCTATATCAAACCGAAATTATTTTTCAGATAAATTTATGCCTATGAGTTTAGTAACGAATAGTGTTCATATATAGTCCACTTTCCTGTGTTCACGAACCTGTTAATGGACTAAATACAAATGGAGCCGCAACTTCTCCAAACGACTTTACCGCATAAATGCATCCTTGGACCTTCCCCTGCAACGATATATGGAATAAGAAATTACAACCATCCACAAGTAGTGGAAAGAATACCAAAGATTTTTGTGAGAAAGATAAAAGAGATTTGTGTCAAATGTTTTCTGTATTTCTCATTCAAATGAAAACAAAGTATGTACCACTTATTTACTATGAAAATTAATCTTCCAACTATAACAAATTATTAAATTAGATTCGATATCCAATAGAAATTAAAAAAATTATTGAAACCGTATGGCACATCTAAAAGAAATTGAAATATTCCCTATGACCAATTTCTTCTAGTAACGAGTTTTTTAAGCTTAAATACATTTTTTTTTTGTTTTTGACTTTGTATTCATTATTCACAAAGTTAACAATAAGAAAACCTATAAAAATTAAAAAAGTATTTGTCACAAGTTAGTTCTCTTTTGTGTTTTCGTTTTAGGTTCATAATGATATCCATCCGGACTTACAACACGCGCGATCTTACTTGGCTTTTGTTATGTTGAATCTTAAGCAGATTAGACGATATATCTATGAAAACGTTATATTAACATTCGCAAGGTTACCTGTTCATCGGACCCAACTTGTCTTGAGGCAATACCATAAACCTATAAACCAAACACATTGTGTTTAAGTGATACATACTAAGTAAGGAAAACCAATGTTAAAGACCATTTAATTAAGCGAGATAATCTTACAGATGGCATCACGAGCATGAATCCGGGTATAAGCACGGTCGTGGCATATGGAACCTACATAGTTCGCATAAACAAAACAAGAAAAACACCATATTGAGTTATCCTTTTACCAAAAAAAAAAAAAAAAAAAAACACCATATTGAGTCTCTGGGTTAGCACATGGGCCATACTTAATAATTTAAAATATAGATTCTGTTTGTATTCGATAAAAAAAGTTTCTATTTGTATATGATTTTTTTTCTAACAAAAAAAAAATAGAGTTAAATTTTGCTAATTGGTGATAATATGTGTATACATATATAGCAAACTCTTCATCGTACTCACCCATGCTGACCATGAAACACTGAGAGTTGCTGCCTGCACATCAAGATAATAACCAAAACTATTAGATATAAAAAGAGTATATATAATGATTGGGGACGCTTATTTATTTTGTGTGTCATAGGTTTACTGAAGCAAAATATTGATTACAAAAAGGTTTAAAGAGTGTACGTTAAAGAAGTCCAAAAGAAGCGTTGTTGATAAAAACCTACGTTCTCCAATGGCAGAAACCATTACTGGCAATATAAACAGCTGAGATAACAAAATTCAGAAGCACATGTCAGTGCACAACAACTATAAATCATAATTATAGGTACTAACTAATTAATCACCTGGGAGATTAAAGCGATGATGCTAATCAACAGTAGGATCTGAGCAAAGTCATTTTTGTCGAACCCAAAACGGGCTTTCAGAAAATACTATTATTATTAAAAAGGGAAACAACCAATACAATTTTATTAGTTGAAATATTTTTAGGTAAAATAAAGAATGTTAAAGTCTGGACATGAGATAAACCATGAAAGCAGACTGAAATCCACTGTTTGAGAAGCTAGCAATGAATGTAATGACCAATGCTTGAACGAGTATGGTGCTGTGATATAAAAACTCATAACGATCATTTAGGAATATGGTATATATATTTATGTAGATGCAACCAAGTATACTTTATAATGTGTGTATACCTATTCTTCATCAAGTAAACCATATCTTTCAAAGACGAATACTTATTGTTGAACACATGTGTCGTAGTTGGTGCGTCTTGAAGAATGGGTTCTGCTAACATCCTTAGATCACCACCACCATCATTATCATCATCGTAGTACTCGTCATCGTCATCGTGTAGCCTTTCTTGTAGGAAAACTCTCATGTACACCAGGCCAACGAACAATGATATAGCTGAAACCTAAAAACCGATTTTTTCATTTAGATAACAAAACTTAAAGGAATTAAACGAGTCTATATGAATGGATCATCTTTTGAGTTTGTCTCTTTCGTTATTTCCTTGTTACTATATCTGTTTTAATATAAGATACCTGGAAAATCGAAGCTACGGGTAGAAAGCGAGCTGAGAATGTTGCACAAATAGCGGAAAGGGATTTGACACCTCCTAAGACTCCAAACATTGTTATTCTTTTTCGGCCAGGAATATTTTTTGCCTGAGATCGAATAGAATTAACAAATTAATGTCGTATGAATATTCCAAACATATTACTGTGAGACCAAAATATGTATAATAAGATCATGTTTGAGAGGAACCAAAATTTACCACATATGCTTGAGCGAGGCAGTCAACGGCACCATGGCAGACCATATCAAATAGAACCTTGATTATATAAAATGCATAGAAAAAAATTCTATCCCTTCTATACCCTAATATTGCTGCAAAAAGTTACTAGATTTTAGCGGGTTTAATTATGAAAAGATGTAGCAACTACTATACTATATTTTTGCTCTGAAATTTGTAATAGTAACAATAAAACTATTACCAGGATAAGATTAAACAAATAATCTACAAATTAATGTCCATTAAATTAAATTACTGAGTTTAAAAAAATCAAAACTTTAGTAAAAAGAGTAAAATTATTAAGGAACCTGGAGGAAGAATGGCAAGGCACATTGGAAGAGTGAGCAGTGTCTTGATTCCATATTTGTCGGCCAGATTTCCCATCACCGGCATCATTATTATTGCCCCCAGTCCTACCGTCTTTGTTTACCATTTTCACCATCATAACAAAAGTTTATATTTAAGCAAGAGTAAAACAAAAACAAAAAAAAGGGTTACACCAGTATTCGATTAAAAAAAAAAAACCAATAATTTAATTATTTTTACATTAACTAAAATGATAATTGACCTACATGTGTTTGATTACGTACATACGCAATTATCAATCTTCTAAGACTCTGCAACAACGGAACATGTTCTATGAACATGTGCTAATTAATACGGATCTTTTGGTGGGAAGATATACAAAATATATTAAGGGATCCTACTATATAAATATATACACTACCATTCCTTAATGTTGTTGTCACTCTCAAAATATCTTCTGTTTAATAAACTAAAAAATGCTATAACATGTCATTCTCCTATAGACGTCTTTTTAGAAAACAAATTCTCCTTTAGATGATGAAACTATTTATCTTCAGAATTTCCATGTAGCTCTGAGCGAAACATAATTCACATAGACTAAAGACGAGAACCGTAGCTCTGAGCCAATTTCCGAGTTTGAATTGTCAAGGCTAAACTATATTCACTTTAAAAATTCAAGATCCTTTCATGACAACTAAATTCGTTCATTTCAGTGATAGGTTAGGCAGCCTTAAAGACATCACATTGTAAAGAACGACATAATTATGTGTCTATACATAACATAAGTAGAGGAGGTTACCACTTACCACTTGTTGTACTCCGGTGAGGTAGACGGCGAAAGAACATGAATCGTTTGGATCAGAGCAAACCGCGGCGACGGTAACGTCAGTTATCACCGGCGTTACCAAGAAACTGGCGAATGCTGAAAGGAAAACCGTCGTCAGCATGTGCCTCAGCCCTCCAAGCCTCTTCTCCATCTTAACTCTTCTCTCCTCTCTCCTCTCCTAAGCCTCGCTTTAATTCGTAACTACACTCGCTTGCAGAAATGTATAACGTAATTATATAAATATATATCCACGCGCAGCGCGATATTCATATATTATTTTGGTAAATCATTTATGAATGCATTACTTATTCAAGATTAGGAGGTAGATCCGTTGACCTGTTATTCCAGAATATAATCGAGCTTAAACAATCAAATCTTCAAGTGATCTTCATATTTTGGTTCGGAAGACTGTTAAAATTAGCACCATTGACAAGTTACAAATCACAGATTGCTTGGTTCAAATGCTGCTTCTCTTTTCACATTTATATGTAATGGCTTTCTTTTGCGTCTTCCATACGTTACACAAAATGACAAAACGCTGTTGTTTTTCTTATTCGTTAATAACAGAAGGTCAACGATATTTACTCACTAATCTGGAGATCCAATAATTGACATTTTGTTAGAAGTCTTAGAGACGAAAAATACCATATAGAGTTTGAGTTGGCTACGATACGATTGTAACAGCTTTTTATCAGAGGAAAACGTAGTTCCCGGAAGCTTGTTTCGTAACAGTGAAATAAATTTATACTTCGAAAGTATTGTAAATTTTGATAATTTTATCTTCACACTCGAAATCACATATTATGGTTAATGTGTTACGGAATAATGAAGAATATAATAGCAGAATAAAATACATAAGATCCCAAACACATTTTTTTTTTCTTATTGGTATCCACAGGTCCAATATAGTTCACACAAGCTTAACCAACAATAATGAATCTAAACTTTGCTAAAAAGCTCTTTTTTCCCGGTTTATAAATCTCACCAAAACTGCTCAAACCACCATACAACGTTGCCCGCGAAAGAAAGAACGAAGAAGAATAGATGTAGAAAATAGAAAAAATGACAAAAAAAAAAAAAAAAACCCCACAGGAAGTATTATCTGAAGAGCCCACAAACACACAAACTCTGTACTGTCTCGTCTTCTCTTTGTGACATTTTTTCGACTCTTCATTTAAATCTTGCAACAAAAAATGGTGTCTCAAGCGCGCGCCTTCTCCTCAAACTCTCTGAATCTATTTGTTGTTTTTGCAATGAAGAAGCTCTCTGGTTTGAGACTAACAAGTTGTACAATCCAATATTACACTTGATATCTCGCAAGCCTTTCCTTTACCGGAGGTTCCAAAGCAGCGTAACATTCCGCCCACGAGTTTCCCAGCATCTGAACACAAAAGACATTAATCTTTATGGCTTCTCTAATGTAACACGGGACGATCAAAATGTGGAGTTGAATTCAGATTAGCTTACATGTTTATAGCCGTTCAGCACTTGGGAGACTTCGTTATTGACGTCCTCGCTTCTGATTTCCTGTGATGAAAAAATGTGTTACCAACCAATTGTTCCAAAGCTTGGTAACGAGGTTGAATTTCGCAGTTAGTTTTCTTTTCACTTACATGCCAGCTTGCAATGGCTTTGCATATGTAATCAAGTGAGCTGAGACCTCCTGATGGATTCACTTTAACCTGAATTTGTGGAGAGCACTCGTTAAGTATCAAAAGTTGGATTAACATGTATTTCAAGAACAAAGCAAAGAGTAGATAGAGATTTACCACTGCACATAACCCTCTAAATGCATCTTCTTTCTCAATGTCATCACGTACCCTGAAAACAAAGTATGATAAGAAAACTGTTGAACGGAGTAAAAATTGCGAGTGTGAAGAAAGACTGCAAATCCAACACAAAGCTGCACTAACATTGACAATGCCAAGCACCATGGCTTTATGAAGTGCTCCATGTGAGGTGCGACGAGGTCTGGACGAATCCATGCTAGTCTCCCGAGGGTAATTGCACTGTTCTCAACTAGTGCCTTATTGACATCCTGCTCCACATGAAAATAAATTTTAGGCATTGTCGTCAGATACAGCAGTTTGATAGACTCAGACATGGCCAAGAGACTCTTTAATTTTTACCTCTCCATGCTTAAGAATCAGACTTAGGGAAGAGACAACGTTGGTCACAATTGGTGAGACTTCTTGACGAACCTGAAACATTGAGAGTTTCTATCATTCACGAGTCTGACCTTTACAAGAAACTTAAAAGATTAGATAGTAAAAATCGTATTTTGGCATTACCTTGACCGCTAATTCTCCAATGGCCCAACAAGCATTATTCGCAACAGAAAGGTTTTCTCTACTGAGGTTTGCACTCTGTATGAAACATAGATATGATCAATACTACAGAAGAAGATAATATGTGTAGTAGCAGTCAAACTAGGATACGAACCAGTTGCTGGCTCGCAATTTCAAGATACTCAAGCAGGCGGGGTTGTAGATAGGCGGGGAATACCTGTCAGAGGTAACCAAAAGCCATTACTAATATATCTATCTACCATAAAGGTTTCAAAATTGTACCATGTAGTCTCACATAACTACGGGTTGTCTGTGGGTAAGACTTCCCTCGCTGTTTGATTCTGTTACAAAGAATCTATTTAAAATACAAAAGAATATGCAGCTTACTCTTGCAAGATCACCCAGGAGAGCAAAAGCACTTTGTCTGACATCAGAAGCTTCATCCATGCAACACTTGAGAAGCAGATCCCTGAGATTACTTTGTGAAACCTGCATAAGAGCGATGAAGTAAGACTATATCCCGTTGAGACAACTGACTCGATCATATTGTACCAACAACGATGAATATAATAGAGTTATTCACTGAGTGAGAACTTATGAATAGAAAACGACATGAGCAAGACATCGAGAGAAGGGAGTACCAGAGACTCTATCCCACTGCCAAGACCTTCTGCAAGTCCAGAGAGCAAATCAAGAGAACAAACAATGAATTCTCTGTCGTACTGAGCCCCAGCAGAAGCAGGATCAACCTACAAACACACAGCAAGCTTTGATCAAACGACAAACAAAAGCATGGAAGAGTTATGTACGTGCCCGAGTAAATTTTTAAAAACTGTTGTAAGACGCAAGCCTGTGACTATGGAAAACTGGAAAAGAGCGCTCTAACTCTCCAATGAGATGAAATAATTCTAAATTGTACCTTGGCGAGCTGTTGCAGTTGGATGATGTCCATGCATCTCTGGAAAACAGGCTGAGCAAATGGAGCGAATCCGATACCTAAAGCCTGAAACATGGAAACACAATTTGTTAGACATAGACAGTTCATGCTGCAAACAGACTAATATTTAGTCGAGATGGAGTATATGTAACATGTTAAGGCTTCCAAAACTATTCTTTGATAGAATGTAAGAGATTTTAGACTTGTACCGCAGATTCCTTATCCAGTGTTCTTAAGACTATCAAAACCAACACTTTACGGACTAAGATCATTAAGATAGCACATACCTGAGAAATGGATGTGAAGCATTCTAGCAATGGAAATAGATCTTTATCTGAATTTGAAAGTTGTTGCCACTTTGCAACCAGTGGGGGCATCAGAATCTCAAGAAACGCAGGCTGCATAAAGGAGGAATTATTAGATAGGCACCAAAATTTCTACCATCACCAGAATGAAATTACAAAAACTAGTCAATGTGCTAAATTTACAAGAACAAATTAACCTTGGATAAACCAATCGTTATACCTTGTTCAGCTCTACTCTAACCGAATCCGCCAGTGTTCCAATAGCATCATAGACAATTCTTAAGTTCCGCCTCTGGGTATATAAAAATTGTATGTTAAGTAGGAACAAAGAAACAGTTGTCTGAAGTAAATAATAGCCGCCACAAAGATTTGATCTGGCAAAGCAGTTAATTTCAAGAGAATTTAATGACCTGATACTTTCCAAAAGCGCACATTAGATGCTGCAGTATTACTCCCAGGTGTGGCACCAACTCCTCAGCAGCATCCTACATGTTCAACAGAAATTTTACATGGTCAACCAACATTCACAAATGATCAAAAACTACATTACAAAGCCAAAAGGTACCTCTTCAACAGTTGCAAAAGCTGAACAGGCAGCCTCCTGGACCCGCTTGTTCGTATCCAAGAGTCTGCGGAGAAGACCCATAAGAACTTTCTCAAATTGTTCGTAACCTTTCGGATTGTCACTTTCCTAAAGAAAAAACAAACTAGTGAATCATCTGCAGCCTGTTCAAAACAGTTGAAGCATGAAATATCCTGTTCAAATCATACCTGGATAAGATACTTGCCAAATCGAGAAAGCGTCCAGCAAGATATGCTTCGTATGAGAGGGAATTTATCATCTAAAAGAGGAAGAAGAAATGCTACGATCTGCAGAAATAAGGCACTAGCAAATTGATATACTTGAACTAAGCGGAGAAAAATCATATATATGAAATTATATAGATCAAAAATTGAACTTGCCTCAGACAAGTGAGGGTAAAGACCATTCATGCAGCCTTCACCAATAGCCCCGAGAGCCAAAACAGCAGCTTCCCTTTCTTTCCAGGCCTCATCACCAGAAGCTGATAATTTTGCCTGAAGATTGAAAAAATAGGGTTTAGCTAATTGTGTATGGGTTGATTGGCCAACGACTAGGAGGAATATCAGTTACCTGAATAAGGGGCATAAGTGCTGGAAGTATTTCATCTCCAAAAACATTAGACAGGATGTCAATAGCTGCTGCACTGCACTTTCTTAAATTCCACACATTGAATGAGTCATCATCCTGTAGCCAGAGAAGTTCATTTAAAGAGGGTTCTACAGGACTAATATAATTGTATCGTATAACACATTCGCAAAATCTTATATCAAATGACACAAAAAGAAGATCTCATACATCGTCATCAAAATCCTCTGATCCATGAAGTCTTGATGTATGAAAACGAGGTTTTAAATCCTGTAGGGGAACAAAAATGAATGAAAACTGAAGAGGAGAAATTTATAAGAAAATTCAAATTCACAAGAACAAACAAACTGCACCTGATCTCTGTCGGGTTGGGACTCATCTTCCTGCAAACGTGAACAGTTTAAATACGATATCTAAGTGACAATTATATTGAAAAAGACGATAAAACATATCATAATAACAGAAAACCAACCTCTGCATCCAAAAGCGACTCGTCATCATCTGCATAAGCCATATTTGAGAGCAGCACCTAAAACAGATATATTAAACCAAAATTTCAAACTACATCTGCTGAGATTAAATGTGGGCCAAAAATATATACTGAAGAAAATAAGAAGTATCATTAACTGGAATCAGGCGTGGCAGGAACTCTTTCAAGTTATCTGGCGGCAGCTGAGCATCACAGTAAGCAGACCTGCAAAACAACAATATAGCTTTGAGAATCAATGAGGACAAGAATGGAATAAGCAGGCAAGTCAAAGAAGAAGAAAAGGAAACAGCAGAGCATAAGAGAAAACAGGTATAAAACCGTCATCGATAGAGCTAAGTAACAAACAAAGAGAATAGCAATTTTACCAAAATTCACATGCTTCGAGAGCCACTTCTTCGTCAGGATCTTTGTTAACTTGTAGCATGTATTCCATGACATTCCTGAGATGCGGCTGAAATAGACAATATGGGAGATGAAAAGCTTAAACTAAACATACGAAGTACCTCATCTGAAGTAGATTTGAAATTATGCGTCTACTAAAAACCACATTGAAAAATACCTCTATGGCCGAGGGGAAGACTTCCGTTAGATGCACAAACGCAGCACAGACCTTTTAAACAGAAGAAGAGACATTATTACAGAAACATAAGAACTTCTTAAATGAGATTTAGTCATATGTTAACTAAAGAAAACAATTGTTCAACACCAAAATAACTATCTCCTCACACATACTGGAAAAGTTTGTCAGAAAATACTAAGAAACAACTGAGATAAGAAACGTACTAATTTTCTGACTTCTGCAACAGGATCATTGGAGAGGATAAACAACCCCTGAAGGTACTTATCCATGGAATGGAACAAAGCCTGAAAAACATAGATTGTTACAATCTACGGTCCTTTATACTATATAAAACGGATATGAAGTTTTACAAATAGCCTTCGCAGCACTTACAGCAGGCATTAATATGATATATTGGTTCACACAACCCAGGGCAAGCTTCCTGAGTGAAGAATGGGGCGACTGGAAAAACTGTTCAAACAAAAAGAATGGTAATCAATCTCAACGCAACGAATCCAAAAGGAAGAGAAGAAATCAAACTAGAACCTATAAACCGCTACAACCGAGTTTAGAAATCTGTGAACAAATATGAGATGTTCACCTGATACAGCCTAGGCAGGAAAATGTTGATAGGGCGTTCTGCTAAGCCAGGCACTTCTGAATCCAAGACTTGTGGGATATCCTCACAAATCTGATCGATAACACATGTAATATTAGTAAAAACTCCGAAAGAAATTCCAACGATATCACAGCTAGCAAGCAGAATGTGGATGAATTTGGCTCAGGGTTCATTAACGAAGGTTGAACCAAAACGAACAAGAAACAGAAAAGAGAGCTCGTAGCTACCTTTGACAATGCATCCATGGCACCATCCATGTGATTCAGGTCATTGCTGTCTAAACAAGTTACAAGAGCTGGCAAAAGCTCAGGCCATCCAGAGACTCCCTCAATATGAACAATGACACTGATGATCGTTCCAACTGTAGTCCGAATATGTCTGTCCGCTGCTCCCAGACAAGGCAGCAGCTCGGACTTTATGTGCTTTTGGTTCTCTTGAGCCATGGCTGGATATGCACCCTTCAAATTGTTCTTCAGCAACAATCCAGCAGCTTGACGAATCTCTACGGACTTACCCTGAACCATCATACCAATACAACATCAGCTAAGGAACGCAAACGTCCACACAGCAAGATCATGTAAATGCAACTAAATTTGAAAGCAAATCAGTTCTCAAGCTAAGATACACAATTCACTATTCTCTACACAACATTTACGTTATTCAGATACAAGTAAACTTCAAGTCAATTAGGAAAATCAATCGAATCATTCTAAGATAAGCACAAGGTATTGCCAACAACTAGTATGATCAAGAGGAAAGAAATCCACTAGGGCACAGAACATAGAAGCTAAAGTTCGAGTCTCGAGAAACGAAAGCAATCCAATGGAAACTCAGGATCAAATCAGCTGAGCAACAAACAGAATCCGATAGGCAAATGGAATCAACGATCCGAACTTCAAAGACCAGTCGTTGTCGACGAGTAGATTGAGTCAATACGGAAGAAAAAATAAGCTGAAAGCAGAAGAGAATCTCAGGAGACGGAGATAGAGAGAGAGAGTAGAGAAATCTCCAGAAAAACCTCAGCACGGACGAGGATGAAGACGAGATAGTTGTTGAAATCAGGGAACTGAGAGAAGTGTTGAAGCTGCTTCCAAATCTGAGACTTGTCAACGACGGAGGAAGGAGAAATCTGCTGTTCGAGAAGAGCACAGATCTCGGCGAGGCCATCGTCTCGGGGCTGCCAGACCGCCGTCGCCGCCATGATTGTTGGTGGTGAAAAGAGAAAGGTGGAAAATTCACTCGTGTGAGAAGAATATGATTCGTTGGACAAAAAAGCACAGCAAAGTTTATGGAAAAGACAGGGGAAGAAGAAGAGAAGGGACGCTAAGTTTGGGTTTTGATGGGTTTTAAATTTCTTCAAAAGTTCTCTGTATGGGCTTTAAAAGTTTCAGAGTTTGTCTATTTCTTTTTCACTTTTAATTATAAAGAAAACATTATGATATGCATCTTGAAAACTAACTGTAAAACATCATGATGCATCTTGAAAACTAACTTTTTCTAAAATGAAAATTACGAAAGTAGTTTTTTTTTTTAAACGCATAAGTTTCATTAACTTGAACATGATACAATGTGATCACCATGAAGAGAATTAGTAAACTCATACATACAAGAATTAGATAATGAAACGTGAAATTGACATTCTTGTTGAATTGATTCTCTGTTAAGAGTGAATGAACCATTTCCAAACTTATTTGTCCATTTCTATAAAATCTAATTGTAGTTGTGAACAGTTTTACAAGTTTTGAGAGACTTTGGTTAGACATGATGGCTGACAAAAAATTGAAAAAATTCTGACAAAAAAAAATGACACTGGTTTTGAAATCTCTTGATCCAATTGAAAGCCCAAAAGCCCAATCGGAAAACGAAAAATCTCAATCAGACAGAACACACCACCACTCACAACGATACGATCCGACGTTGAACCCTTCCTCTGTCTTCGCCGCCTTGTTCACGACGTTGAACCATTGGAGCTCCGTTCACCTCTCTTTATCCACTAAATTCCACACTCCATCCTTCTCTTCTCCTCCTCCTCTATATCGTTTCTTCTTCAGTATCGAAAACACTTCTCTTCCCATTTTGAGGAATTCAACGAAGTCGCCGCGGCTTCTTCCAAAACTTAGGTATCCTGGAATCGCAAATTGAGGACTCGCGTGTTCTTATTCTATGGCTGTTTGGCGTATAATCAGTCGATCGTACCTCAAGTACGCATCAAAACAACTAACCAGGAATTACAGTCAAGTTTGTCTTGCTACCTCGCTTTCTAATGCTGTGAAGCAGACAAAGTTGTCTTCTTTTGACATCCCAAATTCATACATCTGTAGAAGACCTTCTTCACACTTCTTCGAAAACGTCAGGTCCCTTGCCACTTCAGCTCAGGTACACTCTTTTGATAAAAAGTCTTTCTTTTTGTTGGAGTTTGTCTTCTAAAGGCATTATAGCTGCTATAGCGACTGTGTTAGATTTTCTGCTTTAGGTTTTTTTTTGTTATTGTAGTGTGTCCTATGATCTTGTTAATAAGTGTCAAAGTTGTACTTAACTTCTTATTCCATGATTTTGTACCAGACGAGGAAGAGGGAAGAGGAAGTTGAATCCGATGGTCCACGACTCAATGACAAGATTATTGCCGACACTGTCAGATTGGTTTCCGAGGAAGGTATTCCTTTTTTTTTTCTTCTTCTTCTTCTTTCATTTTTGTTATCTATCAAATAAAACAAACAGCGAAAGTCCGTTGTTCTAGTAGTTTAACAAAACAAGTGCTCGACATCTGCGAGAAGTCCAAAATGCAGCTTTTAAAACTCATAAAGAGAAGATTGTGATATAGTTTTGTCCTTGTGCAGGACACTGTGTTGTATCGCTGAGAGAAGCCCTCAGGCGAGCTAGAGAGCTTAAGCTTGACTTAGTTGAGGTAAGTGTTAATCGAAACTTTTAGTATTCTAGAAAGTTGTTTTCTTTGATATGATATTCATAGTCTAGTTCTTGATATGAAATATCTCTCCTGAGGTTTATCTCTTTATAAATCTGTTTCTTTTTTTGCTTGTTGACTTGTAGGTCCAGAAAGATGCTACACCACCAGTGTGTAAAATTATAGACTACTCTCATGAGAAGTACAAAAAAGCTAAAGTTGGAAAGGAGCGTGCTAAGGCCAAGGTCTGTGAGATTTGGCCCATTCATACTTAAAAATTGTAGCTTGTTTGTATTTGTGTCCTGAGTTTATGGTTTTTGCCTTGTTTTAGCGAGCTGAAGTAACCATCCGATCTGAAGTCAAGGAAATTCGATTTACCCCAAAGATTGTATGTTTCTCTTGAAAACACTCTCTCTGTTAATCAATGTGGTAATGAGAAAACGACAGTGACATTTTTGTTTCCACGTTTTTTTTTTCTCTTCAGGAGGCAAAGGATCTAAAGTTCAAAGCAAAGCAAGCATTGAAAATGATGGAAAGTGGATATCGTGTAAAGGTAGGTGACTGAACCTCTTCTTGATTCACTAGTTTCTTCTCATAGAGTTTTGTGAGTGTGTGTATAGTTGTTGTTCCGTGATGCTCGTTTCTCTTTCTTTCTTCTCTATGTTGTGTAACAGTGCCTTGCAGTTCCTGACAAGGACAAGTCAAAGGAGCTTGAACCAGAGAAGCTGCTTGAGTTATTATCTCGCTTCACTTGCTATGTAAAGTACCTTACTTTTATGCTCTATGACTCCTTCCTTTGTATTCGCAATCGTTTTCTTGTTTATGTTCATATATAGACAGCATAACATGCTTATCGTAACTATATCGGTGCAGCTCGGAGATGCGCTTGTGGAATTCGGGCCAGAAGCGAGCAGAGGAGACGCCGTTGTGGTGGTTAGAGACGCCAAGTTTGGCCCTCCCAAGAAAGGAAAGGCCATAAAGTTGAAGGATTTGAACATGAAAACTTCAGCTAGGATAAAAGACGATACACCAAAGCTTGATAGCTCGGAAGCCGGAGAGTCTACTGTTGATGATGATCAAGAAGATATAGAGACGACGCAAGAACCTGAGCTTAAGTATCCAAAAAGAGAACCACCGAGCAGTAGTGGCTTCTCGGGCGGTAGAGACGCAAACCGGTTTGAACCGCAGTCTCCAAACCAGCATGTAAACCCCCAGCGTCCTCGGTTCCAAAACCAAGCTCCAAACCAACAACCTAATGGGCGGTTCGATCCTCAGTCTCCAAACCAGCCTCCACCGATGCCTCGGTTCCCAAACCAACAACCTCCTGGCCGGTTTGATCCTCAGTCTCCCAACCAGCCTCCAACTCCACCAGGGCCCCGGTTCTCTAATCAACCACCTCCAAACCAACAACCTCCTGGCCGGTTTGATCCTCAGTCTCCAAGTCCACCACGGCCTCGGTTCCCGGACCAAGCTCCAAATCAGCAGCAACCCTCTGGACCATCTCCAAACCGGCAAGGTCCTCCTCCACCTCGGTTCCAAAACCAAGCTCCAAACCAACAACCTCCCGGTCGGTTTGAATCTCAACCACCAACCCCGCCGCCACGAGCTCCACCACGTCCACAAACACGGTTGCCTAACGAAGATCCGAACCAACAACCTACTGGCCCTGGAAGATCTAGTGGTCCTTCTTCAGGTTATGGTATTTTCAGCACCCCCAAAACCAAGTAGAAACAAAAAAGCCGGTTTAAAGATACACCCTACACTTGCAAATTTTTGTGATGCTTTCCTTGGGACTCATTATTTTATGTATAACCTATAGTCCAAATGCATACACTTGTAACCTTGATTCAATTTTGTTTGGTCACCACTCTCAGTAATAATCTCTGAACGACGAAGATTTGAATCTAAATTTATTTTATTTAATAATTCAACAGAACTAAAAGGTAACCAAAATTCTCATTGGAAAGAATAGTAAAATAAGTTGAAAAAAAAACGGATTGGGCCTAATAAGACCCGAAGAAGGTTTTAGACTGAATCTGGCAAGTGGTGTGAGTAAACCTATAGAGAGAGTTATCGACCACCTCACAGCTTCCTTCTTCCGAGATCTTTTTTGCCCTAGATTGCGAGCGAGCGGGAGATTCCAGATTTGAGTAGCAGCTTTCGAGTTTCTCTCGACTCGCCGTTTTCTCTTTTGCTTCTTCGAGTTTTGTTACCCGAGGTAAGCAATCTGGACTTCAGTTTCTTTTCAATTGAGCTACTAAATTCCTTTTCAATTTCAATCTGGAATTCGTCGTATGCAGAATTTCTGCTCGTAAGCAGTATCGTTATGAATTTGTTTTCAAGGAGATATGAATATTTGTCTGAGGAATTTAGGATTTGGAATCGATTTTAGATATTAATTTTCCCGTTGGGAGTGATGTTGATGTTTTGTTATGCTAATTTCACTTTTTGATTACGTTTGTAGATTTCAAGCATTGAGAGAGAGAGAGAGTGTGAACTGGAGCTGAAGTTATTTGAGTAGGAAATCTCCTAGTATGGACTTTGATGAGTATGAGTACTTAGAGAAGACAGTTGAAAATCCCCTCCTGGAAAATGAAGCTGGAAACGGTGGGGGTGATGAGAAAGCTAAAACTGAAGTAAAAGAGCGGAGCAGAAGCTCAAGGCATAGGAGTGATGAGAAGAGGGACGAAGACGAGGATGGTCGGCGTTCTAAGCGGTCGAGATCGCACCATCGTTCGCGATCTAGAGACAGAGAGAGGGATAGGCATAGAAGTAGCAGGGAACACAGAGACAAGGAGAGAGGAGATAGAGATAAAGAAGAGAGAAATGGGAAAGATAGAGAGAGGGAAAAAGACAAGGATAGAGACAGTAAAGTGCGTGACCACGAAAAAGATAGGGAGAGGGATCGATCACGGCGAAGCAGAAGTCGGTCAGAGAGACATCGGAGTCAGGAAAGAGAAAAGAGCCAGGAAATAGAAGTTAAGGAAAGAGACACCAAGGAACGTGATAGAGATCGCAGGTGCCTCTTCTCTTTTTGTTTTAGTTTGTTTATTCTCATAAATGTTTACTGCATTAAGTCAAGATACATATTTGTCATTAATTCATACTTTTTGGGGTTGAAGATAAGTTCCTCATGGTAGATTTAGAATATTTTTGGTTATGCTATGACTGAAATTGAGGATGCTAGCTCCTAGTGCCTCTTGTTTTCTTGAATTGACAACTGAATTTGGAAATCTGTTATGCTTGTTGGGTTATGCTAAGATAGCTTCCATGTAAGCTATAAGTTTTAACAGGTTCATACTAATGCTATTAGGTCCATTGGTATTGCGTTCTGTACAACTTGATGGGGCTCGTTCCGTTTAAGATTATCATTGTTATAGAAGGTAAAACGTTTTTGGTTAGACTTCAGGTTGGTCCTGTGCTAAATTTAAATGAAAGAAGTTTCCTAAGTTTAAATTTCTGAGTTTATTGTTCATCACTTGTTGACTTCGCATAGTTCCCTGCAGGCCCATCTCGTGCTTCACGTGTGTACGCCTATTGGAGAAATGATTATCTGTTTTGAATTGTCCTAATATTAACGTGTGTACAACACATCTTCTGATATGTTGTCTTTGGCATATTCTAAAGATGTTGCTACATCTTGTAAAATCTGGATAAAGGTATCTATAGGATTAAATAACAGAAGCGTACATGTTTGTTATTATGCAGACGCCACAAAGATAAAAAGGAGGATAAGGTAGAACCTGAGGCTGATCCTGAAAGAGACCAGAGAACAGTTTTTGCCTATCAGGTATACCTCTTGTGAGCTGTGATCTTTTGGAATATTAATAACTTGATCAATAATTAATGTTTTGAGGATATCTGTACAACAGATTGCTTTGAGGGCAACTGAAAGGGATGTTTATGAGTTCTTCTCTAGAGCAGGAAAGGTTTGTCCTCTTCTCTGCTGGTTTCATGTCGCCATTTAAATCTTGTTCTTGCTGGTCAATTTTTTGTTTTGTTTTGATACATATATTCCTAAAAATGTTTTTAGGTACGAGATGTACGGATAATTATGGATCGTATTTCCAGGCGTTCGAGAGGAATCGGGTGAGTTTAAATCAGTTTGACTCTTTGAGACTAACATAAAATAGTGCAATCGTTATGATGTATCTTGTTTTCAGTACTGTTTGCTAGTTTCTAAATTGGTCCTGCTTGCAGGTATGTGGAGTTTTATGATACAATGTCAGTCCCTATGGCTATTGCTCTATCTGGACAGCCTCTTCTTGGTCAGCCTGTTATGGTAAAGCCATCTGAAGCTGAGAAGAATCTTGTTCAGTCAACAACTGCTGCCGCTGGAGCAGGAGGGATGCTGGGACCCTACTCTGGGGGAGCTAGACGTCTTTATGTTGGTAACCTGCATGTTAACATGTCAGAAGATGATCTGCGAAAGGTAAACTATTTTATTCTTCTGAGCAATTATAGTTTGACTTGCAACACTAGTGTACAAACCACACCCTTTTGAGCTTTCATGATTATAGACTTCTTTTGTAATTGCTTCATCTTCTGATTTTACAGTTCGTGTTCAGGATGACGTAATAATACTCTTCGTTTTGGTATTACTAGGTTTTTGAATCATTTGGGAGTGTGGAGCTGGTGCAAGTACCTCGCGATGAAACTGGCCTTTGCAAAGGATTTGGATTTGTTCAGGTATGTTGAGTCAATGGCAGTCTTGATTTATTGCTGATTTGCTTTTGTGATTAACAGAAATCTGATCCCTTCTTTAAACCTTACAGTTTGCTCGCCTGGAGGATGCTAGGAATGCACTGAATCTGAATGGGCAGTTGGAGATTGCAGGTCGTGCAATCAAGGTAGTGGTTGAACTTATTTAGAAATTTTCATCGTATATCCATCCGGAAAGCCGTATAGCGCTGTAGTTATGCTAAGTATTTTTCTAGACTCTAAGAAACATGATCCTTTCTATGTTTGGACATTCATGCTCTTTGCTTAGTGAATAGTGATGTTACATTGTTACATATTTGTGTCTACTAAGAAAAATGAGCCATGACCCAGACGTTACACCACATATAATGTCTGTTGATGATAATTTTTTACTTTTCATTAGGTGTCAGCTGTAACAGATCAAACTGAAGTCCCTGAAGGTGGACAAATGCAAAACACTGCTGATCTAGATGATGATGATGGATCTCTGGTAAGTAGTTTTCTTAATCTTGATAACCTAGCCTCCAAAAGAGGACATATCTTATAGATCTATATGGAGAACTCACGTAATAATCTGTTCCACATCATAGATACTATAGACACATGACGTAGATAAATGTGAACTTAATTTTAATCAACCTAAATACCTAATAAAATGGTTCTAACTGTTAATGGTAAAACTTATTACTAAATCTGCTGTTCTCTGTAAGATTGTTGGTAAATGCATTCTTTCTCAAAGCCTAATCTGGTTGCTTATACTGCAGTCTCTGAATGCACAATCGCGGGCACTTCTCATGCAGAAGCTCGATCGCAGTGGAACTGCATCAAGGTATCCCTTGTCTCCTGTTACTTAATCTCGGTTTTATGTAGTTTACGTTAGTCATTTCCATTTCACTGAAAACCAAATCTTCTCTGCAGCGCTGGCCTTACTACAGTCCCATCTATTTACGGTGTACCTTCGATGGTGGCTCCTCCTCTTGTACAAGGGGGTTTTCCTCCTGTTGCCGGACTTGCAGGGGCCGGTATCATTCTCGGTGTAATTCCAGCTGCGCTCGACCCTGTTGGTGTCCCCAACGAATGTCTACTGCTTAAAAACATGTTTGATCCATCCACAGAGGTTGGTGATCTTCTAAACATGTTCTCGTCTCTTGGAAGTTTGTACATCAGGCTAATGCTTCTATACATATGTGTTTTGTTTTCGCAGACTGAACCTGAATTTGACCTGGACATCAAAGATGATGTTACAGAAGAATGCTCCAAATTCGGAAACCTGAAACATATCTTTGTTGACAAGTGAGTGACAACCTTTAAGGATCTTCTTGTATTTTCAGTTTTTCACTGACTGATCTCTGACATAATCTGTTTTGCCAAAACAGGAACAGCGTTGGTTTTGTCTACTTGCGATTTGAAAACGCGCAAGCAGCAGTGGAAGCACAACGTGCTCTCCATGGAAGATGGTTCGCCGGAAAGATGATTACAGCTACTTACATGGTATTGGAACATATTGACACAGCAGTTTCAAAATTGTTTGATTTTTCATTCACTACTAACGAATCGTCTTCCACCTTTGTTGTTTCCACAGACTACAGAGACTTACGAGGCCAAATTCCCCGAGAGCAAGTAGAAAGAGAGCTTCCTGAGACCGTAAGCATATGGTTCTTAAAGCATCAATGAAGATGAAACTGGCGATGGTGGTGATAAGGCTATTGGAGGGATGACAAATTTATGGTTTATGCTTTTACCCGCATCTCTTTGTATCTTTAAGCCTCGACATTATGTGTGAATTGTGATAACATACCATGTTTCATTGATGATACCTTTCTTTTAAGTTCAATTCAGTATTTGTATCAATGCAGACATGAGATAGATTTGATAAGAGAATGTTATGTCATTTTATTCTTTCCGAATTGAAAAGAAAGTTGACAATTTTTGTTTATGTTATCTTATTGAGTTCGCTTTTGAACGAGTCTTTGAACTTGAGAACAACAATATTTTAACAACTAAAGGAATGTCACGAAAAGTACATAATGACGAATATACCCTGGACGCCGCTGTGGGAAATAATCCCAGCTCCTCTCCATTCCCTTTCCCATTGTCAATCTTTCTCCTCAGCTTTTCATTTCTTCTGTTCTTTCGTGTTCCCTTTAAAGAAAATACAAAACAAAATTTGTTGCATAATCGAATTGAAGAAATCTTGTTTCTTTTTTATTTCCTCCGACCACTTCTTGAAGATTTCAGCCGGTACTTGCTTTATCATCGTCGATAAAGAAAAAACAATATGTTGCTTTTCTGTTTGAATCTGTTAAATTTTTTCATCGGGAAGCGAAATGTGATTATTTTTTCTCTTTGGCTTTTTCAGATGGAACATAAGCAAGATGACCCTGTAATAGCAACACATGGTGCGGTCGTAACAAGCTTTCATTGTAAGAATTATTCTAATTCAGGGTAAAATGGTTTCTTTCAATTGTAGATTATTAGATTAGGAATTGAAAAGATGAAGCTTTGAATTCTAAAAAGACATTGTTGATTAAAGTTGGTTTCTTTTGTCAATTGGTTGTGAATCACTAGACATTGTAGTCTAACATGCTTTTTTGTGATTCTAATGAAATAGATTGAACTCAAAACCCCTCCTGCCGAATTCCGTTTTCACTGTCTACATTGAGATCCACAGGTACTCTTGTTTGATTGAGTTTAGTGTCTCTTTCAAGGCCTAAAGATTTTAACTTTCAAAAAACATAAACCATCTCTGAAGGTGCACAACTGCAAAAGATACACAATGAATGCGAGAGGTTTGCCAAGTACACCAGATCATAAGAAGCACCATGATGACGAAGATAGTTTCTCCGTTGCTTCCTCGTATCCTTTTATGTGAAGTGAAACCAAGAACATAAACATTTTCTTTTAATATCTGTTCACTTTGTTTCTGATCCTTAGCCATGTATAGATCAGCTACATCCACAAGAACTACTAGACCTAAGGTAACGGTTGGAGTTGCTCCGACATTTAGGAGCACCGCGCGGTTGGAGAGACGTAAAGAGGTACTTTTTAACGTAACAATAAGGAAAAGTTTTAAGGAAGCATGGCATTTCGCTGTTTCTCTGCTAATTATCAGCATGTTCTGCTTTCAGTTTTACCAGAAATTAGAGGAGAAACAGAAAGCTCTTGAGGAAGAGAAGAGAGAAAACGAGAAAAGGCTCAAGGTAACAAGATATGCGCTGATGCATATATGATGTAGGAATTTGCTTTATATAGTTTCCACTGTGCATTATGACAACAGAAAGTTTCTGAATTTTCATTAGGAATAAGCATGATGCAGAAAAAATGCACAATTTGTTGAAACAATAATCTTACATGTTTTATCTTTCAACTTTTGAGCATTCTCAACAACATTAAAAAAAAAAGTGAATTATTTGTAGGAAGAGCAAGAAGTAGTCACTAAGCAGCTTCGGAAGAACATGGCTTACAAAGCTAATCCAGTTCCAAATTTCTACTACGAAGGTCCTCCACCGAAAACTCCATTGAAAAAGGTATGGAAGCCAAACAATACTGCCACTTTGATTCACTTTCTTACTTGTCCAAGACTGACAAAATGTTAAATACCACCAATGGCTTATCCTACTACTCTACGGTTATGTTAGCTTTGTTTTGATTTTGACAAAATGTGAACACATTCTATGGTTGTTGGATCACAGTTTCCACTGACTCGGCCAAAGTCACCAAACCTAAACCGCAGAAAGAGCTGCAGCGACACGGTTAACTCACCATATCAGGAGGTGAAAGGGAAGCATTGTGTTCGTCTTCATCGCCACAGTCTAGGCGGTTGCAATGAAGAAGCCAAAGCAAGCAATGGCCCGAGGACTCCAACTCCAAACACGAGAAAGTCCACAAAGGAAACACTAAAGTCTCAAGGAAAGAGCAAGAGTAGCCTTGACGGAGAGTCAAGTGAGAATGGCAATTGATGTTGTGGAGTGGAGAAGCTGAGCGGTGTGCCTAGTTATAGTTTCGTTTTTTTTGACTAACTTGGTGAATGAGACAACAAGGAAAGTGGTGTGAGAAGTAAGTCTAAGGAGAAGAACATGTTTTAGAGTCAAAGAACAACTTTAAAGTTCCTTTTTTTAATTTGGTTTCATGTTCTGCAGATTGGATTGTTCTAAACTTTGATTGCTAAATCAGATGCTCAACTTTCGTTTGATCTTTTTCTTATCTCTTTGTTTTGAGTTTTGACTGTTGATGTGAAATGTACATCAAAGTTGTTGTATCAAAATTTATTATTTTACTTTAGTGTGACATATATATCTTGTAGCTAAGGTAAAATCTTATCTAATATGAACCATTTGATTAGCTTGATTCAGTGTAGTAGTTGTTGTTATCGGTTCGGATTTGAATATATTTTGGGTCGGTTTCAAATTTATTTTGGATCGGTTTAAACATACAAAGCCTGACTTGGTAAGCAGATCCAACGGCTGGGATTGAATACGATGGATCATCGGTAGTGCTGGTGGAATGTCACGTAAATAAAAAAAAAATACAATTTTTGTCGACATGAAAATACGTAATGACGAATATACCCTTAACGCCGCTGAGGAAAAAAGAATCCCCAGCTCCTCCTCTTCTTCTCTTCCCTTTGCCTTTGTCAATCAATTTCTTTCTCCTCAGCTTCACATTTCTTCTTATATTCCTTCGTATTCTCTTCCAAGGAAATAGAGAAAAAAACAATCTGTTGCACAGACATACGATCAATTCAGAAACGAAAAGGCAAATCGATTTGAAGAAATCTTCTTTCTTCTGATTTCCTCCGACTACTTCTCGAAGATTCCAACCGGTACTTGCTTATTATCGCCGATAAACAATGATATGTTTGCCATCTGTTTGAATCTGTTGAATTGTTTATCGGCAAGCTCAATGTGATTATTTTTCGCGGAAATCAATATTTTTCAAAGTTTTGTTTGCTGGTGGTGATGATCTTAGGTTCCGTTTATTAGCTGGTTTTGAGATAGATATCGTAATTCTTCATGGCTTGTGATTCATCGTAATGTTCTATAGGCGTGCTTCGCTTTTGAGCTTCGTTAAGAGATTTTGTTTTCTGTGTAAAGCTTGAATCGATTCGTCTTCGTTTTGACTTTTAAAGCAAATTTTTTATCTTGTTTGCCACTTCTATGGATTGTTGCATTATACTCTCATAGTTTAAATCCTTAGTCTTTTGCCGATCCTTGTTCTGTAGATATTGGGTGTTGTGTTACAAAAGTTCATCACAAGCTTCATTGAGCTAATTTGCCATGATTTTGGGGGATAACTGTTGATTGAAACTTTTATCATAAATTTTTCTTTGGTTTTTCAGATGGAACATGAGCAAGATGATCCTGGTACAGCTACACATGGTGGGGTTGTTTCGGAACTTGGTGATTCAGTGGCAAGTGATCCAATTGTGAATAACAACGGCGTTCATATAGATAGATCTGATGATTCGTTAAGCAAAGAGCAGCCGAACATTTATCGACAAGATATTGTCAGGAACAATAGAACGGGGAGTATTGGGGTTGTGAGTGAAGTAGCTGGTGATTCTGACTCTGAAAGTGATATGAGTGATGACGAAGATGACGATGATGATGATGATGATGATGATGAAGACGGTAATGATGATGATGCGGATGTAGAGGAAGGGAAAAAGGTCAATGAAGAAAATGTTGGTTCTGGAGATGGCAATGCTGATGGAAAACTTGGCGAGAAAAAAGACGATGGGGACTACAAATGTGGTGCCCTTGAGGGTGATCAGATTCGTGTGCTTTGGATAGATAACACTGAGCCGGTTCAAGATATAAAGGATGTGACAGTTGTAGACCGTGGTTTCTTACATGGAGATTATGTTGCTTCAGCTGACGAGCCAACTGGGCAGGTGGGAGTAGTAGTGGATGTAAACATATCGGTAGATTTATTGGCCTCTGATGGTTCTATCATCAAGGACATCTCAACCAAAAAGTTGAAACGCGTCAGGGATTTTGCTGTTGGTGATTATGTGGTTCATGGTCCCTGGCTAGGTAGAATTGATGATGTGTTGGACAATGTGAATGTGCTGTTTGATGATGGCTCCATGTGTAAAGTCCTACGTGTTGAACCACTTCGACTAAAACCGATTCCCAACAATAACCTTGAAGAAGATGCAAACTTTCCATATCACCCAGGCCAGCGTGTCAAAGCGAGCTCTTCATCGCTTTATAAGAATTCACGGTGGTTATCTGGATTGTGGAAGCCTAATCGCTTAGAAGGTACCGTGACCAAAGTCACTGCTGGATCTATTTTTGTCTACTGGATTGCGTCAGCTGGCTTTGGACCAGATTCTTCTGTTTCCCCACCTGAGGAGCAGAGTCCAAGTAATTTGACATTGTTGTCATCTTTCACTCATGCCAATTGGCAAGTTGGTGACTGGGGCCTTCTTCCATCGGCGAATCAGTCTGCTACTATTCCCTTACATAAGCATGTATCTAAATTACGACTTTATGATTCCCAAGCTAATCGGCAACAGAGAAGTGGTTGCGATTTAGAAGATGTGCAAGATGAAGCAAACGAAAGAAATGAACCTGCTGGTGTTACTGCTGAAGCCTTGCCAAAAGAAACTAGTGTTTCTTCTATTTCAAAGGAGCCTGGTCATGACTCTTGGCCTCTCCATCGTAAGAAGATACGCAAACCTGTTATGAGAAAGGAGAAAAAGGTAAAGAAAAAGGAGGAGAGCTTTGAACAAGCTCTATTGGTAGTTAATAGCAGAACGCGTGTTGATGTAGCCTGGCAGGATGGTACAGTAGAATGTAGTCGGGAAGCAACAACACTGATTCCTATTGAGACCCCTGGTGATCATGAATTTGTCGCTGAGCAGTATGTGGTGGAGAAGGCTTCGGATGATGATGATAACACAACTGAACCTAAGCGTGTTGGGGTTGTGAAAAGTGTCAATGCAAAAGATCGTACAGCTTCTGTGAGATGGTTGAAGCCACTTGGAAGGGCAGAAGACCCCCGTGAGTTTGACAAGGAAGAAATTGTTAGTGTTTATGAACTAGAGGGCCATCCAGATTATGACTACTGTTATGGAGATGTTGTTGTTCGACTATCACCTGTTACCATTGCGTTACCAGCATCTTCTGCTGAAACCTCTTTAGAGGAGGAAACGGAGCAAGACAATAAAGATACAGAACATCATCAAGAAGTTGTAGTCCCTGATAAGGAAGAAAACGAAGTTAATACGGACCTTACGAATCTCTCATGGGTTGGAAATATTATTGGCCTCAAGGATGGTGACATTGAAGTAACATGGGCCGATGGAACGGTATCAACGGTACGTCAACCTCAATTAGTTTATTCACTTACAATCCGTTGCTGGTCTGGTTTCACTATATGATTTGGAACCTGTACTAAATGTTGGCGTGCTTTAATACACTTGTTGTTCTAATTTAGGCTTGGTATTAATTGATGTTTACTTTTTAATTTTTTTGCTTTCTCCTAGGTTGGCCCTCACGAAGTTTATGTAGTTGGAAGGGACGATGATGATGAATCAATTGCTGGAGAAAGTGAAACAAGTGATGCTGCTAGCTGGGAGACTATAGAAGATGATGAGAAGGGTGCTTCTGATATTCCTGAAGAGGTTTGTTTCGTTTAAGAAAGTTTTACTGATTTTTTTTGCTTGAACCAAAACAATATGTTCAAAAGGGTGGCACTGGTTTACTTCCTTGAGGCAGAATCATTCACCACTTTCTGCAAGTTAATGAAAATCTATGTTTTACAGGTTCTTGGAAGGGGTGATTTTATTGAGGCAAACTCTGATGCAGAAATCAATGCTGAGAATGATTCTGGAAGGAATGGTGCCCTAGCTCTCCCACTAGCTGCAATTGAATTTGTGACTCGTCTGGCTAGTGGAATCTTTTTGCGTGGACGGAAAACGGAAGAATCTTCCAGTTCTGATTCCACTGGTGAGAATAGATATAAGCTGGCTGAACTGACAAACCCTTCCGAAGATGACTCTCGTCCTCCAAAATTCAGTATTAGTGATAACTGTGACTCAGAGAGCACTCAAGCAAATGCCGAGAATCTTCTGAGTGGAGAAACCTCTACAACTTTAGAAAACGAAGCACTGGAAAGATCAAAGAGTGAAAGTTCTGATAAGCATGTGTCTTCTGAAGGTGATAGTTGCAGTTTCAAACGCTTTGATATATCACAAGATCCTCTGGACCACCACTTTATTGCCATGGATGGGCAGGTAAGTCGAGGACTTTTGCACTTCCGATGACTCATGTTTTGGCTCAAATACTTAACATATCTAATTTTCCGTAAAATATGTTACTTCACATTGCAGTTTAAATTGGAAACTTGATTTTGAATCTTAACTGTCATATCAAACTTGCAGGTAACCAAGGAAAGAAAATGGTTCAAGAAGGTTGATCAAGACTGGAAAATACTTCAAAACAATCTTCCGGGTAAGAATGTGTAGCTGTACAATCAAACATTCAATAGTATTTCATGACTGGTAGCTTCGTATTGAAAGTAATTGATTGACCTTTGGCAGATGGGATCTTTGTTCGAGTTTACGAAGATAGAATGGATCTCTTAAGGGCCGTAATAGCCGGGGCATTTGGAACACCATACCAAGATGGTCTCTTCTTCTTTGATTTTCACCTTCCACCTGATTACCCTAGTGTGCCACCGGTATGAGTTTCTACTTTCTATAACTACCATTGCGCACAGCCTAAAAGGATCCATTGATGCATAATACGAAATAATGTTCTCTCTGGCTTTAAATTGCAGTCGGCTTATTATCATTCTGGTGGTTGGAGGTTAAACCCCAATCTGTATGAAGAAGGCAAGGTCTGTCTTAGCCTTCTTAATACCTGGACAGGCAGAGGAAATGAAGTGTGGGATCCCAAATCATCTAGCATCCTTCAAGTCCTTGTTTCACTCCAGGGATTGGTGTTGAATTCAAAGCCTTATTTCAACGAAGCCGGGTATGATAAGCAGGTCGGAACTGCGGAAGGAGAAAAAAACTCACTGGGATACAACGAGAACACTTTTTTGCTAAATTGTAAAACCATGATGTATCTTATGCGGAGACCACCAAAGGTAAGAACGAGCTATGTTCCCATCACATTGAAAATAGCACAGTTTCCCCAACTAATCTTTTCTTTGAATTGTGATGAAATCTGTAGGATTTTGAAGAACTTATCAAAGAGCATTTCAGAAAACGCGGTTATTACATCTTGAAGGCATGTGACGCCTACATGAAAGGATATCTAATAGGTTCCCTCTCCGAAGATGCATCGGTTATCGATGAACGCAGCAGTGCTAATTCAAATTCAGTCGGTTTTAAGCTTATGTTGGCTAAGATTGCACCAAAGCTTTTCTCAGCGCTGAGTGAGGTAGGAGCTGACTGCGATGAGTTCAAGCACCTGCAGCAGCAATAGCACAAGTCTCAAAGGTGCTGAAATATACACCATTCACATTGCCAATGAACCAAGTGAAGGTTTGTGGCTTCTTTACTTACAAGCTTCAAACTCAGACATGTCTGAAACGTGTGTATCAGAGTTTTTTTTTTTTTTTTTTGAGTAATACAAGAATTGCATTTTCCTGAGTTGTAAACCCCATCCGCTCCAACAATATTGGCAAATGAATTTTTTTGGTTGGTCATGTTTTGGAGCCTGGTTAAATGTTCTAGTGGTGCACTACAACACTTGTTTTGTCATGGGTTGTTTAATAACTTCTAACAAAGATTATTTCAGTGAACTCGTTTGGTTTTCATAGTATATGTTCCATGAGAATATAGAGCAGTTTCTCTTTGGTTTATTCCAGGTATTGAAAACAGGAAGTGTTCTCGAAATGACACTTCGTTTTTATTATTGCTTGAAATGGAAAGATTTTTAAGATGTTAAATGTTTCTTTCTCCTGTAAAGAACACACATCTTGATATGAAAACATATGATAGCTCTGGGAACATGTTCCTTATTGGTTTTGGTAATGGTTGATGTGTTGATGGTGGTGATGATGGTGAGCGTTCTGGTTCATCTGCTGATCATGTAGGTGATGATGACCGCCGTGATGGTTGTGATCATCGTAGTGTTGATAATCAACTTCGTTCTTTTCTGTTTGCATGGAACCAGTTGCCATCTGATCAGCATGCCATCCTCTAGATGTGTTCCGAGTTATCTCCAGCAACGAGTTCCTCACATGTTCAGCTTGCACCATCTCGTTGTCATTTTTCTGTTAACATAGAGAAACAGAACGAAGCATATAGTTTGTGTATGTTTTGTTTTGCTTTTCTTTATTCCGCAGGTTCTTCAGATCATACCTCGACTTTAAAGACATTGGAGACTAGGCTGAGGAAGCGAGTCGTGTTAGCGTTTGTGACTTCAAGTCCCAGTGAATACAGTGCCTCCATTAGCCTAGTGAAGCCTCCTGGTTTGTATTCGCAAATCACCTTTACGAAAAACTCTCTGCCATCTAACTGAGCCACATCCACCTGCGGCTGAAACCCCTCGATACAACATAAAACAGATATCATGAGAACGCGGTTTTAGAGCTCTGTAACACAAGAAAGGTGAGAGTTTAAGTTTTATTTATGTTCGAACCTCCATTTCTTGTCCTTTATCATTGGAATTCTCAAGATCAACATCTTGTTTCAGGCTAGGAACGTTGGAGGTACACGAAAGCCCTTGGTGAAACCCAGTAACCACTGTCCCGTTCAGGCTCATCCCTCCTTGCTGCCTATTAAGTCCATCTTCAGTCTCTGAGTTCTCTTCAAGCTCATCTTGAAGCTCCTTTGCCTCATTCTGCAAGTCCTTAACGTAGTTGATCGCGTCGCCAAGAATCGATGCCCTATCCAACTTCCATGCCACAGAAACTAGTTTCAGAGAGCGCATAATAACAAGAAACAAAACCCCGAGAGATAAACCGCAGATAACATTATACCTTGGTTATGGTGGGAACAAGTGATCGGAGAGCGTAAAGCCTATCGTTTAGCTTCTTCCTTCTCCGTCTCTCAGCCATCAGGTTCTTGGCTTGAGAGTGTTTCCCTGACTTCTTCTTGTACTTTGGATCATCCTCATCATCAATCTGGTCGCTACAATCCGAACCTGTATCCAACCTTCCGTTCTCATTCGCTTCCTGATCGTTGCCGACTTGCTGTTCGTTCCCAAGCAAGCTAGGCTCGCCGATCACCGGAATCCCGTCTTCCGCCACCGTGTTAAACGGGTTCATACCCATCATTTCCTTGTTACCATTCTCCGGGAGATACCCTAAGCCTTGATGATGATAGTCACTCTTCATCTTCATGTGCTGTTGTGCCTCGTAATCACTCATCTGAGGCAAGAAGTTGAGCCGGATTTGATCAGCAGAGACATCGTACGGCGAAGGGAGATTCATCATTTCTTCATCTTTCGAACCCTTTTGATGGATTTCAATCCCGTATGGCTTCGATTCGACCTCATCTGCTACCATCATGTTGATCGTTACGTTTTCTTCCATCAACATGTTGCAATGTCCCATCACAAAATCCACCACGTTCTGATCTTCAGCAACCTATACGTACGTACACATATCATCACAAACCACTAACCGGAAATTAAGATTCATCACTTAGACATTATCAAGAGACATAAACACATACATGTCTGGTCGCAAAGAGCTCCACTAATCCTCCCGCTATAGGAACTAAAACTCTAGTACAGATTGTTTCCTGATTACAAGAAAACCGAATTTTTTAAGAATTCTTCTTTATATGAAAAAAAATGTAGTCGAAAATTCGAAAATACCTGCATAAAACTTGGTTCCGAGCTCTCACTCAACCAACTAGTCTGGTTAGTCAGAAGAGTCTCCGCATATATCCTACAACAAAGTCCATTTTCTCCATCTTTATAGATATGTCTTATGATACAATATACTTATGCGTGTCAAGTATTATATATGATGGATCATACCCGGAGTCAAGAGGGATGGAAGAAGGAAGATGAGCAAGAAATTCACAAGATTTGGTGCGATGATGATGAAACATAACGTCTCTACAACCTCCGAAGCTAAACTCTTCTGTTCCATTGTCCTCTATGAGCTGCGTCCCACCACAACAGCATCCCATCCACTTCACAAACCTGTCTCCTCCCAAACCAAAAAAAAAAAACAATGTGACGAAATATAAAAGAGAAATAGATAGAGAGAGAGAGAAACTCTTGAGAACTTTATTGCGCAGAGAAGAATCAAATCAACCTTTGGTCTTCGTTAAGTCTCCAAAGAACACAATAGTCCCAAGCTCTTGCACCTACAAGAGGCCTTAGTTTCTCCAACAAGTTTTGCATACTATTCTCCATTCGCTCAAACTGATTACTACTGCATAAAATCAAATAAAGTCTTTTCTTTATTTGCAAAAGCACAAAACTTTGAAAATTTTGTCATAATTGAAACCAACATTGCGTCAGCATTTGAATGGTTAATTTGTTGGTAACAAAAATTAGAGAGACAAAATGTATCATTCACATGAAATGAAACTAATAATAGAAACTGAAATATCATGAAAAATAACCCAACAAGAACTTACACAAGATTCTCGGAAGAAAGAAGGTTCCTCAAAAATCTTGTGATTGCTGAAACTTGACCAGAGTAAAAAAGAACAGCGAGCAAAAGAAAAATAGCTAGCAAAAGAAGACAAATGGTTGCAGGAAAGAAAATGAACAAGATGGAGAAACTAATTACATCCATACAAGGTTGTGCTTTTCATGTAAAATAACGTCACCAACAACTTTATTTATATATTAGTGTGAAGTTGTTTTGAATAATTTTCTTTCTTTTCTAGCTTAGGAGAGACTGATTGTGGCTTTGGTAGGTAAAGTGCAGGAGATGCATGACGATCATGTATATATATTATTATATATATGTGTGTGTATAAATATAGAATATTGGAATGTAGATAATTGAATACATATATATTTGTGAATATTTATATTAAAAGAAAATAATTAAAATGATGAAAGGGGCAGATTGCATGAGCTAAGATAACGTGCAAAACCCTAACTACCTTTGTTGAGAGCTTCTCTTCGTTTCGTTTAGGTTATGCATTCTTCTTTCGGTGTCTCAACTACTATTTTCCTCTTTCTTGTTTGTTACTTTATAATTCAAAGATTTATCATTTATGTTTTTTTTTAATAAATCATCTAACAAAAGCAAGACAATTAAAGTTCTCATTGATTCTCTTATTAGTTTCGACGTAAGGTGCTATATCTCACATGGCTTGCGAGATAAAATTTACATAAATGATTGCGTGTAGTATATAGTTGACAAAACGTATATTAATTACGTAAATATGTATAGTTTTAGGCGGGGCAAAACCTGGCTGGCTTTGTCTCCTAATCAGTATTCATAGACCCAACTGTCCACCTTTCATGAAGCTAAAATTCCGATTACGTAACAAATATCTCGCACAGTGCGACGTAAGTTTCTGCATCTGGATATATATCGCTCACGTATGTTTCTTTTTAACATTAATGTCTTTTTTTATCATATTTTAACATATACTTATGTCTTACATATTTAATTGGTTTCTAAATTCCTAAGTAGTGAAGTCTGTCGGAAAAAAATCTCATACTCGAATGGTAATCAATGATCTAGAGAATGTTAGGGTGGCATCCACCTCTTCAAATTCGATTGTTAGGAAAAGGGAATAGAAATGGTGTAACAAATACCAATAACATCATAAAGTTTAGTATTGTTACAAGTTACAACACTACTTTAGATTTAAATCTGATTTAAAATTAACTAGATGAAATATCTTTGTGCTTCAAAATAAATAAAAAATTAAGAAGTTGTGACATCCTCAGTTACAGGAATCAAACTTGGATTATATAAAATATTATACTTTACTGAAATTGAAATATTATATACAGCGGAAGAGAAGGTTACAAGACACGAGACATCAAGCTGGTGACTGGGAGAAGGACGTACACACGGTCTTGGTTATTTACGGTCAATGCAGCCAAATATTTCTGTATTATTTTGTTTACTTTGATTCCACGGTTTAATTTCGTTGAAATGTATTGCTATGCATTAATCAACAAAGATTGGCCAACATTTTTTGTTTTTTGTGAAAGGGCTTTCATTTAACAAGATAATGAAAGAGTACAAAGAACGACCAGCAATGGGAGGTAGCCACATTTGGAGATCATTGCGATGACCAACATAATAAAAGAGATTCACCCAAATTGGATCCTTTGTTTTTTAGAGCCATGGACTTGTTCTTTGCCGAGTCATAGATCCTGCGTATAATGATAGGCCAACATTTACAAGGACGAGTGACGCATATGCTTGAGCAATTATCTGTAATTGAGGGAAAATATTAAAGAAGAAACGAGAAACCCCTGAAAATGTGTTTACAAACCTGAGCGAATGAGAAAGCGAGCTAGAAATTGGAATAAAGCTCGAACCATTGGTGATTTGTGCCACACATCATGGAATTAGATAGGATTTGGTAGGCCGAGAATGATTCTTCTATTCGTTTAACAATTGTTGAACAATCAGTTTTATGTACACAATATTACCCACAGTTCTACAGACTACATTTTTAGACTGGTGGATTGAAACATCAGACTGGTAATTCAGTAATTATTGATATCAGCCTACAAGTAACGAATTCTTGAATGAAAAAACATGTGATTCACATGTCAAAAAGCGTATCCGTTTGGTTTTCGTTAAAATGTAAATGATAAATGCAGCAGGTACAGTCTAGTTAATGTAGTAGTAAGTAGATCTCTTTCTATATCATTACATATGCAGAAACAACATGATTCGTGAAGCCAATCAATGATTTATAGATTAAGAAAAATGATTAATCTTTTATTAAATTATCAAATGTGAGAAAAAGAAAGACATATGGAAGTATATGGAACCCTATGGAAATATGAAAAATGTGATTTGTCTCAATGTTTTTTAACCCAGTCAAAGATGTCGCTGTTTAAAACATCCAGGTACGTGATTTCATCTGTTTTTTTTGAGGAATTAATTATATTGCAATGCATTCGTCTTAAGGAGTGGTGTATGATTGAAGAAACATACTACGATTCTTCCTCATATAATGATTAAATCATTGTTGAAGACGAATTGTAATATGAATCTTCAACCACACAGCACTCTTAAGAACCAATGCAATAGCAATCTCTACTCAACCAGATGAAATCATGAACATGAATGCCGAAAACAGAGACTGCATTGCCTGAGTTAAAACCTTGTGCTTGGACAAATTACTTCTTTCATATCTCTTTAGGGTTATCTTTCTGTTTTTTTACACACTTGATCATTAAATCAAAGATTAACCTATAACCAAAGATCAAAGTAATGTGATGCTTGTCGCTTTTTTCAAAGAATTGAAGAAAGAACATGAAGATAAAATATAAAAGAAAAAAAAAAGAAAACGAAAAAAACATGAACATGAAAGGAGAAGGATAATCTCAAACTGACTACGTAACTTTGTTGGATTATAAGTTAAACTAGATTGAGCTGGTATATATAGTGGATGTTGATGACTAGGGTGAAATTAATCTTGTAGGATTCTCTACCTAATTAGTGCTAGATTCGGTCTAATCCTTAAAATAATGTAGAAGATAACATTTGTATTCTCCAAAAGGTACTTTTGAAAATGTGTGACTCAAACTTATCTGAGAATCTTTTTTTAACCAATGAAATTTCATTTTAATGTGATTTGTGAGATAACTTTCTATAAAATCATAATGACTAAAGATAAGAACAAAACTAAAATCTGGAAGTAATAAACAAGTTCAGTATTAAAACTTTAAAAATAATAATTCGCTGGCAATGACCTATAAAATTCACATTTCACAAGAAAGTTTACAAATGCTGGTAATTCAAATTATTTTTGTTTAAATATATTTTTATAGATTTTTTTTTTAAATAAGCTAAATAGTCTCACACGTGACGATGTATTAAAATTGGTTAATTAGTAGGTGTGAACAGAAAAGAGAAAAAGAGAGATCTCTTTGTTCGACTCTGCTTCCTTGTTGTCAACTTCTGGAAGCTCTCTTTCATTGATTGCAACGTTTATCTCCATTCTCCTGCAATTTAATTAAATTTGGGTCAATCTCGTCGAATCTTCAACTATTCTCTCTTCAACCTTCTTCTGTATATTTAACGGTTCCGGTCAAAACAAATGTATCCAAAGACAGATCATCTCTTCTTCTTATATACACTAGTAATTTACTTCAATCAACAACATTCTATCTCGCTTCCACCATTCCCAACTTCAAGGTATCTTTGTCTCTCTCTCTCTCTCTCTCTATCTCTCTGTACTTCTCTGTTTATATGTACAAAAGGGTGAAGAAAGTTTGAGACTTTGATTGGAAAAATCGGTACTTTATTGCAGAGATTGTTGTGGGTCTGCTTTGTTTTGGTTTCTCAGTTAATTCAAAGAGAAAACGATGTTTCAAAATTGTCAAAGTAACCTTTTTTGTTTGTTTGCTTGATTCGAGTTATTGTTGTGGTGGTGGGGATCGTCTGATACAATAATTTCAAAGTTTCTTTTAATGTGTGTTTTGGTAAAGTTAACAAATCATGAAATGTTTGGTGAAACCAGAGAGGAATCCAATATGGAGTTGTTGTTTGATTTCTAACCATTTTTAATATTGAATTTGAGGTCTAAAGTTTTGACCTTTTTGACATACTCTATATTGACTTTGTTCAACTGGAGAACACCAAACACAAAAAGGCTAAATTTTTTTGTCGGTTTGTTCTTGAGTTTGGTTCCTTTTCTACAATTTTATGCTCATAAAGGCTTCTTATTTGGATTTTTTTTTGTTTTCAATTTCAGATTTTGCATCTGATTGAATCTATACATTGATTAAGAAATGGATGTCGTCAATCGGAAAGCTCACCCTGATTGCAAATATGCTGCAAACCCCTTCCATGAATGTGGCTCAGATTGTTTAGAGAAGATTGCTCAAGGCCGTGGCAAGAAGCATTCAAAAAAGCAAGGTACTTTCAACTTTCTCTGTTCTCGGGTTATGATTGATCCATTAACCTATGAATCTGCCTTTGGAAATGGATAACATATACTGTTTCCTCTGATAGATCTGTCTTTGTCTTTGTCCTTATTATGTATTGCTTCAAGCTTGATTCATAAAGTGTTGTCGTTTGTTAGAGTTACTATAACTTGATTAAGGCTTTAGCTTTGCCTTTCAGTGGTTCTCTGCAAAAGTTGAATCCTTTTCTCATTCTTGAATTCTTGTTTATATGCAGCTTCAAAGAATTTTAGCCTCCCGGGGAGTTTCGGTAAGAAGAAGACGGAGTCACTGCCACCGTCGTCACCACTAAACACGAGGCAATATCAGAACGGTGCCGCCAATTCGCCAAGGGTTCATCAACAACCAAGACCTTCACCAGTGGATGTCAAGAAGAAGACAGTGGTTCAAGAAACAGTCAAATCTTTCCCATCTTCATCATCTGATGAAATTTCCATCAACCTCAATGGTCAGCATGATTCTTCTTTCAATTATAAGCCAGAGAAGCACTCTCAAATGGTTCCTCTGTCCCCAAACCACATGGTATTTCTTAATTATCATCTGTGGATATGTGTTTCAAACATATTAGGAATGTTTTCTTAACATGTTGTGTTTTGTTTTAATGCTGTTTCAGGCTGATCGTAGCAAAACCGTATCACCAAGACCTAGAGAGTTTGAACACAATGGCAAGAATGAGACAGCAGCCAGTGAGATTAGTGTCGTCAATGTTGCAAGTCCTCCAAGATCATATGTCAATGATGATGATGAGGATGATGATGAGAACGGAGTAGAGCTTGACCTTCAATCGGTAATGTCGGAGTCGTGTGTTTCGGTTGGTAAATACCGTGTGAACTCGTGTGTCTCCACAATCCTACGGTCAGTCATTGACAAGCACGGAGACATAGCTGCAAACTGCAAGCTGGAATCAGCGTCAATGAGGTCTCGATACCTAGAGTGCCTATGTGCGTTGATGCAAGAACTTGGTTCGACCCCGGTCGGGCAGTTGACAGAGCTTAAAGTTAAGGAGATGCTTGCGGTTCTCAAGGACTTGGAGACTGTGAACATGGACGTTGGATGGCTACGTTCGGTTCTTGAGGAGTTTTCTCTGTATCAAGAGAATGTTGACTCGGAGAAAGAGAGACAAGAAGGATCGTTGAGGTCTAAGAAACAAGAACTGGAGAATCAGGAGGCGGATTTGGCTCGGAGAGAGGAGGAAGTAAGGGAAGCGAGGTCGCGGGTGGAGGAGATGAAGGCAGAGCTGGCTAAGCTCAAGGCAGAGCGGTCAAGGACGGAGGAGATGGGTTTCAAGATTGAGAAGTTTAAAGGGAAGACGTTTCTTGATGAGCTTCTTTGATGTTAATAAGAGTAACTAATATATACTTCCAAAAGAGTAATGCTTAGTTGAAGTTTGATTAAAAATGTTCTTTAATTGTCATTAAGATGAAATGATATTACTGCTGATAGTGAGCTACTATAGTTGGAACTGTACTGCTCGACTTTTCAAGTAAACCAATGCTTATAAATACTTATTCCATACTGGTTATTTATGTCTCTCTACTAATCACTCATTAGCACCATTGACTTTTCTACTTTTACATAACTTTTCAAGAAGCAAATCTAAATTCTTCCAAGACGAACCAGTTCCCTGGACCAAAGTTGCTTTTGCCATTTTTGAATATTCTTTCACATTCTTTCTTGCGGTTTTTCCTGTTTCTCCTTCCATTAAATCTCGAACCTGTTGAATAGAATAAAATTTATAAGACTTGAGCAAAACTTTTCAAGTAAAACTATTTTCTTATATAGAAAACTAGGTTTTTTTTTCAATTTTAAAATTCATATGCTTGGCTTAAAAAGGCAAAACGTTGTTAATAACCATTAAATCATGTTGTTGACAAAAAAAAAACATGAAGTTATGTTGTAATCTGTTAGATCCATTACTAAAATAAATAAAAAATTTATGTTTGCATCTCGATACCTTTTGACTTAGTTCCTCTCTTGTCACAAATCCTTGGACACTACCATCTTCGGTTTCAACTCTTAATCCGACCTTTATCTCCTCCACTACCATCTTCGCGTTGAGTGGTTGCTCTGCCATCATAGGCCAAGCCAACAATGGGACCCCAACGCATATGCTCTCCTGTGCTGAGTTCCATCCACAATGGCTCAAGAATCCTTTGACACTCTCATGTGACAATAACTCCCACTGGTCCACCCACTCTCTCACTATCATCCCACTCTCTCTTATTCTATCTTTGAATCCTTCTCCAATAATATTTTCCACGTCTTTTCTTGTGACCCATAAAAAATCTGCCTTTAAAAATCATTCAGGTCAAGAAATAAAACATTAAAATATTAATTAAGCAACATACATACACATTCATATGAATATAATGCCTAACTTGTATAGTTAATTACTATCAAACTAAAATCATGAAAAAACTATGACTTAGACCTTAGTAGTTTCGTGTTAATGTTGTTACTAAGTTTTTTTTTGTGTGCAAATGTGAAGAATGTTGTTACTAAGTCCAGCCAATTTCAAAACAGCGTAGTGCATATCATTCAAAGAAAAGTAAGAATAAAAAAGCATTTCATGGAGTTAGGTCGAGGAAAAGCGTACGTCTACTTTAATGGTTCAATCAAAACATTTTAGAAAGACACAAATCTGCCTTTTGTAACCACTGCATGGCATCGATTATTTATTTAGAATTTAAGTGTCTCACGTCATCATTGTGTACCACAGAAAAAATTTACCTAATACAATCAAAACACGTCATAATATAAAACGCTTTTTGTTTCGAGATGTGTGGTTTTATATAAATTTAATACCACCTTGTAGTTACACTCTAGTTTTAAGTCATAGATATAAGTTGACAAATGTCCTGTCTTAATTAGTGAGTCCAAATCCCCTTGAACGGTTCGATCAAAAGCTTTTTATACATGAGTAGACATATATTAATATAAACATTTATTTGGATAGGATCATGGTCTTTAGTGCGTACCTTGGAATCTTCCAAGCCTAAAGCTAGTTCTTTGAGTTGCTTGTTCGATATCTCTGCCTGCGTTCCAAACGCCACGTATAAAACCGGACGTCCTTCCTCTCGTTTCTGGTCCAGCCAATGAATCCAAAAAGGTTTAGCATGCACCGGTTTAGGAGGATCTACCAAACACAACGGTCCAACACACCACGACTTAGGCCTATCAGAGTTGTTGTTGTAATCAACGAACGGTGACTCAAGCTCGTAGAAACTATTCACTAATAAACCATAGCTTGAGTTGGTCGACATGACTTGGTCCATGAATAGTTCGAGAGAAGGACCCGACTGAGCACCATGGTTGAGATCACACTTCTTAACCCGGATCCATGGGAAGTCCGGTACAGTGACCGGTTCTGTATCAGATTCAGTTTCCGGTTCGGTAAAGAGTTTTTGTTTGAAAGCAGAGATGGAGACGGCAGCGGCGTAAGAGTTCATGCCGTAGAAGACCAATCTTGGAATCTTGAACTTAGCTGCTGATTCCGATGTCCACCAGAGGAATCCATCGGAGACCATGAAGGACACTTCTGGAAGATTCTTGAGTGATTCTTCGAAGAAAGGTTGGAGAAGCTTTGTGGCGCGCGTGAATGGCACAAAGAGTGACATGGAAGGGAGTTGGTCCGTGCTCTCGACGCCTGGAGGGATTCCGGAGATGTTTTCCGGGAAAGGGAGAGAGATGACTTTGATCTCCGGCGTGTTGGAGAGGAAGTCGGAGACGAAAGGGATGTTCTTGGGAGTGGTGAAGACAGTGACGGAGATGGAGATGGTTGGTTCTTTGCGGCGGTGACGGAGGAGGAGACGGGCAAATTGGAGGAGAGGGATGGTGTGGCCTTTAGACATGTAAGGGAAGAGGACCACATGATGTGATGAAACTGCCATTTTTGAGAATTTTAAACTTGTTTATTTTTCTTATATGTTTCTTACATTGTGTCCGCAAACCTATATATATATAGGTTGAGATAAAATTATGTTGATTATTACGTATAGATATAGTTAATATTAAAAAAAAATTGTGGACCATTCTTTTTTGCATACCACCTTTGTGTAATGGTTATGTAAAGGTGATGTTTTTTTTTTTTTCCTAATAAAAGGTGATGGTTAAGTTAGTGTTCTCCGTATTTGTTCAGTTTAATTTATTGGATGTCCTAGAGCTAGAAGGGACACTAATCTACAGTACTATTGAGTTAGTGCATTGATGAAATAACCGTATATCATGTAATTATTAGATGTTGAAATGAATTCATATGCATATATGAGAAACTCACAATAAGACAACTGTGAATTTTCCTCTTTTTAATATATTTTTTTTTTTAAATAAGCGTTTTCCATATATATAAATGTATAAGACATTGCTTTTGGAATAAAAGCTAGTATACAAAACTGATCGTCGCATTTTATAATAACGTTGTAAAAAATGAGCTAATTTTAGAATCGACTAAGAAAATATTATATTATGGTTAATTTTATTGATAAAAATCATGTTTCGTTGTCCAAATTGTTTAAAAACTCTGTCATTGGTCTACTACAGGTGGTTTATTTCAGCGTGCACGTGTATGCATTAGCATACATATTTAACGAGTATTAGATGGAAGAGAATCAACGAGATTCTGGACAGATAGTGAATTTCAGTTACTCACGGAAACAAAGTCCACATGCTCTCTCTAGAAACCAAATACTATGCAGAATATCCAAGATTCTTTTCGAAATCTTTCGTATCATAAAGTATTTTCATTTAGTAATGAGTACGTTATGCATTTTTTCTCATAGATAATGTACGTTATGTAATGGATCCTTGTTATAGTAATCATAATACTTTTTGCTACATATTTAAAAAAGAAATTGTGATGCAATTGACATGGACATAAACCATACGACGGTTTATCGTTTTTGGTGCAAAACCAGAGTTGCCAACCTATTGCCTTGACAATGTCGTTCTAGGCAATGTCTCACCGCTCGTTTTACTATTTTTAATATCTGTTTCTTGTCTTTTTCACTTTTAGGTCTTTGACTTAATTTTTTATTTTTGCGCTACACCTATATGCAATCTTTCCACTTCTTTTTCTAGAAGCTCACTTTTCACGCTTCATAGCTTCATGTCGGTTTCGTTGCGTCGACATGAAATATATAATGCTTATTGTATTAAATGAATTTACTTGTCATTTGTCAATTGGATCCAACTTAATTTCGAACAACAAGGTGAAGATCATAAGTAAGCTCCTTCTTCATACTGTTGTCTACATGTTTTGTGTTAGGAAATGAATGCTCGATTGCCAAACTTGTTGTGGTCTAGTGGCGAATTCACCAAAGACTAATTTGCAGCCTTCACATATATATATGTCGGCTTCTCACGCTTTGATTTAGCTTATTCCACACAATTCCACCTCGTGATGCATGCCATCTTTTATGTGTTTTTTCTCTCTCTTTACTCTTATTTTTTTTAACTAAAATCTAACTGTACTCCAAATGATGCATCTATAGAAGAAAACCAAAAGACGAAAAACCGGAAAAGTAACATGTTTATTTAACAAAAACAAAAAACAAAAAAATAATAATATCAACTTGTACAAGAGGTGGGGGATTCAAAACTTGTCTAGTCATGCATAACATCAATAATTTAATATATATTCGGCTTCCAAACTTGTTAAATAAATAATGGCATGACGTAAACATGACGTACAAACTTGGATTCGCAATTCATAACGGTTAAACAGCACTTGTTACTAGAAGTTATATGCCCACAATGGCATGAAACGGGTTAATTTGGCTTTAGTCAATTTTTGTCAAAATCACCGAAGAAAAAAAAAAAAGGCGAATACTACTAAGATCATGAATTGTCCCACCGGAGCATTGGTTATTGGTTTCATTAAATCAGCTCCCGTTATCCAACCTGAATCACACTACTTAGTCTAATAGCATTGTTTGGCTCTCTACTCTACTCTTCCATAATTTTTCAAGAAGCAAACCTAAACTCTTCCAAGACGAACCAGTGTCCCTTGTTGGACCAGCTTTTCCCCATTTTTGAATATTCTTTCACATATTTTCTTTTTGGTTTTCCGGTTTGTCCTTCCGGTAGTTCTCGGTCGAATCTGCAAAATAAAATAAAATGCTTATAAGATTTCAAAAAATTGACATATATAATCCCCAAACATTTGTCTCGCCGTTCATTTCATTTTCTATTCCTAATATTTATGTCCTGTCTTTTTCACCTTTTAGGTCTTCTACTCATCTTTAGACTTGATTTTTGTTCAGTACCTATCTACTGTACATGCAATATCTGTGGATACGTATGTACATATACTTCTTTTTCTAGAAGCTCACTTTTTACGCACATGTCATGTTAGCTCGTTTCGTCGACATTAAATATCTTATTTTTTTATCTTCTTGGTTTTAAATTTTTAATTTAATGTTACTTCATAAATAGATTGGTTGCTGCTGTGCGTACTTGGTACTTCGAACATGAAGGTGAATATCATAAGTGACTTCTTCTTCATGCTGTATTTTGGGGAAGGGTAAAACCAAAAACACGTTACAAGGAAATTCACCGAACACTCCTCAGTAAGCTAGATGGCATTCGTCAACTTTTCAGCTAAACCAGGATGTACACGTATATGTTATTAGATACCGGTGTTGTATATATCGAATCCTGAATGACTATATATACTTATTAGCATCGCTTGGCTATGTACTCTTACATAATTTTTCAAGAAGCAAATCTAAATTCTTCCAAGACGAACCAGTCCCTTGGACTAAAGCTGCTTTTGCCATTTTTGAGTATTCTCTCACATTCGTTTTCAACGTTTTACTCGTTTCTCCTTCCATTAATTCTTGAACCTGTAAAATAAAAATACTTATAAGATATAAAAGTATGAGATAGCCTCCAAACATAACGTCAAAATCCAAAACGTTGTTAACTACCATTAATTTATTCCACAATTTGTTAATTTATATCAATTATAAGAAAAACAAATATGTTTGCATCTCGATACCTTTCCACTTAGTTCCTCTCTTGTCACGAATCCTTTCACGCTCCCATCCTCGGTTTCAACTCTTAATCCGACCTTTATCTCCTCCACTACCATTTTTGCGTTGAGTGGTTGCTCAGCCATCATCGGCCAAGCCAACAATGGGACCCCAACACATATGCTCTCTTGCGCTGAGTTCCATCCACAATGGCTCAAGAATCCTTTCACACTCTCGTGTGACAATATCTCCCACTGGTCCACCCAATCTCTCACTATCATCCCATTCTCACTAACTCCATCTTTGAATCCTTGTCCAATAATCTCTCCCACGTCATTTTTCGTGACCCACAAAAAGTTTACCTAAGAAAATAAACACGTCATCAAAGAAGAAGACATTATTGATTCTACATAAGCATTTATACCGTACACTTAGTTAATGCCTAACTTGTATAGTCACTTTCAAAACTATGAAGTCATGTTAGGCTTTATGTCTACTTAAATGATTCAGTGAGAGGGTTATATGCAAAATTAATACAATAGACAAAATCTCTTTTTGTTTCTGTTACTATTTTCATGGCATGTGCATTTCTTTCTCTCTCACGCCTTTTCTTGGTCCACAAACACATAAAACTTTTAAGGTCAAGATACGTATAACAAAATAAAAGGGTTTTTGATTTTACGTGTGCATTTATAAACTTACCTATGTAAGCATTTCATCGTGTATTTAACGTATCACACTTAAATACCTAATTAGCGTTTAATTTGTAATCATATCATTTAAAATTGGTCTTTACAATTAGTTATGGTTACGTACCTTAGAATCTTCCAAGCCTAAAGCTAGTTCCTTAAGTTGTTTGTTTGATATCTCTTCCTGCGATCCAAACGCCACGTACAAAACTGGACGTCCTTCCTCTCGTTTCCGGTCCAACCAATGAATCCAAGCTGGTTTAGCACGATGCGGTTTAGGAGGATCAACCAAACACAACGGTCCAACACACCACGACTTGGGCCTATCAGAGCTGTTGTAGTAATCAACGAACGGTGACTCAAGTTCGTAGAAACTATTCACTATTAAACCTTGGCTTGTATCAGCCGACATGATCTGGTCCATGAATAGTTCTTCAGCTGGAGCAGATTGTTTCGGATCGTCACTAACGTTGAAATCATATTTTTTAACCTTTATCCATGGAAAGTCCGACAAAGTGACCGGTTCGGTCTGAGAATCAATTTCCGGTCTGTGTTTCAAGGCAGCGATTGAAACGGCTGACGAATAGGAGTTCCAACCGAAGAAGACCAATCTTGGAATCTTGAACTTAGCTGCTGATTCCGATATCCACCAGAGGAATCCATCGGAGACCATGAAGGAAACTTTTGGAAGATTCTTGAGTGTTTCTTCGAAGAAAGGTTGGAGGAGCTTCGTTGCGCGTGTGAAAGGGACGTAGAGTGACATGGAAGGTAGCTTGTCGGTGCTCTCTACGCCGGGAGGGATCCCGGAGATGTTTTCCGGGAAAGGTAGCGAGATGACATTGATCTCCGGCGTGTCGGAGAGGAAGTCGGAGATGAATGATTGGTTCTTGGGAGTGGTGAAGACGGTGATGGTTGGTTGTTCCCGGTGGTGAAGGAGGAGTAGACGAGCGAATTGGAGGAGAGGGATGGTGTGGCCTTTAGCCATGTAAGGGAAGAGAACCACATGATGTGATGAAACTGCCATTTGTTTTGCTTTATGTTTCGTATATTGTGTTGGCAACTCGCAAGCCTATATATAGGTCGAGACATACTTGTGTTGATTAATTTTTGGTTACTTGTAGATATTGTTAAATAAGGTAACAATTGAATTAGTTCTAAAACCCTTGGCTAAAACGTTCTACATTTGCGAATGAAATAAAGTTTTGTGTTAAAAAAAAGGGTTTAGGACTTGATTGTTCATAGAAGCAAACCATGCTAATTTGGAAAATACTAAGTTTAGGGCATAAAAGTTATCACAAATGTTTTTCATTGAACGAACCAAGCTCGCCTTCGAACTAGTTCAAAGCAAGCTTCGGAATTGAGGCGATCTTTTAGGATATATTAGTCAAATAATTTTTTGCTTATAGCCTTAGATATCTCTCATGCATAAATTAACGTATGTTATTTAATACGTTAGAGAATAGATTAAACTTGAAACAAATTAAAGAGAGGATTACGGAGACTTTGGACATGTAGTGTATTTCAGTTTCTCACAGAAGCAAATTCCATAGGTTCTCTTAATTTCTTCTAGAAACCAAATGCCCTACAAATTATAATGCGTATAAGCCTTAGCTTTCTCTCTATACCTCAATAGATATTGTAAGATTATTTAATACGTTAGAATTAGATAAAAACAAAGAGAGAATCACACAGAAATTGGACATGTGATGTGATGTATTTCATACTTTCAGTTTCGCACAGAATTAAAGTCCATAGATTTCTTCTAGAAACCAAATGAGCAATGATATACAAATAGATTTCGCATATATCCCGAAACGACAGTGTCCTATTGCGTTTAAATAAGCATACATAACCGAGTCTTCTAATTTCCGGTTAAGGATTCTCGGCTTGTTTTGGTTTTAGCAATCACAATTGAAATCAGAAAATGCCTCTTGATTAGCTTCGTCATCGGAACAACGAGGATGATCAGGTTATTCCCAGTGGTTGCCGAGTAAAATGGCGACTTTAAAGCCACCGGAATCTCAATTACTGAAAACCCTTACATCAATCCTCACGTCGGAGAAATCCCATTTCCTCGAAACCCTAAACCCCTACATCCCTCAAATCACTCAGCCTCTCCTCTGCTCTCTCCTCTCTTCTCCTTCACTCGCTAAGAGACCCGAAACACTCGTCTCTTTCTTCCATTGGGCTCAGACTTCAATCCCCGAAGCATTCCCCTCCGATTCGCCTCTTCCCCTTCTCTCCGTCGTCCGTTCTCTTCTCTCCCACCACAAATTCGCCGACGCCAAATCACTTCTCGTCTCCTACATCCGAACCTCCGATGCATCACTCTCTCTCTGCAACTCTCTCCTCCACCCGAATCTCCATCTCTCTCCTCCACCTTCCAAAGCTCTCTTCGACATTTCCCTCGGCGCGTATCTTCAAGCCGGGAAGCCTCACGTCGCGTTACAGATCTTCCAGAAGATGATTCGTTTAAAGCTCAAACCGAATCATCTCACTTGCAACACTCTTCTCATCGGTTTAGTCAGGTACCCTTCTAGCTTCTCTCTCTCGAACGCTAGAGAAGTGTTTGATGATATGGTCAAGCACGGTGTTTCGCTAAATGCGAAGACTTTCAATGTGTTGATTCATGGGTATTGCTTAGAAGGAAAGCTCGACGACGCAGTAGCAATGATAGAGAGAATGGTTAGTGAATTCAAGGTGAATCCTGATAATGTCACCTACAACACGATTTTGAAAGCAATGTCAAAGAAAGGGCGTTTGAATGATGTTAAAGAGTTGTTATTGGATATGAAGAAGCATGGATTGGTGCCAAATAGAGATACTTACAATAACTTAGTGTATGGTTACTGTAAACTTGGCTCGTTGAAGGAAGCATTTCAGATTGTGGAGCTGATGAAGCAGACTAACAATTTGCCTGATCTTTGTACTTACAACATGTTGATGAATGGGCTGTGCAATGGTGGAAGTGTAAAGGAAGCGCTTGAGTTAATGGATGAGATGAAGGAACTGAAGTTACTGCCTGATGTGGTTACTTACAATACACTGATTGATGGGTGTTTCGAATTGGGGCTTAGCTCCGAGGGTATGAAGCTAATGGACCAGATGGAGAATCATGGAGTGAAGCCTAACCAAGTGACTCACAACATATCTCTGAAGTGGCTTTGTAAAGAAGAGAAGATGGAAGAGGTGACTAGAAAGTTTAAGGAATTGGTGGAAGTGCATGGCTTTGCTCCTGATATCGTTACTTACCATACTCTAATCAACGGTTATTTGAAAGTAGGAGACTTGAGTGGTGCTCTTGAGATGATGCGTGAGATGGGGAAGAAAGGGATCAAGATGAATACTGTCACTCTCAATACCATTGCTGATGCTCTGTGTAAAGAGAGGAAAGTCGATGAAGCTCGGAGTTTACTGGATAGTGCGGTCAAGCGAGGGTATATTGTTGACGAGGTTAGTTACGGCACGTTGATCACTGGATACTTCAGGGAAGAAAAGGTTGAGAAAGCTATGGAGATGTGGGAGGAGATGAAGAAGATGAAGGTTATACCTACTGTGAGCACTTTCAACTCTGTGATCGGAGGTCTCTGTCACAATGGGAAAACAGAGTTAGCGATGGAGAGATTCGATGAGCTTGCTGAGAGTGGTTTGCTTCCTGATGACACTACTTTCAATTCGATCATCCTCGGATACTGCAAAGAAGGAAGAGTCGAGAGAGCGTTCGAGTTCTACAACGAGTCCATCAAACACTCTTTCAAGCCTGATAACTATACATGCAACATTCTTCTCAACGGTATTTGTAAAGAAGGTATGACAGAAAAGGCTCTGAATTTCTTCAATTCCCTTATAGAGGAGAGAGATGTCGATACGGTTACATACAACACGATGATCTCGGCGTTCTGCAAGGAGAGGAAGTTGAAAGAAGCGTTTGATCTTCTTACGGAGATGGAGGAGAGAGGACTAGAGCCTGATCGGTTTACATACAATAGTATTATCACTACACTTATGGAGGATGGTAAGGTGAGTGAAGCTGAAGAATTGATGGAGAAAGTTTCTGGAAAGTTTGGATCTTTGAAGGCAGAGACAGAGAAGAATGCAACAATAGGAACTGAATCAAAAGAGGAAGCTAACAGTGAGGCTATTGCATACTCTGATGTTATAAAAGAACTTTGTAATAGAGGAAGGTTAAAGGAACAATCTAGATCTTACACAGGTTGATAGAGAAAGATTTTTTGTATTTTGTATTTTTTGGTTTCCTATTTGTATTTCGATTTGCTTATTAACTTTTGATAAAAGACATTATAATGTGTAGTTTTCATGTGAACTAATATCTGGGGAAACTTTGTAGATCAAATAATAAAGATTTACAATTTTCTGACAAACAAAGATTGCTAACATGTAGTAAAACTTATCATATAAATTTAAAAACTAGTTTTATTGATCAAAAGACTGTAAAATGTGGGCCAAATCAAATTTACTTTGTTTTATTATACTTTGTTTTGAATGAAGCTAATTTTGTGGGCCAAATCAAATTTACAACTAGTTTTGTGGGCCAAATCAAATTTACAAAGCCCATTAAACAGTCATATTACAGCTTAACTTTTTAATTTTATTCTCCTACAATTTATTTTTCTCGATTTCTCCATTCAGGAGAAAGAAGAAATTTTATCGTCAGCGAATTTCTGGTGTTCTTCTCATAAGGATAAAGCGAAGTACTTGCGGATTGTCTCCTGAATCGATTGATTCGCAGGTTGGTTTCGCAATCCGATTCCAGCTTTGATTGATTTTGTACTCTAGGGTTCTACTTGCTTCATCGATTTGGCTCGAAGATGATTTACTTGTTTATCATCCCTCTTAGGTTTTCGGCAAGATCTTACCTTTAAGATTGGGTTTCTCTTACCTAGAATCTGTAAGTATATATGACGATTTTCTTTTGAATTATAGTTCACGAATCTACAAATCATTCCTCTCCTGTCTTAGGTTTTGAATTTGCATCAAAGGAGACTTTTTTCGATTAAATCAAGTTAAGATCTTGTTGGCGTCAGCTTAAGTGTGTGAATTGACTGTCATTAAGCATTAATTTCTGGCTCTTTGGTTATATGATGCTCAAATCTCAATGCTGTTTTGGATAATTGTGAAGCCCTGTTAACTGGTTTTTTGAAACATTTTTGGCAGGACGTGAGATATGGATAGTGAGAGAAGAGTGCATCCGGATTGTATAAACGCTTCGAATCCTTATCACGAGTGTGTTGAGTATTGCTTTAAGAAAATCGCTGAAGCAAAGGCCAGATTGGAGAAGCTAGGTACTTGGTTTTTGTCTTCTTTTTGTGTATGTTCTCTGGCTTAGCTAGCTAGCTTTTCTTGGCGTTTCCTATTATCTGTGTTGATTCGTTTCATGTGTGTTATGGTCTATGCTTTTCATGCGTAGTAGTAGCTTTTTGAGGCTTATTGTTTATGGTTTATGACTTTGATGCGTATTCAGTTGTGAGTAAATTTGCAGTTTCTGGTGATGCTACACAATGCGATATTGTTTTGATTCTTTGATTCATTCACTTACTCACTCTTTGCAGACATGTTATTTGCAATTGCATTGTCCTGTGACAAAATAATCGTTGAGTTCTGATGAGAAGCTGAGTGTAAAATGTCATTCTGAGACTAATGTTTATGTTTTCATGTGCCAAAAGGACTAGCTGAAGCTGCTGTCGGTGGGCGAGGTCACACTAATGCTAAAGCTCACGAGCAGTCGCTTGATGATAAAAGAGTAGAGGAAGAGAGTTCTGAAGAAGAAGAAGATGAAGAAGAGGAAAACCAAGAACCTGAAGTAGACGTGTCCCAACTTACAGGGAGGAAGAAGAAGTTGTTTGAGTTAAGACTTAAGATGGTAAGCTTTCTTTTTGTACATTCATTAGCTTTACTCTTTAAAATTGTCCTTATGGTTCTTAAACTCTCTTCTATTTGCTCCCTGTAGAATGAAGCAAGAAAGTTCAACCAGACAGATGTGGGGAGCGAGAAGAAGAAAATGGAAGCACCAACAGAGACAAAAGGCATCTCGAAGCAGAAATGGGTGGAGGAGAGGAGGAAAAAGATTGGGAAGATCCTCGATGCCAACGGTTTAGATATGACAAAGGCTTATATGCTCGACACTCAGGAAGCTGCGGAAACTAAATACAAGAAATGGGAAAAGGAACCTACGCCTTCTGGTTGGGATGGTACGTACAACTCTTCACTTTGCTCTCTTAATGATTTTGATATCGAAACTATTGCGAGTCTAATGTGTAAAAACGTTGCATCTTTCTTTCTTTCAGTCTTTAACCAGAAGACGTTGTACAACGCGTATAAGAAACGGACCAAGAACATTAAGGTCGATATAGAGGAGTATAACAGAATGAGAGCAGCTGATCCAGAGTTTTACCGCGAGGCCTCTAGCTTGCAATACGGGAAGGTTTGTTGATTTGTTGTTGTTATGGTCAATTGTAGATTCAAGTCTTAAGCAGAGAGAGAGAGAGAGAGACAGGTTTTAATGGTGTATATTAATCTTTTTTGCAGGCTCCAAAAACTTCGAAAGATAAGATTGATAAGATGGCGAAGGAGCTGCTTGACAGAGAGCAAAAGCGACAGGACTTTAGCAGGAGGAGGAAGTTCAGGGAGGAGAAGGATGTCGATTCGATCAACGACAGGAACGAGCATTTCAACAAGAAGATCGAGCGTGCGTTTGGGAAATACACACTGGAGATCAAAAACAACTTGGAACGAGGAACTGCATTACCCGACTAAGCTACTTGAGATCAACTTTTGGGAAACAGTGGGAATTTGGATTTCTTGTCGGAAAGTCAACTTATCTGCTTTTTGTCTGCTCAGAAACTAAATTGTAGTAGAATCTACTCTTTGTCCGAAAGAAATCTGTACGACTAGATTCTCTCACTAGAGAGAAAAAACGGTAACCAGAAAAAAGTTCCATCTTTTTTACTTCTCTTTTTTTTAAAGTTTTTACCTTACCAAAAGTCAGGACTCAAAAAGTCTACAACCTTGGAAAAATAAAAAAGATTTTGAATTCTGGTTAGTATAAATTTCTTTACCAAGTTTTTTTCACCAACGGAAGGTAACAAAAATTTCTAACTTGGTAAAGAAAATTGTACTTTGTTGATTTTACGAGACTTTATTCACGTTCTCGAGTGAAGAAACCCGACCACTTTTGCTACATGTGTCATATTACGAGACTTCATTCACTTTTGATACATTGGCCCTAGTCGTGAACCATAGAGAGTTTGAGAAGGTGGATGAGTTTTGGAATTCTTTGGTGGATCCTTAGAAAGTGAATGAGCTATGATGAGACGAGGATCGCGGCTTGAGAAGGATTTGCCTATCATGTTGCTCTTGACGAAATCCTCCAATAGTAACGACTAACGAGCACGCAGATCATTCCTCTTGTTTTGCCATCTTCATCAATGCGGAACAATCACCAACACAAAGTTCTTATGATTTGCAAGCATACAATGGATGATCCAGAGTACTTAAAAGTTCTATTATAGTTTGTGTTCTTATGATTTTTTACTTTATAATTTAAGGTTGAATTCATAACATATGATCATCAAAAGATTATTAGACATGTCTTTTTCAGAAATAACTTTTTCATGAGACATGTAAATGTGTTTTTATCATTACAATAATCGATTTGACTGAGAACTTCCACTAGCGCCACAGCCTTTATCGTCTGGAATATTGGAAGAACTGACATCATTTGAATTTATAGATTTTGCTCCATACGTACATAAATTAAATCGTATGTCACAATATGCATTGTTGCATCGACAATTCCTTCTGCACTCCTCGCTTGTCGTGCAATGATCTCTAGACACGAGATTTTGTTCTTTAAACACAGAAATCAAAATCAGAGAAATACAAATAAACTGACCAAAAATTAATTTCAAAGAGAATAGTTTTATTTAGCTTTCTCTAGACTCGACATTTAGGCTAAATTATATACACTTCTATTGGTTTGTTTAAAAATATATATCTACTTACGGAAGGCGACGGCGACGACAAGAAGAGAAACCAATAGCAACAATATGAAAGAAATGCTTTTCATTCTCTCAAGTATTTTTATTTATTTTGCTTTTAGTTCTGAGGTTGAAGACTATACTTCATCTCTTTATATAGTCCAGCTAGGTGATGGTTTTCCTCAAAAGAGGACAAAAAACTAGGTACTGTTTGACCAGAAAATCTTTAAGATTTTGTTCATGTATTTTTGTTTTTGACAGAAATAGGTATAGATTTGACTTGCCACAATTGTTTACTATTAACAAACGTCGACATGTAGTGAAATTAAGGGAGATGTATTGGGCTAAGCGTTTAAGTAATGAGATTTATTAGTATTTTGGTGAGATTAAAATGATTTTCTACAAAAAAATTCTAATGAAACATACAAAAATTTAAGATTTATCCTGAAATGTTTTTATTTCAAAACGTTTTCTTGCCGTCATCACTTCTTGACCATTCTTATGGTTGTGGTCCTTGTGGAGGATTGAAAGAAGTAAATATAGTCAAGGAAGACTCTGGATTTACACCCTTCTCACATGTATCTAGTCATCGATAGTCTATTGATACCAAAATACAAAAAAAATGGGATAAGGAACCTACACCTTCTGGTTGGAGTGGTACGTGCGATTTTCACTGACTTTTGACTCGGCTTGTTTCTCATTGACTCAATTATTGTGAGGCTAATGTGTGAAATGCTGTATTTTTCTTCAGTCTTCAACCAGAAGACGTTGTACAACACATACAAGAAACGTACTAAAAAACATTAAGGTCGTTCAACGACAGAAACGAGCATTTCAACAGGAAAATCGATCGTGGGTTTGGGAAATACACACTAGAGATGTTATTGATTTTGAACAAAAAAAAAAAAAAAAAAAAAAAGATGTTATTGACAAAGGTATAAGCTTTTGTTATCTTCTGGAAGAATAGGCGTGACAAAAATGCTATTGACAAAGGAAGCTTTTGATTTATGTTTTTCTTGGGCAATTCTCAAAAATACCACATAAATGTATTATTCCAAAATTACCACACAAATGTATTCTTCCAAAATTACCATCACTAATTTTAATTTCCAAAAATACCACATAAATAAGTTTTTGTTCCAAAAATACCACAAATTATCTTTTCCAAAAATACCAAAAAATTTCGATTTCCAAAAATACCAAAACTTTGATTTTCCAAAAATACCACAAAAATAAGTTTTTGTTTGGAAATTACCACTACTAACTGTTATTCCTTTGTTATTTTCCAAAAATGCCACAAAATTGCATATTCCAAAAATACCACAAAACTTAACTTCAACTCTCAAAACACAATATATTGTAATGGTATTTTAAATGTTTTTTTTTTTATATAAAGTCGCTCTAATTGAAATTTGTGTATGACTAAACAGAGCTAAAAGGTTTAGATCTTCAAACTGGGGCATTCACTATACGACAGATAAAAGCAGCCACTGATAATTTCGATACAACAATGAAGATTGGTGAAGGTGGATTTGGCTCTGTTTACAAGGTACTTGACTTTTGTTCTTCAATTTTCTTAGCGCTATATGAAGAAATTGTATAGAAGTTATATACTAAAACTTGAATGCTGACCAACCTCAGGACCAAAAAATGTCTACAAACTTAGTAAATAGAAATATTTGAATTCTGGTTCGTATAAATTCCCTTGATAGTAGCACATGTTTTCATCAACGGAAGGTAACATAAGACTTTGGCAAAGAGGTCCACGTTTCTGCCCAACTTGGTCCAAACCTGATCCTCGAAAACGATAATATTTGTTCATGCGTTTACTTTCAGATATACTTTCATGAAGTTTCAACCAAGAATTCATTAGGTCACCTTGCTCTTCACGATTTCTTTCGATACTTCCAATAATATCGAGAACACAGGTCACTGTGATGGTTTTGACACCATCGTCACTGGTTTTGAACAAGCGTAACAAAAGCAATTTCCCTCTCATGGTTTGCAAGCATGGGTCAGACTCAGACTAAAGCCAATGTGAATCTTTCATTGTAAAAAGTAATGACTTATCTCATTCTCATGTAAACTTTTGATACATTTAAAATTAAATCTAAAGGCATACATTTTATTCTCTATATTATAATAACAATATATTAATCATATCTGATATAATGTACTGATCTACAAAATAAACAAGTAACTATACATATATGATAGGCAATGAATCATCAGATTAACACATCATAAACTTATAATTTCTTCAATAAATAACCTTTTTATTATTCATATAAAGGTGCTTTTATCATTACAATTTCAATCGATTTGGTGGAGGATTTCCACCGCCACCACAACTTTTATCTCCACGAATACAATATTTTTTGGAAGAACTATCATCATTTGTATTCATAGCTACAAACCCATAATTACATAATTTTGTTCCCATGTCGCAATACGCGACGTCACAGAAACAATTCCTTCTGCATTCTTCGTTTGACGTACAGTAATCATCTCCAACCGCAATATTTTGTCCTTTAAACACAAGAATATAACATAAAATATTATAAAATCATAATCAGAGAAATAAAAAAATAAAGTAAAATGAACCAATATACTGACTATGAAAGTATAGTTTTCTTTAGCTTTCTCCAAACACAATTATGAGATGGAGATGTGTATAATTATATTGGTTTGTTTGAAAAATAAAAATACTGATATATTATTTATTTACTTACGAAATGAGACTACAAGAAGAGAGACAAATAACAGCAATTTAAAAGAAATGCTTATCATTTTTAAATGTATGTCTTTATTTTTTATTTTTTATTTTAGTGTTGAAGTTGAAGACTATATTCCACCTCCTTATATAGTCCAGTTCAGTGATGGCTTTTCTCAAAAAAGAAAAGATAAATTAAACTAAGTTATTGTTTGTGAAGATTTTATTCTGTGTATATTATTTTTTGGCAAAGAACTATTTATGGATTTGACTTGCCACAACTGTTTACTATTATCAAACATGGAATCGTAGTGAAATTCAAGGAGATTTACTTCTCTAAGCATTTTAAGTAATTTGGTGAATTTTGAATGTTAGGACATTTTTAGGGTAGATTTGGTGAGATTTTAAAGATATCCAGATTATTTACAAGATTTTATCATAATTAGTTAATAAAGTGAGATTTATCCTATTTTTTAAAAGAATATTGAAATATTTTGTGATATCAAAACTTTTTCTTGAAATCTCTTCTTGGCCGTTCTTAAGGTGGATTGATAAGGAAGACTCTGGTTTTGCAGCCTTCTCGGATGCATTTAGTCATTGACAATCTATTGATACCAAAAGGTACATCTCTCAAAGCCAAGACAGTAACTTAACAAGACATTAGTTTATAGAACCTTTAGTTTTGGGTAATAAAGAGCTTAAAGCTTAGATTTTAAGCTTCACAATTGGTTTTCCATTGGTATAGAAGAAAGTATCTTAGGAAGTATATTTTAGATGTTTTTGTTTTCTTTGTTTTTTTCACTGGGATGAATTTAGAACTAATTTTACAAAGAGCAAGTATAAAGGAGACCATACGGATATTGAGTATTACATTGGCCCATTTACATATTTTGTTCGGTAAATCAAGCGTTGGTTTGGGAAATACACAAAACCCTTAATCTTTCATTATAAAAAGACCTTATAAAAGTAATGACTTATGTCATTCTCATGTAAACTTTTGATGCATTTATAATTAAATCAAAAGGCATACATTTTATTCTCTATATTAATAACAATATATTAATCATATCTTATATAATGTACTCATCTACAAAATAAACAAGTAATATATATATATATATATATATATATATATATATATGATAGGCAATGACCTATGATCATCATCAGATTAACACATCATAAACTTATAGTTTCTTCAATAAATAACCTTTTTATTATTCATATAAAGGTGCTTTTATCATTACAATTTCAATCGATTTGGTGGAGGACTTCCACCGCCACCACAACTTTTATCTCCAGGAATACAATGTTTTTTGGAAGTACTATCATCATTTGTATTCGTAGCTACAAACTCATACGCGTTGTCACATTCACAATTCCTACATATATTAGCTATTGGTTCGCAATACACATGTGGACATCCACATTGCCTTCTGCATTCTTCGGTTGTCCCAGACTCACAAAAAACGAATTGCGCAAGATTTTGTCCTTTCAACACAAGAATATAACATAAAATATTATAAAATCATAATCACAGAAATAAAAAGAAAAGTAAAATGAACCAATACACTGACTATGAAATTATAGTTTTCTTTAGCTTTCTCCAAACTCAGATATGAGATGGAGATGTGTATAATTATATTGGTTTGTTTGAAAATTAAAAATACTGATATATTATGCATTTACTTACGAAATGCAAATGCAGCAAGAAGAAGAGAAACACATAATAGCAATTTAGAGGAAATGCTTGTCATTTTTAAATGTAGATTTTTATTTTAGTGTTGATGTTAAAGACTAGATTTCATCTCTTTTTATAATCCAATTTAGGTGATGGCTTTTCTAAAAAAAAAAAAAGATAAATTAAGTTATTGTTTGACCACAAAATCTTGAAGATTTTATTCTATGTATTTTATTTTTTGGTAAAGCCAAATTTATGGATTTGACTTGCCACAACTATTTACTATTAAGTATTAACAAACATGGAATTGTAATGAAATTCAACGAGATTTATTTCTTTAAGCATTTAATTTGGTGCATTTTGAATGTTAGATTTACAAGATTTGGTGAGATTTTAAAGAAATCCAGATTATTTACAAGATTTTATCATAGTTAATTAATAAAGTTAGATTGACCCAGATTTTTTTTTTTTAAATATTGAAATATTTTGTGATATCAAAACTTTTTCTTGAAATCTCTTCTTGACCGTTCTTAAAGTGCATTTATTATTAGTCATTGGCAATCTATTGATACCATAAGGTACATCTCTCAAAGCCAAGACACTAACTTAACATTACCTAACTTAACAAGACATATAGAACCTTTAGATTTTAGATGATTTTATTTTCTCTGTTTTTTTTTCACTGCGATGAATTCAGAACTACAGTTTTACAAAGAGTTGGCCATTCATTTATCAAAAGTTCAAAACCATTCCATTAAGCAAACAAACCTTAAAAGAGAAACATGACTAAACACAATTGATATATGTATAAAACATTCTTGGTTTACGTTGTTTGGCAAAGCTTAGAAGAATACTACATAGAATGCTCACACAAATTGTGTAGCCAAACTCAGAACAAGGAGATTCAGAAGCAAAGATACAAATTTTGGTTGGTTCATGCAAAAATCTAACCCTTCTATAGCTACAAAGACCGGACGATATTTTGTCTCAATACAAACTGAATCCAAAGAACTGGCTGATGATAATCGCCAAACCAAGTCCAATGGCCACAAGAGAAGACGCCCACGTTAGCTTCTCTGTGATCCGAGGAACCTTCTCCTTCAACGCCTCGCTACACGACCCTATAAACACCGTGTAGCTTCCCATAGCAATCACCGTCCCAACCAAGAACATGAACAGAAACGCAGCACCGGCTAACCTAGAAGGCAGAGCAAGCGCAGGCAACACCATCATCAAAGCATCTGGCTGCAGCCCGTGGACAATCCCTGTCGCAAATGTAGCAAACCCAATCTTCTTCTTCTCCTTCTTTGCGCTCTTCTCCAACGTCTCCCCAATCTCCAACGCAACCACACTCGGTTCCGGCATCTCAGAAGCTTCTTTGATCCCCATACCGCCAATCACAAGGAGTGTCAAGCCAACGACTCTCGTACCCCAAGTTCTCAACACTTCAATGTGGAGCCTATCTTTCAGAACCAGAAACAACAAACCAAAGATGAGCTGGCCGGCCTCGTGGCCACATCCCCAGAGAGCTCCAACCGCAGCACTCTCCATCCTCGTCCGTCCAATCGAGAGCGGAGCCAAAGCAGCAAGGTGGTCAGGTCCAGAGAGCGTGTGTAAGCAACCGGCGAAGAAACCAGTCCAGGCACTCGTCAGTATCTCTGTCCTGAGTAGCTTTCCGCCAACAGCGGCGCCGCCGCTAGTCTTAGCTGCGGTTTGAAAGCTAGCGAAAGCAGGTGGCGCAAGAACGGGGTTAAGCAAGAGCAAAGCCACAGCAGAGATTAACATGACTGCTCCAAATGATATGGTCTGCAAGAAAACACATGAAACAATCTTAAAGGAAGTCTTTTTACGGTAAAGTGAATCACTACTAAGCAAAATCCCCTGATCCTAGACTTTCCTCCTCTATCAAACACTTGACAAAGATCCACCAAAGATGCTACAGGCAAGGAGTAAAAGCTAAAAACTTTATGCAATTTGAGATATCTGATCAAAGTAGATGTACAAATATATCCAAATTCCACACCAATGCAGCTATAATATTGCAGAATAAGTTGACGATTGAGTGTAAACAGAGCCTAACAAAGCAAAAGTACGTCGAATATTCAAGTACCCAGTTACAAAAATCGATGCTTTTTGGAGAAGCTGTTACCTTTCGCTGCTGAAACTTCCACTTCACGATCTGTTCGAGAAACCCTGGATTAGGTTTGGACCCGTCGGCTTCTGGAGACGGAGATGGAGCCTCAAGCGACAAATTTCTGGCCTGATTCGATCCTGGAGTCGGTGATGGATTCTGGCGGAAGAGGCAGGAAATGGAGCTGAATCGGCGCGAGGAGGGGAAGGTAAGAGTGGGAGAGTCGAGACGGTGGACGCGGAGGAGCAACGGAGATGCTCTAAACTGAGATTTGGAAGGAGCAAGTGTGGAAGAAGACGGCGGTTGTAGAAGCCTTTCCATGGTGTCTTCTTCTCTTTATCGTCCGATAAGCTTGGAGGCAAAAGAGCTCTCTCTCAATCGGTGTGAAATCTCTGAGAAGCGGAAATGAAGAAGATACTAGAGGGAGACTGTGTTTCTCAATCGGTGAGGATAAAACTTTTTCAAAAAGTTATTTTGTCGCTTAATTACTTTTGTAAATAAATATAAATAAATAAAGCACTATTTTTTGTGATTTTTTATTAATTAATAAAATAATCTTTCGAGTCTACTACACATCATCATTTACATCTTTGCTTCTTCTTCTCTGCAAAAGTTTTCGATTCCTCTCGCACCTGCCAAATTTTTATTATCCGTATTCATTCATCTTCCAAATTTTCTTCATTTTCAATCCAATTCCTTTTAACCATTTTTATAATTCTTTCTCTCGTTTTTTCTAGCGTTTTTGTGATTTATTTATTTGATCAAGACTCTCCAATTGGCTCATCCTTGGTGTTGTGGAATTAAGAAAAGAATCACAGTAAGTCTTCATTTCATGTTTCGAATTTACATCACTTAACGAAAGATTTTGATCAGTTTACTTCTCAGAGTAGGCCGAGATTTCGCTTATTAAATACTTTTCATTTTTCTTCAATTGAAGTCAAGGAATGTGAAAACGTGTAATAACCGTTTGATCCGTATCAGTTTTTCTTGTTCTTGATTTCAGACTTAAGAGTTTTTTGTATTTCCCTTGTTTTTTTCTATAATATTCGTTGAGATGAACCAGTGATCATGTACTCATTGTTGTGAGAATCAAATGTGTTAATTTTGTGACTAATCATTAGCTTCAAACATGTGTGAGATAGGTGATGCATATGGTTTTGTGTTGAGGAATCTCTTAATGTGGTTTATAAGCCAAGATCGAGAGCTAATGGATATGTTTTGATTTTCTTGGTCACAGATTGTTTCTTCAAAGATCACCAAAACCTGTTTAACCAGTCATGTCTTCTAACAATGACGGTAAGCGTCAACATTTTTGTCAAATGTTCTAATCTGTTTTTTCACGCATTCTTGTGAATCACAGTGACAGGTAAAGTCATTGTAATCATGGGCGTAAGCGGAGCAGGAAAATCGTAAGTTTCTCTTTGAAATGTAGATAAAGAGTTTTAAGAAAGTGATTATTCTTCTTGCATTGCTAATTGCTTCTTTATGTCACTTTTTTAGTACCATAGGTAAGATGTTGGGGAAAGCTCTCTCTTGTGATTTTCTTGATGCTGATGATTTTCACTCTCTATCCAACCGAGGTAAAACCAAAAACCGAACGAATCAAAGCTTTTTCATCACTTGAGAAACTGATGTTTTTAACAATTTTCTCGTTGTTTTTTTCAGATAAAATGAGCAAAGGGATTGCTCTTACAGATGAAGATCGGATGCCATGGCTCGGAAAAATACAAGAAAGTTTGCGAAAACGTTTGCTCAATGGAGAAACCGTTGTTCTTGCGTGTTCTTCGTTGAGGAAACAGTATAGAGAAATCTTGAGAGGCTCTGATCCTGATTACAAACCGGGAAGCTATTCGAGTTGCAAGGTGAAGTTTGTGTTATTGGATGGTAATGCAGAGGTGATCGCTGCTCGGTTACAAAAGAGAGCTTCTGGAGGAGAACATTTCATGCCTCTCACTCTTCTTCAGTCTCAGTTTGATCTGCTTCAAGCTGATGATGATTGTGAAAAGATATTCAAGATCAGTGTGGTTTTGAGTCCTGATGTTATAGTTGACTCAATTCTTGAAATGGTACCACATTCTTTGAACACTTGAGAAGCAACTATATGAAATTCTCAGCACATTGTGTTATTACTATTCATCTTTGTATTCAAGATTTACTGTACAATAAGCAAAACTTACTCTTTGAGAGTTCAACTTTCATATTAATTTGGTGTCTTCCTGAAGTTATGGTTAACTCAATTCTTGAAATGGTAACACATTCTTTAAACACTTGAGAAAGCAATTATATTTATATGAAATTCTCAGCAGATTGTGTTATTATTTATTAGTATTCATCTTTGTGTTACACATTGACTACAATAAGCAAAACTTACTCTCCTAGTATTCAAGTTTCGATTTAACAACTTTCATATACATTTTGGTTTCATAATTTTCTCCATTTTTCTTTCTTCTACAAATTTGCTTACATATGAATGCGTAATATCAATTTTTGAATATCATATCCTACTGAAATTGAAACTTTTAATTGCAATAAGAAAGGCCTCAATTGTGGCGTTAGCATATGTACACACAGGTTGTCAATTTCTTGCCGTCTTTGTTTATAAGGCGATGTTGACTGATGACATAGAGTTTGTGGTACAATTTCATTAATAGTAATAAAACGATAAACAATTTGCCTTTGAAAATTGTACCACCAACCAAATATATTTTTGAATGGTAGAGAATGCATGTTCCACTATCACGTAACGACGACTTTGTATTTCCTTTCTTTGTTTTGGTCATTCAACAACTTTGGTTTAAAAGTACATCATATGCTTAGTCAATAATTAATGATTGCTTGTATTCTTTGTTAATCGGTTTAAACTGGAAAACCACTCGTTGACATTTTTGTTTTACATTTTTAAGTCTTTTACACTCAATTATTCAAAATTCACTTTTACTTTCCCCGCGTATATATTCTCACCGGTCTATATCAATATATTGACTATTCAAAAGTCAAATAGTCATTACATTTCAAGAAACAGAGAGTAATGTCCTCAAAACCAAGAACGGTGATTGCGTTGGAGACATCCATGGACACATAACAAAGCTCAACAAACTCTGGTCTAATCTTCAACACGCCCTAGACCCATCAGAATTCAGCTCAGCTCTCGTCATCTTCCTCGGCGACTACTGCCAGGGCCGGCCCGTAGCTAAGGCCAGCAAAGCCCACGCTTTAGGCGCCAAATAATATTAGTAATTTAGGGGCGCCAAAAGCAAGAAAATGCTTAGTAGTGTAGTGGTAAAGTATATATCTTACACCTCTAGAGGTGGTGGGTTCGAAACTCGTGGTAACATTTTGTCACTTTCCTATTTATTAATGGGCCAACAAAGTTATTTGTGCCGGAAAGTTATTTTTGGTATTTGGTTTTAGAAACTTGTTTTGTTTTGTATCGTTTGATATTAGATTTGATGGAGGCTGTACCAGAGAGTCACAAAGAGTTCTTGAGAGATTTGGTTTGGTTTCACGAAGAGGTAACAACTTCTTTTTGGTTTTTCGTGTCTCAAACTTTGGACTTATTTGATCAATCTCTCTTACAAACGTTTCAGCAATGATAATTCCCACTAACGATGTCCACATTGTTGTTTTTCGTGTCTTGCAGGATGATGTCAGTATAGAAACAGAGAAAGGGCTTAAGCATTGTAAGTTGATTGCAGTACATGCTGGTTTGGAGAATAACAAGAGCGTTGAAGAACAACTTGAGATCTTGAGAGCTAAAGACACAAGCATCTCGAGAATTGAACCTTTGAGTGGTAGGAGAAACGTTTGGGACATCCCACAGGTTAGTAAAAACATTTCAATCATTTATTTTGTTAAGATCTTGTAGAGTTACTAAAACATTTTTTTTTCAGGAATTACTGGAGGATAAACAGACTGTTATAGTCAGTGGTCACCATGGGAAACTTCACATCGATGGCTTGAGATTGATCATAGATCAAAGCGGTGGATACAAGGATTTACCTTTGGCTGCAATTGTTCTTCCTTCTAAGAAGATTGTCGAAGACACAGATGACTCATCCTATATATTGTCTTTCTGGTGTTTTTCACCTTTTAAGAAAGTTTTTTCCTTTTTAAGATTTCACTTTGCTCTTCCAATAACATTATATTTTTGTCTTTTACAACAGATAAGCTCACATTCGTGTTTAACACTTGTGTGACTCGTGTTAAACTTAAAACACTAGACTTTGTTTAAAGCTTGAAGGTAGACTTATTAGCCTGGACAAGGACAACAACCAAGTCGACATAGCTAGATCTATTAGACTTATGAGCGTGAATCTTGACGTTCAAAATCGACGACTTTGACTCTGATGCATGGATGATTCTTGTAATCTTTCCAGACTGGAAAATACCATATTATTGTCTTAGCGTGTCTCTCAAGGGAAACACGTAATCGTGTTGGTTTCCTGCATATAGCTAGAGATGAGTCTTTTTTAATCTTTACCTTGTATTGGAGATGTTGTGAGTCTGTCTAGTGTTAGAGAAGAGCAGCTTGCTGTTTCTTTTGCTCTTTTATCATCTTCTTAATTTCAAAAAGATTATTTAATTTAAATACTCAATTATTGTTTCATCAGTTTCTCCATTTTATTTCTTCAACAGTTTGTGTACATATTAATATGTAAAGAAAATTTTACATATCTTACCGAAAGTGAGTGAAGGAAGAGGATTCTGTGTAGGTCTATAAGAAGAATCCGACAAGGAAGATGGTGGAGGAGATCCACATTATTGAGCTAAAACTGGAGAAAAGCAAGCACAACCGATTCAATAATAATTTTAGAAACTACAATGATTAGTTATGGAGTATTTATTTGAATAATTGAAGACCATATCAATTCTACTCCAACAGACAAGTACCAGCTGTTGTATTCTTATGTCATCGAAAAGAATATAAAAAAAAAGACACTAAACTTAGAGGCTAGAGTAGATGTCAAATAGACAAATACTTGTAGTTGTAGTTAACAAATATATGCTTTGGTTCGATATAAAAATGCAAAATGTCTATTGGAACTTATAAGACATCATCATTACAATAAAACAAATTTTAATTAAGGTTAGTGTGTGCATTAAGGCATTGCGTTTGCTGGTGCATGAGTGGTGCCATCCTTGTAAGCTCTTGTTTCCCATTTCTTCAACTAATTTAAATATATACTCAATAGATTAATTTTACACTGTTTAAATAGGAATGGTTGGTTGTTCTTGTGTTCATGAAACTAAGAAGGTTTATTTCTTGAAATGAAAAAAAAATTATGGATATTTTACCAATTATTGTTATGATTTTCAAATTTAGTTTACATATATACTTCTAAATGTACACATTTCATAGATTGGTTAAAACATAAATTATTTATTTAAAATAAAGGGAGCTAACTTGTTAATAAAAACATTAAAATATATGAAGTTATTCAATTATTCAGCCAAAAGTGGAGAAAGCCAGCACAACCGATTCCATAACTTTTCTTTTCTCTTTGTGGGTCAAATTTGACAACAAAAGTATAAAAAAACCATAGTGGATGTCCAAAAAAAGAACATAATTTGTTTAAATAATGATTAGTTACGAAGTATTAATTTGAATAATGAAGACAAGATCAATTCTACTCTAACAAACGTGTACCAACTGTTGCATTTCTTATGTCATCAAATGGAAGACCTTATCTTCATTTTCACATTTTCTGTATAGTTTTTTAATCGCATCATTAGAATTAATCTTCGGTTTAGTTTCAGGCCATCGTCTCCTTCTTCTTCTTTCCTTCTTCCTCTTCTCACATCGTCTCTGATTATCTCCGACAAATCCAGACTTTCCTAGAAAATTCAAAGACCGATACTCTCTTCCTCATTCATGGCTGTTACCCTGGAAGTTTTCCCGGCGAGAAAACGGCGTCCGTTCGTCGTCGGGTCTCTCGATTCTCCTCCGAAGATATCAGATACCAAATTAGTCCGGTCACTTCTCCTCGCGTCACAAGAGATTTCCTCTATGCAACCTCTCCGTTTCATCCTGCGACGGAATTCTCTCTCCGTCATCCGCAAGGCGAAGATACTAGCGACGGTTTTCGACGAGCTTCTCCGATCTCCGATAACCTACTCGCAATCCGCTCAGCTCTGCTTCGAGGAAATGCAAATCGTGATGCAACGTATCAAAACTCTGATCGAAGACTGCTCAAGGTCAAGCAAACTCTGGCTGCTCTTACAGATCGAAAACGTTTCCTTCAGTTTCCAAGAGCTCACCACAGATTTATCCACCGTCCTCGATATTTTACCGGTCAATGACTTCAACCTCAGTGACGACGCCGAAGATCTCATCGTCCTCCTCAGAAAACAATGCTCCAATTCGATTCAGTTCGTCGACCCTCGCGACGATGCTCTCCGACGAAAAGTCACCGATACAATCGACGGAATCAAGCATCGAACCACTCCGGATCAATCGAAACTAATCGAGATTTTCACCGATTTGGGTTTCCCCGATTCCGCTAGTTTAAACGACGAAATCCAGAGATTGGAAGATGAAACTCATGATCAGATCGACGAGAGATCCAAATCGTCGGCTTCCTCCCTCATCGGACTCGTGCGATACACAAACTGCGTTCTATACGGTCCATCGACGCCATCACCACCTCCTCCTCATCCTGATTTCCGCCGCTACAAATCGTTATCAGACGCAAACATCCCGGCGGATTTCCGATGTCCGATCACACTAGAGCTAATGAGAGAACCGGTGGTGGTTTCCACCGGCCAGACTTACGATCGAGAATCGATCGATCTCTGGATCCAATCAGGTCACAACACTTGCCCCAAAACAGGCCAAGTCCTTAAACACACTAACCTCATACCTAACCGCGCATTGAAGAATCTGATCGTCATGTGGTGCCGTGATCAGAAGATACCGTTTGAGCTATACGGAGACGGTGGCGTTGGGTCGTCTCCTATTCCATGCAAGGAGGCGGAGGAGTTTACGAGGATGATGGTTTTGTTTTTGATCGATAAGCTCTCCGAGGCAGAGCCAAACGGTGTCGTTTTCGAGCTTCGCGCTCTCGCTAAGTCAGACTCGGTGGCTCGAGCATGCATAGCCGAGGCTGGAGCCATACCGAAGCTGGTACGTTATCTAGGCTCGAAGTCTCCGAGCCTGCAGATAAACGCTGTGACGACGATTCTCAACCTCTCCATCTTGGAACTGAACAAAACAAGGATCATGGAAACAAACGGAGCTTTAAACGGCGTTATTGAGGTTTTGCGTTTTGGCGCCACGTGGGAAGCTAAAGCAAACGCAGCCGCGACTTTGTTCAGTTTGGCTGGCGTTTCCGCTTACAAACGAAGACTCGGGAGAAAGACACATGTCGTGAACGGATTGGTTGACTTAGCAAAAATGGGTCCCACGAGCTCGAAAAAAGACGCGCTCGTGGCTATACTGAACTTGGCGGCGGAGAGAGAGAACGTGGGGAAGTTCGTTGAAGCTGGGGTGGTGGAGGCCGCTAGAGATGCGTTCCGGGAGCTGCCGGAGGAGGCGGTGGCGGTTGTGGAGGCGATTGTGAGGAGAGGAGGACTCATGGCGGTGTCAGCAGCATTTGGTCTGATAAAGCTATTGGGGGAGTTGATGAGGGAAGGAGCGGATACAACGAGGGAGAGTGCAGCGGCGACGTTGGTGACGATGTGCCGGAAAGGAGGGTCGGAGTTAGTGGCGGAGCTGGCGGCGATTCCAGGGATTGAGAGGGTTATATGGGAGATGATAGGGACGGGAACGGCGAGGGGAGGAAGGAAAGCTGCATCATTGATGAGGTACTTAAGGCGATGGGCTGCCGGAGATACTCATGAGACAGCGGCGGAGACACAGAGCATCGTTGTGCCAACGCCTAATAGGATTTTTAATCCTGTTTTGTGATTTATGATTTTTGTTTTTCCCCCTTCGTTTTCGGTGTAAAGTTTAATTTTTTTTTTTTCCTTTGCCATAGAGAAGAAAATGATTCTTTTACAAGATGTAAATGTTATTGGAGAAAATAAAAATAAAGAGGTACTCTTACAAAGATGAAAGCCGAGAACAAAATTGATCAATTTCATTCTAATGTTGGCTGAAATCTTAGTCTATAATAGCAATTAGGCTGAAAGCCTACACAAATTAGGCTACACAAATTCGTGTATTGTTTTTTCTAGATTCTTATACTAGGTGTGTGATCAAAACAGTATGTCTTTGGTGCTCCTTTAAGGCGATATAACAAGGTTGTCGACCTTGAGAAAACAACCATACCAGTGATTAATAAAGGTTTACTGATTCCGGATATCATTAGTTCGGATTTTTGTTGTGTTGTGGACTTTAAATATTTGATAAAAAATTTCTTATATAATCAAACAGTTTGATTTTTCATAAAAAATGTTGATTATACATAATTGAATAGAAATAGTAAATTTTAACTAAGTTAGCAAATTATCATCTAAATGATTAGGATGTATAAAGTATTAGCCGAGATAAATCATAGATGGAGAATAAAACAACATAAAAAAAAATTGTGCCAAATGGGAACAACTTCCAAATAAAAGGTGATTCAACTCAAGTTTGGAAAATCATCAAGAGAGTCATGAGTGGATCTTTAACGTGTGTGATGCCTCAAGATGAATGTGCTATAGCAAATCCAAGAGCTTTAAGGACATGTACAACTACAACATTCCCAACCTGCATGTATTAGAATAACATTGATAAATATCACAAGGATAAGCGTTCATCATATGCCTCTAGGGAGAAAGGAGTGAGATATGATGGTGTTTACCGAATCGAAAAATGTTGGAAAAAAGTTGGAATACAGGTTTAGATAAAGCTAACAATCTTAACTCTTTATTTTAATTCAGCGCTCGCTTGATTTTCTTTCCTTCTAGAATGTTGATTGTTGATTTTTGTTTTCTCCCTTTCGTTTTCAGTGTAAAGTTTAAAGATTTTTTTTTGTTTTCTTTTGCCATAGATAAAAAAAAATGATTCTTTTAGAAGGTGTAAATGTAAATGTAACTCAGAAAAAAATAAAACAAAGTTTCTCCACTGAATTTAACACCCGGCAATCAAATTGAAAGTTTTTCCAGAAAAATGTTGATCATACATAATTATATAATTGAATAGTATTAGTAAATTCTAACTAAGTCGCAACAAATTCTCATCTAAATGATTAGGGATGGATAAAGTATTAGCCGAGATAAATCATAGATGGACAATAAAACAACATAAAAAGGGTTCGTGCCAAATCAGAACAACTTCCTAATGAAGGGTGATTTAACTCAATTTCGGAAAATTATCGGAGAGAGAGTAAGAAGTGGATCCTTAATTACTGTTAATGATGCCTCATAATGCTTATGCTAAAGCAAATCCAAGAGCTTTAACAACATGTACAACTGTGGCATTACCAACTTGCATATATCTGAATAACGTAGATATATACGTAAAATTAGCCTATCAAGTATGAAATAATAATATCAGAAATCCATTATGACATAAAGATATGCTATAAACATTATGATTAAACTCGATTTATAATAACATATTCACAAACATGATTGAAACTCGTGAGGGCAGTTACTTACTTTTGCTTCGTAGGCCCAAAAAGTTTATAGTAATCAGATAAATCTTGGAGCCTCGCATTTTCACGAACAGTCAAGACACGATTTTGGACTGGGTGGATGATAACCTTTGATAATGAACATAATTATCGGTGAATACTCTTTAAATTATTTTCAATGTTAGATGCACATGCCTAAGAAATCTATTGATTCTCTATTTTGTAGTCTTGGAGCTAAATTCTCAGATCGATTAATATACTCAACTTGTATTACTAATCTTGAACTTAAGGAGTTTATGTCATCTGTTGTTTGTAAAGACAAAAGAGGCACAAAAATTCAACAGAAAGGACATAAATCGCACTAGATATACAGACAATTGACACAAGCATGTTTCCAAATGGAGTGATAATGATTGACAGTGGAATTGATGGCAAATGTCAAACAATCTTTTTTTTCTTCTTATAGACACAAAGTAGCAAACTTCGTTTTTACGTTTATGGATCTTCCAAATCAACAATTACCTTTCTTTGAAGTTGTTTCTATATGGTCCCAATCTTCTTGGGCATTCTCGAATTTATGAAAAAGATACATGGGCAGAAAGTCTACAATAAACACATCAAATGCTGTTTTAGAGTACTGATTCGGGAAACCATCATAAAAACATGGCATTATGGAAAAATCAATTACAATACATTTGACAATTCAAAGTTTTCAATCGGTTGGAAAAATTTATGTTTCAATACATGCTTATGGACATTGGTTTGACCAAATTATTGCGCCTAAGCCATTGCGCAAATCAGGTTTGGGTTGACCAAAAATAGAAATATTATTTTACGTTACATTATGAAAATGTCCGTCTCGTGAGGTAGGTGAAATGTCAGAGTGGGCTTTTACAGGCCCAAAAACTCATAAAGCTCACATACATGCTGGTTTTTCAACAATAAAACGCCACAGCGTTCATTTGTAGGAATTACAAACAGCATCGTAACTCGTTTCTGACCGCCAAGCTCAGAAGATCTCTCAGCCTCTTTGTGGCGGGAAAATAGACTCAGAGACCAGTGAAAGAGAGAGAGAGAGAGAGGAGAGAGTGAGACGGAGAAGGAGAGAGAGAAAAGAGTAGATCGGAAAAGAGTGAGAGAGGGAAAGATGGCGGATGAAGCGGGAACGGGAACGGGAACGGATCAGGTGGAGGAGGAATTCTCTGTGTGGAAGAAGAACACACCATTCCTCTACGATCTTATGATCTCTAACCCTCTCGAATGGCCTTCTCTCACCGTCCATTGGGTCCCATCGACGCCGATTCCTTACGCGGCGGATCCTTACTTCGGCGTCCACAAGCTTATCCTCGGCACCCACACTTCCGGTGAGGATCATGATTATCTCATGGTCGCCGACGTCCTTATCCCCACACCCGACGCAGAACCGGGGTTAGGTCGCTCAAACCAGGATCCCATACTCCCTAAGGTAACTTTGACTCTTTGGAGATTCATCATTTTCGGCGATCTTCGTAGCTCTTGTTATATGCGCACCATGTGTTCGACAAAATTACAAAATGAAATTGTTAATGAACATGATTAATGAGTTTTAGTTTCTGAAATATGGAATTTTGAATCTTTTGTTCATGTTTATCTGGTTATCCGATTTGTTTGCAGGTGGAGATTAGGCAGAGGATACGTGTTGATGGAGAAGTGAACAGAGCACGATGCATGCCTCAAAAGCCGACGATTGTGGGTGCAAAGACAAGTGGGAGTGAGGTGTTTCTGTTTGATTACGCGAAACACGATGCTGCGAAGGCTCAAGCAAGTGATTGTGATCCTGATCTGAGGCTATTGGGGCATGACAAGGAAGGTTATGGATTGTCTTGGAGTCCTTTCAAGGAGGGTTATCTTCTGAGTGGCTCACAGGATCAAAAGATTTGCCTTTGGGATGTTTCAGCTACACCGCAAGATAAGGTTTTGAATGCAATGTTTGTGTATGAGGTAAGTGGAACCAATACTGTTGTTATCTTTTCTCTTGTTTCTAGAAGATGAGGACTAGTCTAAAACTGCGACTTATTTTACTTCGTTGGTATGGCTTCTAGGGACATAAAAGTGTTATCGAAGATGTATCGTGGCACATGAAGAATGAGAACCTTTTTGGATCTGCGGGTGATGATGGTAGATTGGTGATATGGGACATGAGGACAAACCAGATGCAACACCAAGTCAAAGTTCATGAAAGAGAGGTAGAAACCAGAAACCATCTCTAATGTGTGAATATGCAATCAAATATTGGTATGGCAAGCCACATGTCCTGTATTTGTGGATAACCATAAGTCATTGACCAAGCTCTCTTGTGTGTTATCAGGTGAACTATCTGTCTTTCAATCCGTTCAACGAATGGGTTTTAGCCACAGCTTCCTCAGACTCCACTGTTGCCTTGTTTGACCTCAGGAAGCTGAATGCACCTCTGCACGTCTTGAGCAGCCACGAGTATGTCCGTTTATGCTCTCTACCTCCTTTAGTAAAACTGTAAACGACCATTTGCTGTAGAATCCACCATTTGTAATGAATGATTTTGATTTACAGGGGAGAGGTTTTCCAAGTGGAGTGGGATCCAAACCATGAAACAGTGCTTGCATCTGCCGCTGAAGACAGAAGGCTTATGGTCTGGGACATAAACAGGTAACGTCATCTCCTTTTTGGAACTTAAAAACTTGACCTTTTATTGTGAAGATTGTGCAACGTTGAGTAAGGCTTCGTTTTGGGGGTTTTACAGGGTTGGAGAAGAGCAGCTAGAGATAGAGCTAGATGCAGAAGATGGTCCACCTGAGTTACTCTTCTCTCACGGAGGCCACAAGGCTAAGATATCAGACTTTGCTTGGAACAAAAACGAGCCTTGGGTCATTGCGAGTGTCGCTGAAGACAACAGTCTTCAGGTGTGGCAGATGGCCGAAAGCATCTACCGTGACGAAGATGATGCTGAGGCCGATGAAGACATCAAACAAGATGCATAATAGACCAAATAAATTTAAGAAATGATATAAGATCTCTTAAGTACTTGAGTCGTTACGTGCTTTAGACAATTTCAAACAGACAGAATTTGTTTGCGCTTGTTTTTGAACTAACTTCAACCATTTTCTGTTTGTTAATGTATCAGTGTTTGGGATTTTGATGATTTTCCTTTTATATCTGTTCCAAAATCGAATTTACCTAACTCAAAACCATGACCGTAGAGGAACAATAATTCAAAATATTAAGGAAAAAATTCAGAAGACAATAATTTCCAGACAAACGGTCTGGAAATTTCATATCCTTCAAACCGTACTTCCAGTGGCCGATAATTCGTCCCATGGCCTTGATGGCAAATTGATAACCTCCAAGTTGCATACAAAGTTGCTTCGCCATGGGTTCGGTAGTAGCCGTTTCTCCAACTAGTTTGGAAAAATACTTCCAAGCATCATCACAGCTTAGGAAGTCAAGCTTCACCACGTGGTCAACGGCAAGCCTCCGACACACAGCTCGGTCCCTTGCAGTAATGAGAATCTTCACTCTCACCCCATTCCCATTGTTTCTCCATGGAATACCCAAAACATCCAAATCGATGGACTTGACATCGTCGATGATGACGAGACACGTTTTAAAACTCTGCAACTTGCGATAAATCCTACGAAAAATCACTGCTTCTCAAGTCTACTTCTTCAGCAACCCAAATCACTAGATCTACTTTTAGAGCTAAACCACCTTTATAAAGCTCGTCGTTCAAAGTCCTCGCAGTTACCGATTTTCCAGACCCTTGTAAGCCCCACAGAGCCACCCTGTTAACCGCATCGCAGTTATTATTTAGTAAAGTTTACTAAATAACCGCATCGCAATGAGCCCCTACTTCAATAGAAACTTTACTAAATAAAAACTGCCATCAAGTGATTTTAGTTTTTTTCTTCTATTTAGCTCGTCGTTATTAATATCTTCTCTCTACTTTAGCAACACATCAAGTGATTTTAGGAGCAATGAGCTTAATAAGAGGGTTCCAAAAAAAACTTATTAATCCAAAGGCAACAATCAATCTCTTCTATAAGAAGTTTGAAAAGAAGCTATTAAAGTACATAATCAAATGTCAAATTCGAATTGAATATTAACAAGTTTTGCAGAAAGCTATGAGCTCAACAAGGAAATGCAATGACATTAAAAAAAAAAAAAAAAAAACAGAAGAGATAAAAAGAAATTGATAATAGCACTAAGGGACATGGAGGGAAAACTGGCCATGCAGTTGAACTGATTACTACTTATTAGAAAGTCTCTACTCTTGCCAAAATGGATAGTATGATTGATGATTGATCCTTCAAACTGCTTTCGCTGCTCGAGTCCCACCTGTTGCAAGAACAAACACACTGAGTTCTCACACTTAAATCCACACAAAACAGAAATTAAAAGAGCCTCATGCAAGAGAACATAACAGTTTGGCTTCATAGTCTAAGGCAAGAATCAACAAGGCAAGTTTATGGAGCTACAAAGATAGAGATCCTAATGTATTAGAGACTCACCTTTTCGCTTACTAGCACCGGATGCATCAACACTGAATGTTCCATTTCCATTACTACAGTCAGGGATCTCCTTGTCAGCTAAACTCTGATTACCTAAGCACTGTAGCTGATCAAACTCACAACCATTGACCCCTTGCTCATTCATCGAAACACCTTCTCCTCCAGTATTCCCATTTTGAAGGCAGTACAAGTTATCAACATCGCATGGCATATTGCAAGGATGCATCATATACGAGAAAGGAGCCGCAGGTTTCTGATAAGGAAACGAACCAATCTCTCCTTCAATCCTTCCTCTTATGTCAACAAGCAAACACTTTAGCCTCGTGACCTCAGCTTCCAATGCAGCCTGACCTTGCAACCTCTTCAAAAGCTGATTATTCACAGCTCTAAGCCTTATCACTTCGTCCTCCAACGAAGCCGCTTTAGCCTTCTTCTTCTCTCTATACTTCCTAACCGCTTCTCTGTTCCCCAAAGGTCTCTTGTTGCTCTTCTTCCCTGAAGATTCAGATGTGTCGTCGGTGGAGAGTTTGTCTTCGCTCTGCGCGGGGAGGATCTTGGTGTGCATGTGGAGACATGTGTGAGTGTGTGTGTTCTCTGGTCCCGGAGGGTTGCAAGTGTGAGTGTGAGTACAAGCATGAGAATCCTTGAGAAGCTCATCGAAGAAAGAATCCATGGAACAGTTGCTGAGAGGCAATTCAGGCATATTCGAATTCGAAAAAGCTTCCTGATTCGAGAACTCAAGCTCACCGTCGTCCATTACAGCAAAACCCAGATACAAAGTTTTAACCTTTTAACTCTTTTGATTGATCTTAAACCCAAAAAGGAAGAAACTTTCGAGCTTCTCGATCAGATAAAGACCTATTTTTTCAGACGGAAAACACATAAATGAAAACGATTCAGGTCAAAATCAAATCATCAGCTGAAAACAATTCAAGCGATTGAGAAGAAGCTGAAATCTAATCATCGGCTGAGAGTGAATTGGGAGAAATTTCGTACCTTTGTAACCGTGGAGTCCCGGAAATGTGAAGGGATCAGTTCAGAGCACTGAATTGGAAGAAGACTTTCACGAGAAGTGAAGCAGAATCGACATTGCGAAACCTAATTTGGAATTGAGAAAGTGGTGGGTGAATCGGCGAGAAGGGTTTAGAGAGAGAGAATGGGAGGATTAGAAAAGGGAACCCTAGAAAACGAAAAGGTGCTGTAACAATGATGATAGAGGCGAATTAACAGATGGCAACATTTCCATGGCGGAAAGACATGGACGTACGAAAAGGGATTTTGAGTTGCAGAGAGATGCTGTAATTAATTCGTATCAAACTTTGATTTGATTTTTCAGCTTTTTCGTTTTAACCCATCGTTTTATTAAGGATTTTGTGAAAAAAAAAACCGTCCACTTAATTAAAATTGCAAAATAAACCCTTAATATTTTTTTATGCAGGTCAATCCCCTAACTCTTAAATCACTCGCTAAATAACCAATGGATGTCTCATTCTGGGCCCTGAAAAAAACATGAAACCCTGCGTTTTGGACAATAAAGGGACTCAGTTTTCTTCAACGTTAGATATACAACATCCCATTATATTTTTCTGCGTATGTAAATTTCCTTCAAAACTTAAACTTTTAAAAACTGAAATGTTGAAACTGAAGAAAATATTGGATGTTGTTGATAAGCAAATTCTATTTGAAAAAAACTGTAATTGTCACATTGCTTAAGTGGAGAAGGAAAGCTGAGAATCTTCAAAGTGAATATGATGCATTTTTGGCACAACAGCCCGTATTTGGTGCAGTTCAAAGTGAGTATGATGTCTTCTCTCATTTGGAGACGACTTATGACTTCTTGACAGCCAATAGTAAGTCGTTATTTACCCTGTATCCTAATGATTGCAACATCAAGGTAGGCGAGTTTGTTTGTATGCTGGTAGCACTAGGCATTATAGTGCACTTCAGCGACGATGGTGGGGATTATGGGGATTCTTTATTGGACGGGGATCTTTTGCTTAGTGAATTGAAAAGTATGTTTTTCTTAGAAGATGGAACTGAAGATAAGACTGTTAGAGTGCAAAGTGTGGTGCAAGTATTGTTCAGATGAACCTTTCCTCTTTTTTTTTTTTTTCTTTTTTTCAAAGTTCTATTTGCAATTACGTATTCTGTAAAGTTGAACCAAATGGAATGGGAAATAATTCATTTAGTCAATCATCGACAAAAACACTTTAAATTTTGGTTAAATCATTTTTCATTTACAAGTGTAAATTAGTCCAGAAAACGAGTTGCTAAAATTTCACACAAAAATAAAGTTGATGTTTCAACAGTTTCTAACACGACAAAAAAAAAAGCACAACATGCAGTATTTTCATGGTTAATTTTAGACAATTATATTTTACATCATCAGAAAGAAACTAAAACTATTTGTTAAAACAGAGAAAAATATTTGTATTCCATCAAAAAGCCAGATAATTAGCTCAGCAATCACCATCTACACTATCTTTTTCCTTTCTTTCTTTTTTCTTACTTTTCCTTTGAAATTTATCTTAACATGGTTGATGTGAAGTAGTGATCGTGAAAGAAGTACCTTTATCAAAAATAGTCATAGTATTTGATTCGAGGTTCTTGATCTATGTTTTCTGGTTAATGGAGGATTATCTTATTCGATTAGTTTTTCCATAGATTCTATATGCTCTATGTTTTCTATTATTGCTAGGTTTTAAAGTCGGGCATTAACTTGTTCCTTACCTATCTTCTGTGGTCAGGAATGACTCCAAAAAAGTTCTCAAATCATTTGTTCGTAGCATCGGCTGCCAATAAATTATCATGATGCTTGAATTTTATCAAAAGATGCCATTAGTTTATCAACTGTATATTTTCAAATAAGTTTAGAAATCATCAGAAATCTCTTCCTATTAAACTATGCATAAGCAAAAAAGTTGACTGCATGAGTAACTTTAGTCACACTCAAACTTTAATCATTATTTTCTAAGTTTTATTCTCCTCTTCATATCTACACAAAAAGAAAAAGAAAAATAAGTTTTCTGACAATGGTAGCAAAAGCCAAGTCTGAATATTGATGTCTAGCTTCATCTGATTGCAGAGACCGTAAGAGATGACGTGATCAATAAGAAATCCCGAGACACTAAGCACAAGCCCTAACTAAGACTGAAGCTCCAGGGAGGAAGAAGAAGAAGAAAAGAGACTATGGTTACTTCTCTCCAAGCTACCGATTGAAACAGAGTCATTATCCTCCACGTCGAGCATCGCCAGGCTCAAGTGTAATTCTGTGTTCGAATTTGGGTAAACCTCATCATCGAAACAATCTTCATCTTCTTCTACTTTCTTCACCCATTTCTCTATTTCATCTTCTCCTGTTAGCAGCTTTAGTATCTACATTTAACGTTGATGCGAAAGAGATTTAAAAGGTTAGATCTCGCCACAGTTCAGGGATTATAAGTTTGGCAATAAACCTCTCTGATATTGGGACGATGAGTGGCTGCTCTATTGAGACAATGTGTAGCAGCAAGAACCATCTTATGAAACTGATGCTCATCAAAATCTCCTAAGATGTTCGGATCCAAGAGCTCTTTTGCATGGCCTTTTTCGATAATCGGTTTTGCCTGCAACCCAAGTAATCCTCTTTATGAGTTTCTGAGTAAGGATTGCTTATACTACAAGTAACCAAAAACCAACACTTACCCACATGACCAAACTCTCTTGTCCTCTTGGGCTATCAGTAGAAATAGGAGTCCTCCCTGACATGAGCTCAAGCAAAACAACTCCAAACGCATAAACATCGACTTTATCGCTGACTTTCCCGTACATGAAGTACTCAGGAGCTAGGTATCCAAACGTCCCCACCACGTCTCTTTGTATCGTGTATCGACAAGACTTTGATCCCCACATAGAAAGCCCGAAATCCGAAAGCTGTTCTCACAAAAAGATCCGAAAATGGTTAAATCTTTATTAGCCTTTGCAGAGATTCTTACGAGGTCATAGTCATTAATGCTCAATACCTGAGGTTCAAATTCATCTGAGAGAAGAACATTCGAAGATTTGACATCTCTATGGATCACAGGATTAGAACATTGGTTATGGAGATAATCAAGTGCTTCACCTAATCCAATTGCTATCTTGAATCTTTCTTCCCATCTCAATACATGCTTACCTACAGGAATTAAATGATCATACATAATATATACTAGTGCAATTTTGTCAAGCTGCTTAAAGGGAGTAGATGAATGATGATTGTGCTTACCCTGTAGAGTGTCCTCCAAGCTTCCTCTGGATGAGAGATTGTAAACGGAGATTAGGTCATTGTTCCGGACACAGACACCGATCAAAGGAGAGATGTTTTGGTGACTCAATGAAGAGATTATGCTCACTTCATGAACAAAATCCTTCACTGCTTCTTTTACAGATGATTTCAAGATCTTCACTGCCACAGCTTTGCCGTCTTCAAGAAACCCTTTGTAAACTTCGTTACATCCTCCTTTTCCGATCAGATTCTCTATATTCGGAAAAAACCAAGAATCCAATGAAAAGAATGTAGCTGAGAACACACACACACACACGCACACAGAAAAAAACAGAGTAGTTAGTTAGTACCTGAAGAGAAATCTGAAGTTGCTGCCTTAAGAACATCGTAGCTAAACCATCTGTCTATTTCCTTTAGTATGTCTTTAAGTTGTTTATCGCAAAAGCTCAGATTCGGATGATGTGGAAACCGTTCAGGCAAGTTCATGACCCAATTGACAACTGATATTTTCCGAGTCTGATGTTGAACTACTGGAGTAACCAAAGTGGTTGATCTTAGCAATGGCCAACCTGGTTTCTGATCTATAACCTCTACTGATGGAAGAGAGAGAGATCTTCCTGAAACCTTCCTCTTCTCTTGGCATGTTGATTCTTTGGATGTCAATTCGCTATCTTTGTCTGAAAATCCATCAGAAAGTTCAGAACTTGGTGTTGAAATCATTTTTTGAGCTGCAAGAAGTATCAAAACCAATTTCTTGTCAACAGATTCGAGTTTTGAAGAATGTTTTATAAAGACTTTATATATAGATTCAACGAACCAAGTGGTAGTTGGTAATGGTTGGAACGTCTAAAGACTATATTTCCTCTGTGGATGGCCACAACATCAGTTGTTGGAGGAAGCTCTTTTGCGCAGCCTTCAGCTATTTTTAGACTAATAAAAAAAAATTAATTATCTAAAATCAGCAAAGAGAATATCCAGAATGGGGTTAGTTTGCTAGATAGCCAAAAAAGTTAGCAAGATTATTTCCAAAATAATATCATTGACAAAATTGTGGCTACCTTAAAGCAATCCTGAAATCATTCTTATTTCTTTACATTTTACCAACAAATTTTGGCTACCTTAGCAAATTAACTCTATTGTTTAGATTTCGAATGTTTAGTAGATATGCTCACCTTAATTTTCTTTGATGTTTAACTCCAAGAATAATGGAATTAGCATTGTATCTCTTTGCTTCTTTAACTAAAGTTTCTTGAGCTGAATTTCCCTTCAAAACTTCTCCTTTGAGCTCAATCTGTTATGAAAAATCGATTTTTCTCTGTTACCCATTGCTCAAAATCGTGTCTTTATGTGGATGTGAAGCAGAAGAAAAAGATCTATAGATACCTTCTTTGTTGAGCAGAATTCACTGTAAAAGTCTAGGTACCGATCCAACGATGACTTGCTCTTCAAGGCACGATCTGTACCAGATCACTCAGAATTAGATTTTGTAAATCACAAACTAAACAAAAAATAAACTTAATTAGCAAGGAGGAGAAGAAGAAGAATAACTTACGAGAAGTAGAGCAAACATGAACAACAACAACACAATCTCCATGTGCTGCAACTTCTTCAAGTGCCCATTTCAAGATCTTTTTGCCACTATCATCGATTTTAATCCCAACCAATACAATATTCCTCTTCTTCACATTCACATTATCCACTTTTCTGTTTTTCTCCACCGCCATTTTTTGTTCTCTCTCGCGGTTCTTTTCTTTTACTAATACAAAATGCAATTGCAGATGAATCAATGGCTTAGTCGATACTGAATAAATTAAGAAAAAATATTATACTTTATATTTGTTCTTTAAATAATCATTTCTGTAGGGAAGTTGAAAGCTAGAAAAGTCAGAAACTTGATGTTGCAACTACTATTAGATACAAACAAACAGAAACTCCAGAGTAGAGAAAGAGAGAGACACTTGAAAATTCAAAGAGCATTTAAAGGTAATAAAAATAAGCAAGTTGGATTTTAAGAAGATACACGATGAGCATTAGGAGACAACATAGTATCACCTAAATACTCTGTATTTAATATTAAATTTTGTCTTCAATACAGAAATAAATTGATAGTTTTGCTGCCATGTGCCATCAGCATTTTTACCTGCTTCTGCCACGACTCATAAAACCAGATAGACTGACCCAAAATAAAATCATAAAATAAGAAGAAGAAGAAGAAAACTTACATTAAAGGTCTTGATTTTTCTTTTCTTTCTTTTTTTGTGATAATTGAGGGACCTGATATTTTCTTAAAGGTAAATGCTGATCTTCTTCTCTTATACTCTTCTAAGGAAAATAAAGAAGATTGGGCTTCTTTTCTTGTTTTTTTTTGTATTGAATGAAAATTAAACTGATATGATCATTGATCAGAGAAGAAGGAAGAAGTGAAGAAAGAAAGTGTCGGTGAGACTTTAAGAGAAGGCAAAGAAAGGGTCTAGTGAGCAAAAGAAGACAAGGGGACCAATTTTGATGTTTTTGTTTTCCGATTTACTTCCGTTTTTTAATTTTTAGTTTTTTTATAAAAATTGAAATGGAAAAAAAAAGTGAAAATAAAGGTGAATAAATGAGGCTTTTGTGTGTGTTGTTGTTGGTTTTATATACGAGTAAATGAGTTGGTTAGGAGAAACCGGCAAATTTAGCGGGAATGGGCATGAAATGAGGTGAGTTTTTGTTTTTAAAAGGGCCAAGTCACAAGTGAATGTGTGGCCACCGGCTATTACGGGTTACGAGCGTAACCAAGACGGCGAAAAAGCCTTGAAACCTGCCTCATTACTCATGGCACGGAAACGGCTAGATATATAGAAATTTTTTTGGTTCTTCTCCTTTTTTTCGATGGAGATGTATGTTTAACACTTTATAGAGATAAGTACATAGTTAGATTACAAATTTATAGTAATTATAAAGGTGGTCTAATTGTAAGCATAATCTAAAGTACATCACTATGCTAGGAAAATGGTAGAAAAGGAAGAAAGTGATTTTCCCGCGGATAGACGAAATATATATGTACATGCAGTTTTGCAAAATCTGTGTGATTATTATCATGTGACACATAAAATATCTTTATAACAGTTTACTTTGAAGTACATCACTGTATGTGGTACAAGAAGTGTATTATTGTGTAACCTATAAATAGTCATTGAAGATTATACTGAACACACTGTCTTCTAGCCTTTTAGGTATATGGCATTAATTGTGTACTCTCCAATATGCAACATATTCGTCCAAGATGAAATTGGCCTAAATATTGCAGAGGATGCAGTTTTGTAACAATATTTCGTCCAAGATGAAATTTTAGCTAGTAGGACCAATCACGTAGTTGTATCAACATGAAAATTATAGAAAATGTTTTTGAACAAAAAAAAAGTCATTATCTATATAAACTTTATTTTTGTGGTCGGAACCATTTCGACCGAACATATGTTATAGACCACAGCCATAGACTACAAGAGCAAATAATTGAGCATGTAAAAAGCAAACAAACACAACCAAAACATATCACAAATATCTCAACGCATAGATCCTCTGACAAATGATTTCCGTTAAAATTAATCATATGTACCTATCGAATAATAAGTTGGTTTTGGATATGATCGTAGTAGTTATTACAAAGAATGAGATTGATCAACCACCAAGAAACAAAGCCTTAACACCATCTTGGATTCCAATAAATTAATAGAAAAGACAAATCTAGGCAATAATCAAAATCAGATATATTATGAAAATAGCCATCAAGGCAAACATTATAATACAAAGCACGTTTCTCAATTTAAACAAGGAAAAACAGAGATATCACCAATAATATTCCAATTTGGTTTATTATTATTACAAAAATAAAACCGAACCAAAAGAAGAAGAAACAGAGTCTTGTAGTCATTTTGCAAAGAATAAAGTTTGGAGTTGTGACTCTTGTGAGGCTCAGAACAAGGCATATTTCTGAGTCCAGCTTCGAGCCATGGCTTCATATTTGACCTTGTCAGTTTTGTATATGTGAGCTATCTCTGGAACCAGAGGATCATCAGGGTTTGGGTCTGTAAGAAGAGAGCACACAGAGAGAAGCACCTGCAAATACCCAAAATGTTTAGTTATTTGTGCTATGTAACCGAGCCAAAAGCCTTGAACTTCTCTACATATACCAAAATTGATTCAGTCATTAAAAATCTTGAAAAAAGGCTTTAAAGTGATTTTCAAACCTTAGAGATGGTAAGGGCAGGGCTCCATTGGTCTTTGAGAATGTCCAAACAGATGTTTCCATTGCTGTTGATGTTTGGATGGAACACTTTGGTTCTGAATACAACCTGAAAACATCAACCAACATAACAACAAGAGGGAAAAAGAAAGAAAGATCAAAACTTCAGAAACATACCAATCATGTTGGTTTTGAGCCTTTAAAAATGTTTTGTGTTGTGGTAACTTGTTTACCTTGGGAGGTTTAAAAGGATAATCAGGAGGGAAATGGATATTGACAAGGAAAACACCGCCTGAGTATGGACTTTCATTTGGACCCATTATTGTAGCTTGCCAGTGGAACGTATCTTCTCCTGTTGGACCTGAATAACCCAAAAACATTCAGTGACAAAAGATCAAACCTTTAGAAGAAACAGTAGTGATGATCTTACTTTGATGCAGGAGCTTATTGTGCATGTGTGCATCAGATATCCCAATGAAAGTTTCTATTTATTAACAAGAAGATGTGATCTTTTACCTGCACTGCATGATACAGGAGGGTCTCTCTGCAACTCCTTTAGTTCTTTCAGTATCCGTCTCGTTGCCATCGAGCTGCAGAGTGTTTGATTAGCACTAGAGAGAAGCTGAGGGAAAACAGAGAAAGAAAAAAATTTCAATGGATGGTTTGTGAAGAGAATGGGAATGAGAGGTCTGTTTTTAAAGCAGAGATTGATGATTCTCTTTTCAAACAGGAGTGATAAGCACTCAGATTGTTCATTTACAGTTGTTTAAGCAACATAGGTGTCATTTTAGCCGCCCATTATGGAGAAAGATCCATTTTTTTGGTTCTGATTCTGAAAGAGAGACTTAGCTTGAAGCAGATGGTCTTACATGCTTGTTTGCAATATATACCATATCTATTGAACGGTCTCTAATGAAACTTGATAAAGTTCTTGTTCTCTAGAAGAATTTTAGAATCAGAATTTTCTAACATAAAGAATGGTTATTACAATATTCTTTGTTCCTGTCTTCTTGCCTACGTTCATTGGACCAGCAAAATGACTTACCAACTTGAAGATTACAAGAGAACGCTTCTTGCAAATCCCAAGAAATAATCTCTAAAAGAATCAGAAGCAAACGTGGATTCATATATATACATATTTGGATTGCAAATAAGAATACAACCTAGAAGTTTCAATACTTGACCAATGAGTTATTTCTGATATGTCAGTTTTTGGACTAGAAACAAGAGAGATTCAAAATGAGAAAAAATGAGTCTGCGAGCACTCGGCAACAAGGATTAGTTTTAACTGTTGGTTTTCGTGTTTCTTCTCTAGAATCACAATATGGAACATCCTTTCTGAGATTTCCTCTTCTTCTTCTTCTTGTTCTTGGGTGGCTGCAGAACTACTTTGATAGCCGCATCAAACACAGCTTTCACATTCTGCCACAAACGATCGAACAAGGTCTTGTCAGCAAGATTTTGTTCTCAGTTTAAAAAACTATACGAAGATAATGAAGTTGAGGTACCTGTTGTGTCTTTGCACTGCATTCTATATAAGCAGAAGCCCCAACAGCCTTCTTTAGCTCTTCACCCTTCACACATATAACAAAACCAGACAAGGAATAAGCAGACGAAACTTGAAGAATCTTAAGAAAAAACGGTCAGTGAGATTGAGCAGAGGGAAGTTACCTGAGCAGTAGATATAGGCACAGCTCCAGGGTGTTCAAGAAAGTAGTGCTTATCATCTCGAAGATCTGAAAGAGAGAATCCGTTAAACAGAACTCGCTCGTCTTTTGGGATGATGATGGATGAAATGAAAGAAGAACTAACCTAGCTTTGTTCCAACAAGGATGATCGGAACACCAGGAGCGTAATGTCTCAGCTCAGGAACCCACTGCGATAATCAAAAGCAGAAGAACAAATGGATTGTATCAGAATCACTTAGATAATACCATTTGAGATACTCCAAAAAGTTTTACATGAGGAAGACCAAAGATTGATAGCTAACCTTTTTAGAAACATTTTCGTAGCTAGCTTTGCTGACGAGAGAGAATGCAAGCAAGAACACATCAGCGCCACGATAACTCAATGGTCTAAGTCTATTATAGTCCTCTTGTCCTGTGTTTCATCAAGGCAAACATAAACAAAGAAAGTTTAAAAACAAAGAGAGCACAAGAACAAAAGAAGCAACAAAATGAGATCAAAGCTATATGTTGCTTGCCTGCAGTGTCCCACAATCCTAAGTTGATGGTGTTGCTATCAACAATCACATTGGCACTGAAATTATCAAACACAGTTGGTACATAGTCCTGTCACCAAAACATTCCACACAAAAAAAAAAAAAAATGTTATCAATCATAAAGAGATTCAAACATCCTCAATCTTACAGATTAATAAAGTAAAATCACTAAGCTAAAGATCTTTAACCTAACCAACATCCAAAATAAACAAGAATTGGCTATGTTACGAAGCTCGCAATCTCAAACCTTTAGATCAATAAAGTAACATCACTGAGCCAAAAAGATCACTGAAGTAACATTCTCTTAAGCTTCTAAATCCAGCCAGTGAACTAGATGAGTAATAAAGAAGAAACCTTTTTGAGCTAACTTTCCTAGAAAAATCTCAATTTTTATTTTGAATTGGCAAAAATTAGGTCTTTAAGTTGATAAATCATGAGCTTTTAGACAAGAAACTTCCAGGGAAAATATACAAAAGCAAAGAAAAAAGGAACAAATTTTAATTCCGAAAATGGAGAAGAAAGCAATGAGTGAACTCTCACAGTGGGGAAAGTGTTGCTAGTGTAGGAGATGAGAAGACAAGTCTTTCCGACGGCGCCGTCACCGACGGTGACACACTTTATGAACCTCGAAGCACTCATCTTCTCGCCGTCAACTTCAAACCCTAATTCTGATTTGAGCAGAGGATTTGATACAGAGAGAGAGAGAGAGAGAGAGAGAGAGAGAGAGAGGTTCTTTAGGCAGCTAGGAGACAAAAGAATAGCAGCTGAAACTGAAAGTCCTCTGGCAAGACTTTTCCCACTTGTTTCGAGTCTCAAGTCTACTGTCTACCACATGCTTCGCACTCCACTTCCATTTCTTTGTCAAACTAGTTATAGGAAAAAGATGGATTATTAATTTTTAACAATAAACTCAATTTTTCTAGTATATAGTTAGAATAAAATATTGAATCATATTTTACAATTTCACTTAATATTTAGTTTGATTTCTATACTGTACTTGTGAAAACAGCCAGAACCAGTAATTTTCTTAAATAGAGTTATCTAAAAACTTCATTTCAAAAATCTATGTTATTTTTTTCCCTTTATACAAAAAACATTAATAGTTAGGAAGATGATTTACACATAATGCATCCTTCAGACATGTCATATGCTATCATCAATAGTTTTTGCCTGAAGTTCTACAAAATCATCAATTGATTGCTTCTAAAAAACCAGCCACATTTTTCTGGTTTTTTGTTCACTAAATGACGTTATAGACAAAAGCAAGATGGGCCAGAATGGAACAAGGCCCACAGAATCAATGCCCGCCAATTGAATCCAACAAGTCACACACTGTCAGGTCCAACACCAAAACACAAAGCAAAATGCTACTGGTAATTTTTTGTAAACCAGAATTATGTAAAACAATGTTTTTCTTTTTCTTCTAATAAGAAAAATCAACAAAAGCAATAAAAACCGACTCAGTAATTTAAACGTTGACCAAAAAAAAAATCAAGAAAAATTGTAAAACTTAATGCTGTACAATTTTGTTATTTCTTGTTTAATGATGTTAAGTGTTGGTGCAAATGATTAAAATTAGCATAATTGATCTCTCACATAGAAGGATCTGGAAGCCCTATGCGTCCCCAAAACTCTCTCGTATAAATACCAAATCTTCTCTCCTTCCCATCGAACCCTTTCTCTACTCTCTCTGCTTCCTTCTCTAAATCCGCTTCGTAAACCCTAAAAAATTCCGATCAACGAGATGGCGGACGCTGAGACTTTTGCTTTCCAAGCCGAGATCAACCAGTTGCTCTCCCTCATCATCAATACCTTCTACAGCAACAAGGAGATCTTCCTTCGTGAGCTCATCAGTAACTCCTCCGATGTACGTCTCTCGCTCTCTCTCTCTCTCTATCTTTCGATTGACTTCTGTATCTGTTTTCTCCGATTTGGAATTGGGTTTACTCATTGTAGTAGGGAACATCAAATCTGTCTGTTAGGCTTAGTGTTGTTTACCGAGTCAGTTATGTAGATAGATTTGAGCTCTAGACTCTGCGATTCTATTGTATATGTTCTGTGTATCTGTTGCTTACGATTGAGTGTTGTATTGCGTTGATGCAGGCGTTGGACAAGATTAGGTTCGAGTCATTGACCGATAAGAGCAAGCTCGATGGCCAGCCAGAGCTTTCATTCACATCATCCCTGACAAGACTAACAACACCTTGACCATCATCGATAGTGGTATCGGGATGACCAAAGCTGGTACGTATTGATTTCGAATAACTTAAAGCGAATTTTTCTTGGTTTTTGTTGCTAATGCGTGTTTTCTTGTACAGATTTGGTGAACAACCTTGGAACAATTGCAAGGTCTGGTACCAAGGAATTCATGGAGGCGTTGGCTGCTGGAGCTGATGTTAGCATGATTGGGCAGTTTGGTGTTGGTTTCTACTCGGCTTACCTTGTTGCTGATAAGGTCATTGTCACCACCAAGCACAACGATGACGAGCAGTACGTTGGGAGTCTCAGGCTGGTGGATCTTTCACCGTGACCAGAGACACTTCCGGTGAGAGTCTTGGCAGGGGAACGAAGATGACGCTTTACCTCAAGGAAGACCAGTTGGAGTACCTTGAGGAGAGGAGGCTTAAGGATTTGGTCAAGAAGCACTCTGAGTTCATCAGCTACCCGATCTCTCTCTGGATTGAGAAGACCATTGAGAAGGAGATTTCTGACGATGAAGACGAGGAAGAGAAGAAGGATGAGGAAGGCAAGGTCGAGGAGGTAGATGAGGAGAAGGAGAAGGAGGAGAAGAAGAAGAAGAAGATCAAGGAGGTTTCTCACGAGTGGGATTTGGTGAACAAGCAGAAGCCTATCTGGATGAGGAAGCCAGAGGAGATCAACAAGGAGGAGTACGCCGCCTTCTACAAGAGTCTCAGCAATGACTGGGAAGAGCATTTGGCTGTGAAGCACTTCTCCGTTGAGGGACAGCTCGAGTTCAAGGCTATCCTCTTCGTTCCCAAGAGAGCTCCTTTCGATCTCTTTGACACCAAGAAGAAGCCAACAACATTAAGCTCTACGTCCGTCGTGTCTTCATCATGGACAACTGTGAGGACATCATCCCAGAGTACCTTGGATTCGTCAAGGGTATTGTCGACTCTGAAGATCTTCCTCTCAACATCTCCAGAGAGACTTGCAGCAGAACAAGATCCTCAAGGTCATCCGCAAGAACCTTGTGAAGAAGTGCCTTGAGCTCTTCTTTGAGATTGCTGAGAACAAGGAGGACTACAACAAGTTCTACGAGGCATTCTCCAAGAATCTGAAGCTCGGTATCCACGAGGACTCTCAGAACAGAACCAAGATCGCTGAGTTGCTCCGTTACCACTCAACCAAGAGCGGTGATGAATTGACCAGCCTCAAGGACTACGTGACGAGGATGAAGGAAGGTCAGGAGGACATCTTCTACATCACCGGTGAGAGCAAGAAGGCTGTGGAGAACTCTCCATTCCTCGAGAAGCTCAAGAAGAAGGGGTACGAAGTCCTTTACATGGTTGATGCCATTGACGAGTACGCCATTGGTCAGCTCAAGGAGTTTGAGGGAAAGAAGCTCGTCTCTGCAACAAGGAAGGTCTGAAACTCGAAGAGACTGAAGACGAGAAGAAGAAGAAGGAAGAGCTAAGGAGAAGTTCGAAGGGCTCTGCAAAGTGATCAAGGACGTGTTGGGAGACAAGGTCGAGAAGGTTATCGTCTCCGACCGTGTCGTGGTAATTTTAAAATGTGCACCTTTATACTACTTGGTTTGGTTTTATAACACTGATTAACAACGCTAGATAGATTAGGTAGTAGTATAATAGTACCCAACCAGGCCAGGCCACAACAACCGATCGATGATAGGACGTCCAACTTCCAATCTAAAAAATGTGTGCGTACGATTAGTTAGTATCACACTTGCGTACTTGATTTAGTATTACTACACACTCTTGTCTCTATATAAATAACTAGCAAACCCACGGAGTCAGTGGTGAAACAAAGGATTACAAATTGTATGAGTGTTACTTACAGTGAAATAAAGATACAAGTTTTTATATATTCCTAGATTATTAGATACTAGTATACTAGAAGAAGGACATGGCCATATATATAAGAGTCTCTATATATAAACATATGGTTCCCCTAATTCCAACCCGCGTTTACTTTTCTTTTTGAAAGCAAACACACGTGTCACATTTGTGTTGGATAACCAGAGATACTTACATTACTGCAATTTGATTCCGCAAAGGCAAAGCTGCACGTGATCATTTTCTGGCACTAACCAACTGTCCCTATGTCGTGGTGGGGGATGTAAACCCCCAATGGCCCATCCATTCCTTCACAGTTTATAACACACAAACAATCAAATATCCTGGATCGTTTTAATCTACTTTGTATGACTAGATAAACTTATTAGCTAACCCGATCGAGGAACTGATGATATTTCGATGACTAGCATTCTGTTTATGGACCGCATCACACGCAATAACACATTACCCCTATGTATAGAGAATTGGTAGTAGTGGATATGGATTCTGTACGGCAAATAAATGATTTTTTTGCAAAAAATAAATAAATAAATATAATCTATGTATATCGCTGTTACGCTTACATAAGGTCTTATGTTGTATTCAACCTAAGTCTTGTAACTATTTACTTGACAAGGATTGGACTGTCCAGAACCATGTAAATTATTGTGAACACATATCTCCCTTATTTATGTTTACTAGGTTCATTGAATTTAACCGCTTCTATATATTTTGAAAATTAAATTCAGACATTTAGAAAGAAAATAAAGATTATGTGCTGGAAAGTCATGAATGATTACAAGCAGAATCGAAGGAGGTTTTTTAAATTTTTTTTGGGGGGGGGGGGAAGAGAGCATCCAAAGTCATAGCTTATATGGTTTTGATGAAACACAAGTAGCCTCAATTATTACTTTTTGTTTTGTTTTCATGTGAAAAACTCAATATTAGTAAGAAGAAACACTACAAGAGAAAAAAGTAAGATCTACGAGTGTGTTGTTATTAATAAGCGAAGATCAAAAGAGTGTTTTGATGTGTAGAAGTAGCTAGAACTGTTTGATCCGATCCGGGAGTATTGGATTTGAATGGAAGATATGAACTCCTGAGAAGATGACACGCCCCGCCTAGTTTTATGCATATGTCTTTCTGTGTTCGATAACATTTATGGGCCTTTTTTAATGAAACACCTTAAACAAAAGAAAAAACCACTGAGAGAAAGGTGCAAAACAAATGGGTGATAAAAACAGTGTGAGCTTCTCTTCCTCTATCCGCATTTCACTGTTTTTTCAACTAATCTCCCTTTTGCCCTTCTTTTTTTGGGGTCAATTGTTGCAGCTTTTTCCCTATGATAAAAGTCGTGTGTACAAATAAGATAACAGCTATCTTAATTAATACCCCATAGTGTTTCAAGTACACCACAAGCTCTGTGTCATTTTAGAATCAGGTGACAAAAAAAAAATGTTGTTGTTGGCCACTTGGCCTGATTCCGATCAGGATGTTTAGTATGGTTGGAATTCCTCATATTTGACCCGGTTCTCCATGCACACATATAATTGTCGTTTTTATCACCATTCAATATATAGAACTGATATATTTAAGACATATAAGAAACTATAATAATGGGTTTGATTAATATGTTTCCAATTGCTTCACCTGAGGTTTTCCTTCCTTAACTCCAACTTTCAAGTTAACACTTAAAGTATTAGTCACTGCTTCCAAGTTCCAATGCAGCCGTTTGCCGATATCTCATTTGGTGTGTCTTATTAGGCACACGGTCATGTGCGTGCGTTAAGGTTTCAAATATGGTCGGTCGGATAAACTAACTTTAAAAGGGTTATGATTTCTGCGACGATGTTTCTTAGAAAAGGAGTTAGAGAGTGATATGGGGCAGTATAATCGACGAGCCCAAAAATGTTCCAATATAATTTCGCACGAACTGAGCGAGTGTAATGGAGGCCCATTAAAGACACAAATGGGCTTAGCAGTGGCGGTCTTTGACACTATATGTCGCAGTTTCGGCAAAGGCCAATTCACCACAGCACAAACGCTAAAAATCGGACGATCAAATCTCCTCTTCCCAGCAGCAGATCTTCGAGAGCCTTGTGAATCCCTAGATTAGATTAGCTTAGCTTAGCTTAGCTACTCTGTAATCTGTATCTGTATCCCCTCTTGGATCTCCTGCTACCCGAAAACCCAGAACCCCCTCGTCCTTTATCCTATCATTTTGGATTTTGGATCTCGGGATCGCCATGCTGATGATTCCGTCCAAGGTCGCCGGCCATACCCGGTTCCTGCTCGACAGCTTTAGTGATTCCGATGCCGACTCCATCGCCCAAGAGATTTGTCAGGTACTCGTTTCGACTATTGTAAATGTTTATGTCTATGGGTCTACTTCTGAGAGCAGCCTAACTTCATCCTTCATTTGAGAAATGCATGATTTCCTCTTCTCATGCTTTTTTTGTTTCGTATAACAAATGTCAGTTGGTTGATTGTGAAGTCGAGACTAGTATTCCAGTTCTCAAGACATGCCTGGATTGCTTCACCGGCCGGAGAAGCCAGCCTAATGCCTTGCAGCTTGAGAAAGTAGTATCCTTGGTATTTAAACGTGTGATGAAAACGTCCAATTCTGGGACCGTGCTTTCTCACGCACTGAAGGATGTTGAGCTCACTGATGACTTTGTCGATGATTTGACTACTGCATTGGGCTTTTCAATCTCCGAGAAAATTAGCTTTGCTCTGGCCCTGACCGATTTTGAAAGATCTGATGCTAAGACTAGTGGTTTGCCTCATTCTTCCCCGTGTCTTACCTCTCCTATCTCTTTGGTCTTATCTTTCTTATGATGGCTTTTTGGCCTTTCCTTTTGTAGGACGAAACTTATTATTGGCCCAGATTGAGCATCTCTCTGCCAATACTGGCCAGATTGAGTCAACCGAGCAAATTCAAAACGTTCTTTTGTTTCTCCAGAAATCTGAGGATCTTTCCAGGCATTTGGATTCCTTCCTACAGATTTTGTCTTCTGCTCAACCTAGTGATCAGTTCTCTTTTGCTCTAACTCCTATCCTTTCTCAGGAAGCTGATGTTTTCAGGTGCTACTCACGAGTTGCTTTCATCTATTATCACTTTTTGGTCCATATGTACAGATCCTGACTGACTCTCAACGGTTTTACAGTGATTCTGCTGAAAACGAGATTGATGCTATCTTAGCTGAAATCGACAAGGAAGTTTGTGTTGGAGATCTCATGGAAGAATTAGGCTGTGGGTTCACTGCTGATGCCCAACAATGCAAAGAGATCTTGTCTAGTTTCGCACCATTAAGCGAGGCTACTATCTCAAGAATTCTTGGTAATGTTGCTCGTACATGTGCTGATTTTGAAGATAATCAATCCTCCTTTTCAACATTCAGTCTGGCCCTTGGCTGCTCCGTTCCAACTGAACTTCCCACGCCAAGGTCGTGGAATGTTGACATTCTAATTGAAACAATCAAGCAGCTTGTAAGTTATCTGAAGCCCTTATACTTTGTCTAATCTTTGTCTAATCAACAGCATTTATAGCTTTAAAACTTCGTTTCAGTCTTTGCATTAATCTTTCTGTGACTAGTGTGCATCATTATCCTTCTTTTATCAATGTCTTTAATGTTCCATTTAGCTTACATCTTAAGTGTTACATGGTTCATACTCCTTTTCTGCTAAATCAGGCTCCTGGCACAAGCTGGAGGAAAGTAATTGAGAATCTCGACCATGATGGATTTGACATCCCTAATATGGAGTCGTTCTTGTTTTTCATGCGACTATATAAAACTGCCTGCAAGGTGTGTCTCTTCAATATATGTTTACTTCATTACGTTGTTTCCACTTCCAGCGTTGTTTGAGGGTGTTAAACTGGTTCTTGCAGGAACCATTTCCTCTTGATGCTGTATGCGGTTCTGTCTGGAAAAATATGGAAGGTCAATTATCCTTTCTTAAGCATGCAGTAGCAGCCCCACCAGAAGTATTCACCTTTATGTATTCTCCAAGGAAGCTGGTGAGAAACCACACATCTGTGTTTAGAGCTGTTGTTCCTTGATACTGTTACTATTCTGACCACTTGCTTTTCCAGGTATATATAGATAACAACATGCACAGCCATGAGCAACAGTTAGGTCTTTCCAATCATGCGTGGCTGTCTCTCGATCTCTTAGATGTGCTATGCCAACTGGCCGAGAGAGGTCATACTGTATTAGTTAGTTCGTTGCTCCAGTATCCACTCACACATTGTCCTAGAACCTTGCTTCTTGGAATGACACACGTCAAAGTAACTCTTTATGACTGATCTTTGGTGATGTATGTGCGAAATCTTGACTTTTTTTGCTTGGCTAAGTATGTTAATCCTGTTGTTGCAGACTGCCTATAATTTCATCCAGCGTGAGGTGGTTTCTGCTCTTCTTCCAGTGATAATAACGAATTCACAGGATAGTGCTTTTATCCTAAATCTCTGGCATCAGAATGCTGAACTAGTTCTGTGGGGGATTGTAAATGCCCAAAATCTTAAAGCAGACAGCATGCTTAGAGTAATCGAAATCTGCCATGAGCTTAAGGTGAA